TAGGTGTCGAAACCAATAAATGTTGTATAAAGAAAAAACAACAACAACAACAACAACAATAATAATAATATAAGCAATCAAAATCGCCAATGTTTTTCTACCCAAAATCAATTCATCCATCATCAGCAACAACAATACATCGAAGTACATAGTGTTTAAGAATCAACAAATAGACAGTAGACTATAAAAATGACCAGCTATACAAAATCATTTTTTTTCGAATCGAAATGTTGATCAAATTGTTATATATACTTTGCATATTATTTTATTCGAACAATTTATTATTATTATTTCAACAATGACAAAGGCTACAATTTGGTCACATGGGATGATGATGAAAGCACAATAGTCAAAGAAAAAAAAATTAATTCTTTTCAATGAAAAAAAAAAATAAATCAAATCAACCACACAAGAAATAGTGAATGAAAAAAAAAATTCTTCTTATTAAGCTTATTCATTTATTTGTATATACAATCTCATTTGTCATTCCAGTTTTTTTTATATGTACAGTTTGTCGATTGATTTGATTGAATTCGACTAAACATCTGGTTATTCAATATACGACTTGATAACGATTAGTTTTTTCTTTTCTTTTTGGATTGCAACCGTATGTCCATCATATAATCATCATGTATGTTTGTGTGTGTGTGTGTGTTTATGAATAGGCCAACAAAAAAAATTGTAATTCGAATGAAAGATAAGTAGTAAAGCCCATCGTCAAATCAGACCCAAAAAATCAATCAACGTAAACGAAAATGACATTCATCCATAGCTATATTAATAATAATAATAATAATCGATCAACGTTTGATTGATTCAAAAGGTGCCATTAACAATGATCTTTATTCAATGACAACAGCAGAAGTAACAACAACAACAACAAAAAAAGAGAATACAAAACAACAACAACAAAATCCATTTGTAGGTGAAATGCTAACAAGTTCACCTCCACTACTACTATCATCACTATTATCATTTCGTAGACATTTTATTTGAATTCAAATTTATCATGCATGAATAACAACAACATTCACCCTAGTATATATATATACATTAACTAAAGCAACAACAACAAGAATAATTACAGTAGTCTTCGAATAATCGAAAAGGCCGATTTTAAGCCAAGAAAAAAAACCAATCATTAAGGTCTTCACCAGAAAAAAAAATTAACAAAAGCGAAAAAATGTCCCATTTTCATCATCAATATAACTATCAATTTCATCTCCATCGACAGCCAAAATGCAATGACAATTTTCGAAAATCAATTACCAGGTAATCATCATTTTTTTCCTGATTGTGGTACAAATAAATTCTTTCAAAACAATCGATATAATATTCTATTTTTAGAAATTAAAGTTAAAAAATCAATCCCAAAAAAATAAAATTCAATCGTAATAGAAAAGCTATGAAGAGATGAGAGGATTGGATTTAAAAAAATTCGAATCCAGATAAAATGACCTCAAAAGTCCAAAAGTACTGGAACGATTGTTTTGAAATTTTTACACAACGTTACAACCAAATAGTAGATGGTTTATATATACTTTAATTAGAGATTATCTGGATAACACACTTGTGAGAGATAAAAAAAAACATGTTTTTTTAATAACTTAATCATGCCGGTAGTCAAGAGCTCAAGGCAACTAGTGTTGCGCGCCTACGGCAACTCACTCTAGTGAATACATTCGAATATTTGAACTTGGATTTATTGGACACTGAACATTTCCGCCAAATAATAACGAGTAGTCATTATATATATGATAAGAATGATGAGTAAAAGTCTTTTTTCAAATTTGTTATATTTTTGAATTTTTCTATATTTTCTTGTTTTATTTTTAAGAAAAAATAGTGCGAATCCTCTCTTTTTTTCATTCTTAACAAGCTAAAAATTGAACAAACATAAAAAAGCATCATAGCCATTTCCAAACATACACACATAGAAAAATCAATCGTCTTTCATCTCCGTCAATCAACTTGGGAGTAATAAAACTGTGTCGTTAATTAGCATCATATACAAATAATATATATGGTATAGGCGCGTGGCTTTTAAAAAAAAAAAACGGTATCTCTATCTATCTATCTATCTTTCATACAAAGTAAAGATTGAGCTGCCAAACAGCTTTCACATGTTCATACACACAAACAAACAAACAAACAAACACACACACACACACACATTAAAACAAACAAATAACAAACCCCTTTTTGTTCTGCTTGAAGAATATTGGAAGGGGAAAAAAAAAATCAAGCATTTTCTGACACTTGAAATTTTCAAGTTCTTATGCATTCGAAATTGTTGTAACAAATGACAACAACAACAACAAGTTTATTTGATTTACAACTCACGTAGATATATTCCATGCCGTATTTTTTTTTTTTTTTTTTTTGTTCTATAGTGCAAAAAAAACTCAAACTATCTTCACAATGATGACATCATCAAATTGATCCATAAAAAAAGCAAAACAAAAAAAAAATTTGATAAAAACTTATTGTCCAACACTTTGAATGCGTGACAAACATTTTTTATCATCATATAATCCTTTTAGTTAATATTTTCTTTTTCTTCTGGTTTTGACATGGATAACATTTTGTCCGGCAAGCCCATTTCCTGTATATATTCTTGTATGTTCAAATGTCCGGCTGAATAGACGTGAAATGAAAGTTTAAAAAATAAACTTTTCATGAAAATTGATGTCAACCCTCTGCTTTCTACTTTCGGACAACAACGTAGCAGCTATTAATAATAATAAAAAAGCGAAAGGAACATATATACGTTGATTCTATATATATATTTGCTTTCAACATCATCATTGATTATCGGAATCAAGACAAGCAAGTTAAAATGCACCAATCATGATGATCATCGATTAAATCAATGATGATGATGATCATCATCATCATCAACATCAAAAACTGTGTCTAAAAAATAAATTACCTTTTCACACACTCATTGAACGCCTTTAATAATAATGGAGAGATAATGTGTTTATAACAAGAAAAGAAGAAAAAAACGGAGTGCCGTTGAATTTTTTCTTTTTTTTATAATAAACGATTATTGATGATGATTTGGTCAGTAAAATCAAGGAAAAAATATTAGCCTTATCTTTTTATATATTTACAGTATGATTAAATGTTACATATATTTATTATATTATATGAGATGAAATATTTTGATTGGCTACAACTATCGAAATATATTTTTCTGTATCAATGTTCAAATTGATTACTGTCATCATTATCTTCTTATAAACGGTTAATAGGATGATGAATATTTTTGTCTATTTATTTTCTACAATTTTTTTCCAATGTAACAATAAATAAGTGCAATGAATATGTTGTTCATTACAGACTTGATGACAAATATTTAAATAATGCATTATCATACTGATGGATAGATTCTATTTCTAAGGGATGTCCAATGAAAAAAAAAAAAGGAGAGCTATGAATAAATTTTCAGCTAATATAACCCAGAAAGTGAGTGTTATATATCCCTGAAGAATAAGAAACAGACATGTTATCATATGATCATCACCATCATCATCATCACGATCTTATGATGATAATGACAAAGAGAATGGAAAGACAATTGTTGTGAATAAATAAAGAAAAATATTAATATTAATAATCGAGAGAGAAATTGGAGCAGTAGATTGCTCAAACAATATATATTTGTCGGTCAGTCGGATGGTTTTATGAAAATAGTTTGTCCATTGTTTAATAATAGTTGTATACAACTTGAAACATTTGACATAGTTGTGACATTTTGTTCATCGAAGTTGACAGTTAGTTAGTTTTTTTTTCTTCTTATTCATACGAACTATACCTGTTTTGTCTATCTGTAACCAACACACACATAAACACACATTCTTACATTTGTTCAAAATATCGGTCGGACAAACTTTTAGTTCTGAATGTCATTATTAATGTTCAGATTTTAAACCATCAAACGATTGTATTTGCGTGTGTGTGTAAATTATTTTCTGGAGTAAAAAAAATTTGTACAATTGAAACCAACCAACAGGTAGGTTATTCATTCTTCATTCTTCTATTCATCAGCCACAATTGAACGAGAAAATAATGACTGATTTCAAATGATATAGCTTGGCTTGAATGATTTTGATTGTCATCATCATCATCATTAAGCCAGTCAGATTGGATTCAATCATTTATTCGGAACGATTTTCCAATCGACTGATTGTTATTTTATATTTCAGACAAACAAACCACACATACATTTTCAATAAATAAAAAAGTAGAAAAAATAATAACGGTTACCAAAAGTATTAATAAGCTGAAAAATGATTGAAAAATATGTAAATAACTTATATTCAAAAAAATTACCTCATCAGAATTGCAAATAAAGAAAAATTAAAGATTTTCAAATATTTAGCAGGTTGTTGTTGTTGTTGTTGTTGTTGATGTTGTTGTTTGAATAACACACTTCAATAATATTTAATATAAACAAAAATAACGATTAGTCTAATTGTTTTTCTCTTTTTTTTCTATATAACACTTTTAGTCAATTCAATCATAATGATGATCCGGGAAATGATAAAAATTTGCAAAAATCAACAAGAATTACCGGTAGCAATAAAGAATACTCAACATTCAAGTTCTATATGTTTGCCATCATAAACAACAATGATAACAATATGGCTTTTTCACAATCATTTCATCATAATCATCATCGTCATGATGTTCGTTGTCCAAGTTTACGATCATTATTATTTATATTATTATTGGCCATTATCCATATTGTCGAAAGTTCACCAACAGCGACTATGATGATGATGATGAATGGTATGTTACCAAGAACCAGTCAACCATTGTCATCATCATCGTCATCGACAACGGTAGCAATGTTTGATTATGATTTTCCCATTATACATCCATTGCCAAAAGACAATAATGATGATCATCATAATCATCATCATCATCATCGTCGTCGTCGTCGTTAATATACGAAACAAACGTCAATTATCATCGTTGTTATCACCGATACAAATTCGATTTGGTCGTCTACAAATGGATCGTCGTAGTTCGACTTCATCAATCAATGGTCGTCAAAAGCAATCATCATCATCTTTGTTGAATGGATATTTACTACCTTCAAGACTGCAAACATCTAATCAATCGACTTTATCATCATCATTTACTGGACGATTGATAACAAAATTGATTAAGAATCAACATTCCTTACTTCATCAATTTACATCCACTCTGAATGAACGATTACGTCCTAAAGTAAAATTACAACAATCAAAACAATCGGACAATATTACTAGAACAGCAAAAACGATAGAATCATTGGCCACTAATCAGACTGTCCGATTGAATAAAACGATCGATAAATCTTCACGAAGAAACGACAATGATCCACTTTGGTATAACAATGATATCATAACATTGGATGATTATGATCAAAATGATCAAACCACTGTTAGTGGTAGTATAAGTGATCATCTTTCATCACCAACATTGAATGTCATCGATGATGGTCTAAACAATACGAAAATTGCCCACAATATTTTGATTGTACATAAGAATTCTAAACAGCAATCTAACACAAAAAATGATAAACCTATGACAACGAAATTTTCCATACAAACATATGGTGATCCAAATCGGCTTTCACCACCATTTATGATCGATGAATTGGAATTTGTGCCGATCAAAAATAATCATCGACCATCAACAATGATGAGTTTAGCACAATGGAAACAGAAACATCAACAACAACAGAATAAGCTTAGTACAAAACCAATGGTGGTAGTAACATCATCACCAATTCCCTCTAAACCGTTGAAACCATTGGAGAATCAAGATGATGATGATGATAATCAGATGCCCACTTCATATGCTGCATCATCATCATTGTTTCCATCTACTCATGTACCACAAATATCATCATCATCATCATCATTCATCACAACAACATCGACATCTGTCACAAATAAATCATTCGATAATCGTCGATCAACTGTGACCAATGGTCGAATTCCTTTGGCAACAACAAAAGCACAATTTATCTCAACTAATTTGCCTTCTATGATGATAACGACAACAACCATTGCAAATCTAACAACAGAAACGGCTCAACAATTCTTATCAACAACTATGAGACCTCAGCATGATGGTAATGAACAGGTTGCCACCTGGAGTGTTCATAGTGATGACTACCATGGTCAACTAATCACATCAAATCCACTCAACATGGATGCAAATAGTGATCCATCAGTTACGCTGATTACCGAAAACCCATCCACTACATTTACAATGGTTGAGAGCGGAACAACCATGGATGATAACTCAATCGAATTTCTAAAAGAATTCAAAGAACAACTTCAACAATATAATCGTACAACATCGAATCCAATCGATCTATACAATGGACCAAATAATAATTATGATAACGATGAAATGGCGCTTGAGAAACAAAAACAAAATCTCGATGATCCAACAATAATTGTTTTCAAAAATAATCACATCAAACCTCTCAGGCGAAAACCAATCACACAGAAACCGGCGACAAGTCGTTATACTTTCAAACCACCTTATGCTACGATATTCAATTATCCAACTACTACCGCTATGCCATCACGACGAACATCAATAAGTTTTTCCAATATAGCCGGTTATCGTGTAAAACAACCGGAAGAGATTAAATCGGCTACATTGACTGTTATAGATCCCCCATATTCAGCCAGTGGTATTATACAATTACCAATAAATACAACGATCGTTCATAATAATATTCTAGTGCCAATGAAAGAAGGTCGACCGAAACCAAAATTCCCAATACGAACAACAACATCATATCCAGGTTATCCAATTATAACCGGTGTTGGTGGTAACAATTGGCAATCACAAACAACATCACCTTGGTTTATTCCAAGTGTAACAACAAACGCGCCAGATCGTTTTGATGACGAAATGATGGCCATACCATCAGAGAATAACTATACAATGATTCAAGACGATTACAATCTATTTGCAACAACATCTTCACCATACAACATGACAACAATGACGACGTTGACAACGGAACCACCATCAACCATTACGAAGAAAATATCCAAATTGCCAATAGTTTATACGTACAAACCACAAAAATTGTCGACAACATCAACAACAACACCCACACCATTATATACGAAACGACCATCATTGTTTCATGCTATAAATGCACCACCGATGCCAGTTATAAGGCCATCAGCATCGATTGTGCAATCTAATCATTTATTTTTCACCAATATGATGTCCCGATTACGTAAACTATGGACATCGGCCATTCCGAATCAAATGTCTGGATCATCATTTTCAATTGTAGGATTTTTACGTTCAACTATTTATTCATTGATGGTTATGTTATTGCCACCGATAGCATTGATGACATTCTTTACCTGAAAAAAAAACTTTGATTCACTTGTAACCAAATGCTATGTGTGCATGTTTGTCTTTTTAATTTATTAATTTATTATTAATTATTATTATCTTATAATTTTTTTCCCTTTTATATTCGAATATAAATATAAATTATGAAAATCAATAAAACAATTGATTGTAACAAAATTACAATTTCAATAAAATTTGAATGGCCTAATGTAATGATCTAGTAAAAACAACGTTTAATTGCATATGATTAATATTTAATTACATTCAAACTTGGTTATTAGAACACGATTTCAGGTTGATATCATTTAGTGAAAGGAAAAGACTGAGTTTAATCTGGATTCACGGAATCAGTTTCGGAATTATATACAATTCAGGATTAGTATACAAAAAATGACTTTTATCTCTATAGCTTTGATCTTGATCTCATTTTTCTTTGCTGTTGTTGGTCAATCGAGATCGTTTATCATGATAAGCGAATGGCAAAATAAATGGATGAATTGTAATTGTCATACATACATACAAATAAACCATGTCAAGAATATTGGTGTCATCATCATAATCTGTGGTGTTTTATATTTGATCCATTAATATATAAAAATTAGGAAATTAGGATAACCACCACCACCACCACATGAAGCATGGGTTTAACTTTTTCTTGAAATATCATTATGGTCGAATGAGAGAACGATCACTTATTGAAATCACAAGGGGTAGACAATAATCACCATTCTCTCAGTTTATGAATTGACCATAAAGTAATCGAAAGAAACAATAACTGGCTACCGAGACTACATTACTCTACATTCAATTCGGTTATATACTTGTTGTTAATTTTCATTCGACAAATAGCCTCTGCCCAACAACAACAACAATGGACATACATATATAAACACAATCGATTTGTCTTCATACATGTTTAAAATGTGTCTTTCTGAAAATGAATAATGACATATAAGAGATGCATCAAAGGGCATCTTTTTTTTTCCTATTCTTCGTATCGTTTGATGGATCAATTGCCAAACTTTAAAAGAAAAATAGGATGAATAGTCCACTTTTTCATATATATATATGATGATTTATCTTAAAGCCAACTACCGTATAAAAAAAGTATATATACATTGAGGTAATTACAAATTGGTTTTCAACTAGCCAATGATAACCAAAACATCATCCTATACTCTATATGATGATCTATCATGCGAATAAACGATTGTGTGTTTGTGTGTGTACATAGAGGTAGATAGATGAAAAAAAAAAAAAAAATGTTTAAATACATTGTCATTTCTAATTCTAGTTTTGTTGCATTCATAGATACATCGTGTTTGTGTATATGTGTGTCGGTTTGTGTGTGTGTGTGTGTGATTGATTGAAATGTGTTATCGTTAGTATTATTTTTTCAGAAAAAAAGAGAATAAAAACAAATTGCTCAGATAGAAAAAAACATACAGAGTAAAGATTTTGAGAGATTTGGATGATGAACGGAATGGAATGGAAGGGGGCCATAAATGTCTAACCAACCAATTTAATTATAAATTTGATCATTCAAATTTCAAAATGGACATATTTGCCTGATTGTGAATTGGATGTGATTAGAAAAATTGATGAATTTTTGAGGCCAATTTAAATTTCTATTTCAAGGACAATCATTTTTTTTTCTCTTTTTTTTCACTCACTCACTCAAACAATCTAACCAATTGAAAAATTGTTTATTTATTTATTTGTTAAAATTCTTGACAAGCATAGAGCAAAAAAAAAAAGATAGTTAACCCAGTTTGAGTATCAACAGCAACAATCCAAGTAGCCAAACAAAAAAAAAAAATTTAGCTCTATTTATATAATTCAACGATTATAAACAAAAAAAATTTCGAATTTCCTACTGGTCAAATGAAAAAAAAAATTACTCTCTTTTCTAGTTTTTTAGTTTTTGCACACAATTAACATCTTCATTTACAGATGATAATCAATCAAATAATAAATTAAATGCAACAATCGTGAATCAGGCCAGAAAAAAAGAATCAAATTGTTTTTGTGTATATTTTGACATATGCAATATGATAATTCGTATCCGATAACCATGCTGATATTCTGGAACAAAAACGATAACAATTGATTGTGTGTTTTAAAATTTCATTCCAATCATCCATAAGATAGATCCAAAAATAAAATTTGCAAATAGATATTAAGATATGTTTGAATGAACCGAAATAAACTTTGTCGTGCCTGAATATGAATGCAAGGTATGTAACATCATTATCACCATTGTTGATGATGATGATGATGATGATGCACGAAAAACAAAGTTCATTAATATTTTTTCAACTTGGAAGCACCAGAAAAAAAACTGGAAAATGAAAAAACTAAAAAGATGTTTCGGATTCGTATGAATGAATGAATGAATGAATGAGAAAAATTAGAAATGAAATTGGATCCCATTCAGATCATGACAAGTAAAAGAAAACTAAGACATGGACAATGTGTCAAACAGTATTCATTCACATCAGTCTGTATCCATATCATTATAATCAAATGGTATTCGTTGTGGTTTGTTCATATCACTGGTTATCACACATATATATAGCGTTATGTAATTAAATATTATACGCATACTGTTTTCAAAAATTAATGAGAACTCAAGTGTGATGATGATGATAAAACCTTTCTATCTAGCTAGCTAGCATTTCTTGGCCTGTATATATATGTCTGTGTCTAATTTAATCAAATTTTTTCTTTCATATAAGCACATGAAAGAAATAAAAAAAAATTATTCAGAATCATTGAAACCATGGTAGAAATGATATTCACCGCCATATACACACACAAACACACACACACACTGAAGAGATTCATAATATGAATGAACATAACAGAAAAAACATCGAAACCCTGTTAATTTATATGAATTAATTAAAATTGGAAACAAAAAAAAAGCTTTCGCTAATGATGATCATCATGTTAAGCTAATGTATAGATAATGCGATGGACAAAACTTTTTTTCAGCAAAAAAAACTCTTCCACACTCACACAAAACATACTGTCAGGCATTTGATAATAAATGTTTAATGTTGTTCAGCATTCGTGATTATTTTTCTTGAAGAATCGCTAAAGAAATGAAAGTTTCTTTACACTCAGTGGTGATAACAAAAAGCGAAAAGAAAAACAACGTCCAATCTGCTGGCCATTCATTACAATTATTACGTCTTTCTTGAAAGAGGATGTGATGCTCTCATGAATAAATCTAGGCATAAAGAATGTATTTCAAAACAAGAATTTATCAATCCTTTTCGGTTAACTCATCACTATGAATAAATCATCACATTGATTGATTTAAATGAATAGCCAATTTTAGCTTCGATCATTATGCATTACCAACTATAGAGATTCTATTCATCACCGATATTGATAATAAAAACAGACTGAAAAATGGCATTCATCATGATGATTTAACCATGTACATTTATTTTTCACACCTGTAATGCTAACTTTAGCTTTAGTTACTCAGACGAAATTGTGTTAATAATTTAAATTAAAAGTAAAATTTTTATTTCAAATAGAAAAATATCATTATGATGATGCTGAAAATTATTATTATTTGTCGTATGAATAAAAGACATGACAAGGCTTCCAATGTGGTAGTCGGGTATGAATGAGAAAAAAAATTGTTCCATTTTGGTCATTATTATTGTCCATAAACATATCCCCAAAAAAATTCTGTTTTACACACACACACACACACACACACGAACACATTCCAGAATGCCATGATACGACAGTTACATTGGGAACTGATTGAATTTCATGAGTCAATATTTTGTTAAATGAAAAAAAATGATGATGAAAAAATTCCTCAATTCCCTAACAACAACAACAACAACAACATCATCATCATCGAATCTCAATAAAAAAAATATACGGTATATGGAAATATTTTCCACAAAAAAATATAGGCACTGTATTTTTCTTTTACTTTTTTTTCATTTGTCTGAATTTATGGTTGTCATATATTGTCCATAATTCGGTCAACATCATTCAAATACTATTTCTACTAATAGTAATAGGCAGAATATAAAAAAAACAAGAAATAATATCATAACGAAAGCAACAACAACAACAACAACAACAACAAAAAAGTATCCAGGAATTTCGTTGTCGTCATCATCATCGTTGTGGATCTTTGGTTTTTTAAGCAACCAATGAGCATTGTATAAGTAAGTAAATATAATTTGATCAATTCCAAGAAAAAAATATAGAAAAAAAATGATGTCTGGTTCACAAAACGCATTCCAATGATGATAATGATTAGACGCCAAACTAAAACATTATTTGCCCAAACGATATCATGAAATTGAAGGCAGAAAAAAAATCAAATTCGATATTCTAAAAAAAAAAAAAAAAAAATGGATATTATTCTCGACCTATATATCCATGTAAAAGTCTAATAATGATAGAGCCGAAAAAGTATAAACGAACGAACAACATTATATAACTGTTATAAGGTCATTATTTTGGTTATTCAAAAACATATAGACACAGAATGAAATTTGAGGCTTCTGAAAAAAAAATGAAGACAACCCAAAGGCATACATGAATAGAATTTTTAAATAAAATGATGATGATGTTGATGATAAACTAAATGTGTAAATGTGTAATAACTATATTACAAGTTTGTTGTTGTTCATTCGATTGCAATTTCTGGATGATCAGTTTGAAACACAAATTGCCACATCATTACCATAGAAAAACGGTATTTTCCTCTTATTTCATGTGGATGGGGCGTTTAAATTGAAAAAAAAGAATTATAATGATTAGTTAAGTAGTGTGAAAAAAGTTTTCAAACTATTATTACAACAATATACATATTAAAAATGGAATATACTACTATTATTTGATGAGTTTTTAAAAAAATACATGATGAAACTATTGCCCATAAGAAGTTGGTATAAATTGAATTTGTCAAAATATGAATCAAATTGATAGAATAGTCAACAACAGGATTTTGAATCTCGGTACACCCAGTTATAAATGATATATATAAATTATACATTACCTCTTGTAATGAATTTTCAATCAAACAAAATACATACATACACAATATATGAAATCAATATTTTTATATGGTATGTATGTTACCAACCACCACCACCACCACCACCAAGTGTGACATTAATCAATCAATCAATCAATCAAATCAATGGGAAATCGATTCGTTTATTATTATAAACCAAAAACCGGAATAAAAATTAATTTAGTCACTTTAGGTTTCAATTTCTGAATTCCTATGCGTATGTTTGTGTGTTTGTGTGTGTGAATTCGAATAAGAAGAAGAAAACAAAAAATAATAATAATTAAGCTTAATGGGTGGTAAAACGATCGATTTCATATTTGAATACATTTCACAGGCATCATGGGTGCCATTTTCAATCTTTGTCAATCAATTTCAATGTATTTGATTCAAAATGAATAAACAAAAGCCGAATAAAAAAAATCAAAACTTACAATGAATTCTGTCCATCATTTTTTTTTATTTATAATAAAACAGAAATCGATCATTTTCTTAAAAACGTGATTCATATGTAAAAATGATAGGAATGTGACTAGATTTAATAATAATAAAAACAAAGTTTTGATTTTGGAATTATTTCGAAACAAAACAAAAAAAAAAATAATTGAATTTAAAGTAAACAAACGAGTGAATCGAGTAAAATAAAACTTGGCGAATCTTCAATCTTAATGTTGTTGTTGTTGTTGTTGGGTTAGCAATAAAGCAAAAAAAAAATCCACTTATTGCACAGGAAACGTGGAGATAATGGAGAAGAAACCGGACAAAATTGGCAACAACAACAAAAAAAAAGTTTTATGAAATGAAATCCTCCTGCTTCAAAAATCAACCTCGGGTCAATTCCGGTTTGGAAAATTGAAATATTTCCTTTGAATTAACAAACAGATGTTTATGAAATATGTGGGTATACGGGCAAAACAATGATGAAAAAAAAATTTGAGCTACAATTTATAATCGATTTAATCCTTTTTTCTATTATTATTTGGACCAACATATTTCACCAAAAAAAAAAGAGAATAAGAAAAAAATGAATGTTGATAAACTCATTCGAAAACAACGAACTCCTAAATGCAAACAAACCGAAAATAGAGTATAAAAACTTTTTTATTCATTTGAATTAAAATTTTAAACAAGAAGAATAAACTTTGCTATACAACATGATTTTTTTGTTGTTCACTACCGTCACTTCAGGACAAATCATCAACATCAATCGGACATATACTATCGAGCAAGTTTGTATCTGCAAATTAATCAGGCTATAAAAATAATGTAATCATATGTGTTGTTCAAACTAATTAATTGATTAATGGACGAACCAAATTCAAAAAACTTTTTGATAATAGCGTTAATTATGGCTAGTTTATCAACTAACGGTTACATTTATTTTTCAAAAAAAAAAAAAAAAAATTTCATCACTTTAACTATCTTAATTTTAACGAATACTAATTTCTGAAGAACTTTTTTTTACCGCAAATATTCGATGAAAATATTTTAAAATGTAATAAAAATATGCCAAGCAATGCAATGAATATAAAAAACCAAGTTGACCAAGTTCTTGGTTTTATATATTCATCAATATCAAACGCACGGTAATACTGATTCACATAGACAGATTCATTACATATTCAACTGGCACACACACACACACACACGCATACAGGTCTTCGATATATGACCAAATTGTCAATTCAAATAAAAAAAACGATTTCAATGTGAATTCAATGAATGAAATTTCAGGGTAAGGCAAAGTAATGAGAGTTTTTTCGAATTATTTTTCTTTCATTTTACCAGGACATTATGCAACAGCAACAGCAACAACAACAACAACAAGGTGAATCTTATCAACCATTATAACCAACAACCAGATAAACATCATAAAAAAGGTGTGCCATTGTGGCAACACACAAACATTGAATGATGATACTCTGAGCTCAATTAACCTTTTGGATTCAAAAACACACACATTCACTCACACAATCGATGTCTTATTTTTCTTTTTTACTTCTCGATCTATTCAATTCGGGCTTTTCTGTATGTGTGTGTGTGTGGTTGGATGCGAGTTGTATTCAAGAAAGAAATCGTCAATTCATATATTCAGCCATTGAGAAAAATGAAAAAAATGAAAAAAAGCTGTATGAACTACTAACTACCGTTATAAGCCGACCTTAAAGCAGAAAAAATAAAATAAATTTAACATAATGACTAATTGTGCAAAAGGCATTCATTCATTCATTCATTTCATTCATTTATTCATTTTATTCTTTCTATTCATTCAGTTCTTATACAGTTGACTTGGTTTGCGCTTTAGATGGATGATTTTCATTATCATCATTGTCGTTGTTGCTATTGTCCAAAATCGAAATGGGAATATATAAGAAAAGTTTTGTTATAGAAAATATCATAAACAAACTGTGATCATCATTGAAACTATATCGTTTAAAATTTCACTCGAATTTGGTTTACACAAAAACAAAATCAAACAGAAATATCCATGACATTCTATAAAGACTACATAATAGAATAATGCTATTCACATTGTATTTATTTTAAAAACACACACACACAGAGAAAAAGAGAATAGCATCACTAACATAGATTTGGATTAATTGACCCACAAAAAAAACAAAACAAAATGACCAATAAGTAAATAAATTTAACCAAGAAAGAAATATTGATGGCCAACATTTTGTTTCTGGTCATCGAACATGATTATTATGTTCGAATATTTAAAAAAAACAGACTGACAGACAAACCGACATAAAAGATTGATAAAGATTTCATAAACATTCGAATCTTCAAATGAAAGAAAAATTATATTCAACAAACACAGGCTACTTCGTGTGTGTATCTGTGTTTATATTGTACATTTATAATAGGACCGGCAAAAGATGAAACAAATTATCCGAATAAAAATGATATAATTTATGGCTAGAAAAACATGGTTATTAATAATGCATCCCTATTCAGCATGAATCAAATAATGATGATGATGATGATGATGATGATTCAAGACATATATTAGTACACCAAAATTTTGAATATTATGAGTGATAAAAACTTTTCAAGAATTTCATAAAGGGTCATGTAATGAAAAATTTTCACTCAACCATATATTGTCACACTCTGAATGTTAATGGTTAGAAAAAGCTTAAATTTTTTTTTTATATTTTATTTCTGATGATCTGGTCTACTTGTTTGCATCATTGTTATTTATTTTGTACTGAATCACTATAGAATACGTTTTATCTTATTCAGATTGTTTTGATGCATCGTTGCATGTCATCTTCAGGCATATATAAAGTTCGCGATAGGCATCTTAAATGCTTTTTTTTCAATCATCATTCATGACGGTTACATCAGACAATTCAGGATCAAAACATTTTCAATCATCATGTTTTTATCGTTAATAAGAATTTGGTCACGACAAGTTTTAATTCTATTATGGCCAATGATTATAATCCTTTTGGGAGGTGGATGTTTTTTTCAACATTGTTTTGCATTCATCGGTGATGGTAATGGTGAGAATTCAACATTAATCAACCATCATTACTTTCCATTATCATCTTTAAATCTTATGATGATGAATCAAAGTTCTTGGCCAATTGATCACTACGACAACGACGACGATGACCATCCAACAAATCGAGATAATATAAATTTTTTCGATCAAATCAATGCAAAAAATCACCGACCTTCAAACTTTATATCACCAGCTGAAAGTCAATCACGTGTAGCAATAGCATCGCCTGATGATGAAAATGATTATGATCACAATTACAATCAAAAACATTTAAATCGCTTACATGTTTCGGCTAAATCGACCAATCCAAATGTTTATTATTATAGCCCAAAAAATTATGGACGATTATCAAATCATTCATTATCAATGATAACATCAACTCCTGGAACTACAATTGAAACTCAACAAACTGCCTCGCAACATCTTAATACACCAGATACAAAATCGACATATTCATTGCCATCATCATCAGTGATGACATCTATGGACAAATCTGGTAAAATCCGATTTGAATCGAATGATCCATCATCGTCATCATCATCCACCTCAGCATCAGCATCATCGTCAGCAGGGAAAACATTATTGATTCATAAATTCTATAATCGTGATTTATCACAAATGACGGCCGCTTTGAATAAACACACGGGCAATAATGTTCCAGAAATATTCATTTCAAGTGGAGGTTTGAATCAAAATCGTTTAAGTTCAACTGGTCCTAGCAAATCGGAACAATCAACTATGGATCAAGATAATGAAAATATCACTTATGATGACGATGATGAGGAAGGCGATATAATTCACCATAATGATCAAGATGGTGATGACCAACTGTCACCACCATCTTCAAGTGTAACATATAATTATAATCGTTATAGAAAATTACCATCGGATAATGACCGTGGTGACAGTGGTTCATCATCATCGGCAATTAAAGGCATATATCGTTTACATAATCCCAATAGTTCGTCAAGTAGTCCAAGATTATTACGAAGATATTATACGACGGGACGATCACAGTCATCATCGATACCAGTACCGGCTACTGTAAGACATATGCAAACATCACATTCTCATCCGATGCCACATTATTATCTACCATCATCGGTTCTATCCACACATTCGCATGGAATGTATGATACATCATTAGGTGGCCATCATGGTTCAAGTCATCATCATATAAGTTTACCTGAAAAATCTGGTACATGGTTAGGATCAGGATTGGCTGCTGGTATTTTGATTGGTGCCATACCATTTGGTATTATGATGGCATCGATGATGCCAACTTTGTTTACCGGTTCCATGCCGATTGTCAATACAGCTGCTGTAGGCAAACGACGTCGTCGTAGAAGTATATTAGATGATTGGGCAACAATTATCGGCCAACAACAATCGACAAACGGTAGACGATCGATTAGTCTATTCGATCATACAACAATGGACAAATTAGGTGTATTCATAAGAAAAGGTATTACCGACATAATAGAATTGTTGAATGAACATCATGATAATTATGGTCATGATATGGCCAAGAATAATCATCGGGTACCATTTGATCGAAATGATGGTGTCCAACAACAACAACAACAACAACAACAGCCAAAGCCATCATATTTATATTCGGATGGTAATGACAATGACAATCGTAGCAATTTGCTTATCAAAACCATAGCTAAATATGCATTGGCTGCATTGGATGAACCAAAATGTATCAAAGAAATGTTATGTTCATTGATGGCCGATGGTCGACATGCACGAACAACACCATGGCAAAAGACCATATATTTACTGATCAAATGGTAAGTAAATCATACATATTAATAAAAGAAATCATAAATATTGATTATGATTTTTTTTCCTGTATAGGTTACCAAAAAATTTCGAAAGAAGTATCGGTCTCGATGATCTATTCACAGCTGTACGACGTAATTCCTGTCTACAATCATATCGATGTCCAATTACAATTCATCAATTGAATACAAATCAAAATAATAATGATCGTCATCCAAATAATCATCATCATCATCATCACGACAACATCATTCATCATCATCATAGACACATATCTAACCGAGGTCATCCATAAAATTATTTCTTCGACTGCATATATGATAATAATAAGACTAAATAATGAAAATTAGGCCAAAGCTAAAAAATTTTTATTTCATGCTATTTTCGTTTCTGTCTTGGACCAAAGTTTACTTCTTTTTTCAATTTATATGTAGATGAAATAAACCAAAAACAAAAACAAAACAAAAAAAAGAAAAATTTAATGAGAAAAAATACCAGTACTAAAATAAAATAAAAATAAACATGGATTCTACTACAAAATAAATTTGATTTGTGTGTGTCTGTAAAAAGTGAATCCATTTTGAAAATTCCATTTTCAGAAAAAAAGTTTTTCTTTTTTTCTATGAGAGAATTTACATCTGTTATAGTGAATGTTTGTCGTACACCTTGTTGTATGATTACTATCACACACGAATATTGATGATGATGCATGTGTGTTTACGTGAATTACGATACATGAATGCTCGAGGACAAGTAATTCTGATCCAAACAAACTAAAAAAGAAGCAGGTAAAATAATAATAATAAAATGAATTCAGCGATGCTCGAAAAAAAAAGAAAAACAAGGACGATGAAAATGAAATTTTTATTCCTGGGATTTTTCATTCCCGGATGACGAATGATCATATGGATCTGAATTGGATGGATTCTAAGAAACAAAATAAATGAATAAATAAAATGAAAATTATCAATTCGTAAAGGCCATAAGAGAGCAAAAAAAAAATAGAATGAAAAAAAAGATAAGTGAATTAAATGGTAAACGTAAACGATAAATCATTCCAACTGGAAAGACATTTTAAATATTGTGTTCATCATCATCATCATCATCATCATTATTCATTGTAAAGATAGATTTACAAGTATGGACATAAGTTTAAAACATGCGTGTGTCTGAATACCATAAGATTCATTATGAAATAAATGGAATTCAAATTCAATTTTTTACTAAAGGGAAAAATCAGGAATCTATGTAAAATGAATTATTCGCTTGTGAAAGCAAACTTGTAAACACACAGAAGACACACACACACACACACATCTTACGGTGGTAATACATGATAAAAAAAAGTTGTGATTTTTTGTTCTCACTAAAATTTTAAATCAAAATCATTAGAACACAATCTACGGCGGTGGTTGACATTTTCTTGATCACTAATTATTCAATTAAGACTAAATTTAGAAAGTGTCAAAGTGTTGAAAAGTGACGCCAACAAATACGGATCCAATGAGACGTACAGCAAACACACATACACAAAAGAATGGATATCCGTCTGTTTTTTATCGAAACGGAAATCGAATGAAAAATAGCTCATTTCTATATATTGGATATATTGACAATAAGGGTGTGGATTTTTTTTGAAAATTCTTTTTCGCGGGCACCATTTTCATTTTTTGGTATTGTAGAAAATCGATATAAAAACTGCCGAATTTTTTAACATTTCGGATTTTTTTTCAAAATTAATTTGTTCATAATACAACGAAAATTATCAACCTTAGTGATTCTATCAGATCATCATGGACAATCGGTTAATCTGTTTAATTTTGGCCATCCAATTCACAATAATATCATCATCGTCATCATCAACGATATTTGACGAAAATAAATTAGAGTTGGGAAAAATAATCAAAAATTCGGCTAAATATTTGCTGAAAAATCACGGCCATCAACTAAAACAATCCGGCCGAGCTACAACTACATCACAGGTAATGATAACCAATTACCCATTTATTTTCTTAGATAGATACAGGTGAAATTTCTCATCACATGTAATTTCCATTATAATGACGGCGGTATGAAATGATCAACGCATTCACACAATGGTAAAGAGCAACCACAATAGCTTAGCTTATGAATGGTCGAAAATTAACAATTTAAATCAATTGTAAACCCTTAAGGATTCTCTTTTAACCATCCAATGAGATGATTATGATGATGAGTGTGAGTGGGATAGATCACCAATTAGAAATTCCAATGATGATCATAATCGCTGAATAATATCATAATGTTGTAGAAGATTTGCCACACCAAAGTCATAAACATTCGAAAGTCAAATATTATTACTGATGGCCTGTATTGAATTCAGGAATTTTGAAATTTCTCTCACATTAAAACAATAATTTTATGTTTTTAGACTTGTTTTTCATCTTTTTTTCTTTATTTTTTTTAGGTCATCGAATACAATGCCCGTAACATTGTTCTTATGACATTATTGAATTCAGTTTTAATTTTGGGTGGTATTCTTGGTTCGTTGAATCGACCAGATTTGCCATTCAATGTTTTGGGCTCCGGTAATGGTGCTTCTTTACCATTCAAAAGGATCGATCTATTCAAAAAACGTTTATGGCCAAAACGTACAAATCACAAGCCCAACGTTATCATCGATGATCAAGCCGTTCAAATGGAAGCACTTGTCAAAGATTTAATGAACAAAAATAAACATTTTGAGCCATTATCGAACGATATTTTTCCAAGAATGTTGGATACAATAAAACGAAACGATCGACGACGATCGGACAATTCAGATTCAATCGACACTGAAGAAGTCACGGATATTGATCCAACAAATTGTGCTCTGCTGATTCAATGCACGGATGCGAAAGGCAAACCATATTATCCAACGTTGAGTTCGTTGACTAAAACAGCCGTCCAGTAAGTAATTTATGACAAATAATAATAAAAAATAATTATGACATTTTCAATAAAGACTGGTGAACACGAGCCACGAGAATGACAATGAAGCGAAAAAATCTCCATCCAAAATAAAAACTAAAAAATCGGGACGATCCTTGATCAGGAGACCGAAAATGTTGTTGGATCAAGTACAAGAAATGATTGAAATTGAACAAAAAGCCAAATGTCAATGGAAAGAATTGTGTCAGATTGAAATAAAGCCATAATATGTTTTTGAATTTTTTCTTTAAAATAAAAAATTTTTTTTATTCGTTCGAATTCAAAATAAAAAACGGGCCTATTGAGCTTCCGATGGCATGCTCTTGATGATATCCGAATCGCCCGGATCGGTGATAGTCAATGAACAGACACGAAAATATTTACCACATGCGGTACCCAATTCTATGTTGTTGCCAGAATAATGATGGACACCAGTTTTAGCCAACATTGCATAGTATTCGATTTCACTTTTTCGAAGTGGCGGTGTATTGTTGGAGATTATAACCAATTTGGCTTTGCCCAATCGAAGTGCCTTCAATGTTTGTTTGTAACCAAAATGGTATTTACCAGATTTCATGACCAAGGCCAGTCTGGAATTGATACTTTCCATAGCCTTTTTCGATTTTTTATCCGTCACTGCCATTGTAACCTGATTGAAATGGAAAAAATTCAATTAAACATTAACATGTATAGATTATGAGAATCAAAAAACTATAAGCAAAATGATGCTAGTGTTTTCTAAAAAATTTAAATTGAATTGAAATCAAAAATTGCAATAATTACCGTTGTTTGGATGAAAAAACACAAGAAAACAAATGAATTTTGCAGCCAACGTGTGAGCAAAGGAACAACAAGCACAATGCACGTTGTGTTTCCGATTTTGGATCGAAATAGACTTGTTTCGATTTCGACTCAAGTGGTCCAATAAAAAATATCCATCACATGATTTCAAAATTTCTCTGAATTTAAATGAAAAAATCATTTGAACAAAATGTCTAAATTAAAATCAGCAAAGAAAGGTGTGGAAAAGGTAATACATAGTACACCGTTACGAATATGGATTGGTGCAGGTGTGGCACAACCCGGACCACCACTCGGACCACAACTTGGCCAGGTTTGTTTCAAAAATTTAAATTCAAAAAATTCGATTTAACATTTACCGTGGTTGCAGCGCGGAATAAATATCGCTCAATTTTGTAAAGATTTTAATGAAAGAACAAAAGATGTCAAACCCGGTACGCCACTTCCATGTACAATCTCTGTCAAGGTAATTATAATTGTAAAATTTTCATTTGTGATTCTATTTATTTTATCGTTCACTAAAATAGGCGGACAGAAGTTATGATATTCAAATTCGAGTGCCGCCAATTAGTTATTTCATACGTCAGGCGACCGGACAGGCACGATTAGCAATGGACCAAAGTCAAGAAACGGCCGGTATCTTAAGTTTAAAACATGTTTACGAGATTGCTCAAGTGAAAAGTAAAGATCCACTTTACGATTGTGTGCCGTTGAAGAAAATTTGTGAGGAAATCATCGAAGAAGCGTTTCATTGTGGCGTCAAAGTGGTCGACAGAATTGATGAACATAAATACATGGATTTTATGAAACAAAGACAGGAGATTGTCGCCAAACAATTGAAAAGAATTGGAAGATTTAAAACAATCGAAACTTTTACGTACTGCTTAATAGCAGCATTTTGTAGATTAAATTAGTGTATTCCTTAATTGAAAATAAATTTATTGATCTATTTAGCCATCTTGCAGTTAATTTGATCGCAAATAAAGCAGCCACAGTAAAAAATGAACAAAACAGTTAATAATGGCCAAGGAAAACAAAGAATAATTTTCGAAATAAACAACCAACCGATTTCATAGTTGGACAGGAAAAATATGTTTGAAATGTATGCTAATGCAAGCAATGGTGACCCAATTAAAGCTTTCATACGAAAAGCATCATTAGATTTGAAAACGATGGCGACTATACGATCACAATAAGTGAGAAGAATATTCATCGTAACCCAAACAATGATTGAATCATGCAGTCCATGCCAAAAGGCAATAATGGTAAAACAAACGATGGCTGAAAAGATTCGTCTCAACACGCTACTCGTTGGTGATCCATTCAAAGGCTTGTAGAAATATCTGATTGAATGGAAAAAAAATTGATCAAACGTTTGATTTCAATTCCAACTTACTTCAAGAGAAACTGATAGAGGCCACGATCGAATTTATGCCACAAATAAGATGTCTGATGTATGTGACCAATGCATTCTGGTGGGGATGAAATAACATTGTCTAAACCATCAATGATGGCCAATTGTCTACTAATACCGTAGATGACAAAATATTTTAGAAAAAATAAAATCATTAATGAATAACCAAGGCCACATAAGCTCCATGAATCAAACGTATCGACAATATAGATGTAATATTGAAATGATGATGAATAGATGAAATGTAAGATAATTTCCAAAAATAAGGCCCATAGTATATATCGAAAAAGTTGAATAATCTTGATGATTGTTGATGATGGCCACCCGATTGAATTTGTAGTCAAGTTTTCAATCTAATCAATACAAACAATATAGCAAGATGAAATGAACTACTCAATTCTAAAATAACATACTGATTTATAAAAATCGTCGAAATTATAAATTGGTCCGAAGAAGAAAGGGGGAAAATAGAAAAGATAGGCCAATCGAATCAGGGTAAAACGCCAAGTCCTTTTTTGGTCATCATAATGTTCACCATCATAAGCATCAATCGAACAGCTTAATAGTTTGGCATTGAGCCATGAGAAACTGACATGTATGAGAAAATTTTGTTCACGATCGGCGGCAACAAACTCTAATCGATGAGCGATAGCTACTAAAAATGAGAAAATAATATAATGTGGAATACGTAGCCAACGACGGTCAATATTTCTGCCGAAATAACGAATGAAATGTTCCAGAATGAAAATGGCGCCAATATTTATGAATATCAATGATAGAAATTTCAACGATAATAGATAGGATAGAATGAATGACGAATATAGAATAATGAACAAAGGTGAATACTTTGAAACAATTGAAAATTAATATATTGATATAAAAACTTGAGATTATTACCAGAGGAAATATTAATCGAGTAATCAGAAATCCAATTGAATGACAAAGAAGGTATAGAATTTCAGTACCAATGTAATATCGTTTGGCGAATTGCCATTCTAAATCAGTAACATCCAATGGATGACTGGTGGCATATGTCCGAGAAAACCATGTGTCAGTTTGAAAATCACTTTGATCAATTTCATATAGATGAACTAAATAGTTTCATTGATTAACATTGCGAAAAAAAAGACATTATCATAAACTTACGGTGAGAAGTTTGAAAAAAATTCCAAACAGAATAAATTGCTGATGAAATAAATATAACGCTATAGATTGTAAATTCAATACTAATTACCAGTGACATGATAAATATGGCGCCAAATATTGAATACCACTCAAACAAATGAAAAAAAAACAAATTCTAGTACCATTATTTCACGAGTTATAAATCGATTGGAAAATTTTATAGCCGACAATAGGTCCCTTCTTAAGCAACGTAATAACTAAATACTGAAATATGAAAGCCGTTGATGAAAAATTACGACGAACCTAATAGCGCACAAAGACTGTGGCAAATAGGGTTGATTAAATACACAATCAACGCTATTGGTTATTGACATTGTAATTGGCTCATCGGATGGCGCTATAGAACAGCTATAGCTAAAAAAAATTGCAAAAAAACTCCGAGCCATCAAATTTTGATATTCTTTTTTGAACATCTATTTATTTTTATACGAAAGTTATACTCTTTCACACATTCATACATATGATCAAATCATCCGATATTGAGACAATCGACGCCGACGTTAATGTGTGCAAGTGGAGCAGAGGAATGAAAAAAAAAAAGAATTCTAGTCCCATTCATTCTTATAGATAACAAAAGAATGTATCCATTGCCCACGACAACTAGCTCCTCATCATTCAATACGATGCGTCGCATAATTCTATCAAAAACAAACGTGAAGAAAAATAAGACAACAGCAGCAATTCTTTTCAATGGAAAACATGAATTCCATTTTGGTCCCTAGCCCGCCCACATCACCATGACAACAATTGCTTTTGTCTGGGATCGAATTTATGATCGATAATAATGACACCCACACTTTAGTGACAACATGCGAACTAACGGAATCTAAAACCACATTCAAACAGTTTCAAGTGCTTTTTTCCAAATTGCAAAATTATGCCTGTGACAAAGGTCAAGGAGTTTTTCTTCATCATCATTATTTAGCTTCACAGCTGATTGACATGACAGCTCAAATTTCCATTCGATGATCAATGATCGATGACGATCAGTAATCGACAACAAAAACAACAACAACTATGTTTGTTGATGAAATATCTTTTCAAACACTGACTAAATATAAATGACTTGTTTTCAAACAACGATTGTCCTCCGGCATTTTTTTTCAATTCATTACATTCAACAATTTTAATCTAAAGTTTTCATCTTATTTTGATCTCATCAACATTGGACTTGGATTATATTATGACTAAAACAGGCAAGCCATACATCTGACGATTTCATAATCATGCATGCATAAAGACGATGGACGAAAAAAATTCAATCTAATAATAATTTTCATCGCTTTTTCGTGGATTTCACAACGGCCCCTTGATAATCGAAAGAAAAAATTCATACGAAATCTTAATCTATTTAAATAGTTGAATTTCTCTTTCACTCTCACTCGCTCTTGTAATCATTCATATGAGGCAAAATGATCGATATATAATATCACCTTGTTGCCATTTTCTAATCTGGATATTCATATTCATCACAATCATCAACATGATTGGATTACAAATCTTCGCCGATGATGATAACTTAAATTATGATCAACATGTACTCTTAGTAGCTATATGATGATGATTATGGTGACTGATGCTGATAAATAATTTATTCGATTTTGTCAACATAATTTTTCCATTCTTTTTCAATGAAAACATTCATTTTCATTCTATTTTATTCCGTATGATGTTGATAATGATTCAAAGCTACTACATTTGCATTCCAACGACAAACAACGGATCGTAAAGTGCTGACAATCGAAATCAACAAAAAACTACCATATAAACAGTGAATTTGTTTCTGTGATTTCGATGGTTGGTGGCTGGTGTTTGTGGTTGTTTTCATACAAACAATAATAGACAATCATATTTTCATTACAAAATCAAGCTGATCAATCGCATTGCAAACTTACATTTTGATCATATCGATTTGTATTGGCAATAACATACGCAAATTTGATGTTCAATTTTTTTCACATAGACAAACAATAGCATCAACAAATGGTAAGTGAACAATTTGATTCATTCATAATCTTTTGTTTTTCCTATAAACAAAGTGAATTCAAATTCGATTTCCAGAAGCCAAACAATTTATTGTAAATGATGTTGCAGTATAATATCGGTTGCAATCGACGATACCGTTGACAGCAAACAACAATAAACAGAAAACGTGCTGATAAAAATATTTAGTCATACGTTCAACCTATCCATTCCATCATTCTATCATTTTCTATCCTGTACTGGTCCGATACAAATCTGTTTTGTTTAATCAAAATTATTATCTAAAAAAATAAAATGCCAGATTCCAAACGAGTGGGCTATTGCTGGAGTGAGCGTAAAGGACAAAAGATAAACGTGGAAGAATTGGCAGAAAATTTCGCACAAAATGGATATGAATTTGTCAAGATTGACCTGGATAAAGATCTAGAACAACAAGGACCATTTGATGCCATTATCCATAAGCTTTCTGATCTATTATATCAAATCGACACTGATGAACAGGCAAGACATCAGATTAAAGCATTCGAAAATTTTATTGAAGCTCACCCAGAGATTATTGTCATTGATCAATTGAAAAATGTTAGCAAAATTCTTGACAGATATCATCAATATAAGATCATAAAAGAAAGTGATCTAGCCAAAGAAGGTTTGATTCATTATTTTCCATCTTTTTTATTAATTATTTACCATTGCTTTGCAGATGGAGTGTTCACACCCACATTTGTAGAGATGACATCCACAAATGTGGATGAAAATTTGCACAAATTAGAAGCAGCTAATGTTAAATTTCCATTCGGTAATTCAATCCATTTTCATTTTATCAATAATAGTAATGACTTGGTTTTTTCAACAGTTTGTAAACCATTGCGTGCTCAAGGAACACGATTCGCACATAAAATGTCGATTATATTTGATGAAAATAGCCTACAATCGATCAATCCGCCTTGTGTGGCACAAACATTCATCAATCATAATGCTCGACTGTATAAATTGTTCATCATTAAAGATAAATACTTTGTCATTGAACGGCCATCAATCAAAAATTTTAAGCCAGATAGTAAGTACTCCAAAATCGCGACTATAAGACGCAACTACCGAAACGCCGATATCTTATTTCTTAAGTAGCCATTAAAAATAAGACTATTTATCAACATTCTTTTTGTACAAGACGCGTCTTATAGTCGCGATTTCAGGGTAATTGAATTTTTTCGTTTGATTTCCTTATTGGTCTATTTTAATTTACAGAACACTACGAAACGGTACATTTTGATAGCCATGACATTTCCAAACCATATTCTTCATCATCTTTAATCGAATTGGATGAAGATGAACGTAGCAATCCAATTATTGAACCGGAAAAAGAACGTCTCGATCGTATTGTCAAAGTCATGTTCGAAGAACTCGGTCTCTATCTATTGGGCATCGATGTTATCATTGAGAATGAAACTGGACGATATGCTATCATTGACATGAACACATTTCCTGGTTATGATGGTGTGGACAATTTTCCTGGACAATTCTGTCGTATTCTTGTCGATGAAATCAAACAGGCTCGAATGGCCTATTATCAAGCGAACTCAAGTGCCAAAGATCATCATCAGCAACAAGTTCATTCGAATAACAATGGTATATATACTAATATAGATTTCGATAGTGGTATCGATACATCAGATTCATGCGACGAGAAAAAGAATCCACCACGATCGAATCGTTTGGATCAAAATCCTCCAACAAAATTCTATAAGAAACAACGTTGGCATCAACAACAACAATTGAATAGCATGGCCGAAAACAATCCAATTAACAACAACAATAATAGCCAATGAATATAGTGTTTTTTTTAAAAAAACACGATAGTCCAAATCGGATCCATTCCGGCCTAAACCAAAAATGACCATAGATTACAAATTTTTTTCTTTCTATATTATACACTGGCGTAAATTATTTTTCTTCCTTTTTTTTATTCTCTACAACTATTCTATCTTCATCACTGTTCGATCGATTGATTGAAATGTTCCATGTTCAATTTTATTGATTTTTTATATTTGCGTTTCTGATTTTGTATCATATTTTATGGGAATTCGCAACTTGAATCGAAATCCTGCATCTTTTTATCTGCTAAAAGATTTTTTTTCGAATCCATAGTTCAATCAATCGATTGATATTGTTGTCATTTTTTGTGTAATTTTATTTTAATTTGAGTCATTTTTCATATTTTCTAAAAAAATGACATTTTTAATAATAATAATAAATGATAACAACAACGAAATTAACATTGATTTATATTATACAACAACAATAATATAGATGTAACAGAGTAACGGGATTCCAAGTATTTGATTCTATTTGATCTGATATTCGAATTCTATAGATAATAATTGAGATTGTGTGTGAAGCAAATTTTTCAAGTCATTTTTTCCTATACCTTAAAAATGTATTCGATTTTAGGGTTTTTCTTTGATGAATAGCACTTGATTTTAATTAATTTTAGTTTGTTATTTTTTTATATTATTCTAATGTTCAATGATCAATGATTAGATGTTTACAGTGAAGAAAAAAGAAATTTTCGAAAAATATCATTATGGAAAGGCATTGATCAAAAGGATGATGATGATGTTCAATCGATTTGATGTTTAAATGGTCCAAACATTAATTTTTTCGGCAACCACACACCAGCACATTGCAATTTCATTATAGTACGAATCGATTACATGTAGATTCTGTACATGTTCTTCAATTATCTGTTCCAATTCACCGTAACGAAATATATGATAATATTGATGTAAGGTTGTGGGCACTGGCTGCAGCTGTGGTGTTATGAAAGTGTCCATGGCAGTAGGTAGTGAAGCGGCCATGTCCTCTGTAATTGCAGCCGATGAATTATCTGCAACTCGACTAGCAATTTCTTCCATTGATGATATGGTTGTTATTGCATCGTTTTGGCTATCGATTGATCCCGAATGTGAAACTGATTTAATCGTAGCTTCTAGAACCGATGATATACTTGTATCATTAGATGTATCATTATCCAGACTTTCACAATAGGCATCTTCTTCTTCGGATGAACAGGAATAAATCTCGTTTGGTGACATTATAAGATCACTTGTACATTCATCCTCTTCGTCTATATCAAAATCGGTCATATTATCGCTAATGTTGATACTTTCACGCGTACTACGATTGGCCGGAATAATTGTTACAAATGATTCTTCACTATCCATACTAATCTGTTGATGATGTGGAATATGATCAACATTGTTATATCGATGAGTTTCTATATTTGGACTGGCCGAAAATCGTCTAGGTGGATCTGGTTGCAGTTTGACCTCTTCCGGTTGATAATCGGCACTGAAACTACGCTGTCGAAGTAATTTTTTTGCAAATTTTGCCACATCTATTGCTTTAGGTTTTGCTACAACAGATTTAATCGGATGATTTTCATGAGAAGATGAAACTATTTGTCTTATTTTTGTTTGTAAGGGTTCAGGTTTATCCAATAAACCATGTTTGATTGTTGTATCATTGTTGTTGGAAGTTTTGATATGAACTGATTTCATTGTTTTCTTATGTTTTGAATCATAATCTAACATAATATAATATATTTAAAGAATAGTATTACATGATATAATATATTATCGATTGACATACCTTTTCTGCTGACATGTTGGTCGGAATTAGTATGTTCATCATCAAACAGTGTATTTAATTCAGGCATTGAATAATAAGCTAACAATTTAAAACGGCAGCAATGTATACTGGTTGTCGATGATTCGGTTGATAGCGATTTTTGTAACAATATTCGATTAGATTTTTTGTTAGATTTTCGATTCAAAAATTTTTTGGTGGAGCGAATTTCGTTACCATTAGGTCTTGTTGTCGTTTGATTTTTGATCAACTTCATGTTCTGATTCACTATCATTTGATTCAAATTGATATCCTTATGATCAACATCATTTCCAGTATTATCGTCTAATGGCAAGAGCATCATTTTTGTTCTTTCCAAACCATTCGAAGCATAGATTTTATTCTTGGCTAATTTTGATTTGGCCAATGCCGATATTGGTGATACATTGTTATCCGGTGTTTTGTGCAGTTTGTTAGCCGGACGCCATAATCCGGCTAATGGCAAGCTAAATCGATGATACATTTGAGGTTGTTGTTGTTGTTGTTGCAGTTTCAACAGATTATTTTTATGGGAATCGTCTAGATTCATATCATTTACATCAAATGATTGCCATGATTGCTCAATACTTGTGGCCACTTGTGCTTTCCATAATAAAAGATGTTCTTTAATAGTCATCAGTATGGATGATGATGAAAACATGACATTATTCATTGTCGATTGACTTGTCTGACTTAAACAACCGGAACTACGATTGAATGATGAACTTAATGCTGAATCTACATCTGATGTTGTTGTTGTCGAACTATCGAGGCTTATTTCATCACCGTCTTCGTCTTCGTCAACATCATCATCGTCGTCATTTAAATTTGTCAATTCGATGGGATAATCATCATCATTACCGAGGTTGAATATAAATCGATTATGGATTGTCGAAGACGGCGGATCGTCTATTGAATTTCTAAATGGATAAATACTGCTCGATGCTAAACTGAATCGTTTGATTGCCTTTTTGAAGAATGAATAACAATTTTCTAATTCGGAATTATTTGATGAACTATGACCACTCTTTATCGTACCATAATGATCATCATCGGCAAATCCCGAAGCGCTAGATTCTGATGCTGTTAATGAATATCGTTTCAAATGTCCATCAATATCAGCTATTGGTTTATTATTATTAGTATTGACTACTTTAATCAGTACATCCTGTGACTGTAAATGATTACCAATGGTTGTTGCATGACGATGGCCGGTCACAGTTATCAATACACGCCCACCGATACGCATAATTCTGGCTAATTCCAGTAAGGCTTTTATACGACGTTCAAAGGTTGATAAATGATGTAGGACACCACAGCAAAGAATACCATCGAATAGATCATCACGAAATGGTAGATATAGAACATCACCAAGCAATAGATAATTGTCTTTAACACTATCGTTCATATGACTGTAGTTTTCATGTTGAAACCATTGTTCACATTGTTCCATACCAACTAGCAACATATTCGAATGCAGATTCAAATATTGACCATCGGCACATCCCACATCCAATATGAGACTATCAGATTCAAAATCCGATAGAAATTGTTTCACTGAAGTAACAGCTGGTGATACGCATTGTAATTGCGGACATTTGGCAATAATTGAATAAACATCGTGAACATATGCCTGTTCAATGGCTTTAGTTCGTGTAAGAAAATGTTTTCGTTTCCGCCTGCGATTCTTTCGATGATGCCTACGATTATCATGATGATGATCTTGTTTTTTAGTTCTATTGTTAATAATGGGTACATCCAATATCGTTGTATGTTTTTCAATGGACGTAAATGATGAAAAACTATTCCTACTTTTTTTTGCCGATATATCGATGTATTGTGAAGGTTGTAGATTGGTTGAAATCGAAACGGCCATGTTTGGTCGAATATTTTCATGGTTTGGAACAAATATCACTCTAACATAAAGATAATGAACATCATTTTTAAAGATCAAATATGTCAATTCATTTTACTTACGTATATTATGTTGATGAATCTTAGGATATGATATCCATATATCAATATGAATACTGATATAACAATTTTTTTTTACAAAACCTACTATTGTTGACGTTATGAATCGTTAGTTTTTGATCCGCTCATGTTCGTTATATCCTTTTTTTCTGTTTATGTAGCCTGCTGCCCACTTCTATCGTTTCCAATTCTATATACACAACTCATGCACAAACATAATGAGATTCTTGCTTTTCGATTCCCCATCCTTCAGTTCACTTTTTCTGGTTGTAAATAGAAAATAGGTTATAGCAATGATATTCAACTGCCGGACCGTAAAGAAATAAGTTTTTTTCTCTGAACAAATTTGATATGGTTGGTGACCACTTGAATTGATAATCATGGCTATTCGAATAAATCTCCAATTCGCTAATAGTCAAATATTTAGGGTGTTTGTGTGTGTATGCGTGGGTGTATTTCTGTTTATTAAAACTTTAAGATATTCATCATCATCATGAAATCGAAAGTGGGAAGAAATCGGGCGCCAACGCCGTTAAAAATTGATACACACATACATTTGATAATGGTAACGCCGATTAATTTGCAATATAACACATATACATCTGCATCTATTTACCAATGTTGATTGAAACAAAAATTTGGCTTCGACTGTTGCATAATAAGTGTTCGTGTGTGTATTGCTCTTTTTTTTGAATAATAATTATATGTAAATGATGATAATATCAGCCATAGGTAATGATCAAACAAAAGTAAATAACATCATACAAAGAGAGAAGAATACTAATCTTCAGGCTTTTTGGGGTTTTTTCACCTTCCACACACACACACACACACACACAAACATATTCAGGAAAACCACCACTTTTTTGTGTGTTTTGTTTTTATTTATTACATGTACGTTATGCATTAATCGTCATAGTGACGACGGTGGGTTGCTTAACAATTTCATGAAAGGAAATGTATTCTGTTTGGACAAGAAAAAAAGGTGGTTAATGTTCTGTTTCAGACTGATATTGTTTGGTTTATTTTACCATAATAGTTTATTAGCTTGTAAATTATGGTAAGAACTGCCGTCATTGGTGCAGGTACTTTAGGTATCAAAGTGGCGGGTAAGTTAAACATCCGAATGAAGAGAATATTTCTAGGTTGTCGTTGAAATGATTGGATTTTTATGTTAGGTTATCTGGCATATCGTGGTCATGAAGTTCGTATCTATGATAGCAATACAGCAGCATTGAATAATGTTAATCAACGGATCAGTGAAGATGCACGTATCTGTAAAGAGGATGGTATTATGACCAATTGTAAATTCTTGGTAATATTTTAATGGTGAATTCTGAATGATCAATGTTCATAGTGTTGTTTTTATTTCATTTGATCAGGGCGATACATATTGTTTTAGCAAATTGGAAGATGCAGTTCGTGGTGCGTTATTCATATTTGAATGTATACCAGATGATTTGACCATGAAACAAGAAACATTCAAATGTAAATTATTAGAATGATTAATCAGATGATTCAATTAACTTGAATGTGATTAATGTCTCCTATAGTAATAATGCAATATTGTAGTGAAAAGGCTATCATTGCGACAAGTACAATGCGTTTATTGGTGGATAAAGTGTTTGAAAATTGTGATTGTAAAGATGTGAGTCATTCCTGTTGATGGTGATGTTTAAATTTCGAATCAATTATTTATTTGGTAGCGCTGTTTGGGTGTCCGTTTTTTATATCCTGTTTACTATGTGCCCGAAGTGGAAATCATGCCCATTAGGTCATGTACTTCTGTTGAAACATTGGATCGAGGTATCTTAAAACATTTATTTATTTATTTAACATTAATAATCTTTCTAAATGATTGGTGTTAGTGAGACAATTTCTAGAAAAGATGGGGCAGATTGCATTCTTTCGTTCCGGTAATGAACCAATAGTTTTGAATGAACAACAACGAAATTCACGCCGTGAAGCCTGTATCAAACAATTGACAGAAGGTAAAAGCATAAATAATCGCTTCTCACAAAATATTCCGAATCTGGGCAGAATTCAATTTCAACAACAAAACAATCAATCAGGCGTCAATATTTCTGGTGTTGATGGTGATAGTTTGGCAATGGATTCCAACGACTCAAATTGTGATAAACAGTCATTAATTATACGCAATAATGAATGCGTCATCTGTATGGATAATCAACGAGGTAATAGGATTTTGAATTTGTTTTAATTTAATTAACAAATCGGTTACAAATAGATTGCGTTCTACATCCATGCCATCATCTTTGTGTTTGCATCAAATGTGGCCGTTTATTACTCAAACGAAGCGATAGCTGCCCAATCTGTCGACGTCCAATCAATAATGCATTTCGCATTTATCGATCATAATCAAAAGTTTCATGGTTTTTTATTTCAATTATTTATTAACAATAAAAAATTACAATTGTTATTAAACTATGATTTAGATTTTTTCGCTTTTGTATGGCCGTTATCACAATCGTGTTTTCGTTTATCTTGGTTATTGGTTTTATTGTTGTTGCTGGTAGGATCCCACAAAGCATTTAGAATTAGATTCTTTGCGATTCTTACATTCAATGTCGGTCGATCACGTTTGATTTGTATATAATCGTTCATATATTTTCGTACACGGCCAATTTCTTCTTTGATTGGATGTTCATCTGTTAGATCGGTTTCTTTCAGCAACAGATAAAGCCAATAAATGGATGCATTAGCATAAACAAAAGTAATGTTGGCATCCAATTTATTCCACACATTATCATCATTATCGGGTTCTTCCATTTGTTCGAAATAATAATTTGAAAAATTCACAGCCATCTGCTCTAATTCGGCCATGTTTGAACAAAACTTTTGCAATTTATCAGTCAGATTTGAATCAGTCATCATGTAAATTATATATGGTAACTTTTCTTTATGGTAACAACACTCACGTGGTGTTTCAATCCGAAATCAACAATAAAATCAGATTCTTGATCAAATGAATTCGATGAATCTATTCATAGAATACGTCCGAGAATACAGTGGTAACTCGGCTGTAAAGTTTAATCGTAAGTCGTTCAATCTAACCAAGTTATCACTGTACTGTATTATTGAATTCTTGTATTTAGTGCCGAAAAAATCAAATTGATTTCTTTAAAATTTATTTAATTATTAATTTAATAATTATTATTAATTACAAATTTAAATTTGCAAAAAAAAACAGAAACATAAAACCATATTTTCTTGGTGTGTAGGTGTGGGCAAAGCAATGATAATAATAATCAGAATAATACTGAAACCATAAAAACAGAAAATCCTGTCTATATGTAAAATTTTAAATGGTGAAATCATTCGTTTTTTCCATTCATGCATACCGGAAAGAAATCCTGTTTCATTCCAGTCATATTTGGATTTATATGGACAGATTTCTTTTTTTGCTGCTGCTTTTCGTTAATTATATGAACCAATTCACTTTCTAAAAAGGAAATAGTGCTATTTTGTTACTTGAGGAGGGTGTTTGTGTATGTGTCTGTCTAAATATCCGATGAACTAACCTAACAATGGATGACAAATAGATAGAAGGAAAATCTGAAATGAAAAAAAAGAACAAACAAAAACAAAATTGACAAGAAATAACGAAAAAAAGTATGGTGTTATGGTGTGTGTGTGTGCAGATGTTTATTTGTTTATAAATGGTCAAATTTGTTTCAATTGCATTCGATTCATACATCGACAACCATCTTTTTGTGAATGTCGGTATTTCCTACCACCTATAAATACAAGATTAAAATTCGGAAAAAAATCCTCGTTTAAACAATGTATGGAATGTGAAAATAATAAAATACATACACTACAGAATTCTTCAAATGAAATTTTTCCATCCTCATCTTTATCGGCGAACAAAATGGTTTTATCGACAATCTGTTGTAGCTGTGTATCCTTCAGATTGTTACCGACCATCATTTTCAACACTTGAAACAATTCTCCATTTGAAATAAAGCCATCATTATCCATATCATAGATTCTAAATGCGACTATATAACATTTAAAATGGAATAAAAAATGATCAAATTCAACGTATTATTTATGTATGTAGAATATACTTACACCTAAGTTTTGATTCTTTATCGCCTTTGACACTGAATTGTGAAACACCTTGAATAAACTCTATTTAAAAATATATGATAATTAAAATCATTATTGGAAAAAAGGTTTTATTTTGTATCAAACCTTTGAAATCGACTTCACCATTGCGATCAGTGTCGAATATATCGATCACTCTTTGCACCAAAGGATTCTGTTGAAGCTCAGGTAATGACATAAATTCATCAATCGACAATGAACCAGAATTGTCTAGATCCAATTTACGAAATCGTTTGCCAAGACGTTTAATTTCTTCGGCATCAACTATAAAATATTGAGAATTGATTAATATTTCTTTCGTTTTTATTTTGTTTATACTCACAATTGGAACACATCTCCATCGGCAATGAGGCTTCGTTACCCTTTTTTTTGGAAAAGTTGCAAGACCATTGAAATGAAAATGAGATAACTCAACATACCATTGGCTTACCATTTTTTGCTCTCTTGACTTTTATAAATTATAATTTGTAATAATTGATTATATATGTCTATACAAATGTTGAAGACACAGTTGGGTTGTTATTATTACAGAACAGAAAGAAAAATTTAAGTAAAAATTATTAACAGATTGCAGACGCAAAAAATGAACACACGATCCAAATTATTGATAAGTGGCGAAATGGAATCGAAAATCCGAAACCAAACACTAATTATTATTCATAAAGGATACGCCCAAACAAATGATAAGGTATGATTTTTTCTCCAAGTTCCAGAATTAATGAATGATCACAATGAATACCAAAAAAAATTGGGCAAAATATTTAATTGCTCTTCTATACTGGTATGTGTTTACACTTTTCTCTTTCGATGTTTGATTATAAATTTTGTTTCAGGTTGTATTTTCGTTGATATCGTTTTGTTTACGAGTGGATAGTGGCAATGATGATGATGATGATGATGGTGGTGGTGGTGGTAATGATGATCAAGATCAATGATGAGAATGTATGAATGAGGATCCAGTGTTGAACGCAAATGCGAATGAAATGATGATGAAAAAAAATGGTAAAATTATTCAAATAACTAATGAAACTACCGTTCGTTGGATCATCCAAAAGGCATCAGACACAAACAAGAAGAGAAATCAACACCAGGAATGATATGTTGATGAACAGAATTTCCAAGTATAAACAATACAAACTCAACAACCCGAAAAAATTTAATTTACTTATGATGCGAGAATCATCATATAGAATTGGCAATAAAGTACACATATGAGTAGTGAGTGATAACTGTGTTGATGCTATGTCTATATATATGTTTTGTTTATATGTCTGTAAAGTTGTATAGATAGAATTCATACTTCGATTGGATACAAACATTACCAGTTTTTTGTATATATAGTATCCCACAATGAATGGATAATGTAATGTAGCAGTAAAAAAAAAACACACAATTCATACGTTATTAATCGACAATTGGCTATGATGGAAGATATTCGTCATGACTATCTATCTATCTATAATCCAAGGTTTTTTCTGTCTTTGTTAATCGTTTGAGGAAAAAAATTACTCAAATTAATCATAACTGATGATGGATGAATGGATCGATGTATGGTTGTGTGTGTGGTTTACACAGTTTATACACAGTAAGCATTTCTTTGGTTTCCGAGTTAGGTTTCTTTATTATTTTTTTAATCATTTTTCCTATTGAAAGAAAATTTATGTAATATTTCATGTGATTTTACATTCTTCTTGTTGTGGATTCTGCAACAATGTATCCAAAATGGCACGTGCAAAAAATGCAGATATAGAATTTTTATCCTCCTGATAGAATTCTAGTATGGTTTTTCTTGGATCTTCGTCTTTTTTGTATTGACGTAGTGCTAGTTCGACCAACTGAAATGTGATAATTATTTTGATAATTAAAATTTTTTAATTTTCAATTAATTTAATTTACTTACATTGTCCAAATCAACTGAATCGCCAAAGTTGAAATAAAGTTCGGGATTTCTTTCGAGTATTATGTACATTACCATTAGTAACTATGAATGAAATTATATGCTTAGTAAACATTTTTTTCGAATAGAACAAATAATTTACCTCGACCAATATTTGTCGATATTCTGGTGCCGGTATATGTAAGATGAAATTTTCCACCTCAATTATAAAATTGAGATCTTGTGGTGAAGTTTGTGCGCACAACAAACTGGAAAGTTTGTAATTACCAACTGAAACACCATATCTTGTTCGTTTAAGAATTTCCCAAACTTTATCACTAAAATTATTTGGAAATCGTCCCAATGAACCATTGATTTGTCGTTGTTGTATGGGTTTAAGATCTTGATCAGTCAAGACACGAAACAGTACTCGCCGTAATTCGGTTGGCGATAGTGATTCTAGTTCGGTTTTTCCTGCTTTAATATATTCCTTTTTGAATAACAGATAAAATCGCATAGCCTGCATCAAACCGGAACCAATTCGTATTTTAAATATACCATCAAATAGATTCGGCGATGTTGAGATAAGATGACCAACATAAATAATGATTTCCTGTTGTAGCACTGAATCGCATACATTTTCACTGTTTGAATAAATTAGATTATGTGTTTCAGTGGGTGTTCGTGGATAATCAATGAGCACTTCATGAAATCCAGTTCCAATGGTAATTTGTTTTTGATTAACCAATATGGATGTCATATTTGGCGATATTGAATCGACAAATTTCTTTAGTATTGAACTACAAAATCTTACTACCGACCATAATCGTAATTGTACGGCACGTTGGCTTACATTTTCAATATTCTCGATAATGGTCGAACCAAATTCTGGCAATGTATAGTGCGAACCTTCACGTTTTAAAAGAATCCATAACAATTGACTTTGACCGAACAATGTTTGACATGATTCAAGTGCTTTTATCACTTCCCATGTTGACTTTGATTCATATGTTCGACTATTAAAATCATTCGATTCAGCATAATGTATATTTTTGGAATTATTATCAAATAATTCGAATCCAGATTCATTTTTATGCTCAGGCTGTCTAAAAGATTGAAGTTCGGGTAATTTTTCCAATTCTTGTGAAAATTGTGCTGTGAAATCCAAATGTTCAATACTCGATAAACTAATCAGATTTTGTAGGCGGCCTGTTTTGATTTTCAAGCCTGTCGATGTAAGATAACCTTTTTTGAATTCAACAAGTAGATCGAGCATCTCTTTAAAATTAACATCTCGTAAATTTTCCTCTCGCAACAATATACAAACGGTTGGTCGTCCACTCATTCGCCAATATTTTCCTATAAAATTCAATTCATTCTTAATATCATCGATCAAAAGTGCCATATCATTTGATAGATAAAAATCTGAATTATCAAAAATCAGTGGATAGCAAAGAACAGTTCGGCCAAGAATTCGATAAAGTTTCGAAGTTCCTAGGCTACCAATGGGTCTCGGTGGCCTACCTTTTTTTAATTAATTAAATAATTAATTACTGTATTATTACTTATAACAATAGAATATTTATTCTATATATTCTTTATTTTATTTTTCTCACCTTTAAGGCCAAGCTTTTCATTTATTCCAAGGTATTCATATATTTTAACCAATTGTGATGAAGACCATATTTTTACCGGTTCAACCTCTATTGGTGTCTGTGTCATTATTCCATATGTAGCCATCATTGCTTTCAATCGTGTTGATTCAGAAATCAATACAACCTGTACGACTAATTCGGCAGCCGTACCATATAGTTTACCTTGAAACACAGAATTCGGACCATTTTTAGGATTGCGTTCATAACTGGGTGAATAACGACGAATAGGATCCAGTTCTTTTATGTCCAAAAATCCACCCATTAAAAGTTGTGCAACAAGTAATACCGACTGCCCCATCAGATATAATGATTGATAAGCTTCTCCTTCGGTGCTAGAAAATCGTGGCAACGAATTCGGACTGATACGCTCAGATTCAATATATTCCGGTGGTATATAGTAATATTGTGGCACAATCGGATCGCCATGATGTGGTTCTCGGCGTAATAATTTTTCAAACAATAATTCTTTATATTCAGTTAATTGTAATTCATTATTTTTGAATATGGCATCAATGATCATGAACAAAAAGAATATTGGCCATGTACATTCAATATTCTCAAAACGTTTGATTTCATGATAGGAATAATTACGATTATCATTATTCATCATGGCCGAGGTTCCATGGCCATCTTTAAGGAATCGTTTAAATCCATACGGGGTTTTCAATAAGTCAACGATCCGTTGTTTAGTGGAATTGTATAGGACTGGATCATGAGTGGCAAAACAAGGCCAGCTAATCGTTGGTAATAGACCTGTATTCATAGGATTAAATCAATTATCATCAATGAAGTCATTTTGATTATTATTGAATAATCTTACTAGCATCGGTATTCTTTGATATCGATTCACGTGGCAACAAAGTTTCAAATGTACGTCGATTTCGTGAATGTGCATCAATGTCAACATGAATGACACTCCATGCAGCTCCTTTCTCGCCAAATAGATTTACTCCATTAATCGATTCCAATGCCGATTTAGCCATTCCAATCGATGATGCATGTACTTCGGGTGTTTCCGGACTAAACAATGAGCCATGTTCCCACATTCCATAATCGGGTGTTCGATAACTTCTTTCAATATAATAGACTAGATTCTGTATGAAATGTACCTCATCCATCGTATAAATGATCTGCAAACCTGAATTGATCATCTGTACCATGAATAATAGATATAAGGAAACGATATCCAATTGAAGATGACGACCATTTTTGTCATCATTCTCCAGTGGTAAACTAGTCGTTAGATTGACCTTGGATGGTAAGGCAGCTCGAGGACTTTGGTTCGTTTTGAAAACTTCTAATTTTTCTCTCGAATGTCGCATCCACGAGAATAAAATTCCACGCATACATTTGACCACACTTTGTCCAAGCTCATATGCTTTTCCATGGCTATCGTCTACACGTCGAATATATGCTTGATATAATGACCAAATAGCCATTGAACAATAAATAGAATCACGTATCGATGCTTCGATCTCATCATTAGACATTGAAGGGAATAGACCGGTGGTTGGTGATTGATATTGTAGAATTTGCCGTTTTGCCTGGCCATAGAATTGATCTAAACCACGAAGACATTCGGCATAACTAGCAAATATACGTAAATTTCGACTGGACAGTTTTTGTCGTTGATTTTGGTCATCTGAATAGATATTTCCGGTCTGTATGGATTCATCCACCAACATTTTTCTTGTTAAATAAACTTTCAATAATCAATAATTACAAGTTTCATGAACAGAAGAAATCATCGAACCAGTGCACAAATCAACGCTAAGGTGAGAAACTTTCCATGAAAAATCAAAACCAGTGCAGCCAATATTCATTGGAAAGTTTTGTCAGTTATTTTTTCCTATGCAAATTTAGCATTATTACGATATCATGAACGTAGAAATCATTTACTAAATTATTCCAATTGGAATTTTTTGAATTTTACCTGGATTTTTTTTTGTGAGACAATCACAAATACCATACTGGTAATTATTATATAAAAATGCAGATGATCATGATATCCATGGTGATCATGTTCCATGAGATAGCGAATATTTTTAGCCATTTAGAATTTAGGAAACAAAAAAAAAAATCGAATTCTTGCATAAAAAAATATACACACGCGCGTATTCAATAAACAATGAATGAAAATCATTCAATGGACCATTCAACAATGGCTTGAGTTGCCCAATATATTGTCTCTCTCTTTTCTTTAGGTTTATATTGCTGTGTGTATGTCCATTTGGATCTATCAATCAGTTTTTCTACAACTCTCTTTCTCTCTCTCTCTCTCTCACACACACACACACATTGAATCGAAAGAAATAGTGGTGACTATAGCTTGAATACATACTAACAATATTACATACACATACACATAGAGCTGTTATTATATTCGAGTTGTCTCAACCTCACTCTTTTCTAGCTTGGATGGTTTAAGTTTTTTTAGTATATATGGATGGATTTTGTATATTTGGTTGAATGAATGGATGAATATTTTTTTTCGCCTGGTCTTTTTTTGCTTCGAGTTGATGCTTTATCTATATGTGAATGTGTGTGTGTGTGCAAGAGATGAGGATATTCGGGTGGTTATTTTGTTCAAATGAGGAACACTACTAATATTGACGTCTTTGATTGCCTGGTGGAATTTTTTTTTTTTTCGTTTTCGCTTGATTTACATTTTTTTTAACCGATTCAATTCTTTACCGATGCAATTCATGGCGACGACAACAACATCAACAACAACCATTTCAATGATTGACTAATTTTTAAATCAATTTAAATATCAATTGTTGTCTTGGTTAATTCTTGATTTTTTTTTGAATTTGTTTACAATTATCGAATATCGTTCGTTGATTACCGGTTGTATTAATTGCATAAATAAACTTTGATGATCGATAATCAATATATCCATCCATATTATTAAATTTAATCTTCATTCATTGACATTGCAAACTGAAATCTCAACTTTTCATTTTTTTTTCACACACATCACAAAAAAAGAAATGTACTGAATATTATCAGGTATTTTAATAATACATTTCAGCTTGACATTGATTCATTTCCGTTGTCAATCTAATTTATTTAATCTATACTGAAAATTTCAATTTTGACATTTGAGAATTATTTTTATCATATAGAGAATAAACCGTTTGTGATCATAATTGTTATCATCAAACCAAATAACAGCTAAAATATCATCCACATCAAATCAATACTATTTTTTTTATTGTATTACGACGAGATGCAAACGATATTAAAATCAAGCTCAAATCATTTGATATATGGTGATAATTTTGAATGACAACATCCTTCTGATTGTAAGCCCATATATTTCAAATCTTAATTATAATGAACAAATGAATTTCATTTTTTTTCATTTATATTATTACATTTATCAAAAGTTAGTTCAATTTTTTCACTCCTATTTGGCAGCATTTATTTCAGAGGCTAATATGACGATGAAACATCAACTCGATAAATAGAAAAGAACATATGTCCTGGTTTATATTTCCAACAACAAATGTGCCTTCCACCATTCGAATAATCATTCATTCATTCACAAATTATATTGAAAATTTTTCTTTTACCAAGTACCGAGAATTTTTTCCATTCAACTTGATTATTTGTAAACATCAAGCAGAAAAAAGTCTACGTTTTTTTGCCTTATAATCATCCGAGAATTTTTTTCGAATCGATTGGAAATTCCAACTAACAACCCGTTGATCATGTTGATTGGATAAAAATAAAGATTAACGAATTTAATCAACCAACGAATATATCGCTGGCAAAGAACAAAAAGCTCATCCTAAGAATTTCATACAAGCATCTGAAATTTTTCATATTAGGATGAGTTTTCATAGACGTAAAAAGAAACAACAGAATACATCGATTATTGGATCAGATGAAACAATTCCGAATATAACAGGCATTAGTTGTAACAATAACATTAACAACAACAAAACAAAAGCGATCTCGTTACCAATAGCATCAGAATCCGTTGTCATTGATACATCATTATCCGGCATTCATAATCATTCCAATGTTAATCAGGATATTATTATTAATAAACTGAATGGTGATAATAATCAACCGACAACGAATTCATCAACGCCTCCTTCATCGCAGCTATCAACAGTGACTGATAGTGAAATGATCATCATTAAGAAAATATCCACTTGTGATAACAATGACAAAGATGTTAATAATAAGCAACTCGAACCTGAAAAAGAATCGATCGATATGACCGGTACTAATCAAAATAATTCCATCTTGGCTAGTGTTTCTGATGATCATCATTCCGATGTTCGTCATGTTTCGATCACAACGGCAACCACAACGACAACTAATGCTAAATTATCATCAGCCAAACGAAAACTTTTAATTCTAACCCGTTTGTTCAGACCTTGGCGGTGGAAAAGAAAATCGAATAAAGGTAAGTGGCTAAATAACGGCTTGAGTTATTCTTTATTTAAAAATCGTATTCTCATAGGAACATCTGCAGATTCAGTAGCGACCAATGAAGAAACTAACAAATCGATCGATGAAATTCATGCCGATTGTCAAAGCAATCAATCGAGTCAAGTGATGTTGATGCCATTAAATTCGATGAGCTATTTAAAAGGTGCCGTTGCAACACCATTGGCTGCCTTAGCAAAAAATCCTGAACATAATCAACAGCTAATGTCGATCATTAATCGACGGCAGCAACAAACCATCATTAATGAGATATCATCCAATTCGACAGATTCATCCAAAATCAACAACAACAGCAGTCCAAGTAATAATAAAATTCAAACTCTTGAATCTACACAAATAAACAATAATGTAAACAATTCAACAACGAGTGAGATGATCAAAATCGATGGATTTAAAGTGGAAAAAGGTTTGCTTTTACTCTTTTCTCTAAATAGTTTTATACATGTTATTCTTTATTTATTGTAGTGATCACATCGACGTTGCCAACAAAATCAACGATAATGATACCGACTTCGTCGACAACCATTTGCCTACCTGCAACATCATCATCATCATCATCATCATCGATTAAATACAACGTGATCGAATCATTGGCTGCAAATCATCCTAAAGCCAAGAACTATCTCATGCACTGTAATTCAGGCAGCAATAACAATTACCATAATAGTCATAATAATAATCAGATTTATCCGATCGAATCAATATCGCCGGTGACCATATCAAGTATCCATTTTGCCAATATTTCCGATGATATTGGCCCAATACCCCCACCACGAATGTTTAGTGATTCAATTATATCAACATTACAGACAGCTGAATCAATGTCAAATGGAGCCCAATGTGAGACAAAAACAATGGAAAATGACGTTGGCAATAAGACTGGTGATGATGTAGATTTTGATCCGGATACATATAATATCCAACAGCATCATATAAATTATAGTCATAATAATACGAACGATAGAGTAGAATCTTTGATAAATATCATAATGAATATGGAATCATTCGATAATGGCACTGGTGATTACTATGACCTTCATCATGATAATGATGATGATGACTACGAATTTGACGAATGGAATTCACCATTAGTTGAGGAGGTTCCGGCTAAACAGCCACAATTGACAGCCGTTCCTAAGAAAAGTGCACTAAAAAAGCCAAAAGTTTTTTCCGACACCAATTGCCAAACTGCCAATAATAATAATGATGATAACAATGTAAATGCAAACAAACTTATAGTCAATACAACAACAACAACAACAACAGCAGCAATTGCGGCTACAACACCCACTGAAACTACGAATAATAATAATCATAATAATCATAATCATAAGAGCTCCACTTTTACAACAAACATACCGAATGGGTAAGAGAATTGTTTATTTATTATTTTATTGCCGTCGATCAAGTTGATTCAATTCATTTTAATTTCATTCAATTTATTCATTTCTAACTATCTTGTTTATTACATTCTTATTAATTCTTGTTCAAACAAAAAACACATACACAAAAGCTCCGTATTGTCTAAGATTCGCCAATTTGACTTGAACGCCAATTCATTGAATGAAGCCACTAAATTACATGTAGCCAAAGTACAAATAATGCCCTCAATAACGTTGACGAATTCTGAAATGAAATCAGTCAATATAAGTAGTTCGTCAGTTACTACGTCCACTGTTAATGGAAATGATCCCTTTTCATCGGCTGTCAATTGGAAAGACTATTATGGCGATGATGAAAAAGGTATTCATCTTCATTCAATTGTTTCTTAATTCAGTTTTTAATTTTGTTCATTTTTTCTTCGTTCTACTGGATAGGTAAAATTGCGGCTAAACTTGCCCGCAAAGAATCACTTCAATTGAAACTATCACAACGGCCCGATAAGCAAGAACTTATTGATAAGAATATCATACAAACGATGAGTGAAAATGAAAAACTTGATTCACGTGAAGCAATCGGTACGAAATTAAATCGACGATTAAGTCTTCGGCCAACAGCTGAGGAATTAGAACAGCGTAATATTCTCAAACAACAATCACCCGATGAGATCTGGAAAGAAAAGGAGAACAAAAAACAGACGCTCATAAGAAAGGTATTTGCTTTTATGGTCTTTAATAATTGTTAAAATCTTACTTCTGATGATAACAGTTGAGTTTCCGTCCAACCATCGATGAATTGAAAGAACGTAAAATTATTCGATTCAATGATTATGTGGAAGTTACACAGGCAAACAATTATGATCGTCGTGCCGATAAACCTTGGACCAGATTGACACCCAAAGATAAGGTTAGACCAGAGAATGAGTTTTACCGTCATATAACTTTTTTTCAAATAGGCTGCTATTCGCAAAGAACTTAATGAATTTAAAAGCTCTGAAATGCAAGTTCACGAGGAAAGTCGTCACATGACCAGGTATATGAGCATTTTTTAAATTTTAGCCAACTTTTTTCATTGAATTGTTTTGTCAGGTTTCATCGATCATGATTCTGGCCACATTTTTTTTTATCTTACACGCGACAACCAATGGAATTTATGATAGACTAAAAATACATCCATAATCATCGACAATAATAATTACTGTGATGTTTCTCGATACATTTTTCTATATCATTCATCCTCATTGTTTTTTCTTCAATTACTGGACCGATCTTTTTGAAAGTCGGTGTGTCATAACACACACACACACACACATCATAAATTTTCTGATCAATATTATATTTGAATATTTTTTCACGATCATCACCGTACATTTTAGCATACATTCCAAAAAAAATGTGCAGGCTATATAGATTTTTTTCATAATTTAACCAAAGCTTTTGTAAAAAAAACAATGAAATTTTTCCAAATTTTTTGCGAATCGTTGATTGAATTTATCAAGATAAAAATTGAAACGATTCCATCTAAAAATTGAGAATTTTTCACAAAACAATTTTTTTTAATAAAAAATTTTCATTGTACAGTAAATGATTTATGACAAACACTTTTATCAACTATATTGTGTATATGGATACTCAATTTCTTGATTTGTTCAACGTCATTCATATCAGAATCGCCGCTTAATTTACAACGAAGAATTTGACAAAATTTCTGTGAATTATAAAAATTCCATTGCTTTCGATCGAGTCGATCAATAATAAAAACAATATGAGTACAGATACCCTGTGCAAATAGTAAGGCATTTATTTGATCAACAAGAGTGGGAAACAATATGTCCGGATTACTTATGATCATGAATAGTCTGAGTTTTGGATTGACCACCATGTGCGTTTGTAAATGAGCACGTAAATATTCAATCATCATCAAATCATCGATTGGTTGGAATAATTTTACTCGTTTCGATTGAAGCGTCGGGAACAACTTACAACATTCGTCAAAATCGACGATAAATTTTCCATCGAAAATCATGACATTTGGCCAATCTTTAATTTCATCCGCATTTGCTTCATCCTTAATGGATCGTTCGATTAAATGATAAAGGTATGCTTTCAAAGCTATCAAATCGCTCGTTTCTGAATCGATGATTGTCACTTTTTTCGTATCATCAATCGTTTCTGGATCAGGTGTGGGTCCTACATTAATTATTCGACATAACATTGATAAACCGGATTCGATTGGATTTGAATTCATTTTTCGAGATATTCGATCAATTGAGTGCGTCTGCATTGAATTTACTCTCAATACTTGCAGTGTATAATCATGGCATCTATAAATAACATATGTTAGAAGAAATCACGCTTTTTTCAACTCGTGGTGTATATTAGCGATTTAATTGCTAAAAAATTTATTTTCTTTATTAAAAAATTATAACTATCGAAAAACATGGCATTCGATTTGTCTAGCAGCAATGAATCTGGTGGTGTCGATCGTGAGCTTAAAGAATTTTTACTAATGGAACAAAAAAAAGCTCAATTTCAACAACAGGTAAGTCAATGCCAGACGATTGCTTATTTGTTATAGATTTCATCATGCTTCTCTTTCGATTATTTAGGTGAATCGTTTGAACGATATTTGTTGGGATAAATGTGTGACAGACAAACCTGGATCAAAACTAGATTCACGTACGGAAAATTGTCTGAAAAATTGCGTAAATCGATTCATTGATGCTTCGATGACCGTAGCTCAACGTTTTTCTGGCTTGATTCAAAAACAGCAATAATCGTCGATGGTTTATTTTTTTTTTTTTTTCCACAATTGTAGAATACTAATAAAACATGTTTTCAAATTGATATCCATCGATAATAATATTCATTTTCTTTTCACAAACTTTTCCATGTAATCATTAAGTTAGTGTCATAAAGTTTTTTCTTAAAGATCAACTATTTTAGTATAATAACAATATATTTTTTGATTAACGATGGTCTTGTAACGAATTTTAATCGATGAATGAGTAATTAGAGTATTTTTTTTTTTTTGTAAAATGTTATGTTGAAACAGGAAATTATAGGTGTAGTTCTAACGCCATCTATTATCTTTTAGATATGAAACTAGGTAGACAATTTCAATTATCTTATCTTATCTGCAATGCAGTTATTTGGCTATGTTCAAAATTGTTCGTCGCAACAATGAAAAGTCTTTGTATTCTGTTTTGTATCATTATAGATTATGAATGATCGATGATCATTTTCTTTGTATTGATTGGTGATTGCAAATAAAAAAAAAATTTGATTTCCAATATAATTCTCAAGTTTTTTTTCGAAACATAAATAATTAATTCATTCTTGATTCACTAACACTAATATAAACCGCTATATTTTTTTTCTAAAAATTTATGTCAGTCTTTCCAAGTGTAATTGTGTTTCAATACCTAGTAATTGTTTGTCGGTGTTAAGAAAAAAATGATAAAATCCACTTGGCAACCACTATTATACTGGATTCTCAATTAGAAACAGACCTCTAAGATTTGATGCTAATAATTATTTTTCACCTCAATCATAATCATATGTATGCAACTGATCTCATTCTTGATGATTTAATCGTTTGATTTATTTTTCATTAATCGTTTTATGTGATTGATCCATGACCTGATTCACTGATCAAGGAATGATGGCCTTCAAATCATTTCCATCATTCTTGATTTTCACGATCATCCCTATCAGCAATCTTGTGTTCGAATTTGTAATGACTCAAAATATTGATACGAAATTTCCTATTGTATTTGAACGTCCACAATCTAGAACATCATCATCTTCATCATTATTTGGCCATTCCGTTTTGATGCATAGTTCTGATCAATATGGTCGCATGTAATTTTTTTCTTAAACCATTTGATTTAATTTTAATTTGAATTTATTTCTTACAGGGTTATTATTGGAGCACCGAATGCAACAGTAAATCAATGGAATAATTACAATAATACCGGTATTATATACCATTGTGATTGGTCAAACACAACTACCAGTTGTGTCATGATTGATCTTGTCAATCAGATGAGTTTTTGTATGTTATGATATCCTTTTAATTGAATGCATGTAATGCCATTTGTAATGATTCTTGTTTTCAGATGAAGACAATTTATTTACCAATAAAATGCATCTTGGCTGGAATCTAGTATCACGTTCTAAAACAAATGAATTCCTGACTTGTGCATTTTCATGGACATATAGAACTTTGGCTCGCAATCGTCAGAATCGATTGGAAACATGGATGGTGCCGAATGGTGCTTGTTTTTTAATTCCTGATTATTTCAAAGATGATGATTATCCTAGAAGAACACCAAAATTGATATTGCCAATGGACAAAAATAGACCATTCAAAGAATCCGGTGACTATCTTTATGCTTATGCTATGGCTGGATTTTCTGCTACCATTTCGGCTGTATGTACATTGTTTGATTGATGTGAATCATTCTGTAAATTTTGAACTAATAGAACCAAGACCGCATCTATCTGGGTGTACCCGGATTCGATGATTGGCGTGGAGCTTTTGCCAAAATTAATCTGAATAATTTTCCTGATGCAATGAAAATTGATAGCAATCAAGTTGAACTCGATTTATTGGAACCATATGAAAGAGGTGTGTTGAAATTTGAAAATTCTCATCTAGTAATTTAATTTATTTGATCATAGATTCTTATCTTGGTTATTCCATAACATCCGGTAATTATTTCCGCGGTAATCAAGAAATAGTTGCTCTGGGTATTCCAAGAAAAAATTTAACAGGTTCAGTTGTTTTATTCACTAACCTTCCGAATCTACGCAAAGTTATTCTCAATGGCCATCAACTTTGTGAATATTTCGGACATTCATTACTGACTATCGATGCGAATCAAGATGGCTTTGATGACTTACTGGTTGCTGCTCCAATGTATTCATCATGGCAAAATAATCTTTATGATGAGGGACGTGTATTTTTCTATCAAAGTAACCGTGTTCAGGTAATTTATTTATCTTCATATTTGATGTTATCATGATAAATGTTCATCATGTCAGGGATTCAAAGAGCCTAAAATTTTATCTGGTGATCCTAAACCAATGGCACGATTCGGTACTGCAATGGCCAATCTTGGAGATATCAATATGGACGGATTTCCTGACATAGTTATCGGTGCACCTTATGAAGATGATTATCAAGGATCTGTTTACATTTATCGTGGTTCCCCACAAGGAATACTTGAAAAATATTTCCAGAAAATTTCATCTGCCAAACATTTATCGTCTTTAAACCTGAATGGATTTGGTTATAGTTTTTCTTCGAATGTTGATATCGATGATAATGAATACAATGATCTACTTGTAGGATCGTATTTATCGGAAAAAGCCATCCTGCTTCGGTGAGTTACTTTTACTTTTTCTAATTAAATATCATTGAAATTTAATCGTTCTCTATAGTACACGACCAATAATTTCGATTCAAGCATCGATACAATTGAATAATGATTATGTTGATTTGCAACAACCATGTGAATATGTTGAAGAAACTGATCAAATTCCAAAATATGGGGCCTCGTGTGTTAGAATTAAATTCTGTTTCGACATCACATCAAAGTTCGAAGTGCATTCGACTGATTCCGTTCTAAAATGTTCGTTACGATTGGATCCAATTTTTAATCGTGCATTCATTCTCCTATCAATAGCAGATCAATCAGAATATATTTCAAAAATAGAATCGAACAAAGTTTTACTTTAATACCCCCACAAACAAAGTATTGCTCCGATTATTACATTGTCTATTTTAAATCATTTGATAAAATTGATAATCTTTTTGATTCGGTCGTTTTTCAACTAAATTATTCCCTTGAATCCGCTGTTAACAAACACTCTCCATTAAATGAACAGATTTTTCATGTACCGGTTTTGGAAAATGAAAAAATTTCCAATATTTCGACGGAACTTTACTTCAAAATGTGCAATAAAACTGCTCGCGATTGTGTGTCCAATTTTAGATTAGAACCATCATTCATTTTTGATGACAATGTAACGAGAAATTTCGCCAATAATTCTCAACAACAATTTTTAGAAGGCGAATATCAATACATCAGATTGTTTACAAAAGTAATTAACATTGGTGAGCCAGCATTCCATACTCAATTAATTATCCAAACCAATGCAAACATATCTTTAAAAAAAATGGATAAAAAATGTAGCGAAGCAAAATCATTTACATCGATTACCGCTACGAATCGAACATATTTATGTCAATTAGAGAGCCCATTGATCCAAGATGATTCTGTCTTTATAACATTCAAATCATTCGAAGCTAAAGATATAGAACAAGTTTGGTTCAAACTGAACATCAATGCATCTAACCAGAAACATCCTGCAAGCACTCTAGATTATCACATATCTTTTCGAATAATCAAAAAAGCCGATTTTGATATACAAATGTAAGTTGCCTATGAGAATTTTTTATAAATTGAACTTTTTATTTTAAATAGTTTGAGTCCTGATTTCAACAAAACATATCTAAAATATGCAAATTTTGATAAAAACACCATTCTTTTGACTTCATCGCTAAGTCTTGAGCGACTGGGACCTAGCAATATCGAATCAATTGAAATGGATTTCATTTATACGGAAAGTTATAATGAAAACAAATTAATTTACGATTTAGACATTGATAAGGTAACTATGAGTTTACTATGGACATCTATATTAGAACATCCTTTTTAATCCAAATAGACGACAGCCATTTCCATTCAGTTGGAATGTGATCAACCTGTTATAATCAGTACAAATGGTTCAAATAAACCTGTGTTTAATCATACCACTAAATTAATGCATTGGGTGAGTCAAAATTTTTTTTATCACAAGTCAGAATCAAAATTACTTCCACTTTCATTTGTTTCGGATAGAATTGTGTTAACAATCGAATCATTTGTAACATGATTCGTTGTCGCTTAGGTTCGTGGTCGAGAACGTTGTCGAAAATTTATGTCACAATGACTGGTCGTATGGATATCGGAAAAATCAACGAAAAATTTGAACATTTTCCCTTGTCGTACATAACTATCGATATTGATTTAAAGGCCAAAATCAATGATAAATATATTAAAATTGAGAGTGACGATATGAATGAATCGAAAACAAGACAGATACGTTTCAATCTCGAACGAATCGTACCGAAATCTACTGAAAAATATTTTCTTTGGATTCTATCGGCCATTATGATCGGTTTCATTTTATTAACGTTAATTTTGGTTTTTCTTGTCACGGTAAATATGGCCATTGAAATGATTTTCAATTGTTTCATTTTTTTTTATTCTATAGTGTGGATTTTTTCGCAGAAAACGAGCTCCGACCGAAACTGCTCGACGGATTGATTCAAGAAAAATGAATGAATGAATGAATAATTAATCAATCATTGGTCATTTTATCATTATTTTCAATTTTTAATCAATGTTTTACATTTATTCATAGTTGTTATTCGTTTTTATTTCTGATTTTAAATTATAATCATTATTAACAGATTTTATGTTTTATTGAAATTATACATTAATTATTTAAAGTATTCATTAAACAGTTTTTATTCATCATTCCATTTATTTTCACGCTGACCAACTTGACTTTCAAATGCCAATTCAATCATTTGTAAAAGTTTTTCACAATTTTCTGCAGTACGATTATTTACCGATTGCAGCATTTCATTGACGAGCTGTATGACCTTTTTATCGCGACGAAAATAATCAGAAAATACACCCACCCAATTTGATTTGAATTTTCTCAATGAATCGATCAATGTTGCGCTTTCAGGTGAATATACACCCAAAGTTGATTGCCACAAATCATTGCCAAATGTTTCCTTGAATTTTGCAATAATAAATTCAGCTAGGCGAGTTTCGAGAGCGTATTTCGAATCCAATTCTTTACAAGAGCCACTAGTCATTGGATCCATAGGACTTGGTGATGGTGAATCCATTTTTGTTGACACCGTAGTGAGATGATTCTTTCGAGGAAATTCTTTAACGAGGTCGACAGATGATGACTGGCTGATTGTTCGAAAACGTTTTGAGGGATTTCGAAAACTCGTAGCGGAAATGTCAGTTTTAACCCTTTTGGACTTGTCAGTTGAATTGGCCGCCTCACGCTTGCTGTTAATTTGGATCGTTTTATCAGGTGATTTGTATTTTTGTATCAATTCTTTCAAACTATAGCAATTCATTTGATGAACAATAGCTTTATTTTGTAAATTTATATCATTGGTTATCAATGCAATTAATATCCATTGTTTTTCAATGGTGAGCGTGGGCAGAAATTTTTGCGGATTTTTGTTAAATTGAATACAAAACCCAAGTATAAGATCATCATTATTGCTAAAAACATCTTTTTCATTTTGATTTTGAAATGACTTTTCCAGACAAATTAATCTTGAGTGTTCACCCAATTTTAGTTGTTCATTAATGAACCGTATGGCATTTTGAACTTTTCGTACCAGATAATTATCCCGATCCAATTTCAGACCATCCAATTCTTGTATCACAGTCCATGGTATAATAATTTTATGAATTTGTACATTGTTGATATTAAATTTGATTATTAATCTTTTTAAAAGGTTTAAATCTTCAACTAAAACATTCGTATCGATAACAAGTATTAAATAATGATTATGGTCACCGTTTTTAGTCTGGACTCTTGAAAAATTACGTTTAGCTTTTAAAATTTTGCGATTGGGTAATTTTTCCGTAGAATCTATCAACAGAGACGATAAAGATGATTGTACATTGATTTGAATTCCATCTTCATGCTTCGAATCTGTTTTTGCTTGCGGTTTCGTATTTGTATTTGTTTTTTGAACCTGTACAGGACAAAGATCATCAACATCCATCGATTCAATTTCAATTTTCGAGCCAGACATTTTTAAATGAAGAACAAACAATTTTTTAAAACAAATTACATTAATTTTTAACATGAATGATTCAGATTAATTTGATTCAATTGCATTTTATTATTCGATTTTGTATACAAAACAATGTACAAAACATAGAACTTTTTGGTTCGAATAGATGCAATCGTGGTTGATATTTAGGTTAAAATAGACACATCTGAATTTTCGTTTATTTTTCAGAACTGAATTTGATATATATTGTTTATTATTGTTGTGTACAAGATATGGCATCATTTAAAAGATCAAAAGATCAGCTCGAACATAAATTTGTTGAAGCTGAAAGAGCTGATAAGGAAGATCGAAAAAGAACGAAAGAAAGTGATGATGACGAAGACGACTATGAAGATGATGATGAAAAGCCAATCAATAAATTCGCTAATGATGGAAGCTTTTTGGAAATGTTTAAAAAGATGCAACAACAAAAAGATCAAAGTTCATCAATTACATCTTCCGTTTCAACATCATCAACAAATGCCATTCCTAATGAAAACAAATGCATTAAATCGGAGACAATCGAGGTTTGATCCGCATTCCGATCTTATATATTTTAGGAATGTTCATTTGGCATGCTGTTGTTTTTTCCATATAGAAAACAAAACGAAAACCCAAAATATTGAAAGTGGGAATTATTGAAAAGACGAAAAAATCGACAACAAAGACTGGACGTCGACACGACGATGATTCGAGCGGACGTGAAGATTCTGCTTGGAGCCGTTATATGAATGAAGTACGAGCTTACAAAGAAAAATATGGTGATGACGAAGATAAGAATCGACCATTGGTGAAATAATTTTTGCATTAGAAGTATTGAAGCCAATTTAATTGGCACATTTGATTGTTTGCCATAACTATCTGGTCATTATCATTCCAATTATGCTACCCTTTCATTATTTTTTCTTTGTGTATCAGATGGTTTTACCCCATTTTCTCTCTATATTTAGTTCACTATCACATCATCACTTCTAATCGATCAATATATTTTAATCATTTTAGATAAAAAAAATCCTATTAGTTAAAACACCTAGAAATTGAATAATAAAATGTAATAAATCATTGAAAAGCAACAGATAACGGTCGATCATTCGATTGTTGTTGAATAGTTGTCGGAGCAGACATGATCGAAACAATATTGGATGATGTAGAATATTGATTTGATTGTTGTTGTGAATTAAATTGCTGTTGATGATTGAATGGATTATAAGATTGAAGATGTTGATGGTTCAATTGCATGGCTGTCGTTGATGTAGGCACAGCTGTTGTCGCTGAGAATGGTAATGATTGTGGTTGTACATTACCACTTGGATTGACCACAACGGTAGCGGCTGAGGATCGATATAATTGTTGTTGTGCTTGATATTCTGATTCTCTATTGCTATTCGTTGTATCACTATGTTGATCTGTAGGCTGTTTATGCCATTGAATCTGATTTATTGTAGATGCAAGCGGTGGGTGTTGCTGCTGTTGATTGGCAATAATGTTCGAACATTGTAATGATCGATTAATGATGTTGGTATTGACAGGAACATAATTTCCAATCTGTCCGACATTTTGACCATTATTAGCCGCTGGATAGGTCACCATTGGTAGTGTTTGTGATTGGCTATTTGATGTAGTTGATGTTGCGGCAAATGTAAGTTGTGGTGTTGCTATGCCATCGGTTGTTGTAGCCAATGTCGTTCCGTATTGTTGTTGTTGATGACTATCTTCAAATGCTTGCCGATGTTCTTGTGTGTTGACATGATTCTTGAGTGTCGAACTAACGGCACCTAAATAACGATCACAAATCCGGCAATAGACACGGCCAGCATCAATACCAGTTGTAGTAACATCATAAAAAGGACATAATTTATGAAGTTTTTTCACCAATTTTTAGCCGATTCAATTCGATCTTCGATACAGCGAAAAACGGCTGTGTTTGATGAAGATGATGATAATTTCGAGTAATGATGATGATGATGATGATCATCATCATCATCATTCGGACGTTGATGATTGGATAATGATTTGCTAGAATTATGATGATAACTTGAATATGATCGATGATGTCGACTATGTCGATGCAAGTATTTTTGCGATGTTGTTTCAAGATTATGGTGTTTTTGCTGTTTATAGATTGATTCACTGCGATGACTATGATTCTCTTTATGATATTTACGAGTTGGTGATACTGATCGTTGCCGTTGTCGTTGTTGTTGGCCACCACCAACGGGTAATGATGGGATCGAATCACGCGATGCCAATGATGAAGGTGTTGTTGGTGTCGATGGCAATGATTCATTGAATATCATGGCTGAAGGTATAGGCGCATCTTCACCATCAGCATCTTGTCGTCTATTTTCAAGTTGATTTTGAGAGAGATGTTGATCGAGGAAATTTTCCAACGTTGGTTTAGCTGTAGATTCATTGATTGGATTGAAATCAAACGAAGTTGATTTTGGTGACGTTGATTGAAATATTTTGCTCAATGATGATGATGACGATAATGATAAACCGGAATTAGTATGAATGCTACTACTAGGAATATTGTTATCATTATTCATCTTGGCTAGCGTTTTTCTCCGTTTTGAATGATCAGATCCATCATTAGAATATCTATGATTGACTAGATGATTATCGTTTTCAACGTCAGATTCAACAAGTGTAACCAGTTCATCATCATCATCATCTTCCTCATCAGCATAATCTTCATCATCATCGTGATGATGAAGAAATTTGATCAAATGATGATTGGTTGTTGTTATCGTTTTATGATGTGTAGTCGTCATCGTGTTGTTTTTATTCTTTGTCTTCATCATCCGAGTGTTTGACGATGATATCATACGCGCCCAAGTCGATGACGATGAATAACAGCTAATTTTCAGACCCTGTAGATTGATGATACAATATTGATTAATATGGACAAGAAAAAACCTCTCATTGACGTACGTCAATTCGTTTTCGTTGTTTGAGTTCATGATCCGGTTTGGTGAAATATTCCAATGCTTTGATATGATGTTGTTCGACTTGTTCGCGTGAAAAATCCGACAACAATCGTAATATACGCGAGCATCGATAATGCAATGTTCCGGCATGTTTATATTTGTGTATTGCATCATAATTATGAATGGCCGATTCAAGACATTGAATCGTTTCCATAATTGTTTTATCATCCGCATTATTCATTTCGCTTTGATCGGTCGGATCCATCAATAGACTGGCTGCTCGTTCGAATGCTTTGGCTGCACCGATATAATTACCATGTTGGCTACATTTTCTGCCCAATTGTTGATATAGATAGATGGCTTTTTCTCGAGTTGATGTTTTCAGATTGACGCTATTTGGTGGATGATTTATAAATTAATGATTAATTGAATGGCCATATATCTCATTCGCATATTTAATACATACAAATTGATAATTTCGTTTAGCTGTTGTTTATTCGGATCATCCGCAGGTATCTGTTCCAATTTCACTGTTGATTGTTCCCATTTGTAAAGTTTTTCATTACAAGCGGCTAAATTTTTAAGCATCTCAATCAACTCAGGTATCGGTAATGAATGTTCGTCATCTTCAAAATCATCAGATGGTTGTTGATTGCTGCTCGATCGAAGATCAATATTATTATTTGTTGCTGTTTCTTTACTTGGTACCATTATCAATGATTGATTTATCGATTCATATATTGTTGTTGGCCCTTGTATATTGTTGGTTGATGATAATTGTCGTTGTTGGTGATGATCATTTTTTATTTCCATGATGTTATCGCCATGAAATGATCCAAGCTCTATTAAGAATTAATCATATTGTAACTAGACAATATAAATTTGATGTAATTGAACATTGTTCTACCAGATAAAATGTCTGATTGAATTATTAGATTGTTGCATTATTCTATCTATAAAAATTTTTAACTTTGAAAAGGAGACAACAATTTTACTCCATTAGTAACAGGATGATTCTTTGAATTCATTCACAATGTGAATCAGGATCATTGATCACATAAACCTCAAAGTCCTACAACAGCAAAGCTATGCAAAAAAGTAGCCTTATCAAAACGAAAAAAAAAATCATTTCTAATGATAATTATCTACATTTATATTTTGTTTATGATGATAAGTATCATCATCATCATGGAGGCTAGCTATAATATTGAGAACGACGATTTGGTTTGGCGTAGTAAGCAAAAAATTTTTCTAACAACGATTGTATGACACAATGAATTTTTTATTGCATCAAATCACTTTCTGGCGGTAATTTTTTCAACTGTTTTTAAAAATCTCGATATAATTGAATTCAAAATGGTAAAATATGACAGTATGGAATATTGATTGAGAATATTTATAGTTACATTTTATAGATGAATCAATACAATCTTCAATTTCTTATTATTCCTCAAGATGGAATTTTCTTTTGAATTGGAATGCTGAGAATCACTGAAAATAAGACGAATAGAAAGAAAAGCCGCTCTTGATTATTTCAAAAAACCAGATACAGTGATGTATCATACGAAATGTTGTATTTAAGTTGAAAAATAAAAAAACCGGAGAAACAAATCTGGTGATCCATCAAACAAACAACCGAACAATGTTGTTGTATCGAGTGATTATCCTTGTTTATAGTTGTCTTGATCATCATCGTCATAATTTTAATTGCAGCCGTCATCATCATAATCATTTTCTCAGTTATAAGCTACTGCTGATATGGTCGATACATTATGCGCTCATCATCATTATTGATGATACTTTTTTTTGTCAAGTAATTTGGTGATAATTCTCAAATCTTTGTCAGTATTTTTATATCAGACTTGTATTCGATAGCTTGTCACACTGTAATTTTGTTCTTTGGTAAGAATAAATGATGGCAATTGTTGGAACGGTTTCCTCCGATAAACTATTTCGTTTTCGTTTCGCATCTTGTATATAAAATATTTAGATTTGGGTCCATTTTTGATTCTTTTTTTTAATTTAAAATGATTGATCAATGAATGTATATTTACTCAGTCGATAGATACGATTATTATTGTTATCATTCAGATATGATAATTTTTATGATATGATTAGACAACGAGCATCAACAAATGTTTGGTGGCACATACAATACAATGATTGATTGTGCTTGTCACACCAAGGTTAAGCCATTCCATATAATTTCGAAATCATTTTCACAGTTTATATAGTTTTGTATTCGGTTATTCACTGAATTCAACATATATCATCAACAATGATTAATGTTTCGTTAGTTTGAAACAGATGTAATCTTAAAATAACCATTTTCCGCGTACACCATCGAATCGTTATCGATAAATTCGTCCTTTACTTATCAATCACATGATTAAAGCATGGATTTGATTATCGGTTAATTTAAAGTTTCTTTCGTGAATAGAACAAGAATTGGAAAAATGCGAGCTGTTATACAACGAGTCAAATCTGCATCGGTGACTGGTATGTAGAATGGTAAAATGTTCACCATTTAACTTATTTGATTCGTATTCTTTAGTGGATGGAAAATTGATCTCAAAAATTGGTCCAGGATTGTGTGTCCTCATTGGAATATCTCGTGATGACAAAGAGACTGATTCAGATTGGATGTAAGCTTAAATCAATCAAATCGTTTGTTAACAAATCGTTTTTTGTGTAGCATGAATAAAATTCTGAAACTTTGTCTATTTGACAATATTGAATCTGGCCGCCGATGGTCATCAAACGTTGTTGACCGTCAACTTGAAATACTTTGTGTATCACAATTTACCTTATATGCAACAATGAAGGGAAATAAACTGGATTTCCATCATTCAATGGAATCGACTACTTCGCGTATCGTATACGAATGTTTATTGGATAAAATGCGTCGTTCATATGATCCTTTGAAAATTCATGATGGTTTATTTGGTGCATTTATGGCCTTAGATATTGTCAATGATGGTCCAGTTACGATCAATATCGAATCACCTCAGAGTCCTGTTGAAAAGCAAAAAAGCAACGATGGAAACAAAAGCTGAAAACGAATGATTCAACATATTTTTTTAATATTACTTAATAAAAATAATGAAATGTTTATGACAAGAAGTGGTTCACAGAATAAATATTTATAATAAAAAAAAGTCAAATACAAATCAAACAATTGCATTCCTCTTCCTAATGTGTTCATTTAAATAACTGATTTCTTTTTCAAGTTCTGCGACTTGGTTTTTAAGAGCTTGATTTTTTTTTTCTTGTTTCTTTTTTTCCAGTTCTATCTCATCAGCTTCTTTCTTTCGTTTCTGGCGAGCTTTACGAGCTGCCACACAATTTCTTTGACGTCTATCCATTAAAAATTCTTGACGATTCTTAATACATTGCGATTTTTGAGATTTTCGTTTATTTTGATTTAATAAATTGGCACTTTTTGATATGTTTGGATTTCGATGTTTGAGAGTGGCAGTTTTTGGTTCTTTATACAAGACTAAATGGTAATGATTATTAGAAATTTCAGATTAACATAAATTAACACAAGCTTACCGTGTGATGGTTGATGATAAGAATCCACAGACAAATCATTACCGTCATCAAATTTCGAAGATGTTGATGTTGTCATTGTTTCACAAACCGATGAAGCTTGTTGTTCCGTATTGATCAATGGATTTTCCAATGGTTTTATCACATTATTGTTATTGTAATCTAGACGAGATAAATAATTTTGCATTCGAATATCACGTTCGAGGTCTGAATAATAAAGAAGCTCAGTGTATGTAGGAGTGTCGTAATCAACTTCTGGAACATCGTTCCTGGTCATGAGATCATTGGGAGAATTTTGCATATATTGACTTTGAGAGAAGCAAAAATCTTTTATATGTTTGATATGTGTTCCAGAAATATTCGATTCCAGACTGCAAGTAGTCTCTTTTCGTTGAAATTCGTCAAAATTTATTTCATTATCAATATCTATTGTTGTTATCGTCTCTGATGAGGATCCTTTCGATGATTCATCCAATTCTTTGTTAAGTTCTGGAGTATCTTTTTCAGCAAACATAGCTGCAACATTGAAGATCTGTTCAGATGTTTGATTTAATGTAAAATCCATCAGTTCTGGTGTGCCATTATCACCGGCCATTGTTTTTACCAGAAAGACAGATATCTAACCTCCTGATAATAAACAATATTTATGAGTATTGATAATTATGATATTGAAAACTAGAAACTTTCATATGACAATGAGTGAAAAAAATGTTGCGTCATTTTGTCCGAAATCTCTACAATTTAAAATGACAAACATTTATGGAACAAATCCTACTTACCAGATATCGATTAATCATAGATTCGGAAAATGTAAAAAATTTAATTAAAAAATTTTATATATTGTTGAAAAAAATGCGATGTTTCAAAAAGTTGCAAAATAGAAATAGAACCTGTTGAAAAACGATTGACAACTATGATTTGTACTGTCTCTAATGGATTCATCATCATCATCATCATCATTCCATTTAACACTGAAATCGATTGGCTTACGTTACACGCATGCACATGCGAATTCCATTTTCATTTTGATAGACGGAGCACATAACATTGATAACATTTAAAAATTTTCACGAGTTCATTTAAATTTTCGTCCGCTAATCTATATGTAATGATGAAAAAAAATTTTTTTATGTATGATGATGATATTTCTTCGAAAAAGAAATCTGTAGGTGTACACATACACATCATACATGTTCCTATCAGCATGTATATTTATCCACTGTTGTATGAATCTGATAATGATAATAAGGGCATCATGGAATAACATCATGGATAATAATAATATAATATTATTATTTAACTTTTACTACTATTTGTCAAAAACTATTTTAGTCAATTTTTTCACAATAGATTTTTTCACAGTTTATTTTGTCAAATTATTTTATTGAAAATGACACTCATTGAAATACAGTTTTTATAACAGTTTCAGAAGGTATCCGACATATTGGACATTCTACGGCATTGCTTGAAGTACGCCAGGTTTGTATACAATCCCAACAGAATATATGACAACAGTTTTTCATTAGACCAAAACTTTTTTCTATTTGTTCACATTCATCATGATCACCATTGTTACGATTGGATTCCGGTGTTTGACCCATTATTTCTAAACAAATTGCACAGGTTTGTTTCATTTCAAAATCTTCGATACATTTTTTAATATGTCTTTCACGATCCTGTTCACAAAATGGATGCAATGAATAATATCCGCATATATCACATCGATCACCATGAATAAATTGACAGTTTTGTTCTTCCTGTTCACTACATCGGCCATTTCGTTCATAGTGAGGACATATCGAACCTGATTTAACTATATCATATATTTCGTCAATATCATTGTGTTCATTAAATTTTTCCGTATCAATTTCAATATTATCCAATTTTTTCATCAATTTGTTTATCATACAATCGATTTCGTGTTGTTTCCGTAAATCAATATTAAATGGGTGTAAGGCATATTGTTGGCATTCGTCGCAAAAATCTCCATGGACGAAATAACAATTCTGTTGAGTCTGTTGTATGCAGAATCCATCACGAACATAAATTTGGCACAGACTTGTCTCACATAATGATTCATAATTAGATTCATCGAAATCGGACATAGTGGATTTTTTTCAAATGTCATTCAATAAAAATATTTACATTAACATCTGATCAAATCTAACGATAGTTTTGAATTTGTTCATCAATGATTTACGACGTACATCATTCCCTCCTCACTGCAATTAAATGTTTTCATTGTTATTTTTTATTTTTTTTTTTTTTGGATTAGTGAAAATGATGGTTAAAATGGAAAAAAATATTACAAATCGATGTTTTTTCTCCACAATTGTTCCCGGTTGCTATGAAACAATTATTACAATTTCTTAATTGGAACTGTGATAAATTCTAAACATACAACAGTGGGTTGATATCACATAATAATCAAATAGATAAAATAAAATTTTAGCCAGATGAGCAAAGTCTAAAAGACATGTGTGTTACTACACCCAAAAAAATGACCGAGGAAAATGTAATTCTCAATGAAGTAATCAATCATTACCATTATCGATAATGATGATCCAAGTATTTGGCAAATAAATCGAATCAATATCAAATGTTCTGGGATGTATAATTTTCGTTTATTTGTTTAAAAATGTTTTTAATACTCGGTACATATTCATGATTATACAAGATATTGACAGATTTGTAAAATTTATTTATTTTTGGTATAAAAATGGTTGGTTTGGTATGGTGGTTGTATATTGAATATTTCGTTGAAAAAATGAGCCTTATTTAATCATTAGTTTTGATAACAGATTCGGAAGGTACACGACAGATAGGACATTCCATCGAATTACTTTTCGTACGCCAAGTTTGTATACAATTAAAACAGAATGTATGAAAACAGTTTTTCAACCGACCAAAACTTCGTTGACATTCATTATTGTCACCATTGTTACGATCGGATTCAGGTGTTTGACCAATTATTTCTAAACAAATTGAACATGTATTTTTCATCTCTAATTCTTCGATACATTTTTTAGTATGTTTTTCACGATCCAGTTCACAAAATGGATGTAATGAATAATATCCACATATGTCACATAAATCACCATGAATCAGGTGGCAGTTTTGTTTTTCTTGCCCATTACATTGGCCATATCGTTCATATCGGGGACAAATAGAACCTGAAATTAATTTTTCATAGATTCCACTGGGATCATTATTTTCTGGACAATTTTCGATATCAATTTTTTGGTTTTTCATTTTTTTTGCCAAACAATCAATTTCGTGTTTTTGCCGCAAATCCGCATTAAATGGATGTAAAGTGTATAGTTGACAGTCGTCGCAAAAATCTCCATGGACGAAATAACAATTTTGCTGAATCTGTTGCATACAGAATCCATCACGAACATAAGTTTGGCATAAATTTCTTGCACACAATGAGTCATAATGTTTGATTGCATCAAAATCTGACAGTTGTTTTCTAATCATAATACAATAAAAATATTTACAACATTTCCATCCACCTAAATCGAACGGTGGTTCTTGAATTCGTCCGTCGATGATTTGCGGTGTACGCCATTGGCTCACTCCGATCATGTATTGTATATTGACAGCACCAGGAAAAAAAGCTGATAATACCGAGACTAACCTGTCAATGAAATCATGTTAAATGGAATTTATGTAAGATACAAAAATCAAATTTCGAAAATCTTAACTGGCACGTACAAAGTTCCATCGGTTTCCAACGGTACATTGACTGGTAATTTGCCCAAACATTCACAGATAGCCACACGATTAACATTTTTACTATCAGATTTCGATTTTTGATCCATTTGTTGAAAATTTCAAAGTTGAACCAAAATATCACATGAAAAGAAAAGAAAAACACTGCAAATCAAGGAAGTCACTATTTCGACTTGATTGATTATCTGCATGTACGTGTAGAAGACGGCCACAAAAAATTCAATTTATTTACATTTACACCAAATTTACACCAACTTTGAATCTTCGAATTTCTTCGAATAAAACGTTTGTTTAGATAAGAATGGTGCACTAATCTCAGGATTTTATATACCTTCACTGTTGTACTTTATTCTAAGTTGTTTTCAATCGTATCAATCGAAAAATGTTCTTAATACACATAATTTATTAGGACCCACTTTAATTAATGTGGCCAAAATTCGAATACACGTCCTTTTTGTATGGATCATGCCCGTTTGTTTTGGTTTTTCTGACCATGAATATACTGGCAATATATTCTTTTCAATTCTTTAAATTATTCTGGCATTATCATTCGCCCTTAATTTTATTCAGCTAATCGTTTAAATAAAGGATGGAGGAATCTCGAAATGATTTGCTTAAATTTTTTATTCAATATAATGACGAATCTGTTCCGCAAATCATGCAAATTCCATCACAATTGTCCGAAAAATCAAGTGAAAAATTCATTGAACAATTGAAACAATTTATTAATCTTCTACTACATTTTCGATACATGTCGATGTATATGAAAAAACATTTAGATTCAATGATGGATGATAAATCGGTGGAACCATCCACTCAACTTGCGAAATCGTTGGTCTACGAACTCAGTGAAGATATACAATTCTGTTCGGAAAAATTCGCTCAACTGATTGATTCTTCGTCATTTTTTGATTTTGTTCATAAACGTGAACGATTCTATTTGGAGAATATGGATTCATATTTTCCATTTAAACGTGATAATTGCCAAAGCGGTAATAAAATGACGGTGTTCAATGAACATCACAATCAAAATGATTCGATTGCTGTGGAACTAATTCCGAATGATATTGTTGTTATCAATCATGAACCTGATTCAACACATAATTCGAATGATGATTCAGCATCAATATTAACTGACCAATCACATCATCAGATTAATTTATTGTATTCAAATCCATCGCAATCATCCTCAAGTCAACCACAAGATGTTCATGCAACTCTTTTGGATGGCCTTTTGTCCTCGGCTGATAATCAACAACATCATTCAACCGACAATCTTTCACAGACGCAAGCAACTAAACGACCTCCCAATGATGATGGTGATAAACGTCGTCAGTCAAAACGTTCGAGATCATCGACCAAAGTATCAACCATAGAACAAGAGGATGATCAGTCTACCGGATCGATTGGAACCACAGCCACCGATTTGTTGCTAGTTGAATTTCATTGCCAATTTGAAGGCTGCCGATATCGATCAAAGTCTTTATCCCAGGTAAAAGATCATGAAAACCGTCGTCATGTTCAACAGGTACAACCCTGTCAATACGAAGGCTGTAAGGCAGTGTTCAATGGAAAAGAAGAACTTGATTCACATATGTCAAATGAACATTTGAATTTAAAACTCCAGTGTGAAATTGATGGCTGTGAACAATTGTTTCCTAATGTATCACGATTACGGCAACATATTAAAGATGAACATAGGCCATCAACAATCTGTAGTAATCCGGATGGTGCAACAGACCATTTTACTTGCCGTAATTGTGGCAAAAGTTTTGCAAGACGTAAATATTTACATAAACATATTAAACGGATGCATGACAATGTAGAAAAAGCATCGAAGAAAAAATCCACAACAAAAGGCAAAAAGCCGAAATCTGTTTCAGAGGATCTTCCATATTCGCCAACCTCTGGTTCGAATGAAGCTGATGATAATGATGATGATGATGATGATGATGGTGATGATCATGATCATGATGATGGTGGTGGTAGCAATAATGACAAAGATGATGATACTATTGAAATTGGTGATGATAATTGTGACAATGAAAAACAAGAACTCTTGTCTAAATCTAAGAAAAAATCCACATCAATCTTTGAATGTTCAAACGAATCCTGCGCTGAAACATTCACAGAAAAGTAAGTATAAACACAAAGTGAATCGATCATATCTAATTGTAATTTTTTTACAGATCAAAATTGAATCAACATGTTCGAGAAAAACATAGGATCGAATATTTGACCTGTAAATTTTGCGATAAACTTTGTCCAACACGCAATAGCCTTACTAATCACATTTGGATCATGCATGAAGAGGGCGAATATCGGTGTCCGTTTGAAAATTGTGATTTTACATCGAAATTTCGTAGAAATCTACTTAATCATAAAAAACTACGTCATCAAAGACATCGTAAATGTCCTATTTGTGGTGAATTGATAATCGCTTCACGGTTTCAACGTCATAAAAGCAGTCTACACAAAATTAAAAATTATACCTGTTCATGGCCCGATTGTGGTAAAGCATTTGCCGATAATTCAGCCCTAAAGAATCACGTGCGTATTCATTTAAATTTTAAACGTTTCAAATGTAAATGGCCCGACTGTGGTTATGCATCTGAACAACGTTTCACCGTTATTACACATATTCGTGTCTGTCATTTCAAATTACCTCGAACGAAAAAGAAACAAATGGAATTGAACATAGTACAGGATGAACAAACACAGAATCCTTATGATTACCTAGAAACATGTCGTGAGGATATTTGCATCTAAATTTGATTTATTTAATTATTTCATTCATCATCGCGATGATGATAATGTTCTTTTTGATGAAAAAATTAAAATTTTAATTCTGAAAATTTTTCGTTTTTCATAAATCTTTACGTTGTGCTGGGACCACCATGTGTGTGTGTGTGTGTGTGTGCACATTGGATATTGGCCTTTTGTCGTCTATCCTATTGTTCCGGTTTTCGATTGTCATTCAAATGGAGGTATGTACGGCTCAATCGAAATGAACAATGGTATCAATATATTGTTCGATCAGCCATAAAAATGATTATTTTCAATGTATATAATCCATGGCAAATTATCAGGCACGGTTATTTGTGGTCTATTAAACCATGGTAAATCGTATTTGTCATTTTTGCTTGATCCGAAATCGATGCTCGTTTTTTCCATTTGGGTTATACTTTTATTCATTCATTGTTGAATAGAATGAATATTTTTTTTTTGTTGCTGTTCTCTTGTTGCATTGGAAATTGAAAACCAGCTCAACCATGATTGAGAAGATTAAAGATTATTGAATATATTTGAACAAGGACCAGCCAATGGTTTTTCGTTGCCTTTTGTTTTGCGTGTTTTTCTCATCCAAGGATTAGATTGATCATTTTGAATCCAATCTTAATCCCAGGTTTCTGATTCCAGCATCAATGGAAATTAAATTTCCTAATATGCGTAACATGTATTGAAATAAAAAATAGATTTTATTCATAATTTTTTTGTTCATTTTTTTTATTTATTCGCATATACAATCACAATGATACAACTATAAAAAAATCTATTTTGTTGGTAACGGAAGTAAAGTTTACATTAATCATTTGTTATGATATCAATAGTTGGACCTCCAAGTCGTTGCTGTTGTTTACGCCATTTTGCTCGACGATTTTTGAACCAAACTTCGATTCGTTCTTCACGTAGATCAATACGAGCGGCCAATTGTTCGCGTATAAGAACATCAGGATAATGTGTTTTGTGGAATGCTGCTTCCAATAATTCAAGTTGTTCCTCAGTGAATATTGTACGATGTCTACGTTTCCGTTTATAAAATCCATTACGACAATGATAATATGTATTTGATGGGAACAATGACTTTAATGATTCAGATGTGTGTGCATGATGATTAGCTGGTTGATGATCATTGGAACAATCAGACAGGTATGATTGGTCCTTCAAGATGTTGCTTGCATACGATTCGTTTCCTTTATGTTCATCATCAGATGTGCATGATTGATTTTGGCCAAGTTTCGATGCAACTATACCTCCACCATTGTGACCTATGATTGAAAGGACAAAATTATTATTGTACACCAAATACAAATTGCAAATCTGGTAACTTACTTAACACATCGAAAATAATTCGTTGATTTGTCAATTCAAAGGTATTACCGGTTGGACAAGACGACGATGTTGGTATCCTCAACGAGGCATATGGATTTGTATTCGATGAGATGGCCATCCAATTTGCCATCAACCAAATCGGATATGATGATGATGATGATGATGTGTGGAAATTTTTAAGCTGTGGTTGTTTGTCAACATCATGAAGTATATTATCGATTGTAAACGATTTTGAACGTTTCATTTCAGTTCTAGGTTCTGTTGCTGTTGTTGTTTGTGAAGAATTTGTCCTCGAATCTGAAGTATTTGATGAAGTTGTCATGTTTCAAGTTATTAGTTAAGTAAGATACTTGAATCCTTTTTGATCGACTGCCAAATGGCTACTAAACTTTCGTAAACAAAAAACTGAATAATGATTGGTGGCCCAATCGATCAATCTATGGGTTCTTGTCAGTCGATACCCACACCATCACAGTCACCTCCTCCTGCTCCCCTTAAACCGCAATTCTCTTTCATAATGACTCAATTATCCTCAAATAATCAACATAATGGCCCTATGGAGCAGATATTTAAACAACAATGAAAAATATAGAAAATAGGTTAGATTTACACACAACATTGACGTTATTGAGATTAGAGGGTATTATTAGATTGGTTGTTGTGGTCGGGTCCCTTTTCTTTTGGAGACCACCAACCAACCACATGATCGGAACCACACACATACACACAAATAAAAATGCACCGAACGTTTCAGGATCAACTTATATAAATATGTCATGAGATAGAGATAATCTTCTTTTTTGTTTCGAATTCAATTTTATAGAATGCGGTGTATATATATTTTTTAACATTGTTATAGGAAAAATGATTTCAAAATAACAGACAATATCGATATCGATATGACCAGATTGTTGTTGTCGATATCTTGTTAATCTTGTCATTGTAATATTTTTTTTTTTTTGAATAGAAATATAGACTATTGATTGTATCATGAGACAAACACAACCATCATTATCAATAGAATCGTGTTTGGATTGAAATAAGATTCATGCAAATTACGTTTTCTTTCTCTTTTCTTTTCTACATACCCTCTATTAAGTCTTGTTGTTTGATGGATTAAGACTTTATAATAATAATAACATAATTAAGTTTTAAATAACGTATGTGTGGGTATCTGCATATGAGCAATGTAATAGACCAGGTGATCAAAGCTATGTTTGCGGCTATCATCCTAGATCATTTAAACGATCCATAAGGTAATTTGGTAACCATAGACAAAAAACCGCTTGAATGGCCTAGACCACACACATACACACACACATACGTTCGTTGGCCAAAGGGATTGAAAATGATTGAAATCTTTTCAGACTAGACATTCGACATTAGAATGAAAATTATGTCTACAAAAATATGAAAAAAACTAAAAAAAATGGATCGATTATAATTATTAATGATAAATAATAATCGATTAGTTCCATTGACTTTAGGAAAATAAACAAACAAACAAAAAATAGGTAGTTAGTTATTATTGTTATCATCATTAGGATTTTTATCGTATATTTTAGCCATAATTATTTCATTCGTATACAACAAATAAATATTTTTTTGAGAAAAGAACACAAGAATTATTGCAACTGGTATAACTTATACTTTTAAATCATTTGTAAACATAGATATTCTATTTGATACAATTTCGGATCCATCCACTTAGAAATCTTAATTTCGTTGAGATGAATCAAAATAGACAAAATAATCGTCGTTTCCTTTTTTTCTTTTGTTGTTGTTGTTGTTTTCGTGATTTAATCAATGAAACTGTTGTAGTTGATGAATTTATTATGGTCGATTGTTGTTTGATTATCGGATGAAGATGATTAGAATGGTAATGATGATGATGATGGCTAGATTTTGATTTAACCAAAGAAGCAATTGCCAAAAATCGATGCCGTCGATGATTTTGTTTGGCACCATTATTTTGTTCAACATTATCAATATTCATTCCATTGTGAGTATGATCCAACGGACATCTATGGATGCAAATAAGTATTTTTTTTATTCATTATAACAGACCAACAATTTGACTTACCGAATAAATTTTCTACTTTCTATCGTCAATGGGATCGGATCGGTTTGTGCCGATCGATCTTCAGTTAGCGGAGAATGAGCTAACACAACCATAGGCTGTGGTTTCGTATAATCGTTCGATTCACTTCGTTTGTCCATTTCTTCGTCGTTATTGTCACTATCAATCGGCTGTTGTCGTTGTTCAAGCTCAGCTCGAAATTTTTCATTCTCATTTTCTAGACGAGCGATTTCGGATTTCATCTGGTCCATTTGTTGTCCCAGATCATCAATTATAACATCAGCCATTGTTTCAACTCTTGTAGATGATGATCGGTGTTGTTGTTTGAAATCAAATGATGATCGAGGTAATAATTGATTAAGATTCAAATTTGAATATGAACACATGTTATCGATGCTGAATTTTTCATTGGCACCATTATTTATTTGTGAATCACTAAACAACGGATAATTAGACCGAAATTGTACAGCATTATTCTGTAGTGATGACTGTGGTGGTGTACCCATCACTTCCGTATAGGATGGACAATGACTAGTTAAAGTTGTTGATGATCGATTGAGATTTTTATTCAGGTCATGGACACGATGATTATATTGTTCATCCAATAGACGGCGTAATTCTTGATTTTCATCACTTAGATCAGTGATTGAAATCTATTTATTTTGAAAGGAAATAATGAAAGAAATATTTGCTGTTATGTAACTTACCAAATATTCATTCATCTTGGTCTGCATTGATTCGATATCACACAATAATTTGGTGGTCATTTCACGATTTTCACCGTTAACCATAATCTGCTCACGAAGAACAGCATTCTGTTCCCCAAGATCATCAGCAATCGTCTGTAATCGTTGTAATTCTGATTCTTTTCCATCTAAATTACGACGAAGAATTTTATTCTTTACAACGAGTTCACGACATTCATCATTGGAATGTTCCAAATCTTGTCGTACACGTTCATATTCATTTAAATCGATTGATTTATTTAATGATTTTTTCACATCCCATAATTGTTCAGTTTGTTGTTGTAATAGTTGATTGAGTGTAGATTTTTCGGTCATAAGAGACTCATAACGAAATTCAAGATCATTGTATTCACAACGAAGTTTTTCATATAGTTTTTTTATTCGAACATTCTCATCGGATAGCTCGATCCAATCGTTTAGTACGGTTTCATCATCAAGATGATGACTAGAATCAATCTGAAGTATAATAGGCATAGATTGTGGATTCGAAACAGTTTCATCGTATGTTGATGTCGATGATGCTGTTGTTGTTGGTGGTGGTTGTGATAATACTATTTCGTTCGAATGTTTCGATAAATTTAGGCTATTATTATTGATTTCCTGTTGATCGTCAATCATTTTGACAAATAATTTTTTTAACGATTTAAATTCAAATTGTTTATAGACAAAAAAATGGTCACAATTCACTTGACATGTTTATCTTTGGCACTTTATCGCAACCGAATCATGAATGTATTAGTATTCGGAAAAAAATCTATCCCATAACAATAAATTCAAAATATTGTTGGTCTTCATTGTTGAGGACGATGATGATCACAAATGATTTTCGAATTTTCGATGGATATGTTTAGTGGATGAATTTTTTTTTCGCAGCTAAATGTTTGAATGTCTGATGAATTACTGTTTGGTCGTTGTCTTCGTTTCGTTAATTCGTTAATTCATTCGAGAAAAAACCAGATGAGATAGGCGAAAGAAACGTGGGTGTAAGGGATAAATGAGTAAAACAAAATAGAAAAAAAAACGGTAATTTTAGCAAAATGAAGATGATGATCAATCAATGACGAAATGAAACATGAAATCGTATTTTTTTTCTTCCTTTTTTTATATGTATGTGGCATCAATAATTTTTTGAGACAATGTTCATCATGTCATGCGAAATGTCGTATGCCAAGCTTTTATTATGCTAAAAACACTCACATTCAATCTCAATTTCTACAATTATAATAAAAAAAAATCTAACATCTAACATAATAATTTAAAAAATCAAGCCATCGAAGCCATTTGAATGAATAAATGGCAGAGTCAAAGCAATAACGACAGATTCATAAATATTATTTGAACTTTATTTTGATGATTCTTTTTATTCTTTTTCTTTCAATCTCTCCATTATTATTCAGTCAGAAAACATGAGCGATGAAGCAAATTGTTGACATCGTTGTTGTTGTTGTTGTTGTTGTTCACACTCTAGTGAAAAATCTAAAATCCACATCAGAATCTTGAGTTTGTATAATGGAAGAAAGAAAAAATGGCTGACGTGGTTAGTTGAAGCAAAAAAAAAAAACATATATAGGCAAATATTAGAATCGATTAATCTTGAACACAATTGTCATACATCATTGTCATCGATACAAGCAATGACAATGATGATCATTGAGTTGGTTTGTTTGTTGTTTTCGGAAGCAACCGAGAAAAAAAAATTTTTTTTTTTTATCACCAACAGATTATCATTGTAAGCATCCTAATATCAGAATGAATGTGACGAAAACGACAAAACAACCATCATCATTGAAAGTGACGAATGAACTAAACACTGGTAAGAAGAAAAAAACTTGGCGAACGATGAAAATGAAAAATTTACTAAACATCTCCAATAATAAAATGAAAGCAAGGCTACCGATGAGAGTAAGGAAAATAAAGAGAGAGAGAGAGAGAGAAAAAAAGAAATGAATTGATGCCATCAACACTGGTTTAGACATGATCAAATGAAACCAAACATACATTATCGAATAATCAACTAACCAACCAAAAGAGATGATGAAAAGCTATCAAGAAACTAAAACAAAAAAAAATTATGCTTAAGGTTATGTCACCAAATAATAATAACGGATCATCGGACATGAAAAAATAATTTATATTTTTCTGTTACTATTCTGTACGATGACAGTTCATCTTTAAATTCAATGTTTTTCAATAATAACCACCAAGCATACATTCATTTATCCATCCATGTCTTTTTTTTCTGTTGTTGGTTATTTAAATATTCTCGTCTGTTATCGTTATTATTAAAAGGACTTTTTTTTGCAAATAACATATTTTGAATGACGAATTGTCTAAAAATTCTTAATGTCAGTCGCATCTTCCAAACCACCCTTTGAATCGTATTTTTTTTTGTGGCGAACAATAATAAGGAATAATATAAAAAAAATTGAATGAATGAAATTTACTCATATAGTGTGTAGTGTGCATAGAATTATTCTACAACAATTCTTGTTTTCTGATTACATGACAAAAATGATGCAATAAGATTTTGTGAGAACGTGTCTTGTGATCATTGCCGATTTTTTTTTTCGTTTCTTGATGACAAAAGCAACTTTTTGCCAATTTTATTACAACAATTGAGAAACATCAGCAGTCATCCCTACATACATAATATACCTCGCTCAAATCCCGGTTATATATTATTGAAATAAGGAAGAAAAAAATAATAAAAAAATTGAGAACAACCAAACTAAACAAACGAAGTTAACCTGAAAAAACCAAATTGTTGCCCATACACACACACACACACAGGATGAAGCATATAAAATTGGATTTGTTTGTGTGTGTGTGTTTTAGCATTCAATCCTCTTAATGATCGTCTCAAGAAGATGTGAGTGGGCCAAAATGTCGACATACAAATAAAAAAGTTGCTAATGGAACTGTTGTATAGTGATACGAATTCGATCAAATATTTACTAACTAACACTTTGCGATGGAATTTGACAGCGGACAGAAAACAAGAAAAAAATAGTGAAGAAAATAATGTCATCATCAATTTGCAAATATGAATGAAGCCTTCACAACAAAACCAACTGATGAATACGGATGAACCATTTGATGTTGTCGATGACAGCGAAAGAAAGAAATTTTTGAACTAGAAAAAAATCACACTTTTTTAAGTATAACTTAGCAACATGATGGCACACTTTTGTCGAATCGGTAGCAATCAAGCAGAATAATATTTAAAAAAAAAACTCGAAAAATTTTTTTTCCATGATGTCAATTTGATCATCTACAATATTGTTTGCTATCGGCTAAAATCAATCGATAATCGGATTATAAAGGCGTAATATCCAATGGCCATTCACAATTTCATCATTTCATTCATACACCACAAATTACAAAATAGAGCTAGTTTCACGGAAAAAAAATCAATGAATTCATTAAAACGATGATTATCGATAAACAGATATACTATAAATCAATAAGATGCGTACTCTAAATGCTAATTTCCCTTTAATCTTCAATTTGTAAGTGGATTGTCACACAAGATATTATTCATTTCGAAATCTTTTAATCATCTAATTATTCAGATAAATCCACACAAAAAAAACCTAAACAGTAGTCAATAATACTGATAGTATCGAATTATCAGATTTTTAAACAAAAATTAAATATGCATTGAAAGAAAGATTGGAAAAAAACGTATTGATGATGATCATTCACAAAGATATGGCTGAATCATTTATCATTTGTGGATTCAGCTTAAAACAACCGCCAAAAAATCTTTTTCTCTTGATGTAACTAAATTTAGCCATTGAAAAAAAACCACGGATGACTTGTTGGATGACAAACGCGTTGATTTTACAATGTTGATTGTATCATGATGAATGAATGAATGAATGAATTCACTATTCAAGAAGAAAAAATATCATTTCAATTTTCAGGATTTTAAGAAATTGAAAATATATAGTTTACCCAAAACTGACCTGAAATGATTTGAAAAATTGATAAAATATCATCATCATCCGATGTATATGGCTTACTTTCGATGATCATAAATCATACGGCAACGTAAAAAAAAGGCAAATGGTCACCTGCTGTTTGGCCGAATCAAAATGATCATTTATAACTCTTTCTTTATTAATTTTGACTGTCTCATTGCGGACATTGTCCACTTTTGATGTACATATCTTTAAACAACCATCTTTTTTGTAGTTGTTGTTGTTGTTGTTTTTGGTGACAAAACGAAGATATGAAGATATTTGAAAACATTATCAACATATTCAAATATGATGAAAGATTTAAAAAGATTAAGCAAAAAAAAGATGTTTATCAACGTCGATAATTTCATTTTGGAATTAAATTTTAAAAAATTTTATTAGGAACAAACGAATTAGAAAAAAAGCAACTAATTAATTCTGATCACGAACGATGATGAAATTAAATAAATTAAAAGGAAACCACATTGCAAAAAGGTCTAATCTCTTATCGATGGCCAAACAAAAACAATAAACAAGAAATTAAACATCAAATGTAATGGTATTATAATCTTTTGAATTTAATGTATTGGAAAAAAATTTTTTTTTCTTTGATATGACGATACTAAATGTAAATTCAAATGCCAATTCAACCAATAAATGAAGATGATACGTTAGCCAAATTTGAATATTTGAAATTGTAAATAAAATTATTTATAAATTATTATTCAATAAAGATGCTTCAATGAACGAAAGATCATCATCATCATCATTATATTATCATTACTATGAAAGAGAAAGGCAAAAAAAAAAAAAATAAAAAGCAAAAGCTATAATGTGGCTTCTGGAATTATTGTTTTCATATCCACAGCTCTCACCCAAACCTAACTATGAATAAACTTTTTTGTGAGTATTCAATTCGAAATATAATAATCAGTTTGAATTTTTTTTCCCAGTGTGGTTCTCATTTTTTTTTTTTTTTGAATTAATAAGTTGAAAAATAATATATCTGACATGATCCTGGCATACGTGAATATTTTTAACGAAAAAAAAATTCAACAAAATTACTTACTTTTCCGGTAATATATCTTGATATTGTTGATCACGATTTAATTTGTTAAACGACGAAAACTCTTGTTGAAATTTTATTTTTTAAAAAATCTTTGATTAATTTTGTTTATGTTCTTTTCTATAAAACTGGTAACAATCAATCAATCAATGATCATGATGATGTTGAAGCTTATTATGATTGTCAATTAATCAAATATTTTTTGATTGTCAAACATTCATACATACATGCACACAAACTCAAACGACAACGATGATGAAAAGAAATGAAAAACCGGATGACAAACGATGAGTGTCATTGACTATCATTATGGTTCATTGCCAACAAATAACGAAACATCAATTTTTTTTCATCGTTGTCGTCATATTTTGTTGAATGTTTTGGTTTTTGGTTTGACAATTTTTCTATTGTATATACAAGAGAATTGATGGAAAAATTATTTTTTTCCTTGTCTTTGTCTACTTACAATAACCCGAACATTCGAGATTAATGATGAAAAAAATTCACTGAATTGATGATGATGATGATGATCCAAGTCTTCATTTTTTTTAATGAAAAAATTGTCATTACGATAAACTTTTGCGCCGATAATCATATTATTGATTATCGTTTTTGAATGATGGATCAATCATTTTGGATTTGCACCTGATTTGAAGATATTTGTAGTCAAAGTTGCCGATGGGTGAAGATTTAAAATAGATGTTGATGATGATGATGATGATGATGATGATGAAAATTATTTACAGCAAAGTAACAAAGTATAAAACATTTGAATATAAATATTTGAAAATAGATAACTTGGTTGTCAAGTGAAAAAAAAATTCGAATCGATCTATTCATTATATTTTAAATGATCTAATTCGTTCCAGTATGATTGGAACACTTCACTTCACTGATCAACATGATCGAATGATGGAATAAAATAACAAGTGTTGGTGGTCCATAGCAGCAACAAGTGATCAACAAAATGATGAGAGCACAATGATGATGATGCTATATGTTTAACGATGAGAGGAGAGTAATGTTTTTTTTTTCTTGTTTCTTTTTTTCCTGAAATGGATTCATCATTCAAATTGAAAAGGAAATATTCAAATTGAATAAAAATAATTGTATTGTATATAGGAACAATATTTGGAAGCCATTGTGCACAACAACAACAACAACCAATCGGATGAATCGATGAACATAAAGCCAAATAATGAAAACAGGATAATGTTAATAATTTATTATCAACACATATTAAACAACCATAATAATAATCATTATTATTATCATTATCATCATCATCATCATCAAAAAATAAATAACAACAAGTTGATTCTTTATTTGTCAATCATAATCTGATTGTATGTTGTTGTTTGACAATGTATGTAAAGAGAAATTCATTACAAACATTGTCAACAATAGTTTGATAAAGAAAAAAAAATAAGTAAGTAAGTAATCACATTTTTTTCCTGGCAACATTTTATCCTCATATCATTATTATTAGTATTCGGATTCAAATATTCAATGTCATATCGATGTCGTAAGGATGATAATGTTGTTGTTGTTGTTGTTTGTGGTTTACAAGTAAAGAAAATCATATTATTGTATAAAACATAGACATGACCATAATATGACAATCAATTTCTATTAGTTTCATATTGCCGGGTGTTTTGTAGATATGTACTGTTTATAGTGTGTCATGTATCACCAACATACAAATGATTTTTTATTTCCATTTTTGTTATTTTTTTTTCACCGGATAAATAAACGTTTACTCCTTGTTTGGCCTACATTTTTGTTTTCTTTTTTTTCTAACCATGTTGATTTTGGCCAATGGATTTAATACCGTTATTAATGATATAAAACATAAGGTGGATACATTAATTTGTCAGATTTTATTGACTGAATTTTTATTCTTGACATCATAAAAAAAGATGTGTAAATCTTATTTAATTGGACAGATTTGTTTTTTTTTGTCGTTTTGATGTCGTCATTTCAGTTATTCAATAGATTTGACCGTGTCAGACACGGACATTGTATTTCTCTCTTTCTTTCTCTCTCTCTCTCTCTCTCACACACACGCAAGTATTGGGAAAAAAATTGAAAAGAATCGATCAAAAAAGCGGTTAATAATAATAACAAGAAATGTCAAAATCAATCTTTGATTCAAGAGACCATAAAAAATGTACGAATTTAATAGCCAAACAAAATATAATTTTACCAACATGAATGAATATCCTTGAAATCTTTTTTTTTTCATTCATTTTTTATGTTTGATATTTTGATTGATCAATTTTCACTATTGTATTAACTTTGCGATTACATTCATCGAAAACACACACACACATACACAGAATACACGCAATCATATTATTGATTCAAAGTCGATCGATTTGACTTTGATCTGATTTGATTTATGTAAACCAATACAATTAGTTAGCTTTTGATTTTTTTGTTTTCTTGCTTAAAAACAATTTTTTCTCCATTCATCGATTTATCATTGATGCATTTCTATTATTTGAAATATTTACCTTTGCGTAGCAATCAATTGTATTTTAATTGTTTCAAATGGTCAAAAAAAAAAAAAAATTTTCTACTGTTTATTGTCATCATTACATATCTAGGTTTTTAGGTTTTTTATATTATTTTTACCGATTACATTTCATCGTGGAGAGACACATACAAACAAACAATATTAAGGGTTTGGTCAGTTTATATAAAATGAATACTCTTATACAATAACCTGGCAAAACATTCAATGAATTTATATTGTTGATTGTTTGTGGTTCTTTTGTTTTATTAACTGAAAAATATTCAATGATAATTTATCATTTCCAATGATTAATTATTTTTGGACACTTATTTTCCTCAAAAGGAAATGGAAACTGAAACATAAATAGCAAGTGTTTTTCTTTTATAAATCCAGTTCTTTTTTCTTATTTGTGTGTGTGGCTTGCAAAAACAAAAACAACACTCGATCGATCAATTGATCCTTTTTTTATTATCTTAATTTCAATTTTCCGGAATATGATCCTCATCATCATCATCATCATCATCGATGATGGTCAAGCAAATTATAATCTGTTTTATTTATTTCGAGCCCAAAAAAACATTCTTATAAGTAACAGGAAAAAAAATTTTTGGTATATCTTTAAGTGCATATTTCCATTGTACTTTATAACTTTCCTATATAAATATAATCTTATATGATTTGAATGAACATATCATTGCATTCATCTAATAATAATTATGTTTATATATTGGTTTTTTTCCCAATATATTCTTACGTGACACACACACAGACTATATATCAGTGTTTTGTGATGTTGATCCATTTTATTTTTTGACATGACAACAACAAACAACGATGGATTTGTCTGTCGGCAAATATATCATCATTTTCATCAAATCAAATCATCAAAAATGATTAAATCAAGGTTAACAACACCATTGGCAAAAAAAAACATTAAATTTTTTTGGAAACTATGATGATTGAATGATAATCTTATTCTTTTTTTTTTCTTGTCTGTCTCCATGTATGATATGCTGTGATAATATTGTTGGTGCAGCTTTTTATGCGTAAAATTGTTCAATTTTTAGATTTCATTTAAATATAATAATAATAATAAAGTTTCTCACTTTAGTGAATTGAAGATACAAAAAAAAATCATATAACGATTGTATAATAATTATCATTGTCTACTTGTTTCACCACATATATTCAATGATGATGATATTGGCCAAGGTCGATTCAATATCACAATCAATTTTAGATAATGAAAAACAAATGAATTGTCAGCCGATCGTACCTATAGGTGCAATATAACATACAAAAACACTTATTCCATTCAATTTAATAATTGATGTTTGCACGCAATATTTTGTATATTCAAAAAAAAAAAAAAAAAAAATTATCAGCCCATTTTTTAGAAAATACTAGAAACGAATGGAAACCGTTTTTTAGGTATAAAAGCTCTATATTGATTGGAATAAATTGTCACTTGAATCTAACATAACATCAATCATCATTTCATCAGAGAATCTGCAAAAAAAAACTTCGTTGAATAATAAAAAAAATGTCTAAACCAACATTTTACTTTCATCCATTCAGCGGCCCATGCCGAACTGTTTCGACCGTTGCTAAAATTCTCAATGTTGAGATGGAAATGAAAAAATTGGATCTTTTAACCCAAGAACATCTTAAACCTGAATTCCTCAAGGTTAATCCTTTCCATAAGATTCCAACTTTTGTCGACACCGATGGTTTCACTATTGATGAATCACGTGTAATTGCCATGTATTTGTTGCAAAGTCGAAAACCAGATTCTTTCTTATATCCGAATAATGATCTGAAAAAACGTACACAAATTGATCGTTGGCTTCATTATGATATTAGCTTCGCAACTATTATCTCGACTCCAATGGTAAGTGAATCTTTTTTTTATCAAGATGACCATTAATCGAATGTTTTTCCATTCCAATAGTATTGTAAATTCAGAGGAAAACCAGTTCAAGATCATCAAGTAGAACAAGGTAAAGAAACGCTCAAAACATTGGATGGTGTAATGGCAAGCTTTGGAGGCAAATTTTTAACTGGTTCCGATCAAATAACATTAGCCGATATTGCCATGTATTTTAGCTGCAATACAATGGAAATTTATTCTGAATATTTTAAATTTGATGATTATCCAAATTTGAAATCCTGGTATCAACGAGTTGCAGAAGCATTGAAACAATACGATACAGAAGGAGAAATTCCAAAAGCAATTGAAATGATCAAGCAATTTGCTCAACAACGAATGGCCGAATCTGCTAAACAGTAATAGATTGTGATTGCAAAAAAACACTGTGACAAATAAATGAATAAATAAAAGACCTTGATGCAATTTGATTTAATTGATAGCAATGTAAATAGTACAATGAATATGGCTATGGCTAATCGTCAATGTCACCATATACCATATCAACAATGTTTATCATATTTCTATGATAATTGATGATGAATTAAATTTCAAACTGCGCATTTTTTCCATCTGCTATTTAATCGAAATGAATGTTTATTTATTCTTTTATTTTTGGTTGGAACAAATTACATCCACTGTTAGCCACAAAAAAAAATGTCGAAACCGGTATTATACTATACGGCGGCTTGTCCACCATGTCGCACGGTTATTGCCATTTTCCGAATGCTCAATATAGACTTGGAAATGAAATCGATTAATCTGTCTGAAAAAGAACATTTATTACCAGAATTTGGCCAGATCAATCCATTCCATAAGGTTCCAACATTTGTCGATGTTGATGGTTTTGTCTTGGATGAATCACGTGCTATCTGTATGTATTTGATACAGAGCCAACATCCTGATTCTTCGTTATATCCACATGACGATCTTAAAAAACGTTCACAAATCGATCGTTGGATTCAATTTGATATAAGTTTCTATTCAATGATCGCAGTGCCATTTGTAAGTTGATCAAATAATGATGAAATAATCAAAGTAAAAAACAAGCTTTCTATCTTTATCTGAAAAAGTATTCCACAATTTTCGGTCTACCAATAGATCAATTCAAATTGAACCAAGCAAAAGAAACATTAAAAATTTTAAATGATGTAATGGCCGGATTTTATGGTCGATTCATTATTGGTTCCGAACAGATTACTTTGGCTGATGTAGCCTTGTATTTTACATGTACTATGATGGAAGTTGCTTCCGATTATTATGATTTTGCTGATTATCCACATCTTAAAACCTGGTATGAACGAGTATGCCATTCATTAAAACCATATGATACGGATGGTTTTTTCGTCAAGGCAATCGAAGCATTAAAACATTATGTACAGCAATGTAAAGCAACTAATAATGATAGCAACAACAATTGATTGATAATTTGACAATTATTTAAGCAAGTTCTCTTAATTTAATGGTACAATTCATTAAAAAAAACACAGGATTAAAAACTTGCGTTTCTCCCATTAATCATTTTTTACATTAAAACTTTTTAATGTTTAGATTTTGGAACAACACCACCATCTTTGCTTTTTATTCCATAATAAGTGGATTCATTCTGTATGGAAATCTTTTGCGTTTCGATCATTTGACCTTTAGCAACAGCTGATGTCATTGTTCGTTGTGGAAATTGTCTTTGTGGTAACATCGAAGGCTGTGGTTGTTTTCCACCGCTTAAACTGGATGATAAACTAGTTCCAATAGGAGATGATGATGTATCCGCTGTGGATGATTTTGGCTGACCACCACCAGAAGTAGTACCAACACCACTACTCGTTACATTTGATGTTCGTCGTCCATAGAATCGATTTCGGCCGAATATACAACGTTCGATCCGTTCCATATAATGATATTGAGCACGACGATATCCCCAAGCATAACCCCACCCCCAATCATCTAATGGTCCATGATTCCAGTCTTCTTTTAAAAACCGAGCAAATGTCCTATTGTTTCGGTTCATCTTTCGACGGATGCCAACACGTGCATAATTTCGACCATCAGTAGCTGCATTCTGTGTTTGCTGCTGAGATGTTGATTGATTTGCTTCAGTATTGGTATTAATTGGTCGGTTCATTTTCAGTCTATAAACTCAGTATTCAACAATTAAACAAACACTACGAGATCAATAATGACTTTTCATTCCTTAATGTTCTCTCTATTTAACGTCATTCGTTCAATTTTCGAGAAGGAATTTTATTTTTTTTATTGCTAATCTAATTAATTGATATTGACATTTCAAAGATTTTATTCAAAATTGCTAATTTGATTATAGATTTTATTTAAAAAAGAACAAACAATTAATGAATGAATGAATGAATATGGACAAGATTTGAAAATTCTGCTATGTACTGCCATCTCGTTTCTTGTGTAGGTTGTTTATAACGAGATTTCGAAAACACAGTTGCATGCATGGTGAGCACACACTATCACACAAGTATTAATTTCAAGACAATTGAATGAAAATTGAAAAATGGACAGCGAACTTATCCGTAATGGGCGTCTGACATTTTTGGTCGATTCAACATGGCGTGAAGATGTTTCTAATCTACCACAAGAAGATATATTTGTTCCAAGCATTCATCTACCTGATCCTGAAGCGGAAAATGGTACTTCGAATGAAACATTAAAAGAATTGGATCTTAAATGGACCGATTTGGCTCTCACTTCGATCGCTACGGATTCTACATTAAATTGATATATTTAATCACTGAATAAAAAAAAATTTGTTTATTAACTATTTCTTTGAATTTTTTGCCATTTATCTACACGATGTTGACTGATTTGTGCTTTGATATTAGCATTGACCGTAGTGATTGGTTCGCCTAAACGTAATGCTCGTTCCAATTCCATTAACATGTAGGCATCCGGTTTGAATGAAACGAAAGTAGAAACATGACCGATAAATGATGATCCAAGACGTCCTGTTCGGCCAGATCTATGAATATAATCGGAAACATAATGGGGACAATCAAAATTGATGACATGTTTCACTCGACTTGTATCAAGACCACGTGAGCCAAGATCGGTAGCTACAAGTATATCATATTCGCCTTTTTGAAACAATTGAAACGATTGATAACGTTCTTCTTCGTCCATCGTACCAGTTAATCGAACACAATTAAATCCATTTTCGTTAATAAATTTAAACAACCAATCAACAGCTTTGGCTCGATTGGCAAACACAATGACGGGTGATTTTTGTGCTTGACTTTCGAATAATAGCTCGAACAATTTGATATCTTTTTTATGTCGATTAACCCTAAAGAAACGATGTTTTATATTCGGGTGTAATGTATGGAGATTTTTGGTCGATATTTGATCAATATCGTCTTGCATGTCGACTAATGAGCCAATAGTAGAATCTAATGCCATTGGCATCGTTGCACTAGCACATATTAATTGAGTACCATTTAGGACATGTGATTCATCTGATTCAATGTTGCATTGCTCTTTGTCATCATCATGGTTTTGACCATGATTGATCTGTGGAAATTAAAAATTAGATTTAATTAATGAAATAATTATCATGTTTTTATCATTACATTTAACTTTCCAAGTAAATCCATTGTTTCATAAGCAAACGAATCATCCAATAATGTATCAGCCTCATCAAAAACGATATGGTTCAAATTTCGAAGAGAATAAACACCATTATTCAAATGTGATTCAATTATGCCAATAGTGGTGATGACCAAATCGATACCCGTTTGATGTAAATGTTTCGGTAATCCACCAATCATTGTTGCCACACCAACATCAGTATTTGCACACAATTGTTTAGCAACATCTCCAACTTGTTCAGTTAGTTCCCGTGATGGTAATACAATTAATCCAAATGGACATTTGCGATTACGATTCGAATTTACAACTTTAGTTTGTTGAATAAGTTGAATTAATGGGGCAAGATAAGCTATTGTTTTGCCACTTCCAGTTTCGGCCGAAAACACAACATTTCTGTAACGAAGTAACAATGGTATGACTGCTGATTGAATTGTTGAAGGAAAAATAGATTGGCCGCTATTTACTGTATCATAAATTGATTGAGTGAGGTTTTGGCCTAGTCCTAAAGAATCGAATGATTTCGGATGGTCACATGACATTAAGGAAGGATTCGTATCAAAATTATGTACGGTCATGTATTGTCCTGTTGGCGAATAGAATAAAAATATTGATCAATCAATAAATCGTTCTTACCATTTGAAGTTTCTTTAAGAAAAAATTTCGATATCAATGGAACGTCTCTGGTATTATATCGACGACCATAATAATGGAATAATTTTTTATCACCAGTCCAGCTGATAATTTTCTTATTTAAATGATTAGGATTTAATGGATTAGCCATTTTTTGACGTCGTTTTTCACGCGTTTCTTTTACTTTACAATGTTCTTGATAGATTGTATTGCCCAAATTATTTTCCATATATTTTGGTATTTTAATGATTGGAATATCTTCATGATTCAAACGAAAAGATTGATGGTCAATTAAACTTTTTCTATGATTAAATATTGAGCGTTCTATACACAGAAATCGGTTAAACATAATTGGATAAGAATTTAATTATTTTTTTAATTTTTAGTTTCGCGAAAAATTAAAATTTCGAATCACATGTATGAAGTTATTCATAAATACAATGATTGAAATATCACCTGATGACGATATTGTCAATACAACAATAATTTTTAATAAATATAAATTGTTCTAATGGATCATTATCGACGTAACAATGATGGTGATCGTTATAAATCAAGATCAAAAAGAGATCGGCCATCATCGTCACCAGATAATCGAAAAGAATCAAGTCTACGAGAATTGAAAGAAAAAGCTCGCCGCGAAAGACATTATCACCATCGTGATAGAAATCGCGGTCAAGACAATAATCACCGACAAGCTTAGGCTTTCAGATCGAAAACTTGATGATAAAAGTCGTAATCCAAGTCGAAGCCGAAGTCCTCATTATCATCGACGATCATTTGAATCGAATACGCGAAATGAACGTGAACGTAGCGATTCATTTCGAATGAATCATCGCCGTCACGATGATGACGAGTTTGAACGAAAGAAAAACAATGACCAAACAGAAAATGAGGAAAAACTACCCGAAATTCGGCCCAATTTCGAATTAACAGGTGCACTAGCTCGTGATACAAACACATTCAATGGTATTGTCATAAAATATAATCAACCACCTGAAGCGAAGAAACCGACAAAACATTGGCGCCTTTATCCATTCAAAGGTTCTGAAGCATTAGATCATATCAATATACATAACCAAAGTGCCTATCTATTCGGTCGCGAACGACGTGTAGCTGACATCCCTATTGACCACCCATCATGTTCAAAACAACATGCTGTCATACAATTTCGTTCTATATCTGTGGAACGACTGGATGGTACCACGAGAAAAGTAACTCGACCGTATATAATCGATCTTGATTCAGCCAATGGAACATATGTTAATTTTAAAAAACTTGAACCAAGTCGTTATGTGGAATTATTCGAAAAAGATGTGATTAAATTTGGATTTAGTAGTCGAGAATACGTTTTATTACATTCACAATCACAAGCTGACGATGATCATGATGATGATGATAATAATAATTGAGTATGAAAAATTATAATTATTCTTTTATCCATATTATTGTAATTTTTTTTTAATTCATCCAAATAAATATTCATCATTCATTCTTAAATTGATTGATATCGTTTTAGTTTCCATATATTCTTTCATGGCTTCTTCACCAAATTCCCGGCCAAATCCAGACATACGAAAACCACCGAACGGTGTTTGCGGGCGAACAACGAAAAAACAATTTACCCAACAAGTACCGGCTCGTACTTCACGAGCAAATCGTAAAGCTCGATTAATATTAGGTGTGATTACACCTGCACCTAAACCGAATTTATTTCGATTAGCTCGTTCGATGATTTCGTCCATTGTTTTAAATTTCATAATACACTGAACTGGACCAAATATTTCCTCACTACCAATTTGCATTTGTTCATTCACATCGGCAAAAACGGTCGGTTGAATGAAATAACGTGCACAGGCATTCTGATTTGAAGGCAGTGGTTTTACAGTTCCTGGTTTTCCACCCACCATCAATCGTGCCCCTTGATCAATACCACTTTGGATCATTCGCATTATCTTATCGATCGATTGTGAATCAACTTGTGGTCCATGTTCAGTGTTGCTGTCCAATGGATTACCTACGATTCGATCACCTGCTATTCGAACACATGCCTCAACAAATTGGTCATAGATTTTTTCCTGTACATAGGTTCGGCTTCCACAACAGCAAACTTGTCCATTCGATACGAAAATAGCATTCGTAGCCAATCGTGCAGCTTGTTCAACATCTGGTACATCATCGAATACGACTAAAGGATTTTTCCCTCCCAATTCTAGAGTTACACGTTTCAGGTTGGTACGAGCCGAAGCGGCCATTATAGATTGACCAACTTCCGTCGATCCGGTAAATGTTATCTTATCAATGTCCATATGTTCAGCAAGAGGTGCACCGACACCATGGCCATCACCGGTTAGAACATTAAATATACCGGATGGAAATCCATCGATCAATGTGGATAAATGAGCAATGAACAATGCCGATAATGATGTTTGTTCGGCTGGTTTAACAATGACCGTATTACCTGCGGCCAAGGCAGGAGCTGCCGTTTTTGCTAACATCAATGTAGGACTATTCCATGGGATAATGATTGCGCAAACACCCAATGGCATACGAATGGTCATAGTCATAAGATCATCACCACAAGCAGTCGGTATGGTTTCACCTTTGATCTTATCAACGATACCAGCATAGAAACGAAATATTTCCGCCGATGCATACGATGTATGCAACATTTCTCGTATTGGTATACCATTCTCTAATGAATCTAATGCCTTCAATTAAATAATGTTAATTAATTTCATTTTTGATTAAAATTATTTTTCTAAAACCAACCGCAATATGTTGATGATGTTGTTCAATTAAATCAGCTAATCGATATAGATATTTTCCTCGTTCCGGAGCCGGAACGGATTTCCATTGATTGAATGCACGTCTTGCTGCCATTACGGTACGATCAACATCTTCACTCGATGCTTGCTGTAAGCGTGCAATCGGACGATCAGTGTATGGACAAATAGATTCGAATGTTTGTCCATTGCTGGAATTACAAAATTGTCCATCAATAAATAATTGAGTGAATTTTATATCAGGCAAATGGAATTCTGAAGCCATTTTAAATGATGTGAACAAGAAATTTTTTCAACAAATGAACGTCCTTTTTATACCAAGAAAAATATATTGATTTGGTACAGAAGAAAAAAAACTGATTTTATCTATGAATGTTTGTTTTTATTTCTGAAGAGTATTAAATTTCCTTCGACTTTTATCCACCAAACGAACGAGTTGTCAACTGACGACACATATATACATTTATAATCAAAATTTACTGCGACCATGTATGAATTGTGGTAAAGTACATTTGTATTTTCGTAAAAAAAAATTTGTTAAAGTATAGACAATAAATAAATTTCTTAAGAAACAACAAGGGCATATATTTTGCGTTTGTACATATATAAATTCAAATTGAAGATTCGTATACCACTGTGCAAGCATTGTTTTCATTGGTAGTGTCAATTTGTTTTGAATGACAACAATAACGAAATGGAAAAATGACGAAAATAATGATGATGATGATAATCAAAGTTAATATCGATATGGCCAATGACACAGCCAATATATGATTATCTAATCGAATCCAATGCGAATTTGAGTTATTTTTATGCAAAATAGGCCATGATGATGATGTGCCATGAAAAAGCTCATTTTTATAATTGTTATCGACAAATTTTATAAAACTCTGGTTGCGTCGATTTTCAACAATTGACAACATAAATGGTTCAGAAATATTTTGGCCAATTTCATTGGCAGCCATACATTGATAAATAGATCCATTTTGTGCTCGTGTAAGTTTTCTGAAAATTTTTGTTGCTTCAACAATACCATTATTATGGTTATAATCATTATCATTAGATAGTGTTTTCCATACAACTTGTCCATCTTGTATCCAAATAATGCCCTCGTAGAATACGTCAGGATTTGCTTCAATCCGACATTGTAATCTCAAATCTGAACCTTCTTCTAGAAGATCGTCACCAATTGGCATTATTGTCAGACGGGGTTTATCTATAAAAAAAAACAAATTGTTAGGATGACAAAATTTATCAAAGCAATTTACTTACAATAAACTCGAATTGGTTGTATAACTATTGATTCGGAATTATTTACCATTTTCAAATTCATTGCAGAGCAAATCAACAGATTCCCATCATATTCGATACGTGGTATGAATTGTATAATTGGAGTATTTGTATGTAAATCAATATCGATTAATTGAGAATTTTTTGATCGTAATAACCAATGGATTTCAATCGATGGATGAAAACCCGTTGCTATACATTCGAATTCGACCAGATGATCTGCTATCAATATCAATGAATCATTATCATACATTTTAGATGTTGGATACATAGATTCTCTTGTGAGTACGATTCGGATCTGTCTGGGACGTAAATTCACATTAAGTTGAATATAAGTAGGTATGTACTTTTGATGTTTTCGAATATCATCATGACTATTCCAGCCACGACAAATATACATTGCATTCAAATGTTCATAAGTCAAATTTTTTAATATTAGTTCATTTCTTATCCATAGGCCATTAGATTCGGTGCAAAACGTTGAATCAATTTTCGTGTTATTTTCATCATACCAAATTACCGATGTATGGATAAAAGGATCATTATCAGCTAGACAAATCAATGTTAAATCAGTACCCTGATCATAGGGACCAATTATTCTGTCATTAAGTATTTCGCCATTCGAATTGACAATTTCGATTTTTTTCGGCCATACATTACATTCAACAATCGACATGGTAATGGACCATAAAAACAACAAAGTTTTGGCCACATTTTTCACATTCATCATTAGTATTCAAATTGACGATGGATATAGTCACATTAAAAATTTTTATAAAAAAAACGAAAATGGAACACAAAAAAGCACCAAGATCGTTATTGCAGAAATTTTGATTACATGATGGCAGCACAGTCACTATTTCCTCTATCATATCAATTTAAGCTTTTGCTTAATTTAAGTCAACAAACAAAAAAAATTATTTAACTGTCATTTTTGTAGCAGCCGTTTTAAGACAATGTTTGGATATACTCGAAATAAAACCAAATTTTTACTTTAATGTTTTTATCAATTGATTGTGCTCAGTAATTAAAAGTAGTGAGGTAGAAAATTTCAAAAAATATTTAAACTAAATAACAAGATTAATTCATTTATTTTCACCAATCGAATGGATCATCAGGATTACGATTTCGATGACGATTATGATGTTGTTTCTGACGAAGGTTATCTTGGCACCATTGCTTGAATTTAGCATATAAATCTTGTGGTGTATCAACTTGAGGAATATCGGAATAATTTTGTGTTATGTAAATACCTGTATAAAGGCCAGCCGAAAATATCAATAAGCCACGAAGCATTTCCTATCACCAGCAAAAAAAAAAAATATCTTCAACAATATTAAATATTTTTTCCTATTTATTCTTGCGTAATTTAATTAAAATAATTCTACCCCAACATTACCAAAGGGAAAATCATTATTTTTCGACATGTTATTCGATTCCAAAAAACAAGATAAATTTTCCGCAAAACCGGAACAATTTTTCCCATTTTCATTTCAAGCATAAAATCGAAGCTTAATGTACAAATTCGGTTATCATCTTTCTTCCAAAGAAATATTCTTACGCCTTACGGTTGTTGTTGATCGTTTATTGTTCGGTCGAATGAATTTCAATTTTTTTCCTTTTGTTTTTTTCTCTGTCTCGACGAAATCGTCATGATCTTAATCATTTTTTCATTTCGTGTTGTTTATATTAGCGTTTGTATGTTTCATATATACGATGAATAACTGAATACTGAATATCATCGACTTTGATTCGAAAGTTGTTGTGGTTGTTGTTGGTGATCGATGTCAACCAACCGACAAGAAAAATAAGCAAAGCAATCCAAAGAATCGAGGCGAAAATTCATTCACATCGACCAATTTTCCATCCATTTACAGAGCTTTAAATAGAACCTATCTATCTTTATTTATTTAAGATGAAGATGATGAAATTATCTCACAATGAAGAGATGATTTTTCTTTTCTTTTTTTTGACAAAAACATACACATAATTAAACACAACATAGAATTTTCAGATTCTTTAAAAATCAAAGAAAATAAAAACAGGCACTAAAAAAATTCTGGCAGTTTGTCAAATTATTTCAGCTCATCATTATTGGTAAAATCTGTCTGTAAGTCTGTATGTTTGTCTCGACAAATTTTAAATCGAATGGATTTTTCTCAAAAATTATTCGAAAGAAAAATATCTTTAAAACGGACATTGCATTCATTCGACTCGAGTTGATTTTCATTAAATGTTCTAATTATAATTAGTTTTTTTTCAAGTTTTATGCAAATGAATTGGATAAGCAGACTATATGTTTATCATGAAATGGATGACATTGACCATTGTGGAATAAAAATTCTAATTGGAATTCCGAATGACCAATTGCATCATAATGAAAAAAACAAATAGTTTGAAAAAGATTTGAAATGCTAATTTGGCTCAATTATGATTACAGTGAAAAACAAATTGGCCAAAATAATCGTGTTCTAAAAATTCTTTTCAAAATTGTCATCACAAGGAATGAGAGAATTGTCCAAAATAAATTCTGTTATTATTTGCGAACATGCAAAAGCATACAAAAGAATTTTTTTTATCCGTCGAACAATTTTATTAACTAGTTAACATAAAAAAATTCAAATACAAACAATTTTCTAATTTGAATTTTGAATAACAATGTTTTCGTGTGTGAAAAATTTGAATTTTTATTCTGAAAAGAGTAAAAAAATCAAGTATTTTCACTTTTGTTTAGTAAGAATATCTTAAATTAATGATTAAAATGTAATTTACAGCTCCAGTAATTAGAAGTAAAAAGTAGAAAGTAGAAGATTTTTCCGATTATCGGTCATCCTCATTATACAAGCACATTGGGCGCCATCGTCCTGTTTGTGATTTCGGCCGAACTCTTTTTTTTCACTGAATTATGTCTACAAGGAATCGGAATTATTAATTATGAATTCAATGGATGCATTCTATGCATGATTCGAGCTCATATTTCTTTGTTTATTATTACATAAAAATTTGATTCCGATTCGAATCACGTTCTTTCGCTCTCTATAAATAAAACAAATAACGAAAAAACGGACGAATTCAGTGGGCGACATGCAGCTCTAGCTGGATTATCGAACCATTTGTGTTTGTTAGTTGATAATGACCAATGAACACCATAAAATCGAGTATCAATATCAATTGAGAATTTTGGTAAATCAACTTGGCTGAATTGAATTGATTCGAAAAAATATCAAAATTTGACAAGGTCAATCTATTATGAAATGTTTATGAATTTCAAGTCTAAAAAAAGAAAATTCGTCTGAGAGAAAAATGATAAAAAACACACAGGTATGAACCCGAAGAATTCAATGTAAGAATTATGAGTGAGAAAACGAAAATTCTTATCAGAAATTTTTTTGAATTATATATTGTAGAGGAAAATTTTGTTGTTTTTTTTGGAAAAAAATGAATTCTCATAGTCTGAACCAACCTGAACCAAGTTGAACCGAATTGAACATTGAAAAAAATATCAATTAATAACCTGTAAATGTTTGTGTGAAGCAAATTAATTCGGTTGTTTCACACGGGTGAAATCTCATCGAAATAAATTCCATTTTTTTCATTCATCCATTCACAAAACACATACTTGTGAAATACAGAATTTTTTTTAACCAAGATAGACACAAAATTTCTGTTTTTTATTGGTGAGAAAAAAAGGCACAACTGTTGTTGTTGTTTTTGGACATGTATACACAAAGAGAGAATAGAAAGTTTTTTTTGATCCCGGGATCATTTAATTGGCCGTTTTGTTTTGTTTTTTTTACTTTTTCTGTTTTTTTTCGTTATGATTGGTCACTTCTATATACTGATGAATTCAGAATGAGAATTGATAATTGGTATTGTGTGTGTGTATGTGTGTGTGGAACACGTTGTTTCTAGACTTTAATGGTAACAATTATTATTATCCAAAATCATTCTATCCAAAGAGAAGACCGGGAATGAGAAATGTAATATTTGAAAAAAAAATTTTTACCGGACACAAATGATTACGTGTATGAACAGTGATTATATTCGTTGAATGATATTATTCTGTCCTGCATAGACCCCCCCACTATCCAGAAACTTGTTATAAGTGTTGGTGGCTAATCCACATAACATTTGTAATTGTTCAAGGATCATCATCTCATTGCATTATTTTGTTGTTGTTGTTGTTGCTAGTCTATATTAAAAGTCGACTTGATTACTAATCAAGATAATAATAACAGAATAGGAAAAAAATATCGACATTCATGCCGACACGCATTGTAAAAATAATAATAACAACAATAATTTTGTTGAAACACAAAACAACGAAACAGAAATTGGATTGACACCACACAATTGTGACAAATAAATTTCTTCATACACACACACACACACAAAGGTACACAACCCAAATAGGCATTTATAGAGCAAAAAATAAAAATAAAGTAAATGATAATGACAATAATAATTCTGTTACGTATATAGAATAATGTTTTACTTTTATTTCTTCGGATTCTTCAATTTCATAATGTCCTATATATAATAAAATGATCATCATGATATTGTCATTGGTGATGATGATCAAATTGGATTCGAATATCATTATCGACATCATCATCATCATCATTTATATATTGAGCCATTATATCATTCGTTTAATCATCATTTTGTTTAATTCTTTTTTTATTTATTTATTCATTTTCTGTTTGAGTAGTAATAAACGAAAAAAAAGTTATGATTTTGCACATGATTCATTCAGATTAACAGTTTTTTCAATCAAAATCAAATATATTGAATTTTTTCTTTTTTGTTTGAATATTCTTCAATGAATTAGTTGTCACGACAATACAAAAAAAATGAGTGTTTGACAGTTTATATACCATCATCAAATATATTTGAATATGAATTATAGAAAATTTTACGCCCACATCGATAGGATTATCTTTTTTGTTTCTATTGTCAATAAGTGATCTAGATCAAAGATCACAACAATTTTAATGATCGATTCATAATTGATGGGGAGGATGATCATTGTGTGTGTGTGTATGCATTGCATGTGAAAATGTCCTTATTATTATTCTAGAGCCGACCAAAAAAAAAAAAACCTGTATTTCGTAAAACTATATACTAATTGTGTATGTGAATTTAGTTGCTTGGTAGACATATATTTCTTGAAAGTTGTCGGCAGAAAAAAAACTGTGAAAATAAAGTATCTGTAAATGTGGTAGTGATATTAGACTGGAAGCATATGGGAATGTAATGGATGAGGAGGAGTTAGAAGAGAATAAGAATTGATAGTGGAATTTTTTTATACGACAGTTTGTGGAAATTAAATTCTTCATGATGATGATGATGATATTCATCCATAAAGAAAATCTCAACATTCTGTGGCAAGCTTTTGATGTCATTACTTCGTTTCTGGCGCGTTCATGTGTGCTTGTATATTCTTTGTTGCCCGATTTTTTTTGGGCGCGTTAAAGATTCTTGATTGCGCTCAACGAAATTTTTTTTTATTTCATTTTCATTGACACCGGGCCACAAATCGTGCGAAAGAAAAATTCTGGCTGTCGAATTCTCATTATTCATTCGATTCTTTTTTTATCGATATTTTTCGTCGTCATCACCATCTTTGTTGTTGTCCGATATATTCATTTCATATTTTTCAAACATTAAACCGATTGCTTTACGGCCACCTATCATGCCCATATTTGGTCCGGGTATTCTATTCGATCAAACGACCGCCTGATAAAAAATAATTGACCATACTATTCATAATTGTTATATTTTTCTTTTGCGAACCAATATTCAAAGACAGAAAGAAAAGAAAAAGTCATTCGATATTCAACTAGCGGTCGTATTTTTCAAAATTGAAATTGTCTCTTGAATCAATAAGTTTGGTAAGTTTTTGCTTTGGTTATTATTTTCAATTTGTTCATTAACGGCTATTTCATTAACAATCGTTCATATGCTTTTAGAATTCATTATCATCGTACGATATACTGTGTGTCCATTTGTTTATGTGGTATTGCGTGATTCATTATGATGAGATCATCTTTATTTTCTTATTTTTTTCTTAAAAAAATAGAATGATCGATTGAAACTTTGTTTTTATTTGAATGATTAATTGTATAAATGACATGATGTGGTTGTTCAATTGTGATCGACAAAAAGTAATTGTTGCTGCTGTCGTTGTTTCATCATTATCATCATCATCATCGATTGCAGCAATTAATCGATCTGCCAACTTTATTATCGTACAGAATGAAGTATTGGCAAACAATGGTCAATGAACATTATGATCACTATCTTCGCCATAAACAACATCAAAAACCATTCCGATCACAACAACCACAACAACAAACTCTTCAACAGCGATCTACAGCAACAAATGGATCAATTTATCACAATTATGAAAATAACAACAATGGTCAACGATTCAATGTTTTACCGAATGGTCATTATCAACATCATCAATCAGGACAACAACAACGTTTGGGTTCTACATCGACCATATTATCATCAACATTATCATCATTACCATCAAGTGGTGCAACAAATAATTCAAATACATCACCAACAAATCATCCTAATCGTGATCATCCTCACCATTTCTCTAATACATCATTTACAAATGATGGCAACATTATGGATCTGGTTCAAGTGGATGTTGATTCACCTACCAAAAAATCCACATCTTTCATTACTGATCAAATTGTCAAACAACAATCAAACAATGGTTCGGCTACGATTATTCAAAGAATGGAACAATCATGGTCACCACAATCATCACCATCATCATCAACAGAACATTGTAGCTCTCAGAATAATCATATGGGCCAGAATCAAATTATGATGAATACAACGGCCAAGAATCGTAATCCATTGAGATCCATATTGAAGAATGCTAAAGTTAGCCCACCACCACCACCATTACAGCAACATAATGTCAACATTATGACAAATGAAACATCAAAATCATCAACAAATTCTCATTCAACAATAATAATGACTACTAGTGATCGATCACAGCCTAAATTTGGTATATTAAAAAAACCACCAATTCAAATACCGGAAGAAATATCTATCTGTAATGGAAATGGTTTAATGCGACGAAAATCCAGTGATCATTATGATGAAAGCGAAACAAGTGAAAGTGTAAGTCTCAATCAAAGCAAAATATCTGGCCGAAAAAATTTGCTCAAATTTTTTCTTCGTGGTGGTGGTGGTGGTGGTGTTAATAAATGCCAAGAAAATACCGATATTAAAGCTGATCATTATGTGAATTATAGTGCCAAAAAACTTTCATTATCATCGTTATCATCCAATAACAGTGTCACAACAATGGATGGTGATAAATCTCAAAATTCAATAACCAATATTTCACCATCACCGATCGTACGATTCCAAGTGGATTCACCAACAAGTAGTAGCAATAATACTAATGTTAGCAATAATACAATTAAAGAACAACAACAACAACATATCTTTCCAGGACATGATGATGATTCAAAAGTCTTTGGAAATCAATCAATTCAGGTTAGTGTTTTTGGTTTACTTTACTGTTCTGTTTACAATATTCAATATAACATTTAGACAATAGAAAAATATACTATAGTGATAGGAAACAACATAACATTAATTCTTTTGTGTTGAATGGACAAACAACAACAACAACAACAACAACAACAATAATAATAATAATATGATGATGATGATGATGATGCTCATCATTATTATGATACGCGAATATCACATCCGATCGATAAAATAATCTCAAATCTTAACCACCATTATTATTGTATATAATAATAATTTAATCGATCGGATTGATATATATTATGTGTGTGTGTCCATTTGTGTTTGGTGCGTGTGCTCCTATATTTTAATTCGATTCGAGTGTTTAATCGCAAGGGTCGGATTGGTTTTGCTTTTCCTTTGTACTTGCGTGTATGTGTTTGTCGTTATAAATGATTATTTCTTTCCACCCACTCGATCGATATGCGTTTGTATTTGTTTGTATGAAGCAATTTTTGATTTTGTACCATACAAAAATGTTTTTACATCAATAATATTTAGGTCATTGTTTCTAGTTAAAGCAGAATTTTTTTTATGTAATAACAGAATTTTTATTTTTGCTCTGTTCAGCCCCTCCCTATGAACAAAAAAAACATCGACGAAATCATGTTTATGATGATTATATAATCATCAACATTGAGAAAACATTTTCATTGGGATTACAATGTTGATAATTAACACACATAGACAGCAAATAATAATGATTAAATTAATTTTGAACAATATACCATTAAAATTGAATAGAATATTGTTCATTCAATATTTTGTATTTAATTATTTGAAAATATTGTCTCTGTTTATCGAATAGTAGATGTTGTAACTATAAAATGGTGAAAACAGAATTTGATAAAACTCTAGAGACCTGAAAAAATTATGTATCAGCTGGGGTTTTTGTTTCCAATGTCATTTTTTTTCTCATCTCATATAAAGAATAATAATTTTTGTTATTTATTTATTTATTCGTGAAGAAAAGAAAGAAAGATTGTTTGATTTCTTTCCTTGACTTGGTTTGTTTGTATACGTTTGTATGTGTTTTTATTTATGAGTTTCAGTATATATCATGATAAGAAATAGACATTTCTTTCATCATCAAAACATCATTGTCTCTGTTTTGATTTGTTTGCATTGAAACTTTTCACATAAATATATTGAATGAAAAAAAACCAACTATAATACATAGAGATGGTGAGTATATCTGGAACAGAACAAATTATGAAGAATGGATTATATTTATCAAGCAATCACACACACACAAATCAAAACCTGACTTGACTTAAGTGGAACTAATTAGATCCAATTCTTGAATTTTGATCACCAGTACCCTAAAAATAAGAATCATAATGAAATCAAAAAATGAGACAAAAATGTATGAATAATTAAACCGAATGGACAATCACTTAAAATTTTTATTATTAGTTTTAATTCCCACATTTTTTAAATGTTCAAATTCTTAATGATTAGTCCTATCTGTTGCTTTTTTTCACTTTTTTACCGCTTTCAAATGTATGATTATCAAATCATGGACAGCTTATGTGAACAACAATCAAATCAAAGCCATTTTCATTTCCAAATTTATGATTTATGCCGATTTTTTTCTTGAAAATTTTTTTTTACTGTTTGTACCATCACTTATTTATGGCCAATTTTTTTCTCTACCAAAATTTCGATTCGTTTAATACTGATCCCAAGAGAAAGAGAGAGAATGAAATTGTTTGATTTTTTTTCAATGATAATCACGATAAAACGAAAACGATCAGATCGATTCGATCACAATGTATGTCAGCATTTTTTTTTTGAATTCCCGAATTCGAAATATGAATGTGAAATAAATGAAATTTTGTAAGTCTATGTGCGGTTTTATGGGACCCACGAGAGAGAGAAACAAAGAAAAGAACGAATCTAAAGAATATTCCGAAAGGTTGCAAAGAAAGGATTCATGAAAACTTTTTTGTTAGATAAAGAATTATTGTCATTATTATATTTCTTTTATGATGCTGAACATTTGTTTTTTGTTCATTTCAGTTGATTTGACAAAATAAATATTTTTTTAATGAAAAAAAAATTGAGCCTTTTTTGGAATCCATTTATATTCATCATATATTCGGTGGTTATTCTAATCTATACTGTTATGTGATGTAAAACATACAATTTTTTTTGTAACAAAAAAAACTATATTCAGCAATCAATTTATGGTATATCTATCACCCATTTTAAACATTGTGTTCAATTCGTTCCAGCATAATGTTGATTACTCTCTTTTTCTATTACACAATATGTATTGAGAAGGCGCAAGAAATGCTTGTAATTGCAAAAAAATAAGGCCAATTAGAACCTCTTAGAAAAATCGTTTTCTTTTCCTCGGGAAAATTCTTATTCATTGCCTGAATCACAAATTTTTATTTTTCAACGATTGTAGATTTTTTTTTATTTATGGTTGAATTGGCAATATCAGGGCCTTTAATGGTTCGTGTTGTATGTATGTGTGTGTGTGTGTGTGTTTTGTCGGTTAGTTTCAATTTAAAATTTTTTTTTCAGTTCAATTGAATGCCTGAAACACACATATGCACATTGATTAGTAGTGTAGTGATGTTCCTTATCAACATTGATGTTAGTCATTAGTGGAAAAGATTCAAATATCTAAAATGATGAAAATTCCCGCACAATCGTTTATTTTTTTATCATGCCATTTTTATTAACGATAACAACCTGACTGTCTAACCAAAAACTTATATCTGGTTGATCACATACCTGAATTTTCTCTTAAAACAAAATAACATGACATTTGAATTCCAATATTTATTTATTCATTCATTCGAATTCATTGTAGCTAGCTATATTAATGGCTGTATTTTTCCTGATCATTTCATCACCATCATCAATATAAATGATGATGAATAACGAATGGAAAAGACATGTCAATAGGCCAATAAAAATGGCCAATTTGATTGGACAAAATAACAACAACAGAAAAACAATTAACTTACAATACTCAATTCGTTTTCAGTTTGTTTGCGGCATTGAGTGGGCAGAAAAAATTGTTGTAGCTTATAATCAATATTGATCGACTTATTTTTACATGTTCGTTGGAAATGAATGAAAATCAAATCATTCAAAACTTCCGAATGCATTCATGCATCACTGAATGACAAATAGATGACTGATTTTTGACTTTTTTTTACGAAATCCGATATATCTAGCCTATAGCATGTTGATAACAATCATATCAAAATCATTCATATCAGTTATCAATCTATTCGGATGTTGAGGATCAATATAGTTGAATAGAAAAATGTATCTTTTGCCACATTGTTTTCATCCATTTTTAATTATTACTCTCTATTTTTTTCATTCAATTTTTATTTAACTAATATATTTTGTCACTTCTGGATCAACGAATATATCCAGTTTATTTTTTATCTGATGTATTCTGAAATTTTCTATAAATAACATTAAAATACCTCTTACAAATCATAATTATAATCATCATAATCATAAAATGAACAACGCTCAAGGCAGAATTCGTATCCATGGATACTTTTATTTTTTTTTTGTTTCGAATTCGATCTATTAATGTATAGTCGATTATCATTATTAGAATAATCGTGACTATGAAACCGGATGTGATCGATGGAAATGAAATAAACTCAACTGTCAACATATATAAATTTATGAAACATAGAGCAAGTAAAATATTGTACATATTCTTTGAGAAATATTTCCTTTCTAATGGTTATATCCATGTCCAGAATTTTTATTGACTAAAAATAATATCGATTGATTTTTTTTGTGCTTGATGGTGAGAAATAAAAACCACCGCCACCACTACCGAAAATCAAGGATAAGTCCAAATTCTAATGGTGATAGTCATTGGTACTAACGATAATATATCTATAAATCTAAATGTCTGTATCCTTTTTCTAGTCCCTGGTTTCTTACGCTAAATTGAATTCATATATCATGGATAGTGACGACGACAAAGCATGTATCGGCATGTACAATGCTTTACTGTAGAATTTCCATTATTATCAATGAAGGTACGAGCATGAGCTGGCTTCTGCTGGTGAATATGGATTTTTTCCATATACAGATGATTGGGTTTGTTGGAAATTTCATAGAATTGAAAATTTATAATAATTTTTCTTGTATTCACTATGGTCATCATGAAATATGGGTGATAAATTAACTAAAAAAAAAATTATCTACTGGAATTCACACAAGAATCCTTGCTATTTGATGATGATTTGTCGATGACATCTGTCTTTGATTGTCTTGATCTATGTTTTATTGTTCCAAAATTAATTATTAAATTTAGTGAGAAACAAACAAGGTCATAATCAATTGACCGAAAATTGATTATTACAGTTAGATGTATAGTATTTTTTTTCTCTAGAATTAAACACAAACAAGAATGAAATTCATAAGTACATGTTGGTTCATGTTTTACAAACGGAACAATAACCGAATGATTAATAATTTTACACTTACGATAAAGATAAGTAGAACATCAATTACATCAATCGACATTCAAGTCGAGAAAAAAAACCTGAATCCTGAGGATCCTGTTGTGATGCAATCTAATTTTTATTCCATGATCCCAGATGACTATCACGATTAGAAAACACAAGCAAATCCCGGGAATTCATTTTTTGTCTTGAAATTTTTTTCTTTTTTTTTGGCTGGCTGGTCAGTATAACGAAATGGAATGAACATTTGAAATTCAACTGGGAATCTTCAACGTTTTCATCAACAAAAACATGTATGATCAATTCTATCATACGGAATGAATTGTACGATAGGGACATTTTGAAAAATTTTTGTCATTTTCATTATTTTCACACAAATTTCATGATAGATCTTTATGATATTTATCCATATAGTATAAAAAATCCTAAAAACAAATTAGATAAAAACTATGTAAAGATATTTTGACTATCATAATCATAATAATCTTCTTTTAATACAACAAAATTATAAAAGATGACAAAAATTCTCTCTATTTTTTTTTGATCAATTTAATGTACATCCTTTTATCATTATTATTATTAAGTAGTTGTAGTAGTATTTGTATCGCGAAAAAAAAGTTTGTATATAAAAAACTAACTTTTCACAACAAATAGACCATTATCATCAATCAATGTTCATATTCATCATCATTATTGTTTGTTTGTTTGTTTGCTTGCTTATTTGTTGATAGCATTTCTCAATTTTTTTTTTGATCTATTTTTTCCGAATGAAATTATATTTTTTTTTTGTTGTCATCGGATTCATAATCTTACTTTTTATTCAATAGGTTCAATTCTTCCGTTATGCATTCATCACATACAAACACATATTTTTGTTGATTTACAAGGCGATAAAAAACAAGTCAAATTATTTATGATGATAAGTTTAATAATAAATTAATATATGATAATTATCGTCATTAATAATTTAATAATTGATTATTAATTCTTCTATTTGACATGATTGTATTGGAAAAAAATACATTCAGGCGAATTAGGATTGAATATGTGAAAAAATGCCGTTCCGTGCTAATAATGTTTTCTACATATATGATTATTAAAATTCAACAATCCATTGATACCGAATCAAGTAAATAGGAAAATATAGATTTTTCTTATTTAAATTTTAAAGAAATGTGGACAAATAAAAATAAATATTTGTTGTTTGTGATTCTTTGGAGATGTAAAATTACAAAAAAAAAAATTCTGCAAACGAAATAGATAAAAGATTGTCTGGATTTTTTTCTGTACATTTGTGATATATTTGATTCGAATGGTTGCTTGGTCTGCAAAATTGAAATTCATGCTAGATACACATATACAGAGACATGCATACGGAAAAAAATAAATTATTGGGAAAGGGATGTAAATTATAAATTATTTTTTTTTCTCTCTTTCTCATGAACGACCACATACCGAAATGAAAAACTGGAAAAACTGGTCGTAAATAATCCAAACGATTCACACTTGGACATTTGATCATAATTAATGCCCAATCGTCAACAACAATAATTTTTTTTGAACTGCTACATTTACTATCCAGTGTTGGTTTAGTCAGACTTTTCACTAGTTTTCAGTATTTAATTTTCATTTTTATTTTTTCTTGATACCGTTTTTGTTATGGTCTACTTTTTCTTTTGCTCGAATAGTTCATCACCTTATATTATGATCCGTACAGAAATTCCTAGGAAAAATATGCAGAGACAAAATATGACCAAAATCCAATAGTTAAAGATATGGTCTATCAATTCAGTGAAAGAATAAATCATTATATGATCATAAGCCGCTTATGATAAGCTACCGGTTATGTAATAAAATATTAAAATATATTGTTGTCATTCTTTTGTTGTTGTTGCTGTTGTTGGCCACTAACATTCATGACACAGAATTTTTCTAGATCCAAAAATGCCATTCCATAATAAAACATTTAGTATATATGAAAGTTATAATGTCAATAAACCAGGCCATTCTATGGAATACTGTTGATCCGTATAGGTTTAATGTTTCAATTTTTCATTCATAACGTAGAGACCCATGAACATTGATAATTAAAAGATATATTATCTAGTCTAGTATAAAGTGTTTAAAAATGCTGACCCATCTCACAACCGTTTTATTATTGTTTCTTTCAAATTTTATTATAAAATCTAATTAATTCTGGCTAGCAAACAAATTATGATGGAAAAAAAATCCATTTGATGATAAATTATGTGAAAAACAAAAGGAAAAATTCATTATTTTTTGTGTTTATGTATGTATGGGTTAGTAAATTATATAAAAAAAATTCAACGAAAAAATCGTTCTCACTTTGAATTGTAAAAAAATATGAATAAATGACATTTATCAAATAATAAGTGTGTAAAACATTGACATTTTCAATTCAAATTCATAACTCATTTTCATATCGAATATTGATTGTCATTACATTGATCATTTTATAAGACATTTCCATTTTGGTCCCATTTGGGGAATCAAAACAAGTGTGTGTATACTTACCATTTTAGAATATTAGAATTTTTTTCATTCTCATCATACAAAATTAAATATAAAAGTAAAGAATAATTTATAGACTATGTGATGGTATTATCATAGGTGAGATTTTATTTTCAGCCTATGTATGCACAGATTTTACCGATTCTTTTTTAAATCTTACGATGAAATAAGATAGTTATAGAAAATATGAATTTAAATTAACTGAAAAAAATTCAATTACAAATTTCAAAGAATGTTTACGATAAAGGGGTGAAGCAAATCCTGAAATTAATGATTCTTTGCCACAATTTCCATTTTTCTCATCATCATTTTTATACGAAAATAAGCCCAATTTTTTTTCGTTCGTTTTGTTCATATACAAAAGATGAAAAAAAACTTGAAATGGCCAATTCGTTGAATGAAAAAGAAATGAAAAACATGAATACTGAACAAAAGAAGTAAATTTAAAAATTCGATGAGAAAGAGCGAGAACTACATCATTATCATTGAATTTCATATGAATTCTAGCGGAAATAGAAAAAAAATATCGCATAGTTTTAATCGTAACTATTGAAAAAAAAAATCTGCGACCAAAAACCAAAACCACCACCATCAACTACTAATACAGTGTAATATAATTTAGCATAAAACGCGGTAGACCGAGGAATTTTTTTTTCAAAGGCTCAGGAATTTTGATTCAACTTTGTTGATGTTGAATGCAGACTTTCATCATCATCATCATCATTGTTTTCATTGTGGCCAAATGTGGCTGAATATTTTTTTTTCACTACATAGAGAAAAGAAATAATAATAATAATAAATGAGGGAAAAACGAAAGTGTGAATGTGTAATTCAAGAGTTTTGCTTGAATGCCACAAAAGTTTTTTTTTTAACAAAAGCACTTTTTATAGTCATATAAAACGTTTAACATATATACAATTCAATTGAATTTATTGTTCCAGTATTAGAATAAAAAAGAAAAAAATGAAAACCAACAGCATCATCATCATCATCATTATCCTGCTTGGTATGGTGGCCATCATAGATTCTTGTATGTGAGAAGGATGAAATTCTGAACATCATTCATTCTTTCTCTCTCTCTCAATATACCATATAGATAATATGGCAATAATGATTTAAGTGCATACAGAGAATCACTAAATCTATTAATCACATATCACACATAGACAAATTTCATAAATAATGATGGTAAATGAATTCTATGAACAAGTTATTCAACGACATAACTAAGGCTTTGTATATAAACTGTCAATTGTTGTTCGCTTCAATAATCTAATGTCAACCGCACACCAGCACTAAGAACAACAAGAATATTATGAAGAAACTTGTTCTTTTTTCTGTTGGCAGTTGATTAATATTGAACTTTTTTCCTTTCCTTTTCTTTTATTTTTCTTTTTATTTATTATAAACAATCATTGTTTAGATGAACCTAGATGAATGGAGATTGTGTACTCAAGAATATAAAATAAAAAGAAAAAATCTTTGTTGTGATACAAGATTGAAATTTTCAGTTTCAAATTTAAATTTGTCATCCAATTTTAAGTTTTGCCATAAATTTATATCTAGTTCATTTGTTTGTGTGTGCGTGTAAATGTGGTTTAATGGCAAATTAAATTTGACAAAAGAAAATCAAATGTTGAGCTCATTGAAAATTCATTCAGCACGCACACACACACACACATTTCCGATATGAACAGCCATAACTCTATGCATTTTCAATTATCAATAAAATTTCAACAATTTTTTTTATCTATTACTTTTTTTTATCATACAGAAGGATCAAATCTCCTCCAATTCGATCGCATTGATGGAATCGATGGGCCAGACGATAGATCAACAAACAAAGCTGAATTTGGCCAATGATAAGCTCAATCAATCGCAAACCGATTCCATTGATGTTTATAAGGATAAAAATCCTTTACAGTTGTCCGTCAACTATCTACAAGTGCCATCATCTGTATTACAGCCATCAGCTGTAGTACCATTATCTTCATCATCATTACCTTCAACCTCACCAATATTGTCCATGAAAACGCAACAACAATCCACTGAGACAACATCAGATATAACGACCGTGCCATCAATGCCAACAAGCCAAACGAATCAACAACAACAATCGTTACCAACAAACGTGCTTCCACCAACACAACAGCCACGAAGACCTAGAGCGACCGGTTGGGGCCGTTTTAGTTTACCAAGATCATCACAACCAGCAGCAACCATTGCCGGACAATCATCAAATCTACATCGTCCATCGACAATCACGCAAACGTCATCAGCAACCACGTTAACATCCACACCATATTATATGAGTGGAATTCCTTCTGCAACTGGTGCACGTGTATCAGATCTAAGAAAGATTCTCAATCCTGAAGTAGAAAAAGAGGATTCATTCAAAAAATTCACCGAGGCTGTTGAAAATTGTGATTGTTTTGAATTCAATTTAAATAATGCTGCCAAATTGATAACCATTCTTGTATTGTTGGCTACATTCATATTGGTTATAAAAGCATTGAAAGGCGATCGTTAAAAAAAAATTCTATTTTTAAATGCCATTCATGTCCTTTTCATCACTTGATGTTTCAACCGCCAATACAATACAATATCTATAACAGAATTAAATTGTCCAAAACGAAAAAAAAAATTTACACACCTACACCATGCAACTATTTATTTGTTTACATATAGTTTTTTTATATATTTCAAAACAATTGAAAACAACAAAAAAAAACCATGTAAAAACACACAAACAAACAAAAAACACTATTAGTGACGAATTATTATTTATTTATTTATTTATTTATCTATTTATGACTACAATTACTCTATTTATTAATTTTTAAAAGAGAAATTACTTCCTGTTAAATTATTGTTATTTTTGATTGATTGTAATTTTTTTATCACTAATCACCGAATTATTCCGATTCATTTGTATTTTTTTTTTTCGGCGAATTCTTTTTCATTCCTTTCATTTCTTTGTCTTAGTAAAAAAAAAATTAATGTAATAAAAAATCAACTCTAATTTGAAAATATTATATGAATATATGGCCAATTGAGAAGTTTTAATTGAACAAATTCTTCTGAATAGATAATGGGATTTCCTTGGATAGTTATATCAACAATAACAACAACATATATAATATATAATAGACAACGTGTTCGTGCGTGTGTGTAAAGGACAGGTTAATCATTATCAATACAAACGAGCACCTATAATCATAGATAATATTTCATTTGACTTGTATTATTTTTTTTATATATATTTATGTATGGATAATAATTGTCAACTAGTTTTGTTCAAATTTGGTTTTAGTCAATTTTTTATATTTGCCAACCAATTCAGGCAGATCATAGGCGATGGCTACATCAAGTCTATCGATAGGACAACCACGGAAATATGAACATGTAGATGTTAATGGCTTGAAATCAATCAGAGGATTCGATCTATAATGAGAAACACAAAATTAATTTATGCCATATTCTAATAGTTATGAAACTGACCGGAAAAATTCTCGATACACTCCTGGATCGGGAAGATCATATCGGGATACATTTTGTAATTGACCCATAAATGCACCGGAATAGATACGATATTGATGTGGATTTTCGGCAATATCAGCTGCCAATTGTCTTGAGCTCGAACCGAACGTGAATAATCCTTTATTCTTATAGAATGTTGAAAGATAACAATCTATCAGCTTGGCATGATTACGAACGCGAACAGCATGACGACGAACTTCGGCAATATGTGATTCGATGCGTGAAATTCCACTCAATTGTTGGGATAAATCTTTGAGCCAGGACGTCTCTTGGCTATCAACGAATTCGTCGAAATTATCCTGTGGTAATGCTACGGTAACCGAAATATTATTTCATTTCATTTGCATTATAAAATCAAGTGTGTGTGTGTGTGTGTGTATTGTCATCTTACTTGAAAGGGCATAAACCATCGGTGGACGTTCATGTGACATGATGGGCGACAATACCCATAATAATTGTCCAAACATTGAAATTATTTGAGAATGTGATGCCATATCAGCTTTTGCAATTATGAATCGTACTTCACGGCCTGTAATATATGATGGATGAATAGAACGATACATACAAATTATGACAATATATTCGAATAATTAATGATAAATCATCACAGAAAACAATAATAATAATAATAATAAGGATGATGATAATTAATAATCCAATCCAAGTTAGATTAAATGAATAAATTGATAGTTATGAATCGAATTCAGATTCATAACATGGATGATGGATAATCAGGTTACTGTTTATCAACAACCAATACTTATAACGATTGGATACAATGAATGGTCCAGACATTATGTTTAGAATGAAATTTTGACAATCATTTCTGTATATTGAATGCGGGTGAAATTCTGTAGAAATTAGGCCTGCCTGTATCGTTAATTGTTATCGACAACGATTAAATGTTGATAAATGATAATTACATCACGCAAACATTGCAGAAACAAAACAAAAACAAAAAAATCTTTCACAAAAAATAGTGATCTCGTTCGAGTCTGAGAACGACAAATGGCATAGAAACAATGATAGACATATGGTAATAGGATCGTTTGCTGTAACTTGGTTTGCTACTTATCAAAAATGAAAATTTAGCATTCTAAATAATCAGCTTGATTACCTTTAAGTTGATCTAATAGAGCACGCAGCGAAGTGGACAAATGTAATTGGCTAACATCGATGACAATATATATGACATCCGAACGATCGATAAACCATTGATAGACATCATTATCGATGGTTTGCTTGGCCATTGCCGTTGGTACCATATCAATCAAACCGGGACTATCGACAATCACCATCTAACAGAAAAATAAAATAAAAATATTAAGATATCGAGTAAACAAAGGTAATGACAAAATTCACAAAGAATTTTCGAACTGGTGACATGTCGATACAATCAAAGCAAATACAATTCGATGTTTTCTATATATGGTCATGATGTTTCGTGTGTGCATGATTTTTTTTCCTTCATTCTTTCGATTATTATTATATGATATGATCATGTCCTAAATTGGGATTTAATCAGGAAACTACATGTCTATTTCTATATCTATTTTCATATTTGTATGCTTGTTTTTTTTGGCCAACAAAGTATAATTCAATGAAAAAAGAATGGGTTGCATGTAAACCATTCATTGTCATAGGTGCATGACACAAATTATTAAATGAGGTTTGATTTGTCATTTCTTTAAGTAATGCGTATAGTTATAATACGAGATCCGAATAGACACAATGTGTATGTTTATAATATGAAATTTTGGTTTTGGTTTCGCATTCAACCAACTAACACAACTCAAAATGAAGATTGATCGTCAATGATTTACTAATAATCAAAGTACACTATACATACATGCATACATACACACACTCACACACACACACACATTAATGAAGCGAAATTAAACTAGTAACAAATAGAATTCATTGAACACTAATTTATTGTACTAGTATGTGAATAAAGATGATATCTTGAAACAATCGACTGCTTCATTTAAACTAAATGACTGAATGAAGCCAAATAAAATTCTTAAGAAAAAATGCTTATGATGATGAAACAGCAGATTTTTTTTCTCATTCTCTTTCCATACAAACTATATAAAATTGAAAAAGAAAATAAAATTCTGTCGATCTCATCTTATTTCACATTGATTGATGTGTATGTTGTTATCATGGGTTATTGAAGTAATTGAATATAATAAATAAAAATTGGGCTAATAGAGTAATAAGAATAATCATGTACAAAGATATGTCTCTTATCGGCATCAAAATTCTAAATAAATTGAAGAATGAAATTCATTTCATCTAATGATGATAATACTGTTTTCGAAATTATAATTGTGTGAAATCAAATTAATCAATGACAAGGTTTATTACATGAAATTTGATTCTATTTGGCCCACAAAAAAATTTTCTACGGAAAACAAAATCTATTGGAATCAAAGAGCAAAAAAAAAAGAAAAGAAAATCTTTTCAACGAACTGAAATGGAAAAAAACAATTTTATCATTTCATTTTTGGCATCAACGGATTCGATTTCATCAAAAAAAAAATCATAAACGATATAAGATGTGTGAATACAATCAATTTAAAAGCTGTTGTGATGTCTGAATATAATCTAAAACCTGTCAAAAAGGATTATTGTGATATTAATAATAAAAAAAAATACTATGAAGGATTTGCTTTTCATAGCTGTGAACCAGAAAATGATGATGATGAAATTTTTTTTGTCATATTTGTATTTTTTTTTAAATTTCCTGTGATGAACGAAAGGATTTTTTCTTACATAACAACAATCGAATCAAAAAAATGGTGCCAAACTATACTTTTATAGAAAAAAAATGTATTTCAAGTTATTCCATCCGGTCGATGTTGTAAAAATGATGATTGTTTTTTTTTGTTTGTTGAACAAGACTAAAATAAAAGAATAAATATCCATATAGAAGAAATAACTAAGGATTATTGTAGAAATAAAATTTGTCAATCTATTGGATGCTATTAGAAATGAATTCCTTGTCAAAAAAAAAGTTTTCCATTCACTCTTAATTCAAACCTAAATAGAATTATCTTTTTCTCGCTATGGTTTTTAGCCTAACAAGGATTGTGCTTTGTGATTTTTACACAGTAATTGGTCATTACACCTGGAATCTGCTTTATACAAAGACAACAAAAAAGTTTGTTCGTCTTATTAAATTTGATCAACTAGAATGAAAATTCTGTTATATTGCACCATGTCCACAGGAATTCTCAAAAGGATTCCCGGTTGTTGTCTTGGACAAACAATACACACACACACACATATATATATAAATATAAAATGGAAAAAGAGCAAATATACCTTCTGCAATATATTGATGGGCAATCGTCGAGCGTCGATATAATCGGCAATGAATTGTTCACCAAACCGTTGTAGACTAGAAAATGTAAAATCTGCAGCCAATTCTATTGGACTTAGATGTGTATAATTATCGCCATAAGTAAGTATCGAAAATTTTGTTTGCGATGCGGCTCCTATTGTTGTTTTTTACAAATTAATTCAATATATAATCGATCCACAACAAATCTATTGTTACCTGATGATCCGGATGTCGACATATCGATCATCATGTATAACATATCATGAAGATAATCATTCAATCCATTCGGGTATCCATCAATGGAATGTCGAAGCATAGGACAAAGCAAATAAATGAATGAAATGAATAAACAAGTTAATTAAAACATTAACAACAAAAAATAGTATTGAAAATAGCAAAAAAAACAAAAACTTTTTTTATTTGTGAGTTATAATGTTCAATTTCTCCGGATATTGATATCTATAGAAACAAGCACACACACATATAGCATTGTTGACTCGAATCGCAAAATCAATTACACGCCCGCCGGGAACGGCACTGAATAATGAAGAAAAAACTGTTTTTCACTCATCTCACGGCGGTTGTAATAATACCTGGAACGGTATGTCTTAAGTGAAATTTATCGATTAATCGATCTATTACACTTTGTAACAAACACATGCAGAGAATTAATTTTTTCCATCTTTTTCAACAGAAAAAAAATTCTTTTGGTTCAGTTACACTGTTATATCGGCAAACAAAAAAAAAAAAAAAAAAAAAAAAAAAGAAACAAGAAACCTCAGCTAAGCTAAAATCGAAAGATAAATTGTTAATGGAAATACGAATCACATATATAAAGCTCAACCATCGACTACTATATGTAAAATATAAATTATAGATGCAAACATCATTCAAAGTTTTCTTTGGGATTGTTAAAACCAAAAGACGAGAGAAAAATCTAGACATACACACACACACACACACACCAACATCATGATCAGTTTGGATGAAAAACATAGAAACATGTTTTGAATCCCTTTTTCATTCTTTTTTGACTAATAATATATCATAATTTGCATATGATTCAATGATATTTGGAAAAATTTACATATGACTTGATAATCAACTTGTTTCATAGTAAACAAAATTGAGAAATGACATCAAAATTTTCATCCAATTGAATGATTTACCTGTAGGTATTTGCCAAGATGTACCATCAATACCGAGTAAATAATTGACTAATGAAGATTTCCCAGTAGATTTTCCACCAAGAAAGAGTATCATTGGTTTTGAAAAAATTTCAGAATCACTGCATAGAAAAATATAAAATCAGAGAAAATAAAAGGAGAAAAAATTTCAAAATTTACAAAAACTTACGTGATTAATCTGGTCGTAATCTGACGATATTTATAAATAGTTTCCAATGGTTTTACTGTTGATTCATAAACCCTTTTTACATCTCGAAATATCGATTGTATTAGATTCTGTTCGGCATTATCCTATCGTATTTATGAAATTAATTTTCAAGTATTACCAATATCGAATTCAAATACCCTAAAATCGCGACTCTAAGACGCAACTACCGAAACACAGATATTTTTTTCCATAAAGTAACTATTAAAAATAAGACTATTTATCAACATTTTTTATATAAGACGCGTGTTATAGTCGCGATTTTAGGCTGATTCTCAAAATTGAACACACTTACATCCTGTGATCCAATTTCATAGACTTTTAATATATCATCAATATGGGCCCGAGAACGTCTTGGTTGATCACTATTTTCATCATCGTCTTCATCATCATCATGATCATTTTGGGAAGATTTTTTATTCACAGATGCCTTAATATATTTGAAAATTTGAAAAATAAAATCATAGATTTTGAATTGAACATCATACATGCCTTTTTATTGCTTGGATTATTTTTATTCTTTTTACCAGATTCCTTTTTTTTCTTGGCAGGAATCGGCGTTGGTTCATCATCATCATTGTCGTCGTCGTCATCGTCTTCATCATCATGGGCTGAATTTTTTTCCACTGACTGGACACTCTTAGAAGATGATTAAAATGAATTTATTTTTAATAAATAGTTGTGATCTTTACCTTTTTCACTTGATTTTTCTCCTCGTCATCATCATCTTCGTTTTCATGAGCCGATTCTTTTGAATCATCATCATCATCATCGTCATTACTATCGTTATCTGAAGCTTTTTCACCAGATTGGTCATCATCATCATCATCATCATTGTCTTCGTCATTATCATCGTCGCCGTAGTCTTGATTATCAGTTCGATCATTTTCCAATGCATCTTCATCACTTTCATTCCCATCATCGGCATCATCATCGTCGACGTCGTCGTTGTCATCATTATCATCATTATCATCATCATCCTCATCTGAACATAATCAAGAGAAATGAATAAAAATAAGACATTAATCTAAATCAAAAGAATTCAGATAAATAACAAACCTTTAAAATATTGTCGCAATGCTTCATCGACTTTTTCTTTACATTTCACTTTTTGAAGACCTTTGGTTGCTTTCGACACAGATTTTGATGATCCATCCGTTGCCTCTACAATTGGATCTATCAAATGATCAAATTCGTCGGATGAAAAAAGGTGATGATCATGATGTTGAATAAAAACTTACTTAAATCCAATTGTATCAATAAAATCAATACGAATAATAATGTTGCCAATGAATGTAATATTTTCATTTTGGATCTTCGTAAAAGTTGTAGTCGAAATGAAATGAACAGATTAGAACTGATTAAACAATTGATGAACGATGACAATAATGATGATGATGGTATATGATAATTTGATAACTTGAATTAAATATGAAAGACGATTAAAAATAAATAATGATAAATTGAAATAAATTTATTCGAAAATGATTTCGATCGTATGGATTGGTGGTCCAAAAATTCTTTCGATAAAGATGATGATTTAAAGACGACACTCAAAACCGTAAAATTCCAACCAACCAACCAACGATTGATAAAAGGGTTAAACCACAATCAATTCTTTCTGTGGGCCGTATAATATGCACGGATAAACACATACACTTCGACACACCTGAAGGTTGAACAAAGGTTGCATGAACAATAGATCAACCACAGGCACACACCCACTATGAATATAAAGCTAATGAGGCTAAGATGTCGTGTTCGTAATTTTGATGACAAAAATTAAAAGGTCAATTGTATGACTGTAAGCGAGGAAGCGGCAAGGTCAATCTGGCAATGGATTTGTACGAACATTCAGAATTCTTCACTGTTCATACAAACAAAAATCAGGGCTGTTTTCACCTTTTTTTTTTTCGGCGTGGGTCGCAATACAAAATGCTTCTTGCACTTGGTGTATATGTGTGTGTTATGAAGAAAAAATTCTTATTCATTATTCTAACGGGATTCTTCTTATTCTTTTTCTTTTATTCATCGTAGTAGAAGTATTTTATTCGATACGGATAGGATTTTTTCAAGAACACTGTTTTTCTTTCTTCATTCATCATTTATCGTATGTCAAAATAGAAACGATGTGTGATATAAAAAAACGGCGGACAAGTGGAACAATCTTAAAGAAAGACATTCTACAGGTTAACTTCGAATATGATAATTTGTCATTCAAATAAGAATTGTTTTTTCTCATTCAAACACCGAGATTTACTGTTGTCGTCTTTTTGTCATTTTTATCGATGTTCATTCATGGTAAAATTTTTGTCATACTCATCATTGCAATCAATAACAGCAGAAGCGGCAGTAGCAGCAGCAGACTTATTCATAGCCTGGTAATCCACCATGAAGATCAGACGATTCTTAGTTGCAGTGGCTGCAGCTGCACATTCATTCTTCATTAGGAATGATAAAGGCATTTTTTGCTTCTTGGCACATTGATATAGATTCACCAGTTGGCCATAGAATGTTTAGGCTAGTTAATTATCCGATTATTCTTATGTTTGTGTATGTTGTATCGATGAGGAAAACGATGATTTTCATTATTTTGGTTTTGAATATGTAGTTTTGGCAATACATTCATTCGATGATAACGTTTAAAATGGACTTGACAAGTTAACATTCAAGTGCATGAAGAAAAAAAAAATTTTTATTAAATTCAGATTCATTTTATAATTTTGGACGAGTGCAAGTTTTATTCGAAAACTTATAACACCTTTATTACTTTTCATTATGACTCAGCATATGATCTGTAGTAGCATATATAGTCCTATTATTATCTGAAGTGAAAATTTAATCCAAGTATAATTGGTATCTAAATACATACACAAATTTGGTTAATGAAAATAGTTGACAGATTGATTTTGCAACTTTTTTCCTAAATAATTTGCTATATATCTAATTTATTGAAAATTTGACTACAATTTTATTCGAATGTTTTGAAATTTGTGATGAATTCATTTTCATTTGTCAAATAATGATCATGATATAGTGATTCTTTTGAATATTCGAGATTTTAGATCATAATGAAAAAGAGAAACCCGGCGACGATACATGGACGACAAACAAACCTATAGAATTTATGAACGAATGGATCCAATGGATTCGTATGTCTATAAATTTGAACAAAACATCCCATCATATCATATCAACATTGTCATCGTCCAATCTGATTCCCGTGGTATTCGAATAAATTCTTTATTCAATTTTTTTTTCAATGACTGTGTAAGTTTTCAAAAGATTGTGTTTGTGAAGAAGAAGAAGAAGAAGAGAAATATAAAAAACATTTACATTCTGTAAATAATATTCTTTTCATTGATATTTTTTAGTTTTGTCATCGTTTTCAAAAATGCATAATTATTCATTCATCCTTCAAGCTAACGGCATCTCTCTTTCCCTATATACAGACAGTCAACCAACCAACCAACCAACTCACATAAAGAATAATTTTTAAAAATAGAATTTTTATTCCAATTGAGAAATCATCATCATGGCCATTAGGTACGGGTTTATTATGTTATTGATGATGATCTATCTTGTATTGTCTGCCTTTTACATAAATTTCCAGTTCCAGTATCATTCACATATTCCATCTATATTTGGTTGATGACTGAGAATCGTGTTCGATACATATAAATGATGAAAAAAAAGTGCTAACCTGAAATAAATTTTTGAAACCATTAACCGAGTGATGATAAAGTTGTTGTCGTTATGTTTATTGTATTTGATCATTCAATTGAAAACGAAAATTTGAATTCTGTATTCCAAACAAATAGACTCTCGATTCTAACTATATGAATATATTCTCTAGAAAAAACAGAATTAACAAAAACAAAAATAAACGAAATGACGCGAATGCAAATGTGAATAGAATCGAAACGAAAACTGAATCCTATAGGAACACTTTTGGTGTGTATTGTTTTTGTGTCAAAAATAAAATCAGATTCATTTGGAATCACAATAGAAGATACATTTGTGACCAACAACACATATTTAACATTGTGATAGTAATCATTTCGACAATGTTGCCGATATATAAAAAACTCTCAAACTATTGCATATCACGAACACTTTTCCCATCGGATGTGCTTCGTTTTCAAAAAAAAAGAATTTTTTCCAAAACTGAATAAGTCATTGTATGTGTGTATTCGTGTATGAAAGCTATAATATATTCAAATAAAAAGAATTTTCACAATCCACTTTTGAATTGTTCCTGATGAAATCGTTTTTATTTGACACTTTTTCTATAAATAACATAACATTTCTAGTTTTGAGAATGAAGTAGATGATCATTTGAAATTTAATCGAAAATTACCCATTTAACCAATAAAGGGAAAAAAAGAATGATTTTCAAATATATTTTTTTTTAAATAAAATTATTATATTGATCATAAAATAAATATATACCATAAGCAAGAAAACATTTAAATTTTTTTCTCCTATGTAAAAATTCCTTCAATATTGACATTAAATATGACATAAAATTTTGCACCGAAAAAAAATTGAAACAAATTTATGCTACGACTAAATGAGTCGACCAACATGGACAATAATTGTTATTAATGATTATTGTTTGTGTGAATACCATATTAAGATGTTATTGCAGATTGGGGGTAAATTGACGTTATAATAAACTTGGATGTGGGCTAATTCGTGTGGAAAAACTTTGATTAAACTGTTGATTTGATTTTGCAGAAAAAAATCATTTACGACGATTTGGTGGAATCAAATGTCTAGGCAGTTCTTGTGGTAAATCATGACCATTCAATTTGATTTGCATCAAATGCATGGCCAAGGCAAATTCTTCTGAATCCAACATTCCATCTTTGTCCAAATCGGATAGTTTCCATATTCGGCTCAATATTGTATTTGGTAGATTCGATTTGATCAGTTCAGTTTTGGCTGCTGCGCCAGTTATCTTATTATCGATCGGACTCAATGATTGGAAGATTTCATCATATTTCGGTTTATCTTTATCGACAATCCAAACATGACTCGGTTCCATTGAACCAGCATCAACGCCTTCACCACGTTTATATCCGAATGGGGATTCAACAACACTATCAAAGGCACCACCTTTTACTTGAGTTTCTTCCTTATGGTCCAATTGTTCCTATTTTTTATCAAAAAAAATTAGTCGATTAAATTGTTTAAATAAATGAAAATACCTGTGGTATAAGAGACATCAATTTCGCAATATCTTCAGCCAACATTTTATCGACTGAATCCAATAATGGTTTTTTCAAAGGCGGAAATTTGATAAAATCATGATGCAACAATTTTTCCTGCATTTCCTGTAGATCAGGAAAATCACCTGATGGCACACCATATTCACGTTCAATATCAAGGTAAATGTTGCCCAAATTCTTGATCAATTCTTTCTTCTTACTTTCTTTTCCAAACATACTGGGCATTTCTTTTTTCAGAGCACTGATAATGTAAGCATGGACCTGAAATAAAATCAACGAAAAATTAGTCATATGAAATTGTTTCTATTACTTGCTTGCCTTAGCCAAACGAGCTCGTTTAATTAAATCATTTAATTTACGTAACGCTGCATTCCTTGGCAACGATGTAATATCACTGAATAGATCCTGTTCTTCTGCTTCGAACAATTTTCGATTCTGTGAGAATTGAAGAGGTTGATCCCAGAATGACCCAATATAGACACGTGCAACTTCGGGAGTGTTCAAAACTTTTCCCAAAGACCACATCAAAGCTCCATAGACACGCATCAATTGTTGTTGATCAATCATATCAGCTTTATTCAAAACGATTCGAATTTTGTCATCGTGTCCGCGTAGGGCTTCAATACTGCGTCGAAACTCATCGGAAATATCCAATTTATGTGCATCGAACAATAGGATAATTCGATCTACACGTTCGGCAAACCATTCAAGTACACCGGTAAATTCATAACCACGATCAACACGTTGTTTTTCTCCGGAAAGAATACCTGGCGTATCAACAATAGTAATCTGTTGCAGTATCGGTGAAGTGACGTTGGAACATTGAAGACGATTGAGGAAAGCATTGCCAAATTTGGCTAATGGACGGAATTGTTTTTTAGGATCAACAACCAATGCATTCCCAGGAATGATTCCTTCTTGTTCACCATACATTACGGCAATGAAACGATCAGTAGTTGGTTCGGGTCCGATACGGATACCGGGGAAATCACGTTCCAATAGATATCGGATAAATGTGGTTTTACCAGTTGAATATTGACCCACCAATAGTACCATTGGTTTGGCATCAAAATCGGCATCTTCAAATGGTGGTGAATGAAATTCATGAAATAAATATTGTTCTTCCAATGGTAAAATTTTGGTCTTGTATATTCGTTTAAGGCCTTCAACAACTGATTCATAGAGTTCGGAATTTTTTTTTCGATTCGAATTTGAATTGATCCACGAGAACATTTTTACTTCTATTCCTATTTCTCCTTTTTTTCACAGATGATAATGGTAGTGATGACGATGATGATGCTGATGTTGATTTGGTCTCCAGACAAACACAAACAAATAGTGAAAAAACTAGTGACAATGAGTATAACCCTTTGTGACGCGAATACACGATGTACTGATATCGAAAATGACAATCGTGAATGAGCACGAATCGATCAATCAAATCAAAGACAATCGGGTCGAATCGAGATCGAAATCAACACTAAAAACAAAAAGAGAAAAATATAAAAAAATTTGGTATTCGAATTAGAATGTTTTTTTAAAAGTCAGGCAAAGAATTAAGGCAGAAACTATATGAAAAGATCACGATCAATTCACCTTTAATTTACCATTACACTTGCTTCTATCTAAAATTGTCTGTCTGTCTGTCTTGGGAAAAAATTGTTTGCTGTAATGACAAAGCAAACTTTGTCTTCGCCATTCATCAAATATCAAAGAAAAAAAAACTAAATTTTGGCTGGTTGGTATTGATAAAAAAAACCCTATCTGTTCTATCGATTGATTAGTATTCAAAGTGTGGAAAAAAAATCTGATCGAGAAAAAAACGAGCAGATTTCGAAATTTGAAAATTTCATTTCTTCATAACAACTCATATGTAAAATATATTCACGTCATTAATCACAATTGTGGTTATTAAAAAAAACTTTCATCTAGAATCTTTTTTTTTCAATTTTATTATCATAGTCAATTTCATGATTAATCAACCGCTATTAAAAAAAAGATATGCATAAAGAAAGATCGGATTGTTATCAAAATTATAATTCAAACTAATATTTTTGAATGAGCATGCTACATAAACATTCATATCAAACAGCAATGAAAAAAAAATTGTATTCAGATGCTTACCACGTGGAAGTAAATCAAATAGACCAAATCTAATGGCAATTTTCAACAGGAAATAAAAAAAAAATGAAACCAAACTTTTTCGGCAACGACTTGTTGTTGGAAAATGATATTGCAATCAGAGAATCAAATTATATGATTACTAAAAAGGGAAAAAATGACAAAAATTTGATATCGAAAAGGGTGTATGATTTTTTTGACAATAAATAAATTTTAGCAAATTAAAAAAATGTTACTTTTGTAAATGAGGGGCGTTCTGGATAATTTTTCTTTTGTTTGATTAAATGTTGGTGATTAAAAATGAAAAAAAAATTGTTGGATCAATTTATTGATTGATTGATTGATGTTAATACTTCAAATAAATTGTGAATCACAAACTGTTTTATGTGTTGTCCATTAATTACCATTATCCATTAGATAATTTGAAATGAAAAATTTAATACATTGATTAAAAATTACGAATTCGAATACAAGGTATACGTACAGATATTATGTTTGCCGTGGATATGTTTGGGATGTTTTGATTAAATTCAACGATAGTCACTCCGGATTAGTGGAAATTTTTATGTTGCCTGATGATGTGTTTATGCAAAACGACAATATTGAAAAATTGTCAAAATCTGACGTTGTCAAAAATTCGATGATCAAAGATGATGAATAATATTAAAACGATGATTACACGCGTCGTTGTTTAATGTCGATTGTTGCTTCTGCCAAGAAGCATTCAATGAAACACACTATTACCTCTTTATCACAGTCGATTACGGATGCATATCAAATTAATAAAATTCGATGCTTCTCTTATCAATAAATGACGAACCTTCTACATTGATAATATTGAACGATTCAAACAAAAAAATAATCATATAAATGTGAAATAAGGGTAACATAATTTGGGTAATCGCCGCTACTCCATTGAAATAACCGCATATTGGCCATAGCAGCAACAGTATGAATATAATCATCATGCAAGAATAAAATAACAAGAATGTTTCTCAATAGGTGGCGATGTCCTTCCATGTATGAGCAAAACAAGAAATAAGTAGACAAACACTCTATATACTTCACTCATATTTTGATTGAAAATTTTTGTGTTGATAAAATTTGGAAGTAGAAATTTCGCGGCAATCAATCCATTATTGAATTTTACCAGCTACTTTTGATTGTTTGAATACGATATTCTTATTCGATTTTTTCTTCCTGAAATGCCTAAACGTTTCAAATCGAAAGAGATGTCCGATTTTCAACGTGGCCGAATCGTGGGTCAATCCGAAGGTGGCCAATCACAACGAGAAATATCGGCCGACTTAGATATACCTTTGTCGACTGTAAATAAAATTATTGTCGAATTCAAAACCAGAGGAAAAACATCTACTGATCCGAGACCGGGACGTCCAGGACCACCAGAATGTCTTTTACAAGCAATCAAATCAGCTATCGATACGAATCCACGTCTTAAAGCTTATGAATTGGCCGATTTATTTCAGATAAGTCCACGTTCGATTCAAAATTATCTTCATCGTTTGGGCTATAAATGCTGTACTGTACGACGAAAATACGTATCAAAAAATTATAAAAAGAAATCTAAAAATCAAAATCAGCTACAATTGGAGCAATCACAAGAGACGGATTTAGCTGACGATACTGGTGGTCAATTCGTTATTGATGAAAATTGTAAAGCTGAACCACAAGAAGATCAATCATCGACAATTGTCAAAACAATGCCATATCAAGAACAAAGACAAACATCGGAAACAAATACTTGATTTCATTATTTTAATTAGATTGTTATATAAAATAAAATTATAAGTGAAAGTTTAAAATATATAGAGATATAATCACATTACTAAGATGTCAACGATTACCATAAACATCTCAGGTACGTATACCATAAGCGTCGGGCATTCGTTCGATTGTATATTGATGGCCAACAAGAAACATGATCGGTATACCAGGAATTTTACGAATACGCCGTTTCAATGCCTTATCACAAGTGCCAACAATATAGCATTTATGTTGCGTGACACGATTAACAATACAATCATCGGCATATGTTCCTTTATGTGAACATGGTAGCCGTTCAAATTGTTCTTTAACAATTTTCAATGCAAGACGATATTTTTGTCCTAATTTCTGTAATTCCGCAACGATACAATCGGTGACCATTGGTATGCATTTAGCCAATAAACAATTCATCATTGATTGCATTATATCAAGCTTATTTTTTATGGAAAAATTTACAAAATTTGTATCGCATATTATACGAAATGGTGGTCCTAATTGTAAATTGTAATGAAAAAACATTGTTGTTGATACGATGGCTGGTTGGTTCTGACGTTCGGCACGTTTTGCTGCCTTTTTTACTTTTTCACGTTCCTTTTTTTTCAAAGGCCGTGGTTTCATTTCGAGTTGATTTTTCACACGTGAATCTTTCATCGATAACAATTTTGGTGTTCGTGTTTTGGCCATTTTGCAATACTGATAATCAATGAGAATTTCGAGAATATCAACATCAAAAAATTGGTTCAAAAACAAACGTGCACATGTGAACGTAAAAGATATTCATATAGGACGGAAAAAAAATTAAAAATTACTAAAAATTGTCATTGTTATAACCAAGTTATCACTGTATATTGACATTTTTTGTGTTGTTTTTGATTCGTAAAAAAAATTCGGAAAATTTATTGAACAATCCATTGAACTAAAAATAGTCGATTAAAATACGAATGCGCGTATAATTTCGAATTCAACGATAAATAAGGCTCTAATGGCATAGACTGACGACAATTATCGATCATGTCAGCTTCATATATGAATGCTAAAGCTGTTGGTTGCTTGGCAAGGAAAAAATTAAAATTTCAAAGCTTTTTTCTGCTGATTTTTTTTCTGTATACACTCAAAAAATTTAATAAAACTCATTAAATTTACTTATAAGGATTGAACATTAGAAAAAGAGGAAAAAAAGTTGAAAAGAAATTCGAATCACTTTATTCGTATACCCCATTTATGAATAGAATTCGAATGATGAAATGAATTGTCCCGAAACAACGACGGCCGACGACGGGTTTTTTTTTGACTGTTGTCCCCCATTCCATTGCATGTGAATTGCTTTTGTATACTAAACAGAGAAAAAATTTTCATCAAAATCTCACCTGAAATAATTCATCTGTTTCTTTTTCATTAAATTCGAATCGAATTATAGATCATGGCTGATTTGGTTGCCAGTGATGACAATTACAATGTTGATGGTAAATTTATACGAATAGAATTGAAAATAAAAATTCTTGATCTAAAATATCTGTTTTTGTTAGAATTAATACGTGAAAGTCAAGCAAAAATCGATCATGAAATTGCCGAACTATTTCCCTTGGTATCTGAATCTTATGACATAAACAAATTGCATAATGAGTATTCGAATGATGATCAAGTTTATCAGCAAAAAGTCGCTGTAAGTTTTCCATGCTATAAATTGAATAAATTATCTTATGGATTCAATAAATGAAGGATCTAGAAGAAAAATATGTTGCCCTGCGTAAAACTCGACCAGATGGCAATTGTTTTTATCGTGCATTTATATTTGCCTATTTTGAATCATTGTTCGGTGATCCAAATGAATTGAAACGTTTCATACAGGTTTGTCATGAAACCCGTAAAGATATCACCAGTCTTGGTTTTCCAGATTTTACTGTTGATGAATTCTATGATTACGTAAGTTGAAGTATCAAAACAAATAATTTTTATTGATATTGATTTTAATAAAACTTTTTCTTGTTAGTTTTATGAAATCGTCACACTCATCCAGGATGGTAAGGTTAAAACCTCTGAGGAATTATTGGCCGAATTAGATAAACCGTCCGTATCTGATAATATTGTCGTCTATTTGCGTCTACTGACATCATACTATCTGCAAAAAAAATCGGAATTTTTTGCTAATTTCATTGAAGGATCTGGACAGATGGCCGAATTCTGTAAACGAGAAGTTGAACCAATGTATAAGGAATCGGATCATATTCATATAATTGCCATTTGTTCAGTGTTGAATGTTAATGTACGTGTCGTATACATGGATCGTGGTGCTGGAGGTAAAGTGAATGAACATGATTTCATTCCCATATATAAGAATAATGATTCCAATGATGATAATGATAATCAATCACAGCAAGAATCTGATCCTCGTATTCATCTTCTATATCGGCCTGGACATTATGATATTCTCTACAAAAAGAAATGAATTTATCCATTTTAATGAACAACAAATTTTATCGATATATTTCATTATAGCTCGATTATTTGTGGATAAATTGAAGAAATTATTTAGGCCTATGTATCTTAATCTTCGTTACTTTCTTCCATTATAATTCCATTCTTTGTCACAAATAACATGATGACATATATTACACATACATCAATTTATATATTTGACATTTTTTGATATTAATCAAACCAAAATCATGATTGATTTGCTATAGTTCATCTTTTGGCCTCCATTCTCTCACTTTTTATGTATGTTAGGTTACTTTAATGGATGAAATAATTATGAATTTTCAAAGTATAATAGATATATAATTGTAGGGAAAAAATTCATCGTTATGTGGCTGTTGAAACTGGTGGCAGTGACGTAGAGGTAATACTGGCCACAAATGGCATTGCGATGAATTTCTGTGTTGTTGTCGTCGTTGTTATTGTTGATGATGATGATTTTGGCCGATCTTGGCTAGAATTACTTGTAGTCGAAATTGTTCGTTGCTGAAATTTCTTATGTCGATTTAAATGCTTTTTCAATTGTTCGGCAATTGTTGTTGTGTATGAACATCCTTTCCATATGCATCGTAACCAACGTTGTGGTTTGGATGTTTCCTGTTCACCATTCCGTTGTTGTTGTTGTTGTTGTCGATGTTCTATATAATGTGCAAGTAGGCCTCGTTTAGTTTGAAACGTTCGTGAACAATCTTTCCATCCAATACATCCGTAACGTCGACGAGTGCGGTTTTGATGTGATTCGAGATGTTGTTGAAATGTAATTCGATTCGAGAAAATCATTCGACAATCGGGCCAAAAACAAGTGTATGTCCGCGCAGTTGATTGTTCCATCTGTTGTTGATGAACAGTTTGTAAATGACGTTGCAATGCTTCCAATGTGGTAAATTGTCGTTGACGGCAATCAAGACGATTACACTGATAAATGGTAGTTGAACATTTTGGAATTTGTTGTTCCGGTTCTTGAATGATGCCATGCACATCTCTTACATGACGCTCAAGTATGGTTGATCGAAATGTTTCATAAAAACATCCTGGTTGTTCACATCTGAATTGTGGTTTACGATGTGAAATCTGATGATTTGATAGCGATGATTTTGTACGGAATGTTGATGGACAATGTTCACATCGAAATAATGTAACGTTATTTTCTGTTTCCGTTGGTGTCGATTCATTAATTTGATCATCTTGTTGTTGTTGTTGGCTATCGATGATAACCATTGGTTCAATTGGTTGATAATCATCAGCATCATCATAATCTTCCTGTTCCTGATCTTCAAGTATAGTTGATTGATTTCGATATTGTTGTTGATAAGAAACTTGTCGATGGCGAACTAAATGGCGATTCAACGTGGATTTAGCTTTGAAAGATTTTCCACAATGTGGCCAAGAACAACGATGTTTACGAATTTCCGAATGTTTCAACATATGTACTCGATAGAGTGGTCGTTTATGTGTCTGATATGAGCAATCAGGATAACGACAATGAAATATTCGTATCGGTTGTTTTTCGGACCTTCCCGAATCATTGCCTTCGATGGATGTTACATGAGCATCATTGCTGCTATTGTCATTATCATTCACTAGATCTGCCTGTTCTTGTTGGTTGACATTACCATGATGATTAGCAGTGATAACATGACGACGTAAAAGCATCTTTGATTGTGAGGCAAAATAACACCCAGGCCATTGACATGAATATTGTCCCGAATGTGATCGAACATGATTGATGATCGATGATCGTTTAGTGAATTGTTTACCACATAATTTACAGGTAAAGGTTTCCGGACGATTTTGTTCGCCATTTTCCGGTTCGGTTTTTATTCGGTCCATATCAATTTCTTGAGGTCGTTGGCCATTCCCTTGATCTGAAATTGAAATGTTTAAACCATCTTTATGTAACATCATATGTCGAGATAAAACAACATTCGAATGACTTCGAAACGTACATCCATTCCATGCGCATGTAAATTGTCCGGAGTGCGATTTCACATGATTCGATAGTGAAGATTTCTTTCGGAATGATGTCCCACAATGTGGACATTTGAATGGAGTCTCGATTGTTGATGTTGATGTGTTTGTTGTGATTGGATGATTAGTTGATATATGTTGTTGAAGTTGTACCATATTTGTCGCTTGAAAATCGCAGCCCGAATGTTGACAACCATGAATATCATCACTAACTATCGGTGATTCTGGCTCCGGTTCCAATTTTATTAGTATACCCTGTTGTTGCGAATGCAATGAACCCGAAGATGATTGATGTTTTTGTTGTTCTTGTTCCTGTTTACGGTGTACACTCATATGATTCAATAGATGAGCCTGAGTTTTATAACGTTTGGGACATCCGGCTACCGTACAGACATAATTACGATCATTGGAATGTGTCATCATATGATTCGATAAGTAACTAGTACGAGTGAATGTTTTACCACAGCCAGGCCAACGACAAATATGATTCCGTGCTGGTTGTTTGTCGTCTTGTTTAACCTGTTGCAATGGAATTGTCTGCAAAATGACTGTTTCGGCCACTTGTGTCGGTGATGGTGATGATGATGATGATGATGATGCCGGAGGCGAATGTATTGATACTGGTGGATCAAAAATCAATTTCGAACAAGAATCCTTATGCAAATGAATACGTAATACATATTCATTACGAAAAGTTTGATTACAACGAGCACAACAAAATCGCGATTGATGTAGATTACGTTGATGTTGTATCAATAACGATACCTGATGGAATTCTTGCAAGCAGAATTTACATTGATATTGTGGCAATCGTTTTTGTTGTTCCTTTTGGATTTGATTTTCTCCTTGAATATCGACATCTTGTTCAAAGTATTCCACCTGAAGATTTTTATTTAATAATGATGAATTATCTTCAACATCATTATCATGCATTAAATTGTCAATTTCTTTACAATCATCAGCAACATTATCTTGATCAAGTAATTTTCTGAACAATTGATCCATTAACTTTCGACGAAATTGATGATCACGATTTAATCGTGATAAGAATGAACCAATCTGTTTGCTAAGACATTTCATTTCCGAATCATCATCATTTGTAAACGAATTGTCACCAATCAATGTGAAATCATTACCATCATCGATATTTTGATTATTGAAATCATCGACAATAGCTATTGAGAACATTTGTTAGAAAAACACTATTGTTTAATCTATTGTTACACTTACCAAGAATCGAATAGATAGAACTTTCATAATCATCACCCAATTGTCCAGTGGATGGTTGACCAAGATCCTGACATGTTTGTAGAAATTTTTCACAAATCATATCTGAAATTTTTTGTTTCGTTTCACATAAATCACGAGATTTTCGTTCCGATTCTTCGTTATTAAGACAACCATTATCGTTGACAAATGATTCATTCTTATCGTTTTGTTCAGCCGATTGTTGTTGATGTTGTTGAACATTTGCGATCGTTGTAAGATGGCTATTTAGATCAGCTTGAAATGAATTGAATGCATGTTTATAACGGAAAAGATCTTGGAATAGCTTTAGATTTAATTGCAATAGGCTACAAATTAGATTTACTGTTGATTTTGAATGATTCATTTTAAAATGTTTTGGCTATATCCACCAAGTTTAATAAGTTTGTCGAATGATAATGATGCTACGTTGTATGACAATGAAAGCTAAATAAAATCAATTGGTAAGGTAATAGGTGCATATACAGGATAAGGATTCCTGCTCACCACCATCACCATATACAACAAAAACCCTTATATTTTGTGTGTTGGCACCAGAATTAAGGCAATGTAGGCACAAAACCATATCTATCCATGGGGAACTATGTGAAAGCTTTAGCTTTAAAGAGTCCATATTATACTCACACATACAAAGAATAAAGCATTTGGAACGCCTGGAAAGTACATTCGTTAAACACCAACATCACACGAACACACACACGCACACACATAGACGAACTGTATATACATACCCGGATCCATGGTTTGCAGGATGCATGATGGTTCGTATATATCCAGCACTTGATGTTGCGTACGATGGTTTGTTCATTCGTACGTTGGTTGGTCGATGGAACGGAACATTGATGTAGGTGGTGTACACCACACCACAGTACAAAGATCCAAACCTCACACACACGCACGCACACAGACAAACACAGAATGAGATTCGCGAATGCTGCTTTCTTTTTTTTTATATTCCAAATTCTGGTTACATAACATACATACACACAAACATACATATGCCAGAATCACTTTTCAAAAGTGTCTGTTAAAAATCTGTCTGCTCTGATTACAGAAATCTAATCGAATAAAACAACCAGATAAGCATCGCTCGTTCAAAGTACATTGATCATGATGGTACACACACACACACATACAATGAAAAGGAAATTATGTAGCAATCGTAAAATTATTAAATTTAGCTCCGGTCACAAATAATATATTTAAAATTTATTTAAAAATCGAATTTATTATTATCAATTTAATTCATCAAAAAAGAAAAAAAAGAAAAAGATGATGATCAGTAATGATGTGGGTATGAAGATAATGGTTGTGTGTGTGTGTGTGTTTACTAATAATGCAAATAAAAACCAATCAAACAATGAGAAAAAAATGATATAAATGAAACAATAATTTTCAGTATTGAAAGATATGAATTATTGAATGTTATAATAATCGATGAATAGATGAATCTACCTTATTTAATACGTAACATTTGGTCTGAAAAAGCCGAGCCCATGACCATTGGTGGTCATATTTGGAATTTACTTACAAATACTCATTATTTGTAGGTTAAGAGAAATTAGCAATAGGTTTGGTTATCAAAAAAAAGAATAATATTATTGATATATTTATGTGTGTGAATGGGCATGTTGTTTTGTAAGATGTTGAACAAAATGGGCCAAGGCGTTAGTCTAATCAGCATCCATTGAATTACGGCTATTGTCCGAATGATCTTTACCATCAACCGATGGTGATCGTGAACGGGAATCATCTCGACTTCCTGGGGAACGATGATCACCGCCATCACGGACTGGTGATTCTGATCGTGAACGCGAACGTGAAGCAGATCCATTTTTGCCACCACTGCCATTTGCATCAGAACGTCGTCCAACTGGTGATTTGGATCGTGAACATGAACGTGATCTACTGGAGTCTGATCGTCGAGAATCAACTGATTTTGAACGATCTCGATCATCGCCACCTGAACGGCCACCTCTTACTGCTGGTGATTTGGATCGAGATTTTGAACGATCAGAATCTGATTTGGATCGTGATCGACTTCGTGGCGATCGTGATCGCGAACGACTACGTGAACGCCCACGTCGTGGAGAATGTGATCGTGAACGTGAACGACGGCGACGTGATTTATCTTCATGCAAACGAATACGTCGTCCATGCAAATCTTGTCCATCCAATTTTTCGATAGCTGTTTTCATATCCGAATAGGTAGCAAAATCGACAATCCTATTGGGGATGATGAATGTTGTATTTTTTTAATTTTAATGATAGAAAAAAACTTACCCCATATTCTTCTCTCGTTTATGGGCATCAGCATAAGTTACTTCACCAGCTTGTCGCATAAAATCTTTAAGATCCTAAATGAATATTGATATTATGTGAAAAAAAAGATTAAAACGATCTGTGAACAGAAATCAAGATGTACAAAGAAAAACACAAATATGGATGATTGATGAAAAAATCAATTAATGATAGTAAGGAGAAAGATGTCTATGTGTATGTTTAAGTATTGCTGAATGGCTAATTACATTTCATACCTGAATTACACCATTGTTGTAATGAGTTTTAAATATGGCAAAAAAATGATCAGAACCAGTTAGGCTAGGTGAAAGTTATCCATACATATTCCCAAAAACGAAAACACGAATTGGCATTTTTTGGTTGTGGGGGAATCTCACCACCAAACAATCGGTCATCAAAAATCGCGCATTTTTAAAGTATCACAAAACGTTCCAACAAATTATCCAAGATTTTTCTTCATCACCAAACACAAAAAAATACATGGCTGGATTACGTTGTTTTTTTTCATATAAAATGGAAGCAGAAATATTCCCGAGGTAATACATGATTGATCCATATCATAATCAACATCATCATCATCATTCGGCCTTGGCAGCGGTTGAAACGGGTGTATTTTGTATGTGGTGTGATTGTAGAAATTGGATAAGGCTTTTTCATCTTCAAATTGTATAAATAGCCTAATCTGTTTGTGTGACTAATTAATCTGGTCCATTTGAATTCGAAAAATTCGAAAACATGAGAGAAATAGTTTAGAAATATATGCATGGACATATTTCACCTATCCATATATAAATCTAACAAGTGTCATGCGGTAAAATAAAAAATGGATGATATACCACAGGCTAATGCAGCAGCGGCGGTAATGATAATCGGTCCAAGCGACACCAACACCATATGACCAGATAAGGATCGAAAACCACCATTCGCCAAGTGTGTGTTTATGTCATGGCCACAACTGATGACAGATATGACCACCATATAGCGTAAATCATCAGAATTGCCATTGGGCATTGGCCACCAAATAAAAATACGGATTAAATGATCGCATTGCAAAGCAAGTGAAAAAAACCACCACTGGTCACCACCATTCCTCTCTCTATATACATGGATGAGATGTGATCGAATATAACTGTTTTGCTGACGTCCAACCATCTAATGGCCCTCTTTAAACTATAGTCAGATTGGTCATCTATATATATAAATATAAAATCACAAAACGGCATTTCTCTCTCCACTGGATTTACACATTCGTCGGGAAGACTTATATCTCTTCATTATTGCTTTGGGCGTCCAAACCAACAATTTAGTGAACCAGAGACGCGTTTTTAAAATTAAGTCGAAAGCATCACACGAATGACCAAAACCATTTGACATCAAACATAGCGCCCAATTGATTGATTATACGATCGAATCCATTGTTTACGCTAGGATTAACAGCGGTTTCTGTCTGCTGCTGCAACTTCTAATATTGCCTCATCTTTAATTCCTTATTCGCGTCCTCATCATCCAACACAGATAACCATTTGGCATTTGGATTGCTTTGGATATGATAGATGGGTGTGGTGTGTGTTTGTAAATGGAATAAAGACACATCCAGACCAGATAAAGAGAGTGATAAAGATAGACATCGATTTGGTGGGCGTGTAGTGAGCACCATCAATCACCATGATTAAGATACGAGGTGGGAAAGAACAACAAGGAGTAATAATAAACAAAGATCAGTAAAAAAACAACGATATGGACATTTCAATGACATTATATAACCTTTTCTCTAATCTGATATCTTATCAAATTGAATGGGTTCGGAAATTAATAAGCGGCAATGACATAAAAATGAAAAGGGAAATTAAAAAAAGTTAACTCTTACCTGCCAGCTTACACGGCTGCTAAGATTTTCGACAATCACGCGATATTCTGTATTTCGTGGTGGTCCATAGCGACTATTTTGTGGATGAAAATAAAAAAACAAAAATTAATTAGATCATAGCCAATGCAACAGGACTGATTCATTTTTATTCTATAATCAGATAACTTTCTATCATCAAGGTAACAATTATGTCCCGAAAGATGGTATATACGAATTGATCATAGTCAACGTTCATCACTAACACCTAACAAACTTGTAAAAACATTTCAAAATTGTCTAGACTTACTTTTCATTATAAGATGATCCATTACGGGATGAATATCGGCTGCCATAAAAAGATCGACCACCGAATCTTCCACCACGGCCGCGGCCATTACCACGGGCAAATTCAACATTAACACTATGTGTAGATAAAACCAGATTAGTTCATATAGGTGCAATTATTATTAAATAATTACCGTTCACCAAGCATATCTTTGCCATTCAATTCATAAACAGCATCTTCTGCATCACGATGGTCATCGAATTCCTGAAAATCAAGATAAAATGAATTGTTTATCAATATCATGAAGAAAATATAAAAAAACTTACGACAAATGCAAATCCATCTTTCAAAAGAATTTCACGAATACGACCATAGCCTTTGAAAAATTTTTCAATGTCACGTTCACGTACATCATAAGATATACGACCAACATAGACTCGAGTACCGGTCATTTCTTACGTTTTCAATAATCTGTAATTTTTGTCCCAAAAGAAAAAGCAAGTCAAATCGAAAAAATTCGAAATCAAAAAATCACAAATAGAAAAAAAAATTGATCAAAATAAGAATCGAGTGAAAGTGAGAGAATATAATAGTAGAAAGCACACCGAACAAATGCTCACTTGCAAGTGAAAGTGGGGCCCAATGCTACAATGGTAAAAGTTGAAGCAATAATGAAATTTTGCTCATATCATTGAACCATTCATATACAATGTTTTATATTTTTTCGATTTTTATTTAATTTTTTTAAATTTTATTCATTAATTTTATTTAAAAATCAATTATTCTATCAGAATCTTAATTTAGAGGACAATTTCATATTGATTTAAAAATTAAATGATCGAATATTTCATAAAGATTAATAAAAAAACTTTAAAAACCATCAATTTGATTAGTTATCGTGTATCGCCATCTATAAGCGAATATTAAAATTCAAGATACTTTTGTTTCCATCTGTTTTATTCAAGTGTTGAATCTCAAAATATAAATTCTTTGTCAAAAGAGACCAAAGCTTTATCGATCATTGACATTTTAAATAATTAATTATAATATTCACTTGTTACTAATATGAGCAAAAAACGTGTAACATATTTTTATGATCCTGAAGTTGGTAATTTTCATTATGGAACCAATCATCCGATGAAACCACAACGATTGGCAGTGACAAATTGTTTAGTTCTTAACTACGGTCTTCATAAATACATGAATGTTTATCGGCCATATCGTGCAACCTATCATGATATGTGTCGATTTCATTCAGAAGAATATGTTGATTTTCTATACCATGTGACACCATCAAATCAACCTCAATTCCAGAAGGTGATCTCACAGTTTGGTGTCGGTGATGATTGTCCCGTATTCGAAGGCCTTTATGAATTCTGTACACGATATACTGGAGCCAGTTTACATGGTGCTTGTCAATTAAATGATAAAGTTGCCGATATTGCCATCAATTGGTCGGGTGGCCTCCATCACGCAAAGAAATTTGAAGCATCCGGATTTTGCTATGTGAACGATATTGTCATAGCCATACTCGAGCTTCTTAAATATAATCCACGTGTTCTGTACATCGATATAGATATCCATCATGGGGATGGTGTACAGGAAGCATTCTATCTAACTGATCGTGTAATGACTGTTTCGTTCCATAAATATGGTGCCTTTTTTCCTGGTACCGGTGATATGTATGAAATCGGTTATGAATCTGGACGTCATTATGCTGTGAATGTTCCATTAAAAGATGGTATCGATGATGCCGGCTATTTTAGCGTGTTCAAACCGATTATAAATGATGTTGTCTCAATATATCAACCGACTGCCATCGTATTACAATGTGGCGCCGATTCACTTCACGCTGATCGTCTTGGCTGTTTTAATCTATCATTTCGTGGCCATGGTGAATGTGTTAAATATGTCAAAAGTTTGGGCATACCATTATTGGTTTTGGGTGGTGGCGGTTACACCTTACGTAATGTAGCAAGATGTTGGACATATGAAACAAGTTTGCTGGTGGAAAAAGAAGTTCCCAACGATATACCATTAATGGAATATATTGAATATTTTGCACCAAATTTTACTTTACTCGATGATCTCGTACAACCTCCTGGTTCTGATCAAAAATCCATTCGTAATAATGAAACACATCAACATAATCATAACACAAAATCCTATCTGGAAAGTATTGTTAAATTTGTACAGGAAAATCTACGTATGTTGGAAGGTGCACCATCCGTACAGATGCACCATGTACCACCGCCTTGGGTTTCGGCTGATGATCTGGCCATGAAACCGTTGACCAAAGAGGAAGCCATTAATGAATTCTATGATCATTCGGATCAGCAACAACAACAATCTGATGATACAATGCATGAATGATTCTCATTATTTTTGGAATTTATTTTGTAAACAAATTATTTCATTTGGATAAGGGTTAAATTAAATCAATTTGTACATATCAAACAATTGTAGGCATGCGTTTCCGATCTTTAGCGGCCAATTTTTTCCTTTTTCTTTCCATGTATTTTTGTAGTCTACCCGATTCTTTAAGTAGTTTGTATTTTTCTAGCAATTTTGTTCGTTTAATTTGACTTTTATTAACGAATTTCCGTTTTAATGAACGGTCGTTATTGGGTTCATTTGTTTGTTCGGTAACATCAAATTGTTTGGATCGAGCCAATTTTTGTCGTATACGTTTGGTTCGTTCACGTTCTTCATCCGCATGTATTTGATTGGTTATACGTTGCATCAGGAATCTTATTTTTTCTTTAATTTCCACATTTTTTGCCTTTTTCAAGCGTCGTCGTAAATCATCCAATTCTTTGCGTTTCATATCAGTGAGAAAATTATAGTTTTGTTCAAATTTATCCGAACGAAATTGGTCACATTGTTCATCAAATCGAGGATCACGAAATGTCTTTATTTGTTTGTCATTATTGGAGTAGAATCGATAATCCAATCTCTTTGATGAAACTTCGATAGGTTCCGACAGATTATTTTTTCGTTTTTTAATCGTTATTTTTGTTGTCTTAGGTTGTTGATTATTTTCATTTTTATCATCAGTACCCGAAGAGTGAAGAATTTTCAGTGGTTTCAATACGGTTTGTCGATAAACTTTGGTACCCAATTTTTCTTTTATGTTGAGCAACTCTTCGAATGGAACATGTGATAGATCTGAAAAAATTAAAACATAAGAAATACATTAGAAAATAATAAAAATTTCAAACCTTCACTAATATCATTATCCATTTTCAGGTTTTCACAAGAATCGGTTTACATATATGTCCATCCAATCACGTGTTTTGCTAGTAAAAAAAATTTATTCGATTCTTTTTATTATTTTTATAATTGTTGATGATGATTTGATTTGAGTTCATTTGATTGATATGAACGCCATCTACCGATACAACGATAATGTTATTGTTGCATTTGTTTTGTTTCTCATTTTTCATTTCTCGATTTTTGTTACCCATTACGTTTTCTGTATGTGGGTGTCTGTATATATTCGTGCATAATTCAGCAATTGTTTACTTGAAGAATAAAATAATACATCGCCCAATCTCAACAGAATACATTAGGTAAGCAGAATATTGTGATTATCCATTGTCTATTCGATAATTAATGTTTTCTACAAAACTTTTTAATTTGATTTTTTTCTGATCTAAACAAAGTAAACTTGGATTTTCGAATTTAATCAGCTCATTGGTGTGATTGCTTTCACCACATAAATGGACGAAGAAATTGAACAACGTCTTCGTGGCCTTGATGAAACAGTAAATGAACTGGCTCGAAAAAATAAATCCAAAGAATTGCAAAAAGAAATCGAATTACGTTTGGCTAAACTTAATGAACGTGATCCCAATTTCTATTCAGCACAAGAGCCCCCTGTTAAGCTGTTGTCGATAAAAAAACATCGAACAGCCGTGGAAGAAGCCGATGATTTATTACAACAATTCATGCAAGAAGTTTCGCTTGATGAGAAGAAGAACGAATCATTGATTGTTGCCGATAAAGAATTGGAACAACGACTGGAAAAATTGGCCACAGAACAGGCAGAATTAAGCATTAACAAGAATCGAAAGAACCCAATGCTGAAAAAATTCAAACAAACAGGTAATCTTATACATCAACTTGTGATGCGTCGAAGCCTTGAAATCCGTGAGCGTAGTCTTGATGATGGTAATGATGATGAAATTCCCGATGTAATAGCCGACGATGACGAACAACTGAATGAAGTAATCAACGATGATGTAGATTGGTGTACCACCTGTAATGAGGATGGTGTCGTACGTTGTATCGATTGTGATATGGACATTTATTGTCTCGATTGTTTTCGGTTAGTTTAGCATAACATTTTTTTAATTTCATAATTTTATGATAATGATTGACAATCATTCAAATTAGGGAACTTCATCGTGATCGCGATATGCGTGGCCATCGAACGCAACCTTATCAATCATCACAGTCTCAGCGTTGTTGAACGACATATTTCATTTTCCTTTTTTGATTGTTTTTCTATTTTTTGGATCGAACTAAATCAAATTAATTTCGTTTACGAATCAAATATTTTTTCCTAACACTTTATATTCACTTGTTAAGAATTTAATTTTTCAGTTACTGACAGACGTCTGTCCAATTTTGAATGCTTTATTATCCAGAATCTTGTCAATTAATCAATTAATTAACTATTCAAAAAAAAAAATTGATCCTTCGTGGACCATTATTTAGATTTTCAAATTTTTCATGATGAAAGTACGGATCATTGCCATCAAGAATATTATTATTATTATTGATGTAAAGAATAAAAATGGATGATGTGAATTTATGATTTATTGTTTTTATTATAAATCGAATTGATGTACCAGAATTGCATACGAATATTGTATCCTTTCAGCCAATTTAAAGATAGAATGGCCAATAATTCATTTGAATTCGGGTGAATGAATTAATAATTATTTATCGTGCAATATGTTGATCCCATTGTCTGATGATATTCTTTATGTGTTTATAGATTTTCAATGATCGATTTTTATTCCTCAAGCTAAACTAAATGTATATGTTTTGTTCGAGACAATAGACTACTTACTGTGTAAACGGATCACGATCCTATTGATTGATTGATTGATATTGGATTGTCAGAGGAGAAATTTGTTTTCGAAATCATTCTTATATTCCCCATCAAACAAAATAACATCCGACAGTTTCCATATCTTTGGGGCTTTTATTCATATATATTCACTATGAATTATTCACTATCTCTCATACCTTTAGCCTATTTCTAACATATTTCGAAAGGCCAGAAAAGACAAACAGCCAACAATAATAAAAGAACAAAAAATTCCAAGATAAATAAAAGACGAATTCAAACAACAGCCAAAAAAACAGTACCCCCCAATGGAAAGTAATCGCTTTGGTAGGCACCAACATAACGTGAAATTATTTTTTATTTAGATTGAGAAGTTCATTTATCCCGAAAAAAAGTTCCTACACTAAGAGATCATCGAAATTAGAATATGGTACCTAACGCCTACACATTTCTATCTGTTTATATATATGTGTGTGTGTGTGTGTGTGCTATAGAATCTAGAATCTGTAAACAGGATGAGCTTTAACTTAAAAATAATTCAATAGTGAAAGTGATGAAGACAACCAACACATATGGGCAAATGAAAATAATACAATGAGAGTGACCTTCCACAAAATCTCGAGAAATGAATTCGTGGAACAAAACCGCGGGCTTCGAATACAAGAAATTTGAAATGGTGTGTGGCAGATCGCATAATTTTTTTCTCTATTTTTTTTGTTTGGTCATCTATTCTGCCAAAGTGTGGGAGTGGGAAGTATACCAAAAAAAAGATCATTCATCGGAATTCCGTTCAATATGATATGATCGATACACGCAACTATCGATTGATCAGTTACACACACTTATGTTTACCCGTTTCCATATCATTATTATTGCATTACCGAAAAGCCAGAACTTGACTCGATAATTATCTATAGTGGATGATAAAGGAATATTCTGCTGTGATGATGATAACTATGAGTAATGAGAATAAGTCATTGATCATTAATTAAATTAACTATATTGGCTACTTGAACCAACATCATTATCCGTTCGTTGGCCGGTGATCCAAACGCTTACATTCACAGCTAACACATTAATTGATTCACAATTCATGATGATGATGACGATTGTGAAACCGTCTATCTATATTTTTCGTTTCTCTCTTTTTCAGCAATTCAGATTTCCGTTTTGAATTTTAAATAAATTTATCATTTCGGGTGTTTTTGTTACCAAATCGATTGTTTTTTTATTTAGGTTATGTTGATTTTTTTTCTTTTTGAATGAAAATTAAATTTTATAAAAGTGCGATGAGAATTCGAATTGTTCATTTTGCCTTTTTTTCTTTTTCCATGGTAAGAATTTGAATGTCTAAGGCTTGAGAATTTAATGAGGAATTACCTATTTGGCTACATCAAGTTTGTTGAACTTATTGATTATTTCGGAACAAAAAGTAATAATAAAAATGAAAAAATCTCACTAAATGTAGAATTCACTGATCACCACATTGGATGATGTTGATGATGACGTGGATAAAGTTTTTTTCATAAAAAAGTTGAATTTGATTTCCTTCGTTTTTTAATCTTTTTCTACTCTGTGTGTTTATACTCAATCATTGTGAATATAATAATTCTGGTTGGGAGTGAAGTGATGCCTAATTTTCGGTAAAACCGTTTTGCTTCATTCTATTTATTTGTTTGTTTGTACCGTTTGTTTTTTCATTCTTTTCCGATGAAAAAAAAAATTTTCATTCTGTTCATCTTTCAGTCAGTTGGTTTGTTGTTTATTTTATTTTTCATTTCTGTTTTGTCCGATTAAAATAAATTCTAATGAAATGACTTTCATTGTCATTTTAAATTGAAAATTTTCCCAAGTGGAAAGTAGATTTTTTTTCGTTGCTGTTGTTTTTGTCGTTATATTTTGCCTACGGTGAAATGATTGGGAAATAGAAACAAACAACATTTGAGAGAAATCATGTTTATTTGGGCCAGTTTTCTTCAAAAGAAAAAGAAAACAATGCTAAAGACAAATTTTCTGACCTTTTTTTATTGGTTGTTGTTCATGAAGAGAATGGATAAAAAAATTCCAAAGCTAATGTGTGATTATTATTAGGCAATCAATTTATTGCCTATAATTCTTGATGAATATAAATCTAGATGAAGATATAAAAATTATTTGATTCATTGCTAAAAGTTAATTCATTGAAATTTGATACAGTATGAAATTTTTTTTCAAGGCCTCGCCAATCAACTTTTCCAAGAGCTTGGCCTGATGATTTGCCACCATCACTACAGTCAACATTTCTGTCAAAACCAGATAGATAGAAGAAACAAAATTCTATTTGCTAATCAAAAAGATTGAGATTCTTGTAATAATGAATGGTAAAAGGGTCCGGGTTGCATTGAATGATAAATGGATCGATTTTGTATGAAATTACGAATCGATTTATTGTATGCATCTATGTTCAAGCCAATTCCAAAATTTTCTGCTGACTCTAATAACTCTGATCCATTATATTTGTTTAATGAATTCGCTATCTAATTACCATTAAATTATAATTGTTGTTTACGATTCCATCTTCAATTTTGATTTAATGTTTGATTGATAAATTCAACAAAAAAAAAGAAACATTATAAATAAATCTATTATATTTCGAATAACAAATTAAATTAATTTCATTTCTTTTCTCATTCACGTGGTTATTTTGAAAATGATGATAGATTCCATTGAAAATGGAAATCTTTCCGCTTGAATGAATTGGTATATTTTATCTTTCATTTATTTAATTTGTTTTATCATCATCACCATCACCAAGAGGTTATATGCATTTCATATTCTTTTTTATTCACTTACCCGTATTTTGGCTGAATTCATACTTTTTAAAGAAGTTGGCTATGCTCTCATCACAATTATCATTGAATTGAATATTTTCATTTTTTTCAAGTGATGATGTTCACAATGTGATGATCATTTTATGAAACAAGCTTCAAATCAAGTTAAATCGTCCATCGGCATTTCAAGTTTGAATATTAAAGTTAAGCATTATAAATCGAGATCGATGATGATGGTTAATGGTGATGATATCCCATTTTTTCAACATCTTCTGCCTAATTGTTCGTATTAAATGTGTAGAATATTTCATGAAAACCAAAAGTGAATTGGCGAGATATTCAAACAAACAAACTGAGATCGTCATCGATCGTTTTTTGTCATTTGTTGTTCGGCAATAAATTTTATTTTTCTACCCTTTTTTATGTTCACTCGATTCTTTCTTGAGAATTCAGTGATGGCATTGACCTAAACTCTTGAATTTTGTGTCTATTTGACTGTTGAAACATGCAAAAAAAGATTCTGTTATCTTTCGATTATGTAGAAATTCTTACATAAGATTAATCCATATGTATTCAAGCGCGAAGAACCGGCGGGTCTCATGTTTGTGTAGAATCTTGAGCCGAAACATTATCATTTTTTCTATTATGTTGGTGTGTAAAACGGTTGTGTTCTTAGTAAAAAAAAATATCTCACTTTTTATGGTTCGATACTTTTATTTGCTTTTTATCTGTCTCACAATTATATATTTAAATCAACCAATTTCATTTCCAATTCATTCTTAAACACTATCTATTGAATTCGTTCATTGAAGCAAAACGTAAATCATAATTAGAAGAAATGATTATTTATTTTGTGCCGCTTTTGATAGCACCGGAATATTTTGTTTCTTTATCACATCAATTTTCATTTTCCGTTGCTAGAAATTTTTTTTCTTTCAATATTTTTTTTCGGTTATTTCATTTGTTACATTTAATACCGTTATCATCATCATCATCATCATCATTATAGATTGAGAGTTGGCTGTTTTGTGGATGCGCGAAAATGCCTATTTTTCTATATCCGCACCACTAGTTGAAAAAGTTTCCATCATTTCTGTTTCTTTCATTTTCTTTATTCCAAATCTGTTATTCGACCATTTGGTCTTTCATTGTATTCATTGTCTATATATCATTATTTTCAATGTGTAATGATAATAATAAAAATCTTTGATGAAACTATGAATCAAAATTATTGGCGCCAGTTCGAAATGACAAACAAATGATTATTATGAATTGTCTATTCTAATTCTGTTGTGCATATGTGTGTGTGTGTGTATGTATTTCATAGAAACTAAAGGATTATCAATTTCATTCTAATTTGGGATTAAAATCGTTTGTAATGCATCTGAAAATTCACATCTGGTTATAAACTTGTAAACGAGTTTGTCATCATAATCATAATGATGATGATGATCATCAAATCATGGCAAGAATGTTATTTCGACAACAATAATGAACGAACGAAAAAAAAATTTATTTTGCTTTTTGATCCGTTGTTCTGTTTGATGACAAAACAACAGTTCGATTGAATGATTATTTTCAAAACAAATCCAAATTCAACATTGAAAACTTTTTTTTCACCCAAAAACGGGATGATCAAATCCTTTTTTTTTTCTATTGCTGATGATTTTTTATGTTCGCTGTTACCGAATTATATTCGGCATCAACGATTTTTTCTTTCATTAATACTCTCGATAGATGTGTGTTTGTCGTTTTGTGTTGATGTTTTTTTTCTATTCAATGATCACAATTTGCCTAAGTGATTTTTTCATTTTTTTCGCTTTTTTTCCAATTTGTCGATTCGTAAATTATTGTTTGCTTTGGCAACAAACAAAAAGTTTGTTTCGATGTGTGTATGTTCGGAATAATTTTTCTTTTTTTTTCTTCTGTCTTTTGAATCTCAATTTGATTCAATTTTATCATTTAATGCTTGAATTCTTTTTTTCATTGATACCATTATTGGGCCAATCAACCTATTCTCATCGATATATATCATTGATAAAAAAAAACTAATTTTCGGTTGAATCGAAAATTTTTTCCGATTAATATATTTTATCTGGTTTCCTTGCCTGGTCTTCTGATTGACCAATCTTCAAATAAACTGCTACTGCGTTGTTTTAAAGTCCATTAATTTAGTTTCTTTTATCGCCTGCTATCTATTTTGAATTATTATTTTTATTTTTTTATACATCCTACTGCTGTTTATCGATGATTCTACAACACGAATTTTTTGGTTTCACGAATAATAAATGACAACAACATGAATCCGTTTATGACTGACAATGATTATAATGATCATCATCGAATGAGTAATATTGCTGATGTGGATGAATTTATTGGTAATAATTCTGACGATCCATTCTCATCGTCTTCATCATATCCAAATTTTAATTTATTTGATTTGACAACAACATTGACGGCTTTATTTTATGGTAAGTCTTATAAATTTGATACTGGTTGATAACACTTGGTAGACGTTAGTTGAATATTCAAATGGCTGAAATAATGATTATTCTTATCAGGGTCGGCATTTGTATTGGGCACAATAGGCAATGGACTTATCATTTATATTGTTGCGCATTATCCTCGAATGCGTACATTATCCAATGTATTTTTGGCATCATTAGCCACTGCAGATCTATTATTGGTTTGTGTTTGCATTCCAATCAAGGTAGGCTTATAAACGATGATAATTTCCAAAATGTCTTGATTACTGTATTAATGTGATAAACACAAACGCAAATATAGTTTATTCAACTCATAACCTATACATGGACATTCGGTCTATTCATGTGTAAAGCCATCCATTATGTTCAATCATTGAGCGCCTATTGTTCAGTGCTTACATTGACCATAATCAGTGTGGAACGATACTATGCCATCATACATCCTGTAAAATGTCGAGCTACATTTTCCATGCGACATATTCGTAAGATGATCTGTCTTACATGGCTTTTATCGGCCATATTAGCATCTCCATCCGTGGGCGTCTATGTAAGCAATATTTACTGTGATAATGTGATTTTCCAAGTGGATATAATCCAATCCTATTCATTTATGGAAGATGTTGGTTCGAATTGGTGATGAATATGATTCTGATCATTTCTGGTGTGTACGTATTGCTTCGGATTGGGCGGCTGATGAATCGGATATGAATCAAAAATGGCATGAAGCACGGATTGTTTATGAAGTATATCAGATCTGTACCATATTGATTCTACCGACATTGGTCATGATATTTACTTATACCAGAATTTGTACACATTTATGGATCGTTTTTCATCGTCGCACAGCAATGAGATTTGGACATGCTTGTTATTTGTAAGTGTACATTATACTAATCGAAATTTTATTATAACAATTAATTTATTGACAGTATGTCAGACAATAATGGCCATTCGAATTGTCCAGAGACTACTTCTACAGCGGCTACTGTTTGTTTATCATCGAGATCATCGTTTCCCAGTAATATGACTGCATTCACAGCATCATTGTCATCGGATTCGACAACATCGACTGCGGCAGCAGCTCATTACCTCAATCGAAACAGTACAAAATCAGTCGATACTGGTGAGCCGGGAAATGGTAATATATTTCCGCCACCAACACCTACATCGGTTGCATCATCAATACAATCACATTATAATATATCCATACCATCATCAACACAATCACTAAGAAATTCACGACATTCATATTGTCAACAATGTTCACATCACTTTAAAACCAGTGATGAAGACAATCAAACAGTCAAACAGGTTGACCAACGGCTTTACCAAATCAGAATAAAATGAATTTTTTTTTGCAATTATAGGTAATCAAGATGTTAGTCGCCGTTGTGGTTCTATTCGTACTTTGTTGGGCACCAACATTAGTTATCGGGTTACTTCGTGCATTCAACATGATTGCTGAAACTAATGAAGGAATTCTGAAAGAAATTATTACCGGTAATTATCAATCGTAATTCAAATGAAATTGGAAAAAAAATTTCATTTTTTCTATTTATTCCAATTGTACAGTTACATTTCTATTATCATATCTAAATTCTGTAATCAATCCAATAATCTATGGTTTTATGTCTAAAAATTTTCGCCTTTATTTTCGATTAATATTCATGCAATTCTGGTCATTGCTCACCACTGGTCATTGTATCGATCATCATCATCATCACCATAGGCATCGGTATCACAATAATCAACATAATCGCAATAATAATAATCATCATCGTGTTGTAAATACGAAAACTTATCGTATGAATATACAAACTACCGAAATACAAATGGATCATACTGATGAATCAAAAACGGATCGACAGCGAAAACGTCAATCATGGGAATTCAGTCCTTCAACCAGCATGCAGACTAAATCATCATCATTGGCAAATAAACATCCTCTGTCGAAAACAATTCGAATGAAAGAATTTTCGCGAGATTCATCCACAATGATCGGTCAGGAACCATCAGCAACAGTAGTTGATCACAATCCAATAGTCAATGCTCATTTACCGTTGAAATAATTATATGTAAAAGAAAATGTGATTTTTTTCTCGATTTATCCGTTTCAAATTATTTATATCAAAGCCCATTATAACAAAGATATTCCAATAAAAAATACACGAGAAAAAAATTTATTCACTCTTTTCTTGTTTGTCCAAAAAAATTATTTCATTATATTAAACTTTCAAAGCATATTTTCTTTGCGGCCACAATCGTTCACGACGCATTTGTTTTCGCGTTTTGATAGCTTTCTCGTTTGGTGTCAATTCTCGACGTTTAGCACGTGTTAATTTCGGGCGCAAATCTAATGGTTTGTATTTTTTGCCACGATATACACGACGAAGATTTTCCTTTTGTGTTTGATTGATGACGGTCAACACACGGGCAATGTTTTTACGGAATACACGAATTTTCGATAATTTCGATGCTGTTCCACCCGTTACTTTGGCCACACGTAGATTTGAAAGTTCTTGTTTCAATTCATCTAATTGTTTCATCAATTCATCTTTGCGTTTGCCACGCAAATCTTTCGTCTTGAGTTTGGTCATATTTGGATAAAATTTTTTCCTGTTTGACAGTAGTATCAAAAAAAAGAATAAAATGTTAAATATTTTATCGGTAACAATGAAAAAAAGTGATAAAATGAAATCATTTATGAAATGATAAAAAAAATCGCTCAAAACTTACCGAATATTCCGAAAATGTAGCCAAAATAACAAATTAATCACAACACACACAGCAAAAAAACACTGTCTAGTGAAATTAACAGGAAAAAGGAAAGATTTTTTCTCGTTTTCAAATACACGTGTGAGCTATATCGTCTATTGACACCGTTGTAAACACTACTGAGTTCAAATAGAAAAAAGTATCAAATCAAGTAAATAGATGGCGCAATGATATCGAATAAAGTTAATCATTTATTTGATTAAGAAATGCGTTGGAATCCTCTATTGATATAAAGTTTATAAACGGAATATAATCAACCGGGTCAAATACCCTACGACGAATGTAATCATAGCATATAAATGATGAGGAAACACCTGGCTGAATGTTTTTATCATAACCAGTGTTTATTGATAATCCATGTTGATTCAAGGTATTTATAATATATAAAATTTTATTTCGTTAGCCATCTGGACCATTCAAATAGGGTCTTCGCTTTTTTTTACATTTAAAGTTTTATCATTGATCTAACAATGCGTGTATGTCAAACAAGATGGTAAGATAAACAAGGTCGATACGATTTTATGTGAATTGGTCGGTCGGTCACAAATGTTTTTTTATATGGTTATTAATCTGGAAAATATTTCAGGCATCTTTTTTAGATGGTTAAATGATGCCGCTTGTCCTGTCAGTGACGAACTTGCGACCTTGCAAAAACATTCAATACAATGCATTGAATTTTGTCATTTCTTGTCTTGTGACCATCATCATCGTCGTCGTCTTTATTTGTTGCTATGATCATTCATTCAATAATGGTCAAAAACATACGTTTTGTTATCAACTCGTCAAATCTTGTTGTGGTGAATATAAAATTTTATGACTTTCTTAAAATCTCTTTTTTTCAAAATCATTATTTTTTTTGTTGTCTAAAAATTTCCGATTCCATTATCATGCTTGATGGTAATGTCATTATTATTATATACAAAACATAAATCATTGGATTACAGTGATTATAATCATTTATTATTCCTTCGACTAATTGGAATCGGATTTGAATCCATATTGAAAAAAATTTTTTTTTCTTTCATTCCTAAATCGTTTCATTGACTATGATGATGATGATGATGATGATGATGATGATAATTGTCCTTTTTATTTCTATTACAACTTGATTATTTTTTTTCAATCCGATTTAATTAATCATCATTATGTTTATCATTGCCAAGAATTTCACTATTCAAAATATATTAATTGTGTGATGATATGATATTGTAATATTAGGCGTGTATAATTTTGAATTTTGATGCTAGTTTATTCAACAAAATTTTTTTTGTAATTTTCTTTGCTCATAACTAGGTTGGTTCCAAGATATATAATAATAAATTTTTAATTCTGTTTGAACAATAATTAACGATGTGATAAACACTAGAATAAATCATATCCGTTTGATACGTTTTAATAAAATCACAAATAAAAATCAGTATCGAGGTCAAAGTATTTATTGATAGGGGGTGATATTTTGCAATACAATGACAATCATATTTGATGATGATCAATTAAATTCCTACACACACACACACACTGGCACATGGATGTTTAATCCAGTTTTTTTTCATTTATTAATCTTTAATAACATTGCACAATACGTTTGCAATACAGACTAACACACACACCTATAGATCGAAATGTAATCTATCAGTCATGAATGTTCATTTTTCATGTCATCCATCAATCATTTGTATGATAGCTGTGTTTGTGTATCAAGAATGTGTTTTTATTCTGATTGTATGACTCATATATTGGATATAGGGGTTTGTTTATCACGAAAAAGGGGTATCTCTCTCTCTTTTCTATTATTAACAACTTTTCATTATATGAACAGGTATAAATTGTGATGAGAACAACAATAACGAAAAATAATTCTTCCACCCACTGCCGTACTGTAGTCATGATGGGTTCTTTTTTTTCCTGTTTTTTTTATCTGGTGCATATCTATCAACTCAATGTTCTCTGTATACACAAATAATAATAACAAGTGGCCAGGTTTTTTTTTCTTCAATTTTGAACAAAACATGAAAAAACTTGATTTCCATGAATTTCGTTGTTTTTTTCTATTTCTTTGACAAGACATCTGTGCTTTTATTTTGTCATGTCAAAGATAGATAAATTATCAATTATGGTTCTCGCCTTATCGTTTGTATTTAGGTCTATTCTTTATTTGTCAGTTTCTCTGGTTTTTAAAAATGTTTTCTTTACAATTAAGACGAACAAAAAAAAAAAGACATTCACATTATAATATACATAAGACGAAGAGCGTGAATGAATCCTCGTTAAGGAATAGTTGGTTGGCAACAAGAAGATTCGGATGAGAAAGAAAGTTCGTCAACCATTCGTTATGAATCATCAATGTGCTTAAATGCGTTGACATCAAATAAACAAACAAATAGAAGTTTTTCCAGTTAGTTTGTTCAAATTTGTTTCTTCTGTATTTGTCTATTACAATTATATTGAAAATTTTGGTTCAAGTTTGATTGGTCATTTTTTCTTCTTACTTTTGATTCAATTATTTGATCGGAAATGGCCAATATGCAGGTATATTTGATTGATTGTCGGGTGAATCAATTTTCGATTGTTCCCTAAATAAATCAATCTTTTTGATCAGACAACCGGAACTATTTGAAATTGGCTTATCCTGAATGAATAATAAAACTTTTTTTGTTTGAATTGAATTCGGATTGATCAATAGGGTTAATGTATTCTCTTCCTCTCTCTATATATAACTACTATTCCACTCTGGTAAATTCGTTCAAATTCTATGGTGAATGACAAAAAATAGAAAACATCATTTAACATGAGTGTTAAGTTAATCTTTAGTTTATAATTAGGATCCATTTTTTCTATGGTATGGATGATTGAAAAATAACTACGACAATTATTATCATCATATATAATGAATTGTACTGTGAGTTTGTTTTTTTTAAAAAATTTATTACTGTATTTCTAAATAATATTCAATATAGCATGAAATTATAACAAAATAAAATGCCAACAATCCTTATTGATCATCTATAATCTATATTTATCCTTTTTCTATATCCCGTAAGGTTGAATGAACCAGCACAATTGATTTCAATGACCTTACAACATCTATTTTTTTTCTTAATTCATAATCTTAGATATCCAAAAAAAAATAAATGATATTTTCAAACAATCATATTCTGTATATATCTTGTCAAATGGTATATATTCTAATAGTTGACATTTTTTTAATTTACATACATACAATGTTGTTACTAGCTTGTTTTTCTCTACAGTGTGTTACAGATGGTTAGCATACAAACACACACACACACGAATATCAAACACATCTTTGGCCAGATGTTTCTTTCCTGTTACTGGACTGTATCATCATTGACTATGTTTTGGTCGAGCCATTTTTTCGCTTTCCCTCTCTCTCACGAACCATTCATATCTATCTATACACATTGCTATAATAATCAAATTATTTAGACTAAACCTTTTTTTCTGTAGGATATAATCATAAAAAGATTGGTGTCTGAATAAACATATGACACTAGTTGTCACATTTGTATATTTGTTCATTTTTAGCAAAATGATTCAGCCCACTTTGCTAATATACGATAAAAAAATCTGTTCAAACGCTATAGCTTTATTATTTGATTAATATTAACCAACACAATAACCAATGTACTAGTTGGATGCTTTGTTATTGGTTATGATAGCTTTGAGATTTATAAAAAAAATTTACATATGATATGGTCATTTTTTCTGCACCATTATTTTTGAATGAATGAATTTTCACTTTGATTAATGTCAACTATCATCATAATCATCTTGAATGTCATGTGATAACTTATTTCATTATCATTCAAATTATGTGTGTGTGAAAAATTTTAGTTTCAAACATATATACATAATTTAAGATTAAAGTTTTCGATTCTATCGACCATAACTCGGTCATTTATACCCATTCTTATCGTTTTATGTATTGATGCATTGTTATGATTGGATTACATTTTGCTTCTTTTAACAATCAATTTTGGGTTTCATATATCCAAACTAAGTTTACTAAACAACAAAGCTGAATAAATCCAAACAGAATCTACGAACATACATAAATATGTAGGTTTGCCGCACCCCAAATCATATCAAACATAAACGATCCAGAAAATCTAAGACACGAATCCAGAATTCTAGTTATACTATCTGGTTAATTTTACAATGCGCATTCGCGATTTTATTCATGACCACATATCACTATGCGGTATATCACTTAGTTCACGATGCTGATGGGTTCTCTTTTTGGTATAGGGTACGGTATAGTAGGGTACACTTATGCCGTTATGTTCATTTGCTTTGGTTCTGGTTCAACCAACTCGAACCTCTCTCTCTATTATCCTGAATGAATGAATGGTTTTTGATACTTCTGACCCATAACGCAATTGTGTCGCGCCCTTATTATTCGATCCGTTTTGGATTCTATCCTGGTAGTAGTGGTGAAACATATTCTACAGAGTGTATGCTCTCAAGAATTGAAACGATGACGTCTGTTTGGGTTTTACATATACATATCCGTGTCTGGAACGAATCCAAACTGGAGTCCAATTTTGATAATTTTATCTCATACATTAACTTTGATCATTAGCGACCAAAATTTTCATATTTTTTTCGAACTTTGATGTGTATGTGGAACATTAAAACCGGTGATGTTTTATTGTCGTTTTTTTTGCTTCGGTTTGGAATCAAAAATTCGGATTACGGTAACAAACTTGCAATCCATAAATCGTGAATCATTTTTATTAGATCGTGTTTTATATGTTGTGTTTGTGCAATTTAAGTGAATATTTTTCTTTTTGTTTTTGACGCGCCCAATTGGCCCATCGAATGCAATCCTCTCCCAAAATTGTACTTAGTAAATTCATTTTTATTCATTCGTACATATAAAATTGAGTGATTGGATTGATGCAATGAAAAATTATTATTTCGTTCAAGTGACTTGATAATGATCCACATCGTAATCATTTTTAACTGTGTAACTGTCCACAATTTGTATGCATCGATATAATAATTTTTTTTTGTTGTCTCTACGATTGTTTGGAACAATAATATTGTGTAATTTTTTTTCCTGCAACCAACCGAAACTGAAAATTCAATGCTGCCCATATGATCATCAATAATCATTCGTTGTGAGAATAATAGTCAATGCAAACGACATACTGTTTTGTTTTGTTGATGATCATCAAAAAAAAGGCATGGTAACAATAAATCGTCTTATCAAGCTTCAACGTTAACTCTTCTTCATTCGATCATCAATGATTATCGATATTGTGTTTATGGGGTCGTATTTACAACCCGATTACGATCATATGGCACACAACATATAGCAAACAAACAAACAAAGCTCACTTTGGCTAGAATACATACACATAAACGCACAAATACATAGAAGACTTGTACAATTCACATGGCTTCAAAGGTTTGAAACATAAGCACATGTGTGGTTGTAACACACACACACACACACAAATTGAAATTGCCTAATTTTTCATTTTTGAATTTTTCAATATTGTCATCATGGTGATCTTTATAATAAATCTCCACTTGTATAATTCAAATTTTACCATCTTATGAACATTGCCTATAGGCAAATGATAGAAGAAAACCTGTTCCTTTTTTGAATTGAAAAGTTGAACATCCACCTAACCAAACCAATGCCAACCAACCATTAAAGCTAAATTCAATGGTTGATATGTGAAACGATTACGAAATCATACACTGCTGTTGTTGCAATCAAGTTCGTCATCACTTGATCATTGCCATGATTAACCATCATTCGTAGTAGTTGATGGTGGTGATAATTTTTAAACTTGGCAACTAAATTTTCTTCAACATCGTTGATGTTTAATAAAAAAAAACATTGCAATTTTTTCATTCGTCGTCTGTTTTTTTTTCATTTAACTTGTGATTGAATAATCAATTCGAATATTGAATCAATAATCCATTCTTCATCGATTCCATCAATTGAATTGTATTTATTTCTTTGTGTGGGTTAGTTTTTTTTAATGTGATTATCGCGCCGAATTGTTGTAGTTGACAATTTCAACATTAATAGTTGGCCGCATCCACCCTCAACATCACCATTATCATCACAATCATTAGATGATTCATTCGGGATTTCGAATAGAGGATGATGAAATTAATGAAGAAATCAGTATTGAATTCAAAGTCCCTAAGCCATTATAATAAACCCGAAATAATGATATTATGATAACTTTGTCGCATAGATATCATCATGATTACGACTTCACTATGTCAAACACTAGCCTCAATTTATCATTCACTTAATATTTATAAATCGAGTTCAACGAAAAAAACACTTCCAATTATTGGCGGCTCGTTTTTCCGATTTCCGAAAAAAGGAGAAAACCGCAATAAACACAAAATATAAAATATCTTAAAGAAAAAATAATCTAGGAAAATGTATCCATTTTATTAGATTTGTGCTTATTCTTGTGTGCTGGTTTAATAATCAACATCTTTTCAAGTTTTCAAGAAACTCAACTCCCTCTAATCAATTCAAATCAAAATAATTAGTATCCAATGTTTTTTGGGTGATTTTTTTGTCAACATTCTCATTGTGATATAATTTATTCAATTCAACCTTTATCTTTCATCGAAAAGAGAACAAATTAGAATATTTTTTTTTTCCTAAAATGGTCTGCGAAAACGATGAACCAGTGGGTAATCGATCTATGGATGGCGTACCAGATTTGACGCTGATATCGAATATCGATGAGATTGGTATCAATGAAAATCTTCATGTTCGCTATAATCGTCAACAGATCTATGTAAGTTGAGACATCAGATTTTTTTTGCTTTCGGGTTTCTGATTTTGTTTTTTAACTTGAAAAATGATAATAGACTTATGCTGGATCAATATTGATTGCTGTAAATCCGTATGAAGAGCTTGACATATATGAATCCGAATGGCAACAGATGTATTGTGGAAAACGTTTGGGCGATCTTGAACCACATGTTTTTGCCATTGCTGAATCATCGTACAGACACCTGTGTTCTGATGATGCCGATCAATCGATTGTGATTAGCGGAGAATCTGGAGCCGGCAAAACAGAATCAACAAAATTCATACTACAGTATCTTTGTTCGGTCACATCTAGTCAATCATCGTGGGTTGAACATCAGATTCTTGAAGCCAATACTATACTCGAAGCATTCGGAAATGCTAAAACAGCCCGCAATGATAATAGTTCTCGGTTCGGGAAATTCATTCAAGTTTGCTTTGATGAACGAGGCCAAATCGGTGGTTGTGTTGTACGTGATTACCTTCTCGAACGATCTCGGATAGCATTACAATCGGCTGCCGAACGTAATTATCATGTGTTCTATCAGCTCGTATCGGCTGCACGACGTGATCAAGAGCTAGCCAAACAATTGCAATTAGATGATCCTGCCATAGAATTTGTATATCTGAATCAATCAGGCTGTACAAGTATCGAAGGCGTTGATGATGCTGCCAATTTCGATTCTTTACGATTGGCTATGTCCGTACTTAGAGTACCCGAAACAATGTCCGATGGTCTTTTCGCTGCTTTATCAGCCATATTGTGGCTAGGAAATCTGGAATTTGAAGAACAAGCCGAAACGGAACGATGTAGGCTAACCGAAAATGATGAACTGGTCATATCGACAGTGGCCACGTTACTCGGTGTCGATGCTTATCGATTAACGTTGATTACTCTACGACGACAGATTAGTGTTCGAGGTACGGTCACGGATATACCGTTAAGTTTACGTGAGGCAAGAGAAAATCGCCATGCGATGGCCATGGCCATTTATTCACGTACGTTTGCATGGCTCGTTCGACATATTAATGCCTGTACATTACCGGATCAATGTGCAAAGCGATTCATTGGCGTGCTCGACATTTTTGGCTTTGAAAATTTCCAGTACAATAGCTTTGAACAATTATGCATAAATTATGCGAATGAAAAATTGCAACGATTCTTCAATCACTATGTGTTTGCCTTGGAACAACAAATCGTAAGTGAGAATCGTATTCACCATTAAACTTTGCATACAATTTTCTAATTTCACTTTATTCGAATTCTATAGTATCACGATGAAGGTATCAGTTTTGAACATATCAATTTCACTGATAATACTCCCTGTGTGGAACTATTGGAAAAGCCGCCCAAATGTGTGCTACGGTTATTGTCTGAAGAATGTAAAATTCCACGAGGTACAGATTCATCTTTTGTCCAAAAATTACATTCAGAATTTCATCAAAATCATCAATACTATGTCCGTGGTGATGATCGTCGCCATTGGAATGCTCAATTCGGCATTAAACATTATGCCGGTGATGTAATGTATCAAGTAGCTGATTTTCTAGCCAAAAACAAAGATGCTCAACAAGATCAATTTTTTGAAATAATGCTCGATTCGAACAATGATTTTATCAAGTCAATCGCTACCTTACAAGATACGACCGAATCAATCTATGGTACCATTGGTCGTGCTCAAGATGGTAAAGGGTCAAAAGGAAGGCCATTAGTGGCAGATGCCTTTCGACAACAACTATCCGCGTTGGTTGATCTTTTATCCGCTACCTGCCCGTGGTATGTTCGTTGTATCAAGCCAAATCTGACGAAATCTTCACGAGCATATGATGTTGCACAAGTCCATACTCAACTACGATATCTTGGCATGTTGGACATTATTCGCATCAGGCGTGAAGGATTTCCTGCACATTATAAATTCGATGTATTTATTGCAAGATTCAGATGTCTACTACTAGTCAAATCATCTCATCATCATCATCATCATCATCACCAGAGTCATCATGTTCCTCATCTGAAACCCAATTCAGCATCGACTCGTGAACTATTGAATCGAATTCGTATCGAACCAATACAATGGCAAATTGGTCATTCGAAAGTATTCCTTAAAGCCGGTGCAGCCGATGAATTGGAAGAACGACGAACATTGCTTCGTGAACGAATGGTCATTAGAATACAATCGGCATGGCGACGATTAATATGTATGCGACTTTATCGTTGTCAACGTTCAAGTGCAATTATAATTCAACGAGCATTTCGAGCGATGAGAACACGTTTACTATATCAAAGACAACGTCGTGCAGCGATCACCATACAGGCATTTGTACGTGGAATGTTTGCCCGTGAGGTTGCCCGTGCATTATGTCATATGAGAGCAATTGAAGCCGCGGAAAAACTTCAACGAGAACGGATGGAAAGACAACAATCGTCTGAAGAAAACGATGGAACGGATCAACAACAGGAACAAGATCGAATGGCAGTTGAACAGATTAACGGACATTTCTTAGGAAAACGGTAAGACACACACAGACACATGAAAACGAGTTTCAAAACAAAAAATGAAACTTGATAACATTTCTCTTTTATTTTTATTATATTTTCATTTCGATTTAATTTCATTTTCATTCTGACCTGAAATACATAGTAGATCATCTACACCAGACGAACTGGATGAATTAGAGCGTCAACTACGGGCCGACGTCGAACGATTATATTGTCGTAATAATAATAATAATAATAATAATAGCAATTATGAAGAGATTTTAGTCGAAGAAACGGAACAAGTAAATAATACGTGTGATACCAACAATAATCAAGTGGATAACCATACTGATGATGAATTGCATTTGAAATCATTGAAAGAATCATCGGTGGATGAGGATTCGGCTTTAGAATCAATGTCATCATTGCCACCACCACCACCAATGCCATTAATTGGTCAGAAAATTGGTAATCAACCGAATCGATCAATTAGTGACCAGTTTGATCAGTTGATACAAAAAACGGAATTGGCTGTTGATTCATTGGATAAAATACAAAAAATGAATCCCCCAAAACCGAAACCAAAACCAAATATGTCAGCATATCATCATCATCAACAACAACAACAGCAGCAGCAGCAGTCATCGTTGGCTGAAAAATTGAAAGCCATATTAATCGTCGATGAAACACAGCAACAACAATCCGATGATCAACAGCAAGGAAAGATGCACCATCATCAACCATCCCCATCAATTTGTTCGGTAGATTCTGCCGTATCCGATTCTCCTGCCACATCAACATCGGATACATTGATGATGGTAGCTAATAATGATCAAATTGTTCATAGTAACGGTGTTGATGGTGGTATCTCTCAATCAAATGATGATCGATCATCTACTGCATCGAGTTCAATTCTTGATAATCGTGGATCGATATCATCATCCGAACATACCGGAACGAATACATCTCAACGCGATGATGTTATGAGTGTTATGAGTGATGGTGCTGCTACATCTAATAGTACATCGGATTTTGAAAATTCATCTCCACTTCCTGGCTCTGCTACATTCCATCAACAGCAACAGGTTCATGTTCCATTAACAATTGCAACGGCAGTACCAGCACCCACAATGGTTCCAATGGCCACAGCTGCAGCCATTGCACAGGTACATCATCAGCAAATATATACACAACAACAACAGAAAAAGTTGATTCAACCCCAAGTGTTGAGCCAACAGCAGCAGCCCATCTATAATGGTCAAAATCAAATGACAATGATTCCGGTGACAACGACCACGATTGCAGCCCAACCTAATCAACAGCTACATCAATTAACACCGCAACAAATACAAGCAATTACAAATTCTAAATTCATCACAAAACAGATTGTCCATCAACAACAACGATCACAAATGCCAATGACCACCAATGGTGCTGTATCATCATTGAATGGCGAACCACCAACAGAATGGGAAAAAGATTTTGAATTATCTGAATATGCAAGCAAACATTTGAATCGCCATAAACGTGATGATTATTCGGGTGCATTATCTGGATCTAGTGGTCAGATCGTAAGAACATTGAATCGAAACAAACGGAAAGGTCTTGATGTAAATAGTGCCGAACTTTTTCTCACACCAATCGAAATGATCACATGGACATCAAGTTCAACCATACCAACTGCACACGTACATCTAGCCATTCCGCAAAATATAAATCTAGCCTGTTCAATATTCAAAGAATTGAATAAATATCTAGCAGGTGAGAAAAAACTTGAGACAGAAATTCGCTTTATTCAATCAATGATTGGCCATGGTATTGAACGTGAAGAATTGCGTGATGAAATATTCATTCAATTAGTACGACAATCGAATGATAATCCATCTAAAGAACAAACGATTAGATGTTGGTCATTGCTTGCCTTGGCCACGGCTGCATTCATGCCTAATAAACAATTATCTCGCTATTTGTTGACTTATCTACGGCGGCATCTGCGAGCAAATAATACATCAATAGCTTGTTATGCACAATTCTGTTTGGACAATTTACATGTTGGCCGATTGTCTGCTCGACGATTTCCACCATCGATTGCAGAAGTAAAAGCCGTTACCGCACTTCGGTCCTTGGTATGTCGATTTCATTTGTTGGATGGCCGAACCAAAGCCCTTGATCTCCATCCGGCCGATACAGCTTCTGATGCTGTTCTTTCATTGGCCGCCAAACTTGGTCTTCGTAATATTGATGGTTGGGCATTATTCGAAGTGGCGCCTGAAGGTGAACGTGTATTACGAAGCCATGATTATGTGGCTGATGTATTGACTTTATGGGAATTACGGGCCCGTTCTGAAAGCAAATCAACTTCATCATCCTCTTCTGCTTTGTCAAATCATCATCAATCGACCACCATACCGAATTCACCATCAGTTGATTCGATTGCTACTAATTGTCGATTCGTATTTAAAAAACGTTTATTCCGTAATGCGAATGAAATTCCACGCGATACAGTCGAAGTAAGCTTATTGTATGCACAAGCTGTACATAGCGTCGTCCGATTGGATGAATTTCCTGTCAGCGAACGTATTGCTCTACAATTGGCCGGTCTTCAAGCTCAAGTGTTGATGGGAGATTTTGTTGAAGGTCGTATTCGAAGCTATGAAGATGTTGAAAATTATATAAGTGCTCGGGTACGTCGTGCAGCTGGCCATAGCTCAATGGAATGGGCTGTGAAAATTGCTGATGCTCATCGTCTACATGGCTATGGAAAGAGTTCATTAGTAGCTAAAGTCTGGTATCTTTCATTGGTTATGCAATATCCATTATACGGTGCTGCATTATTTCCCGTTCAATATAAAGGTGTATTGGCTATATTCGGTAATATGCCACTATTATTGGGCGTTCATTCTGCCGCCATATTAGTAGTTGCAGCGGCAGATAAACGTGTCCTTGCCACCTATCGATATTCAGATATTGAAACATTGACCATATATCCGACAGAATCATTACTTACGCTGAAAATGTTCAAGGAAACACCCGATGGTTCAAATAAATGTTTAACATTTGAAACATTACAAAAAGAAGAGATTGCATCATTAGTTGCCGCCTATTCACCACAACATGCAGCCGGATTTACTTTCGGCATGGCCAATGCTATGGTTGATGTATTGAGCACTCCAGTTGCTAATCAACGACCCCGTCGACTACTTAAAATGACACTCGAAGATCGCCTCCGATTGCATACCGAAGTGATCAATTGCCGACGGGCACTAGTCACGGCAAACATCATGCGAAAACCAGCAGCAGAACATCAAACTAAGTGGCGTACTACTTTACGGCGACTAGGTCGCAGTAGTAAATCAAATTCAAAAAACAATCAAATTAATTTGGATGACGATGACTATAGTCATGATGAAATATTACGGAATTATCCCAGACCATTCTGGGCATATATTAAAGAACCACTTGTCTCGAGCTTATTAGTCATTTCAGATCCAGATCTTGAAGCAGCTGCTGTTACAATGTTCGAACAAATACTTTCTTATTCAGGCTTACGAAATGATGCAAGCCAATCGGATAATTCTTCTACTACGACAAATGGATCATCATCATCGAATGAAGTTGAATGGTGTATGCGTGCTACACAATCTGAACAAAATCAAATCCGACAAGCACAAGCAATTCTGGAAAAGTGTCTTGGTGGTGATGCTGATATACTACGTAATGAATTTTTTCTACAGTTGATCCGTCAGACCACCGATCATCCAATACCGAATTCTCGTGTAAATATTAAACATTGGCAATTGTTGGCACTCGCTTGTTCGCTCACACAGCCATCCGATCGTCGAGTATTGGCCTATTTGCATGCTCATCTGCGTCGCTGTGCCTTGGATCAAATTACACGTGAAGGTCAATATGCTCAATTCGCATTACGAAATCTACAAGGAACATTGGAAACACGTGGTCGTCGATTGGCGCCTTCACGTCCTGAAATTGCTGCCACAATTCAATGTCGCCGTGTGTATGCCCGTGTACATTTTCTTGATGGTCATTTTCAAGCCGTTGAATTTGATGCTTGTGCTGTCATTGCCGAAGTTTTGGAACAAATTCAGCTCAAAATCGAACTACGAACACATGCACCTGGTTATGCATTGTATCAAGTGCTGGGACAAAACGGTGCTGAACAAGCATTACAACCAGAAGATAAGGTGGGAGACGCCATTGCATTCTGGGAACGATGGCATGATGAACATCTGGGTCAAGTTCAAAATGGTTCCACTGCTGCTGCCGGTGTCGTTCGTAATGGGGGAACTCAAGAACCGATTCATTATTTTATCTTCAAGGTATGTACTTAATAGAATTGATCATTGTGTCTCATTGTAAATTTAACCATCAATTTTTTTTACAGAAACATCTACAAATCGATAATTATGTCGATTTTAATGATCCTGTTGAACGAGAATTATTATATCATCAAACATTGCACAATGTTCGCAACGATCGTTTTCCATTGACCGATCAAGAAGCCATACTATTAGTTGCTATTCGAGCTCAATTAGAATTTGGTGATAGCCATTCAAACAACATGATGGTCAACAATTCATTATCAACGATGATCGAAGCAAACACTGGTGGTTTGGATGATATGTCCTATAACCAATTGATCGGTAAAACATTGCCAGAACGACTAGCCTGCCGCATATTGGTAAAAGATGTGCGAACACAACATCAAATTCAAAGTGGAATGGATCAACAACAAGCCAAAGCAGCATTCTTTAATCTTATTCAATCGTGGCCATTACATCGAGCCACCGTATTTGAAGTGTTACAGACATATACTAGTTCTTGGCCAAAAACATTATGGCTTGCCATTGATCAAAGTGGTATGCATCTACTGCAGCCTAGAACTAGGGTAAGCATATTTAATACAATACATTATACCAATAACTATTAATAACCAATTATTTTTCCAAAATAGAATGTTCTCTGCAGTTGTGAATATCGGAATTTGGTCGATTATACTGCAACATCGAATTCATTAATGATTGTGGCCAATGTGGCCACAGCAATAACCAAAACAATTAAATACATGTTTATTACTCACCAGGTTTGTATTTTCAATGTCCACAACGATTCGATTCATTTTAATAAAACTTTTAGGCATTACAAATATCACAATTATTGCGAGACTATACATCAGCAGTAATGAATGCTAATTCGAATCGTATGGCAGTCAATGGCGGCGGCGGCCCATTGAATCGAAACGGATCATTAGTAATGTCATCCCAGACATCATCAATATCGAACGCTTCGAATACGACCGGTAGCACTGGGCGTAGAAAATCAGTTGAATTTGATCTAGCATTACGAAACATGTCAGCAGCAGATAAGAATCATCCGAAAAGTGTTGCTTTTAGTGCAGCATTGAATCCCATACCCCAACCTCGTCGATCATTGATGGCTCAACAACAACAAGCAACCTATGATACTCAGATGTATATTCAACAACAACAGCAACAACAATTGTACCAGAATCAACAACAAATCCAATACCAAATGTTACAGCAACAACAACGAAAGCCCAGACCATTGATTCGACATGCAAACGATAGCGATCATGTTTAAGTCATGTTCCGGGCAAGTGCCAAAAAATATGGAATTCTTTTTTTGTACAAATTTTCAATTAAAAACCTAAACCTAGTTGATGATTTTCGATATAAATAATAAATTGATAAATATTTATTCATGAATTAATTGAATTGCAATTTGTTTTTTATTTGATTAAAATTACCAAAACTTTTATTTATAATTTCGAATTATTATTTTTCTAACATTTATGATGCCTGTAAAAGTTGTTAAAAGTGATCAACCAACAGTGCTAATTGCACCTTCGGATTATGAGCATATTTTCAAAGGTGATCCAGATACGAATCGTACAGCACAAAAAATAAATGAAGAGGTGAGTAAAGCAAAAAAGGTATCATCCGATCAACCAACGATTATGATCGCACCGTCAGATTATGAACACATTTTTAAAGGAACACCCGTCACAACCGAAAGTAAAACAGCTCAACTTCGAAAGATTGCCTCCGAAACTCCAACAATATTGATTGCACCATCGGATTTTCAACATATCTATTGTGACCCTACCTTGAAAAAAGAGGATAAAACAAAAAAGAACATACGACCGGATGATTCCAAAAAAAGAGAAAGTCAACAACGGATACGACGTCAACAAGAACGTCCAAAAACATCTAATCAGCGACAACAACGGGAGCATTATACTCAACAGCAAGAAATACTTCCACAATCTATTATTCAAATAATCGATAAATTTATTTCAAAACAGAAAAGGTCGTACACAATACAGAAACCAAAATCGTATCGACATCAATAAATTAAATTTTGATTAAATTTTGAAATAGTGTTTACTGAAAATAATAGATGGTGTCAGGGTTCTACTTTTTAATAAATCAAATATTTTTCGGAGACTTTTTTTGGGAAAAATTGACATTCACTTTCATTTTCATTGATTATGAATGCTTTCAATACGACCATTCAAAAGAGAAGAGCCAGCATTTTTCATCCTGAAAATGGTTCAATCGATTTCATTGTAATTTCAAACAAATGATGTGAATTTGAAACAAACGATGGTGGTCCTTTTTGGAAGAAAAGTTCATCTTCTTTACAATGATGATATAGTACATCAGAACGAAGATGAGGAATCATCGAACAGCCAATTATAGTTTGTGCGCCTTGTTTGGATGATTTGACAATCATAAAAAACAACGGAGCAAACAAACTCATCCAAATGAGACTAGAACGGCTACTGTATCGATGTAAACGAGTATAACAGAAACCCGGACTAGCCAAACAGATTTCTACATTTTTGATCAAGTTTTTACGTGTTGATAATGAACGCATAAAATGTAAGTTTGCCAATTTAGTTGATGCATAAATTTCACGTCCACGTTTGTTCATTATGGTCTTCAGTTGTTGTTCATTAGTAATTCTCGATAAAAACTCTTGTTGAATTGTTCCACGATTGGTCAGTGTCGATGTGACCGTAATGATTCGCGGTGGTGGTGGTGGTGATTTTTTCATTGCATGATCGCCGATTCTTGGCTGTTGTAGTTTTGGTAACAAGAGATGAGTTAGCAAAGCTGGAGCCAGATGATTAACTTGCATATTTGTTTCAAAATGATCATCTGTTAGGCCGACTGGAGCACCAAATACGGCTGCATTGCTTATTAGAATGTCTAATCTTGGCTCATTGCTAATGATATCTTGTGAAAAGCGTTTCACCGAATCCATAGAGGTAAGATCCAAATGTTTGTATACCAATTGCCCATCAGCAAATGGATATAGTCTCTGAATTCCTGTATCACCTGTTCGGTTTGTGATCGATTTCGGTTGGCCATAATAACACGAGCACCATGTCTATACAATTCGCGGGCCGTTTCTTTACCGATTCCCGTATTACAACCAGTAATAACTATGGTCAAATTTTTAATCGATTTTCTTCCATAGCGTTTTAGCATTTGTTCGTAATTACCCCAACAATAATAGACATTGTATAGGCGGACTCCTTTATTATGTAAAAACAAAACAAAAACAATCAGATATTCGGAATGTGAAAAACTTTCTTACCGATTATCACAGAAGTCAAAGAAACGAATCCGGCTGTTAAAATAAAAGATAGCATTTTTATAATTCGATCAAAACAAAAATTTAAACTGGATCTTATGATCCGCAGCTAATAGAGTATCGTGTTTATGGACAGCATCATTTTAGCTACTGTTAAACATGTGATTATGTTTTGGTCTGAATAAATTGCTTTAAAATAATTTATAAAGTTACCACTTTTTTCAACGATTAATATGTCTGTCAAATATCTGTTTAGCAATCGGCAAAAGTCAATTATTACTCCTTTATTTCAGTCAATCATACGATCATGTTATGTCTATCCCACTGACACAAGTGAAGGAAATTTTGAGAAAAAACACTTTGCCAATCGAATGAAGAATGAACCGATTTCACAGAAACGTGCTCGTTTACTTTATCAAAGCCGAAAGAGAGGTAATGTAAAACAATGAGATTTTGATTATATTGTCTGTTGTTTAATGATTATTTGACAAATGATTAATGCTGTTTAGGTATGCTTGAAAACGATTTATTGTTGTCTACATTTGCCAAAAAATATCTCGATTCAATGTCTCATGAAGAATTGGAACTGTACGATTGCTTAATCAATACCGTTTCTAATGATTGGGATCTATACTATTGGGCAATAGGTTCAAAAGAAATTCCTGAAGAATATCGAAATCCAATCATGGAAAAATTCAGTGAACATGTCAGAAATACGAATCGTGAAAAACGCCTAAGGCAACCCGATCTTTGATTAATATTTATTTTACCACTGTATTTTTCTTTTCCCTCATTTGTTGTGTGCTTTGTTTTCGATGGAAAAAATTTTAATTTTTTTTTAAACGATAAATAAATTATATACGTAGCCATAGATTCAATTCATGGACTTTGCATTACATGTGGGGGTATTAAGAAGAAGCGACAATAAAAAAATGATCAAATGAAATGATTATCAACAAATCGATGATTTGATAAAAAAAATATGTCAGCAAACATCCATTCATATGTTTGTATACAAATCTGTATGTGGTTATTGTTGTTACACTATATTAATCCAAAATATACATCTTGTGATGATCATCATCATTTCATTCAATAACCTTGATTTTTTGTCTCGTTTGTTGCAAACAACTGGTTTGTTAATAATAAGTTTGCATGCCTATCCCTTTCATCATCAGCCTTTAAAAAGGTACAAGCCAGATAAAAGAGGACTTTTTCATTTTTTTTTCCTTTAATAATTATATACGGAAGATTTATAATACATTGAGATTATAACTATCAAATCGATGTTATTGGAAATAATGTGAATAAGATGATCTTTGCCCTATTCACATTACAATCATCATGATCGATGTCTAAAGTCCAAAACTTTAGACCAATGATTGATTAATTTAATTTTGCTGCAATTTGTTATTTTTTTATATTATTATTATATAGATTTAAATTGGAAAAACATTGAAAAACAGACAGAAATTAATGGGTAATCCAATGTATTACGATAAAATGACATCATGAAGTAGAAGCATGTATTTAAACAGTTCATAAATCACATGCATATTTAGGCATCATATCATACAAGTACATCAATAACATGATTATTATGTGCTCTCAATGTTTGGGTACACAATAAATACGATTCAATCACACTGTTCATTGAGAATTTGACTAGCTCATTTTGTGAATGTGTATCTTTCACTCACCAACTCGATTGTAAATTGAATGAAAATCAGATCCTAACTTCTTTTTGTACTTGACAAAAAATCGTTTCAAAAAGTATTCATCATAATGACATCTAAAAGAATATTTTCAACTCTAATCGGTAGGTCATATGTTTATGTTATAGGATGAATAAAAGTTGTTTTCCAAAATATCTTTCAGGTAATGTCATTTTGCAGAATTCTCGAATAGCCAAAGATTTTCGAAGCATCAGGCCAAGTTTGTTGATAAAAATACGAAATTATTCATCGGCTGCTTATACAAGTCGTTATGCCGATTATGAACATATACAAGTGACTGCACCACATGATCATATATTGCATGTTGAACTTAATCGACCGGACAGACGTAATGCCATCAATCGGGATATGTTTCGTGAGATATCTGAATGTTTCTCTGATATTGCCGCTGATCAACAATGTCGTGCAGTAGTCATTTCTGGTACTGGTAAAATGTTCTGTTCTGGTATCGATTATATTGACATGGTGGAACAGATGACATCAATGAATTCCGGTAGTGATGCTGGTGGTCGTGAAGATGTTGCTGCACGTGCAAAATACATTCGTAAGACAATCATTTTGCTACAAAATTCATTCAACAGTATCGTCAAGTGCCCAAAACCGGTGATTGCAGCTATCCATTCTGGCTGTATTGGAGCCGGTGTCGATTTGATTAGCGCAACGGATATTCGATATGGATCAAAAGATGCTTATTTCTCCATACGTGAAGTTGCAGTCGGTTTAGCTGCTGATCTTGGCACATTACAACGTATGCCAAAATTGGTTGGTAACGATAGTGTTATGCGTGAATTGGCCTACACTGCCCGAGATATGCAAGCCGATGAAGCCAAAGAGGTAAGCAGTTTTTACTTTAAATATTTCTGCAACCTTTGATTAATTTTTTCCAATTTAAAATTTAATAGATTGGTCTATTGGGCAAAGTTTTCAATGATTCGAATAGCTGCATACAGGGCGCCATTGATTTAGCTCGTACCATTGCATCACGATCACCTGTTGCTGTGCAAGGTACGAAAGTTTCATTGAATTATTCTCGTGATCATTCAGAAAAGGATGGCCTAGAATTCATGCAAATATGGAACATGTGTATGCTTCAATCGGAAGATTTCATTATTGCTAGTTCATCACAAGTATCTAAATCTGATGAACCACCACCGTTTGCCGATTTCTAAATCGTTAAATAAAAAGTGAATGAAAAAAATCCTATTCCTTTATTATAAAATCAATTTTATCATCTTGTGATTTGTTGTTGTTGTATTGTAAAAATTAAAATAAATCAATTCTCATATGTAGAGAACAAAAATTTAAGTTTCCAACGCAATCACTTTGATGAATCCTTCATTGTTTGAATGACTATTTACAAAAACGGCAGCCGATTTGTTATTCGTATTACAATAACGTGAACTTGAGAATACTGTTATCAATAAGCCAGAATGACGAAATCGATACCCATCGGTTTCAAGTTCATGGGCGCGAATTATGTGTGATAGATTGTTAGCTTTCAAAAAGTTACGCGATGCTTTCTCTGCAAAATAATATCCGGTCGATCGACGAAGATTGTCTACAAATCCGCTATCAGTCGATTGATTTTTAAATTGACAAACTTGGTTGAACTCCTCGTCAGTAACCGGGTCGGACCATAGGATTTCCCAAGCCACTTTCGATTGGATTTCTGGTTCAGGTAACGGTAATGGTATTTTGTACAAATCTTCTATTTTTGATACCGAATATGGAATACCGCCATGTGCACAAAATATTGATTCATCAATAATACCAACCAATGGTAGATGATCGAATGCCTGGTTGAATTCTTCCAGTACACGTTGTCCGTTTTGATAGAGGTATCTGATTATTCAAAAAAAAAAATTAATAAGAAACAATCCATATTAATCATAACGCGTTTACTCACTTGACCATACATTCACGTGCAAATGTGAAATTTCGCTGTATGGAACGAATTTCGTGATTACCGCGTAGTAAAAAAAATTTGGTTGGTGCAAGAATTTTCATGGCAAACAAATAGCTAATGACTTCGATGCTATAATCACCACGATCAACGTAATCACCAAGGAACAATATGTTTGGTGCATTAGCCGTAGGTGCTAGTGGCCATAATTGCCTTTCATATGTGAGAAGATCGTTGATATTACCATGTAGATCGCCAAGAACGATGCATGGTGAATTCACTTTGACAACACGAGGTTCGATCAACAAAATTTCCGTTACTTCTTTACACAACTGTATGATCAGATCCACCGTTAGCTTGTTGATGACGTATTGTGCCACTTCTGTTTTTCGTTCATGAGGCAACTTGTTGAAATCAACCATTCGCCTTATAATCGACAGCACTTGATTTGCTGCAGAGTTTTCATTGAATACAACTTCTGTTGAATGTTTGACACGAATTTCGTTGGTTTTCTTTTTAAATTGAAGTTCTACATCGATTTCACCACAATTCATTTGAACCAGGGGTCTTGATTCTTCAATGCGACCTTGATTACTAAGTTTGACAGCATTATATGCCAATGAATACGATTTTGGACGACATTTTGGACAAGTGCCCAACAATTTAGGAGCAAAAGGTTTGCCATTTTTATTGAAAATATATTCGTACAAGTGTCTAGAATGTATCGTTTCGATTACGGGACGATTTGCCCTGAATAATTGCCCGATTCCAGCTAGCCGACTACTAGTTGCTTCTCGAATAAAATTCTGGTAAGTGATACGTTTCTTATCGTCCATCAGATTTAATTGAGACAAACGTGTCTGACAATCTTTTTGTACCGCTGCTGGATCGGTTGACATCATTGATGCATCACGTATATCGTAAACGATTCGTTTGAAATCCTCTTCATCTAGAAAGTTGTCCGAATTCCGATCATAATAACGGAATATATAGCCACAACGTAATTGAGAATTGTTTGACGAATCAAGTGCTGCCAGTCCCAATAAAAATTCATTGAAGAACATGAAATTGCGATTACGCCAAGAGGGTGACATTGCTCGATATACTGATCGAATAATATTTTCATCATTGGGCAGAAAATCCATCTTGTTGATATACTCGGTGAACGCACAATAGGTCATATTGGCTGATGGATAACAGTGTTGCACATATTCACAATACACTTTAATCACATCTTTTTCGTTGAATTTAGCATCGCACAACATAATCATTGTTTGATTGGCAGTTGTCGGTCTGTTTGGAGCTGAAACGGCCGACGTATTGGTCGTATATTTCAACACTTCTGAGGATGTGAATTCTGATATGTTTGGAAATTTTGCCGATGGTATTTTGTTCAAATGGAGTTCGTTGAGAACGCTAGCTGTCATTTGAATCTCATTGCCCCAAAATGTGTCAGAGATTTTCTTTGAACCCATGACTTCTGCTAAGGACAACCATCGAATACTGGCATTATCTTTGCAACATGTGAATTTTGAATCTGAACCAATCCATTGGGCAAGGAAAATATAGCGAGAAACAAATTGTCCATCCGGTATTTGAGCTCGATGTATATTGTACAGTTGTAAGTTGGTCAAAAATTTTGCCGATGAATCTTTTGGTTTAGCTGCTTTGTTGCTATCTTTGGATGTCGGAGTAGGCTTTGTTTCGCTCAAGAAATATTCGATAATCATATCAATTGTTTTAGAATATTTTTCATCTTCATTAGCATAGGCAAAAGGTAACCAGTAACCAGAATGATTTTTTAATTTTTGAACTGGCATTCGACCATGAGAACAACGTATTGCATAAGCGCAAACTGTGCGTAGAATAGTTTGATATAAATCGGGACCATCACGTATGACCAACGATTGGGGATTTGTAGCGTCCAAATCGGTCGGTACTTCAAAACCTAAGCTCATTTCGCTTCCAATGGAATCAAGCCTGTCGGTAACATTCTGCGCAAGCAGTGATCGTTGATTCGTATTTGTTTTAGATTCAAAATCGATCTTTGATGGTATTTCCTCTTTCCAAGACATTAATCCACAGCTCAACACTTCACTTGGTTGAGAAGCTGGCATTGTAGATTTCGCATCATTACCATCTACCATGAGAAATGATGAATCGTGTTTGGTAGCAGTAAAAAAAGTAGATTTATCCGCATCAATTTCGATTGTACTTTTAGGCGAGGATATTTTAGATACATTTGAGGTTTTAGAAATTCCTGTCACTTCATCTCGGTTATCTTGGTTTTGGTTTTGGTCTTCACCACGGTCGACATCTTTGTTGTTGGTATCCATTTATTTCGACAGTCAAAAAAAAGTAAAAACGAACAATTTTAAGAATAAAGCGATCCACATTTCTTTTATAAATTCATGAAAAAATTATTTAATTGTTGTTGAATAACATAACATTGGAAAACAAATTAATAATTTGTTTTTTTGTTCGATAATTAAATTCTTATTCCGGTGGATAAGAACAAAAATTATTCTAAAGATAGAATCGATAACATCGTAAATAGTCGTTCATCATCGAATACATTGTATATGTACGCGGTATTTTTTTGGCTGTTGTGATTGTGTGTGTGTGTGTGTGCTCTCTCAAATTTCACTGTCTCGTTGTTGGCTGTGTATAGCTTTCGCCATGACTGAATACAAATGTGAATCTTTTTTGGCCTATATGCATGGTCTCATTATTTTTGTTTATTTAGTCCAAACAAGTACCGAAATTATCCGTAATTTCTATTAATCAATCCATTGAAGAACTTTTGAATTCAAATAATAATTCGATCCCTATTCAGTATGTATAATATTTGCTTTAATTGCTGCTAACCGATTTATTATTATTCGGTAAAAGAGTTTTGTTTCTTTTTTACAAAAAAAAGATCAGGTGTCTAACTCAACCAACCATATTCAAGAAATTAACGTTTTTATTTGATTTTTTGAACTGAAACAAAAAATTTTGTTGCCAAGTTTTGAAAAATTGCTATTCTCATCACTTCTACTCATCATCATCATATAGACGTGCATTTTTTCCTCATTGATTCAGGTCGTAACTTTGTGCTTGTGTGTTTGTTGAGAGTCTGGAAAAAATGTCGAAAAATGATAATGAATCCAGAGGAACTATATATGATAAAATTCATAATGAACGACCAACTTTATCAAGTTTGTCTGAACAACAAAAGCAATCAGAAGAATCGAATAATTCTGAAACAGCAACATCAAAGTCGTATTGGACGAAACCACCGCCACCAACTTTATCGTCATCATCAGGTGTCGAAAGGAGTATCAATACTGGTCCAGGCTATTCAAGATCATCATTGTACTCAAGTGTTAAAAGATTAAATCTATTCCCAAAAAGATTAGCTGGGAATGATTCGGATGTGATTTATAATTCAAATTCATTCAAACGTTTTCGGGCGAACAATAATAATATCGAGAATCTAACTGATTCAATACATGAACCATCCATACGTTCACGTGTAAGTCATGTTTCAACACCATCATCAACATCATCGGTTGCTCTTGGGTATTTGACCAGTGAATTCGGCCGAAAACAATATCCCAAAGCACCCTTATCTATCACTGGTCGTGATTCACCATCATTAATCATGAATAATCTCAATCTATCATCATCAATAAGTAATAGTGGTCGAAATGCAATGACAATGAATCAAAATCGTAAATCGACAGATTCATATTTCTATACTGGCAAAACGACATTCGGTGGCTCGAATCTTCGTAAAAATATTCACCGATTGAGTATGACACCTTATTCGCCTTATGCACGCGTTAATGTTAAATGTATTGAACCAATGGTCATACAACGACCACCATCAACTTCGGGTAAAAATATTAGTCAATCGACTGTTGATGAAGACATACCATTAAGTTCGGTGACTCAACGTATTCTGGATCGATTAGATAAAGCGGCCGCGCCAATATCTGATGCTAAATCCAGGATTTCCCTTTCAACATTGATAAATAATTCAGCAAAAAAATTCAACACAAATAGAACGCCGAAGTTATTTGATACTCCTACGCCTATTTTTGAAAATCATGACCGTTCTCATATAGATTCAAGTTTTAAGCCAATGAAATATGTTCTTAAACCATCGCTATCATCAACATATGAACAAACGACAACGTCGGCGGCCGTTGACAAATCGATTGATGATGACATTCAAAAATTAAATCAAATTAAACAAGCTGAAAAAGAATTGCAAAAACAACAAGAAAAATTACAAACAAAGACATTTATTGAACCAGCATTAAGAAATTTTGCATCATCATCATCGGGAAAAATTACAGCACGTGATGTGAAAAAAGGCCGTAAAATTGATGATGTTCTCGAAATGGACAATTCACATCTTAAATCATTAGCCAATGTACAGCCATTGGCCACTATGACAACCGGTATAACGTTGAAACCATTTTCGCTTAAATCATCTACATCAATCAATAATAATAGTGATAAATCTAATACATTTGATATCCGATCCACATGTGATACGATTAATGTACCAAATTGTAGTACAATTAACAATGAATTTTCATTTAAATTTTCATCACCAAAATTAGTCGCTTCACTTTCTCCAGTGGCTGTGCGGCCAACCTTCCAGGAAATTGGTTTCAGTTCACCGATACAAATAAGTAAATCGAAACCAGTAGTCCAATCGGAATCGACAACGTCTACAACAACAAAATCATTGTTTGATCAATTTAAACATTGTATACAATCTACCAATACATGGACATGTCCTATTTGTTGTATACAGAATGACAATATAGATGGAGATAAATGTATTGCATGCGAAGAGCCTAATCCGAATAAAAAATCGTCAAAGGATAACCAATTAACAGAAGAAACACAACGACCAGAATCTTTGAATTTTGGCGATTGTAAAAAATTGACTCAAAATTCCTCATTATCATCATCATTGCCTTCATTGAATCAATTGTTTAAAAAAGATGCTAGTAAAAATTGGACATGTCCAACATGTTCTGTCTCAAATAATATTGAAGAGAATCGTTGCATTTCATGTGAAGAACCGAATCCACATAAAAATAAAAAAACATCCAATAATCAGCTAAATAATTTGGCCAAATTTTCATTTGGTTCAGTTTCGTCCGATATTGATACCAAGATAGTATCCGTGGATGAGAATTCATCAACAAAAACTAAACCATCGTTATTCGATGTATTCAAAAAGAAACAATCACAAGATAAGCAACAATGGACATGTCCCACCTGTATGGTACCAAATGAATCGAATGTTAATCGATGTGTATCATGTGAAGAACCCAATCCTAATCAACCGGTTGTTAGCCAAACTAAATCATCTACTAAGACGTCATTTGGATTTAAATTTGGAAGTTCAAACACTAGTTTCCAAAAAGATCATCCATCAAGGGAAGAAGGATGGCAATGTTTTTATTGTAAAGCTATGAACAAAAGTGACATTAGTGGTAAAAATGTTTGCAATGAATGTGGTAAAATTAAAGTGATGGCAGCTACAAAAGATCAAGTGCAAAAATTTTATCAAACGCAAACATTCAAATTTGGTCTGTCAACTAATAACACCAACAAGGATGTTAAAGCTGAAACTAAATTTGAAAAACAAGATAAAACTTCAACTGACATACCAACGTCATCTTCAAGTGGTGGATTTAAATTTGGAATACCTCCATCATCTACCGTTAGCGATTCACTAACTATGACATCTCCATTTTCATCGTCAAAAACGACAGTTCCATTCTCGTCATCATCATCATCGATAGTCAAACCTATTGTATCAATGAGAGACAGTAAGAAAAGACAATGGTTTTATGTTCAATGTATTTAATTTGATTCAAATTTTTTCTCTAGCATCATCTAGCTTGTTCAGTTTTGGAACAACAACCACAAATTCGGCCACTGATGTATCATTTGAAAAGACAACAAAGCCACTCATCGATGCTGTTCCAGCAGTACCTTTGTCATCGTCACTTAGCTTGTTCAACTTTGGAACAACAACGACAAATTCGGCCACTGATGTATCATTTGAAAAGACAACAAAGCCAAATACCGATACTGCTACAGCAGTACCTGTATCATCTTCATCGAACTTGTTCGTATTTGGTGTAAATTCATCTAAATCTGCTACCAGGTCCGAAAATAAAAATGGCGATGAATCGTCAAATGACAATGCCGACAAGAACATCACACCTTTTGGTTTTAATGCGATCAGTTCGACCTCGTCGACAGATATGAAATCATCAATGGCCACTGGTTTATTTAATTTTGGTGGTGCTAAGCAAGATTCCTCAAAGACTAGTCTGCCATCAAGTTTTTCAAAAGGTATGAGAATAACTTTGTACAAATTAATTTTTGATTTAATCGATTTATTAATTAATGTTTCTTATCATCAAATTATTTAATTTATTAATTAATGTTTCTTATCATCAAATTAATATTGTAGACACTTCTACGAGCTCGATGCCTTCATCTTCATTCACATTTGGTGGAGCATGCACCTCTGTGACTTCTACGACGACAACAACACCCACATCAACCCTATTTGGTAAAGATCTAAAGTTTGGGTCACCAATCACTGTGCCAAAAATTGATCCTGGTCCACCGATACCTAAAATAACAATTAGCTTTGCTCATCCGGGCACAGCAACAACATCGAGTACGGCTGCTGGCAGTGTTGGCCAATCAACATCAAATACGTTGTTTTCATTTGGAAGTTCAAACATAACGATCAATGCGAATCCTACGCCTCCGTCATCCATTTTTGGTTCCAGTTCGATGCCAACAAGTTTTAATTTCATGGGAACAAATACCAGCAGTAACAACAATGGATCTATGGGTACTAGTTCTTTATTTACGTTTGGGGCCAAACCAAACAATGAACCACAACCACCGTTAGATAAGCCTGCAATGGTCGGTTTTAATTTCGGAGCATCTAGCAATCCATTGAGTTTCAGCGGTGCCAGTGCTGCTGCGACAAATAATAACCCTGTGATGCCTTCTTTCAATACTGCTACACCATCATCAACATTATTCAAATTCGGATCACAGGATCCTTCAAATCTAAGTTTTCAATCGTTTCCAACGTCTAAGGTCGAAAGTAATAATTTATCCTTTACTTCGTCTGTACTTGAACCTCAACAACAACAGCCAGATGTTCAACAACAACAACCGAATAGTTTATTTCAGTTTCAATCGTAAGTTACGGTCATAATGGCACAATAACTTTTCAAAATTTTAATTTATATTTATTTATTATTAATTAGCTCGAATTCAGTAAGCAATATGCAACAACGACCAAATCAACCAAGAACAATCAAAAAAGCTAAAAGACGCCTTAGATGAAAGCATATGACTGAAGTTGAATTCAATTTTTCAATAATCGTGGTAATTTATATTCACAACATGCCTTGACAGAGTCACACATCTCACCCTTCCCAAATATACCATACTTACATCCATGAACCTTTAACTGTGACCATTTATGTGACACACATTGAGACAACTATTCATGTTTTTTTTTGTTTGAGTCTCATTCGAATTGTATGTATGAATTTGAATTATGTAATCTATATGATTCTACTAATCAATTTATGTAAACTCCTTTGTAAACGATTTATTGATCATTCTTTTTCTCTCTCTAATTCATTATCTTCTTACATCATTGTTCGTGAGAAACTGAAAAAACAATTTTCTCGGATGTTAATTATGGTTGTCGAGTAATCGATTTCGAATGATCTAACGATGACAATGACGAAAATTGTTCGATCATGAAATATTTTATGGCTTTTTAATGATTTTCTTTGATCATCGATGATTGTCTGTTGATTTCAAATCGATTGAATATTGTTCCATCTTATATTAGATTAATCAGTTTTTTGGACAATATTTATGTTCATTATGATAATAATGATGCTTTTCTCTTTTATTCTATTTTTTTGTCCATCGTTTAATTGATTAAATATTAAAACGTTTTTTGAATTATTTCATTTGAACTTTGATCCAATTATCATGGATTCCAATAAGTATTGATTATATAATGTTTTTTTTTGAATTAATCATTCGAACTAGGTTGTTTTCTCGTTTTGTTCGACTTGCTTTATTCACGTTGTTCTATTTCGTTCATCCATGTCTTTTCATGTGTATATTCTCTATTTTATTCGATATCCTAATAATAAATATGAGTATTTTGTACACCCAGTCAAAGATCATTTATTGATCATCCCCAGGAAGTAAATGTAAGTAGTAATTGTTAACTTTGTTCCTAATGATGATGATTGTAAATGAATGAATTAATCTCAGGCAGCCATCGAAATCAATCCCACATAATTCCTATGATGATATTGTCTGATACATAGTGATTAACCTCATGTTATATAGAAATACTAAGATATGAGCGAAAAAACAAAGATTTATATTTGTCTATGACTATCTAACCATTATCCCCTTTGATCGGTCTGGTATCACTTGGTGTATTGTGTGGTTCTTGTCAAATCGAGAGCTAAAACACTTGTTTGTTTATTACCCTGGATAAATTATTTGATTGATTGCTACTATCGTCTTATTGTTATTGTATATATATACAATTTATATGGGGTTAGATATAGCCTGAACAATTCTGAACGACTTAACTTGTTTTTCGCCAAATATGGGAAACTAACGACAATCGGATCATCAATGATTGAGAACTTTTTTTGACGAAAAATGAAAAGAAAAATGTATGTCAAATTCAATTTCAATGATCAAATCCGAATAATCTGGCATTGTATGAATTGACAAACTTATAATCTCGAAGCGTATTTGTTGATTATAACAAAAAAAATTGTTTGTCTTAATATCCGGCCAAAAAAAATGGTGATAATAGCAACAGGCGACATCATGACAATGAACAGCTTTACATTTATTGAATGCAATTCAATTCTAATCAATAGAAAATGTCAATTGCTGGCGCCAAATATTTCTTGTTCATATTTGCACACCCGACAATCTCACAACTTGTCGTCCATAAAATGAATTTGTTAATGATAAGATTATGATCACCCAAAATTGCTATGGCTCTTTTATTTGACTTGTTTATAGAACACTCATACACCATGCCATTGGAAATGGCAGTTTGGCTGCGGTATTTGATTATTTTAAACAAACAGGCCCCAGCAATTAACATGTGTCTATCTAATTAACGAACTAACCAATAACTTATGTATTCATTCATTGCTCATCTGACCAGATGAATTAAATCAATTGAATGAGTCACGCTTATTTTTTTTTGTTGATTGTTGATGGACATCGACCATATTATTTTTCATAGGCACGCCTTTTTTGCTTCAACAAATACAATTTCCATACACACAAAAACAAATTGAATGCAATCGAAATTATGATTATTATCATTATCATTATTATAATCCTTATACATTTATTTATATGAATCGAATGCAGAAACACAAACATTTATTAATGTCAATACATTTTTCCATGTATCTTGGCAAGGACCAAATGGTCTTATGAACATTAGAAAATTTACAAACAGATGTGTATGTACAAAATTGGATGAGAGCTTCTTTTCTCTTTCTATCTCATATACATTAAATACAAAAAGGTCATAATATTCAAGCAATAGGCCACCAACACCGCCGCCCTGTCTGCTCGATACCGATGGCCTTTGTTTTGGCCGATAGCTCATAATGGTTCTAGCAACTATAGCTAGATCTATTTGGTTTCCATGAACAGGCAAGCAAACTATTTGGCCATCAGGGATACCGCTATATTTTTTTTTTTGTTGTTGTTGATAGATTCCTGTTTTTCTTTTTCCATTTCTTGTCTTTCACTCATCACAAATCGTGTGTGTGTGTGTGTGTGTGTATGTTTCTGGGAAGCGAAACGACGGCCACGACTATTAAACGATGATGATGATTATAATAAGGATGCTATACTTCGTCAGTATAGAGTGATAGTGTATGTTGTATGGAAGCGGGCTCCATTCCTGATACTCTCTGCAATAACAACGTTCAATCACATTCGCCGATATATTCACCCAAAATTGAGTCCCTCTGTCTCTCTTTGTGTTTGTGTGTGTGTGTAAATGATTTTATGCATCATTCTTCTTCAGTCTTACCCTGTTGTAGCTGATTTTTTTGGTTCAGTTCAGCTATCGCGCCTTTAGGGTTCTAATTTGTACGCCCGTATTTCTATATGGCCCTCAGCCTGTATATGATGTGCATCCATGAATCCTATTCTCTCATTTATAAGCCTAGTGATGAACTAAATTCTCTTTCTCTTGTTCTTTTCCATCATCACATATACAGAAGCATAAAGAAGAAGAATAACCAGAAGCGAACCATTATTTGCTGAATATCCCTATGTATGGATCGAATAATCTGAATCATTTGAACTCACTGGATTCACTTCAACTCATCACTTATGAATCAATTTTGTTTGTTGTGTTTGTTATAGAATCCTCACTATTAACTTTAATCGATCAAATTAATTCCGAAACAAACATATTTTGTTTAAACATAAAAACAAATAATAAAAATCACAAACTAAAGTTCAACATTCATCGACATTGACATTTGAATTTATATATTTTAGATTCTGTTGGATATATTCATCTCTTGGTGCATGTTAGTATTTAATTTTTTCTGACATTTCGCTTAATTGAAGATTCGTTTGTGATGATTTGAAACCTATAAATTTATTGATAATAAACAAAAAAAAAAAATGATTCTTGAAAACATACGATTATATCCAAGTAAATGTTACTCGACATGAGTCATCATACTACTATCACTAATGATCATCATCACGATTGCAATTCTACTTTTTTTGAGATTCCATCATATATATTCTATTTATTACAATAAGTGATCTCTTTGTCATTTAATTTTTTCCCGTTCTCTCAAACGAATCAAAAATGTCATCCACACAACAACACCAACAACAAATGCAGTCACAATCAGTGAGTGAAATGTATTTCGTCACAGTTGCTAAAATCGAAGAATTCCTCGAAAATCTTACCATAATGATTACCAATCAATTGTCGCTGAATGATCCATCATTAACAGTGACCACACATGAAAGCCTATACAATATGTCTATTGTTGCCGAATGGTTCCATTCGATACCACATGTTGACATAAAATTACGGCCACTGCCAGCCAACATAACATTCGATCCAAACGATAATGAATATTTAGAATCATTGGGAATATTGGTAGCCATACCTGGATTTTGGCTCATACTTACATTGATATTTTTTCTCATATTCTTCCTTTGTCGCTGTTGTGATGGACCGAATTCTGGTTCGAAACAACAACAAAAACAATTCCATCAGCAAGCAACTTTAGTGAGTAAAACACCAAAACCAAAACGATTGACCGGATGTAAAATATGTTTGGCATTGTTGGCCATTATTGCCGGTTTGGCGATAACCATTAGTCTGTTAGGCTCCATAATCGTACATCGTGGTATGGTACAATTGGGCAATTCGACAGCCGACATAGCTAATGTCATCGAAACGGTGCAGAATGATACTCGTACCGCCGCATATTATCTCCATGATGAAATTGATGTCAATATTGAATCGTTAAAAGGTGCTGTCGAAAAGATGCTAGTCAAAGACGTAGCAGTCAAAGCAAATCTTGAGAATCAAGTCTTCTTTCTCAAACGTAATGTTAGCCGATGTAAGTATTGTTATCTGAGCTTTAAAAATTAAAAAGCATATAATGAATATGAAATAAAATTCAATCCTTTTTCAGGTATGCGCAGGGTGGATGATATTTATTCACGAATCGAAAAATTGAACATAAGACCAGTACCAGATACCGTACAATTTATCGAAAAGATTCGATGGCCATCAACATTTGCATTCGCCTTCTATCTGATTATTTTCTGTTTGATTCTCCTTTGCGGACTAGTCCGACATTCACGATGTACACTGATCATGTTTTCCGTATTCGGTCTTTTGGCTTTAGTACTCGGTTGGGTTCTATCATCGCTCTATCTTGGTTTATTAGTCGCTGGTTCAGATTTCTGTGCCGAACCGGATGCATTCTTGGATGATCGTTTCAGTAATGAAGCTGAAATGGCCATTCTTGATTATTATATCCGCTGCCGTTTGCCCACTCATCAACAGCAACAACCCATCGGTTCTAATCATCCATTTCGAGTGCAAACTCGAGCTTCATTGATTGCATTAGAACATATGTCCGAATTAATTCGAGCATTAGAAATGCTGTGCATTAGCTATTGTAGTCCAGATCAAAGTGTCGTACGACCTCAAATCAATTCAATCGTACAACATTTGAATTCCACAGAAAGACTTCTCAAATCTGTTCAAGCATTACTCGATTGTCGACGAATACATGATGATTTTGTTCACTCAATGTCGGCAACATGTAAAGATCTGATTGAAGGATTTTTCTTGCTATTGGTCACATCATCAGCCATTGGACTTTTATTTACATTGTTGGTTCTTTGTGCATCACATACATGGATCCATATTCGTTCCGTACAATCAAATAGTACGACAAGTTTGATTAGCGCTGGTCAAGCTGGATCATCCACTCTTTTGGGCCAATTAGATAATGCGGATGAAACTGATCCGTTTCTACCACCAACTCCGCGAAATATTCTTACCAGTCAACATCCTCATCATACAATTTTGTCCAACAATTCGACTAGTTCATCATTGACAAATGCATCGCTCAGTGGTAAACGTTTCCGCGATTCATACAGCAGTGCCTATGGAACCACTGGACGCGGAAGGTTAGTTTGTATGACATGTTTGAATTGATTGTTTATTAGTCTTTTCATTTACCGCATAGATTTAGCCACACTCCACCACAAACCCCACATTTTACCACTTTGGGTGGTGGTGAAGGTGGTGTTATGACCACCACAACGACAATAAATCCAGTCCATCAACATAGCCAATCGACTCTTACACATCATGGAACGATTGGCCGTATTGTACCTCGTTCTGAAGAACAATTAGCATTTCTAAGTCCGCCACCTGCTTACGATCAATTAAATCAACAGCAACTTCAACAACAGCAACAACAACAACAACAACAACAACAACAACATCATCAACACCAACAGCAGCAACAACAATTGCATTATCATCATCAACATCAGCTTTATGGAACACATCATACTGGAACATTACCACATACACATCATCATCATCATAGTCATTTACCGGCTACATCATCCACAGCTACTCAGCATCAAGCTCCTACGATTGGACATCACCCAAGTGCAATTGGCCACTATATGGTAAGTGCTGACACATTTAGTCTTTGAATCGAATCCTCTACTAGTTCCGATTTAGTTGCCCTTATGTTGTTATTGTTGGATCTTTTTTTCGCTTTTCCTATTGTCTGATTCTATTTGGTCTTGTCATAATGCTCTATATTTGTCTCTTTCTCTCCCTTTCCTGTTCCTGCCTAACTTTTTGTATGTCTCCATTTTATTGTTTATTTGTTTCCTTTTCCTCTAAATCACTACTTTTCCTCCTCCATAATTGTACACACATAATGGGAAACAAAAAAAAAAAAATACTACCGATAGGCTGATCCAACCGCTGACTTAATGATGAGGGCACCGACACAGGCAACTAAATTCTGAATTAAACAAATCAAACACACCCACACACACACGCACACGAATGAACACACTCACAAAGGCATATGTTTGTCGATTGGCAGTAAATTTCTAATGTGTTTTCCCTTTCTCTATCTTTTTTTTTATATTATTCATCAATTCTGCCATGCTGATTTCAAATTTGTCAAAACAACCTATCAACAGTATTCATCGTTCGGTCATCCTTCATAAATGAACAAAACAATGATGTATAACACATGCCCGATCCCTTATTATATATTCGTAAATTTTTATATATAGCCCAAACAATTTATCTATGCAAACGCTCACACACACCCCCATACACTCACTCTCCAAATAATTTGGATGAAAGTAAAGGATTGGACAACTGATGATTGTTGATTGCTCAGTACCTATTTGGGCCATTTATAAATAATTTTATCTTATTTTTGCCAACCATTTAATTTTTTTCTGTGAAATTGCCAAAAAATTATGAATGATTTTTTTTGTGAGACAATGACCCAATTTGTTATCCCTATCTAATGGTCTCATCTACCTCTACCGGAAAACATTGATCACTGATTAAACAAAAAAAAATTAACTACACTGATTTAACCTTACAAACTTGCAAAAAACAGACTAATTAATTTATCATCTCATCATAAGTCAATGCTGTACAAAGGAAAAATAATGAATACTCATCAAAGGGATCAATTAATAAAATGTCCAATCTCCAAATTTTTTTTCAATATAATCATCCACCTATGAAACTGACAAATCAATCAATTGATGCGATGACCAGCGAACAACTTTATCATAAGAATTTTCTTACATTTTGCTCATCATCTCAATTCATATTCACTCATTACCGAATATGTCATGTGACATTTTTTAAACAAGAATTTTAATTTGAAGAAAGATTGTTTTTATTATTGTAAATATATCATGATTATATAACCACCGATCATCATTATCATCATAATTTACTCGTGGATCTTTTTAAAAAATGAATGAATCATATTATCATATGACATTAGTGACATTTTCTTGCACATACTATTACCAAACACAAACACAAAGAAATATACAAAAACAAACCTTATAGCTAAATTGTAAGTATGAATCGATGTATCATTATAATCTAAATATATTGGTAAAATTGAAAACAAAGAAAAAAACAATAAATTATTTCACATATTTATATATATTTATTTATTTTGAAATATTGGTTACAAAAAAAAAACATGATAAAATGGGTTTGTATACATTATAATCAATAAAATTCAAAGAGATCCCACAAATTTTGGAACATCAATTTGGACCGTCAATATTTCATCGTCATCAATATTTATTCAAACCAAGTTTTTTAGCTTCAATTTCGTAGATTAATAATCGCCATAATTTCACAACGAATACCTGTGCTTCATCATCTAAAACCATGGCCACATCATCCAATAGACTTTGAGCTTCAGCTTTGGCCAATAATTTTTGGCAGATAAAATCCAAAAATGTCGCCTCCTCTTCACCAATGTAATCTTTGATTTTTTTGCTTATCCATGGTCGAATTCTTCGTTCCATTAGATTCTATTGGACAGACAAATTAAATTCATAAATTCAATTTCTTTATTTATAAAACTTACATTATCTAGAAGATCCCAATCAAGTACATAGCTAAATAATTCACTTTTCGATGTAGGAATTTTATCAATCAGATTTTTGATCTGCATCTTTTTTTCTTCTTGAGTCATCTGTGATGAAGAATTTGTCGTCGCCGACATTTGTTGTTTAGTATTGCTTGTTGTGCTAAGATTGCTGTCTGTATTGCTATCCTCAAACAAGGCATTAGGTGGGAGCCGACGTTTTTTCGCTAATGAATTAATGTCATCGTCGTCGTTTGAATTGAACACATCAGATACGGTCATCTTTTTTCGTTTGTGTGTATCAATCATTGATTTGGATAAATGCGATGATGATCCTTGTTGATGTTTGATGCTTTGTTGCACCGATATTGAAGCTAACCGATCTGAGCTTATAATGGCAGTGTCTGAATGAGTGGAACCATTGGTAGCAACGTCAAGATTTTGCCCAGTTGATATTTTCATACCGGCAAAACCAAAGGTTTTGACTGATTGTCCACCGACAGTGTTCGACACCGAACCTTGACTATCATCATCACCAGTCAACAAGCTTTTTGATTGAACTTCATCCATCAATGAACTGAGTTGATCAAATTCATTACAACTATCGCCCACATGAAATCGTTTCCGTACTTCTGATTCCGGATCTGGATGTCCTTCTTGATTTAATTTTTTTCTCAATTCTTCCAATTCTTTTCGTTCTTGCGATCGTTCATATTCATCTTGTTCTATTTCTTTCCGTCTTTCAATTTGTCGTTGAAGTAGTGCTTTGCCGCTATAATACTTTTCATCATGTCTATGATATGGAAAAGGTAAGGTAATCATGAGAATGAATGAAAGGAATAAAAAATTGATACCAGAATAGCTAATCTACTTACTTAGAATCATCATAATCTTGTAGAAATTGTTTCAATTTTTGCTTCTCAATTTCCTCTTCTTTTTTACGTCGTAATTCTTTTTGACGTTCACGTTCATATTCTCGTGCTTTTCTTTTCTCTCTATTTTCCCAGTCACGTAATCGTCGTTGATATGATATCTCTTTTTCTCGGTTTTGTTCTTGCCTTCGACGTCTGAGTAACAATTCTTCTTCATCCATTGGTGATTCCGAACGATCCCGTTCAAGAGTTTCCATTTCGTATGATGATGAACGACGATCACGATTTCTTCGATCACGGTCATCTTTGGATGATCCACCTTTCCGTCTACTGCGGCTATCACCATCGCGATCTCGCGATCGAGATCTTTTTTTACCATCACCACGACGGTCGCTACGTCTGGTACGTTCTTCCTCTTTTTTTCGCTTTTCCTCTTCCTTCTCTTCATCATATTTTTTATACGTATCACGGAATTTGTCAATTTCTCTATGTATCAGATTACGTTTATCATCTTCTATATCCATATCGGATAGATTCTACAATTTGACAAAAAACAATCTTTATCAATAGTAACGGTAGTCATCGATTGTACTTACCTCATTTTTGGGATCCTTGTCTTTATTGTGTCGATTTTTTTTCTCTTTGTTATCCGGTTCTTTTGAAAGTTCAATTTCATGTTCTCGTAATACGTACACTAATTGTCCTTTTATTATTTTATCCTCCTCATCCAGATCATTTTTGTCACTATCACCGGATTTCATATTCTTATTATATTCATCTAATTTTTCTTGTGTTTTTGCATCAGCTTTGACAATTAATTTTTTATCAGAAATGGTAAATTCATGTAACAATCGAATAGCACGCATAGCTGACTCAGGATCAGCATAGTCACAAAAACCAAAAGCTTGTAGTTTGCCATCAGGTCCTTGAATGCGTTTCCAATTATGGACAGAACCACATTTCTTTATAAAAGGAATTCAAATTAGACAATAACATTGATTTAATAAGCGAAAGAATTACCGAAAGAAGCTGTCTAATCAACATATCCGAAGCTCGATCTGTGATATTTCCGACAAAAACGGTAGTTATGGCCAATTTTTTATTCGAATCAGGAAGAGTTGATACAGCAGCAGGTGCTGTTGATAATTTGGGCATTAACTAAAATTTAGATAAAATGAAAAAATCTCTATTTGAAACTAGATTTAAATCAACTTACTGGATTAGTTTGAGCATAAATCATTGTTGGTTGGGGAGGATTCATGGCGATGACAGGAGGTGCAGCAATAACAGCAGCATTCTGTTTTCTTACGGGTGGTGCCGATATCGATGTTACACCGGCTGGAACAGTCACACCCATTGGCAACGGTACCAATGGTGGAGCTAGACCGGCTACATTGTTTCGCATTAACAAAATTGTTAGTATTCTTTTTTTGAGATAGTGAAAAAAAACAACAAACTCACCCATTGGAATAGGAAATCGTGGCAATGGTGGAACATTTGGCTGTGGATAACCCGGTGGAAATAATGGATTGTTTGGTGGTAAGGATGGAGGAAACGACATTATTTTTTCCTTCGTTCAGTATATTTGATGTGGAAACTATTTAACCAATATCTCTATTGATTATACAATAAATCAATTTTAACAATAATTTTCAATCAGACCTGAAGCTTCATTGGCAATTGTTGTGTTCCAATCTTGATTTTATTGACAACATTGAGCATGCGTTTGTTTAAAGGACTTTTCATATACAATGTTTTGAAAATATCGATAGTTTATTCGATATGAATAATCGATTAGAGTAGTAGCACATACAACTGACAGTGAAAAAACTGAATTATTAAAAATTGCGCGCGCGCGGGCTTAAATCTTATTGGTGAAACGAGGTAAAGGCGTGCTTGTTTTGTATGCATTTGTATCTTGACTGAATAGTGGATGCGTATGAGCATATAATTGAAAAATCATTTTTTGGAGGCTCTTTTGTGATGTGACGGACTTGGATGAACAAGAAAATGCGAAAACTGAATTTTATTGAGTCAAAAGCACATGCAAGTTTAACATTCAACCCGAATAAAATAACGACGAAATGGTCCACACTCTTCGCCATCATCATCATCATCATTGTTATTGTCAAATATGTATGGATATGAGAATCGATTCATTTATCCAGAAATCTTGATTTGTCGAATTCATTTTGAATTATCTTTGAATTATCGTTCACGTTTCAATACTTGTTTTAATGATAGTAATGATTATGTATTTGTGTAAATCGAGTAATATAAGTATGAAAATTTTGAATGCCTGATAAATTTCAATTAGTTGACCATTTATAAATTAAAAAAAAACATTCGTCATTTCAGATTTGAACATTGCAATTTGTTTGCGTCTCTTTTTGTGTAATGTAAGTATGCTGTTACGAGCATGCTGGTTTTTTTCCACTGGTGCTTTCAATTCATCATTTTATGTGTATGTGAGTGTGTCTGAGTGTTTAAATTCGCTTTCATCATCACAAGCTCTCCAAGTATTTTTCTTTTTTTATTCAACTCGATTAATCGACTCAATCTTTAATTGCACATCAACAACGACAACATCATATTCTTCAACACATTGATCGAAAAATAGAAAACCAATCGAATTAGAATTTTATTCAATGATTTCTATTTTAACCAATAAATTTTTTTATATGACCGGAATAAAGGAATACAACCTTCGAATTCAATTCAGTGAACCATTGTTTCAATCGAATTGTTTATTTTATAAGATTGTGTATTATAAATAATAATCGCCAAGAATCAAAATTAAATTATTAATTTGAAGAAAAAAAGATGCCTCTATTGGGAAAAGAAGAATTCTGTCTCAAATCATTACCAGATAATCTTTCACCGGATGAACAAGTATTTTATTGTCAGATAACCGGCGAAGCATTTTTATCATATGAGTAAGTTGATATTTTATGAATCATAGTTTGTTATTATATATAATTGTTTCTTTTTCTAACAAATAGTGAATACTTCGAACGACAATTTCTGTATTCATCATTATTATGGACTTGTTCGTTAACAGGTAGAACTGGATTAACATATTCAGAAGCATTAAAATCCGAACAAGAATCACAAGCCCTAGTTTCATCGATACCGATAGTGTTGCAAAAAGTGATGCTACATTTGATGACTTATATGAATAATTTTAGCACCAATGTCACTTTATCCATTCTTATTGAGTATACGAATCTTCGGTATTTCATTGGTGAACATGTGCAAATTTCACCCAAAAACAAAAAGTCAGTATTATATCTAAAATAATCTTGAATCTAATCAAGTTTTTTTCCATCAACAGTAAAAGAATCAATGGTATTATTCGTGATGTGATACCACCAGAAAATTATGAAAATACATCAAGCATAGCATATGGAATTGATCCGTTAGCTTACAATTATCGGGTAGAATGTATTGATCAACATGATGAAAATGAATGTATTGTCATTCCTGCGGCTCGAATTTCGCGATCTAAATTTTTGTTAACACGCGAAAAAATACGTCTTTTTCTCAAGCAGCATCTAGCACCTAAAAATGGCCGTTATCAAGCCCTAAGTATCAAGGCGGAAAGTTTACAAAAATTTGGTGTTGACCAATCAAGTTGGGAGGATATGTTCAAAGGGCCAACACCAAATTTCTCCGACGATACTTTGATTGTAAAAGCATTAAGCAGGCAACGTTATTCGGAGGAATTTAATTCCCATAATCATGATTCGTTAAATGTGAATGATGAAAACCGTGAAAATGAAAATCTAATACAAGTATTGAAAAAGAAAAGCAATCTTTTATCATCACAAAAACAGAAATTGAAACGGAGAGAAGCAAAACAAAGTAATTCTAGCAACATTAAAGAATCGAATGATGGCGGCAAACGAAAATATCGTAAAAATTTGAAAAAAGATAACAAATTGAAGCGACAGAATTTGAAAAACAAATCCGGTAAAAGTAGTCGAAAAAAACGAACCACTCCGGATGCTGCTGATTCAAATGAAACTCAGGATTCTAAATCTTCGAAACAAAAAGACAATGAAAAAGACCTGAAAAATCGTGAACGAGAATGTCGTAAACAATATGAAGAGGATCTAAAAAATTGGGCTGAAAAACGTGATGATTTTCTTTGCGATGATCTTCTACCATTACCATCGGTTACGCCGATTGAATGTGATATCTCACCCGAACTAATTGGTGACGCATTAGTCATTATCGATTTCCTTAATGTTTTTCATGAATTTCTTGCATTCGAGCCTAACACATTTCCATCGCATTTGACATTCGATTATTTCATCAAGATTTTACAAGACAACAATGTCAATACTCGAACTGGTATTGCTGATTTAATAATGGCCATCTTACGTACAATTTTTCAATCGAATAGGAAAGATTCACATGATGGAAACGATGATCTAAAAATTCAAGAGAATAACAATGAAGATTTCGACATATTCAATGCTGATAATGATGAAGAATCAACGGCATCACAGGTGAATTGCTTCGCCAATCATTTTGTTACTACATATTTCTCTACTTTGGAACAATTGGCTCGATTACAAATGGATTCATTTACAGTCACAGAAATATTACGGATTTACATATTGAAAACCAGAAACTTTGATGGAAAACGTACAACAAAGATTTGTCCTGATGATATGGCATTAGTTATGCATTTGGCCACACAGACCATCTTTGAATTGAACCATAGTGATCGTATTAAAATATTGAAAATTCTGTTAAACGATGTTGTTGTACAAGTGGCCGATATTAGACAAAAAATTGAGTCCTCCATGGATGACATGGTCAAATTGAAAATACAAATGCGCCATTTGAATGCTTCATATACTCGGTGGCTACGAGAAAATCCTATCCGACAACGAATGAGAAAAAAAAAGTCATCCAGTAATAGTAATAATGATGATCAACAACAACAACAAACCGAGCTTGAAACCGAATTAACCAAAGAGGAAAAAGAACAGTACAAAAAAGATAAAGCCGAAAAAGAGAAAAAGATGAAGGATGATATTGCTGAATTGAAAGCGAAAATTCGCCGCCTATCTGCATTTTGTCGATCGCGTCCTTTGGGTATCGATCGTCGATATCGAAAATATTGGATTTTTGATTCGATTCCCGGATTATTTGTTGAACATTCTGTTCATGATGAACATGATCCGAATACATGCTTTGATAATCCTGTACCGGTAGCTAAACCTATACTTAATGATTATCTTGCCAATGCAAAACGCCGTAAGAAAAAAACGACCGCAATACCAATAGTAGAGGCAGAAATGGAAAATGTCGTCGAACAGAATATCGATCGGTGTAGTGGGAATCCAACTACTTGTAAGGTTCATGGTTCTATGTTCATGACAACCGCTCCGCTTTGGTCATTCTATACAAAAGAACAATTTGATACTCTAATGGATTCATTGAATAGTCGAGGCTTTCGGGAATCCGAATTGAAAAATGCATTGGCCATCGAAAAACAATCCATACTGAACGATCATCTTGCCGAATTTGATCCGTTCATATTCAATCGAAATTACATCCCATCACCTGTAATCGAAATAGTCGAACACGAAATGAATGATGATGTGAATCCTGTTCGTAAATCCGAACGGCTTACAAATATCTGATCGAGCAACTGTGACTAATAAACGACGGTCAACACGTAGCGAATTTCGCCTTGAGTATTCCGATCAAACACCGGTGGAAGTTTTTGATGTTAATTTTCAAAACCAACTAGCCATTTTCGAAGATAATATCTTTAATGGCTGTTTCTGTACGTAACCAATTTTCTTTTTGTAAGACTTTTTTTAATCGCTGATTTTTTTTGCAGGCTCATTCTCAATCACCGATCGTGATGAATGGTATCATGGATTGAACAGAACCTATTGTCAGGATAAGATTAATTCTTTACAAATGTTGACTGAAAAATTAGCCAGTTTAGCGCGATCAATAAGGCCATTTTGTTTGATGCCACCATTATCCGTTTATCCAGAATCCACAATGTCATCGCCTTCTGAAAAGGAAAATATCGATAATAATCAAACAATGAAATTTCGTGTACCAATGTTATCGGAAAAATGGTTGGATGTTTTAAAAGTTCCAGACAGTTCGGAACTGACCGAATTCGAATCTAGCTATGGTATCACCAATCATTCACAATTGTTTCTCAATCTGTATATATTTGAACGTTCATTAAATTGGGAAATGTCAGCACTGAAAACAGCAAACAAATGTGGCATTTGCCGACGTAAAGCGAATGATGAAATGATTTTATGTGACTTTTGTAACCGCGGATATCATATCTATTGTTTAACGCCTCCGATTTCATCGGTAAATGAAATCGAAGGCGATTGGTATTGCCCGAAATGTCTGCCGCGTTCACCATCTGATCATGAATCGTCAAATAATAAAAAAGCTGCTCAAACAATCAAAATTGAAGTTGAAGCAATCGATCAACAACAAACAGAACAGCTGTCACCACCGATTTCCAATAGCAAAATCAATCAACAACCGGTAAATGAGAGCCTATTGGAACGATGTAAATCATGTCGAAAACATATTTTTGATTCATTTTCTGAGGTAATTAGTATTTTGTTTTTGATAATTTTATTAATCCAATAATATACATTCGTTTGATTGTTTAGGTATCATGTAAAACCTGTGGCGAATGTTTTCATCTTCGATGTGTAAATTTAGTGCGCGTTCCTCGTTCATGGAATTGTGCTGTTTGTAATGAAAAAGAACATTGTGACGAACAATATAATAATCCGCATAATGATAATGATAATAGCGAATTACGTCGATCCCAACGGAAACGCAAACCTAATCATTACCATGAATTCGAACCGAATGACGATCAATATCATCATCAATCGACAACAAATAATCATCTTAAATCAAGACGTTGTTCAGATGGTCAAAATTCGGAATATCATAGGATCATTGTCAAATAGTTTACAATTAAGAAAATAAAATCGGCCCTCGATACTTTAAATATTTTTTTAATTATTAATTGAATTATTCTCGATTATTTTTCTGATTTTACTCATCATCTGTTAGCATTATTATCAATACTCTCACTCTCTACGAAATGATGATGTGTAATAAATAAAACTATCTTTAATTTTCAATCCCTTTTCCTTTTTCTAACTTAAATTGGCAAATTTTATCTAATACAGGTGAGAGATTCTGATTTGATGTTTGAGCTGTGTGGTTGATATGAAAGATCTCTGATTGGCTTATGATTATCAACTAACCATTATGGTGATCGAAGATGCACATCTTTTTTGGCTAAATGCCATTGATAGAGTCTATTCATCTATCTAATACAATGTGCAAGATTAACCATTTTGATGGACCTCTGGACAACCACCGATTTGAGGGATAGTTTTTCTTCATTATTATATCTAAGGGTAAGTTCTCTGCATGGGGCAGCTCTACACACACACACACACAAATGGACATTCCAATCGTGCCATGGCAGCTAATGTCAAGCTTCACGAATTGAATTGAATACTAATCTCGGTATGAATTGAAGCAACAACACACAATCGAAAGAGGCACTCCTCTGAAAAAAACGACTCATCATCATCAATGGACAATGAACTTGTTGAATGCTACAAGCTTTCCTCTTTAGCTCATTTTTTCTTGGCCTAGGCCCTAGATTTTGCCATAGCAAATCAACATTCTCGCTCCATTTTTTCTTTTTGTTGAAAAACTTCAACCATAGTGGCGCGGCAGTGGTAGCGGGTGATTGTTGCTGACCAAAATTTCAGAGTTGCTGAACAACATTCCCACCTGGCTAGTACATTTCTATGAGAGTAAAATTCAAGATTCATGATCTTCAATAGTTTGAATGTCGACCTATAGCCTGCGTATGATCGTTGTGTTTATAATGGTGAAATGCCATGGCCAACCCGCCAACATAGTGTAGGTTGAGGTATGTACATGGGTATGGCCAATACCATAACTCATGTAGCCGTCAAGATACATCGACTATTCGATCTTGTTTGTTTGGGCATAAAGATATAGATACTTGTTCGATTTGTATGCATTTATATCAAAAATCAGATCAAAAGTTGAACAACGACAAACAAATCTTAAAAATCAAATACATGCTTCTTTTATTCAATAATTATATTGTTATTATTAGCATGGCATTGTCTATGATTCACGTAATGAAAGGATTATAGAAAAAAAAAAAATTACTGAATTCAATTTGAATCATCAATCAATCTGTCACTTGTAGCTATGATTCACCATAGACATCAACAAGTTTGCTTCGGCTATGATGATGATATTCATTCCATCACATCTAATCGTCATGATTTGGCCAACAGCGATGAAATGATCCAAAATTCTCGTCAATATTCAGCATCAACAGCAGATCTTTTTATTTCGCAAAATTATCCGGCTAATATTGAAGACGGAATTATTATAGAAAATATAAATCAAAACACAAATTCTTATCAACATAATCAATCAGTGGCCAACATGGTAGTGACAAAAGATTCGAAACGATTAGCTCGAATTTTTCTCGATACAAGTCAATTTGATCAACAGCAACAATTACAACACTCCACCGAAATCATGAATAATGGTTTTGATTGTAATGCAAACATCTATACTGAACCCACTGTAGTTAATACGACACTCACAAATCAACGACCGCCACCTCCGATCCCATCAAACTTTTCCGAATCACACCCATCGATGAACCATGCAATGAATAATTCCGGGACTGATTCATTAACTATTGTTGGACAAGATATTGCTATTACTTTACGACAAGGCCAACTTACTCAAACATTGTTAACAAATTCAACAACATCACCATTGGTCAATTCGAATACTGTAAATGAGATCTTGCCGACGAATCCTCGACAACAATCTCATGTGCTAAAGCAGCAGCAACAAGTGGTTTTTTATCCAAACCGAATGGAATTTCTGCCATTATGTGATTTATTGTTCAATATCATATCTCTTGCTGCATATTTTTGCGATGTTGTATTCGATTCAGTGACAGCATATACTTTGTATCTAAATCGTCAATTTACTTGGTTGGGCGTTTCATTGTTTCTCATTTTGATGACTGCTATCATCAGTCATATCTTATCATATCGTTGGTGTCGAAGAGATGTGGATGAACAATATGGTAATAATGACCAAAAACAGAATCAACGTTGTTCATCGGCGAATCCTATTATGTTACATCCTGATCGATGGAAAGATAATTCTTCACAAATAATGACTTTCATTCATCTACTTCAATGTGGCGTTTTATGGCGATATTTTAAATTATTTGCTCCTGTCAATCTAGCCACAGTGAAACGGGAAGTTAGCGAACTTTGTATCCTGAGAATGGTACATGCTTTCTTCCAGGCTGGACCAATGCTTCTATTACAAACGTATCTAGTTTGGCGTAAACCGTCGTTGAACATGATCACAGATTTGAATATCATTTCTATATTCCTATCATTGTTCTCTATTTGTTGGGCATTGTCATCGTTCAACAAGAATATCAGACCAGATAAGATACATAGACTGGTACTCACTTGGTTCGGTGTTATCTTTCAATTCTTTTGGCGTGTTGGGTTCGTTTCTGTTATTTTCATTCAAATTTATTTATAACTGTTTTTATCATTTTTGCAGAACCATCACATCACGAATCGTAGCATTGACCGTCTATGCTGTACTATACGAACAATGGGTTTTTGTCGTTATTTTTCTACATTGGTTTTCCATGTTGCTTTGGTTACTTACTCCCCATATGTTACAGCATTTAGATCATCAGGTAGATGGTACAAATAATCAAAAATGCAACAGAAAGAAAAAATTGCTTGGTGCTGCATCTTTGGCATGGATCTATGTATTCTGTTTTGTTAACATGGAAGATGTAAGTGGTAGTTTTTCATGAAAATTTCAATATATGATCTCTTTTTTTCAATAGAATCATTCCCGGTATCGAATGTTGGCATTCTATTTGATGATGTTTGCTGAGAACATTTTGTTATTGAGCATATCCATGTTTTTCGATAATCGTTTATCAACAATACATGGATATCGAAGTTTAGCCATTTGTCTAGTAATTGGTTCGTTTATATTCGGCATCATATTCATGTGCATCTATTATCGTTACTTTCATATTCGTAATCTCAAAAATTCCATACAATGTTCCACTGCTCCATCTGGAGCAACTATAGATTTTGAAAATTGTCCATCATCACAACCCGATCAGATTTCGATGAAAGAAAAATCTCTATTAGATCAATTAATCATGAATCAAACACAAACACTGGCCATCAATCATAAAGACATGGATCCTAAATTGTTGCCATTCGCTATGAATACGATTCCATTTTTGAATCATCAATCTCAGTCATTAAGAAACAATCTCAATCAAATGAATGTTGATGGAAATTCTACAACAATTAATGATAAAAATATTGCTGGTGTGTTCAATTGCCGATTAAATCCAGCACTGAAGCGTAAAAAGAAAAAACCATCAACCATACCTCCATTACCTCAAGAGATGCTCATTAATGGCATTGATGCTGGTGATCGATCTACAAATAAATTACCGTTAAAAAATACACTAGAATCCATTTCAGAAAATGGTGCCATGAACAAAAGTAGTAGCCAAATTCAGCGACCTGCTTTGGATTCTTGGAAACCTGGATTTCATAGTAAAAATTTTATCAAACAAATCCAACGACCATTGACTAATTCAAGTGTTTTGATGCGTTCCTATCGACAAAGTCCAGCCGAAACATGTTGGCGAAAACCAGATTTATCTGGTCGATCATGGTCCATATCACCAGCAGCAATGATGAAAATTGGTGAATCGTCAAAATTTGGTTCATCCGTTATTCAGACAAAAGATTCGGTTTCATTTCAACAGCAACCGACAGCAAAATTTACAGATAAACTAGATTTTGCACTTATGAATCAATTGAAGTTTGAATCAAATGAAATGATGAATAGTAAGAAAATTGTTCGACCCAAACCTATTGTACAACATTCAATCAATATTGATTCAATCAGTGAAATGAACATTGATATAAATCATACTGCCAATCTACAAACTTCGAATTATGGAAACTTTTCAAATGATAAACAGCATCAAGAAGTCATCTATAACTACTATGAATATCTAAATTCATTAAAAAGTTCCAAAAAAGATCTTTCCGGATCCTCAGATAATAATCCAGATATGTTCAACATGTTACATCAACGTCCGCCGGTTCCAGGTCGAGAAAGTCGTAACAAAATGAAAGAAGATCAAGGTGGCCACCAATCAGCAAATAACTATGAGGAGGGTAAAAAATCTTTAATAAACAATTATACGGGCAAAAATCAAGCATTTAAGACAACCATACTTACATCGTCTTTAAAACAACAACCTCAACATCATCGGCATTCAACCCGAAAGAAAAGATTTCATCAAGGTGCAAAAAATAGTAAGAATCGTATAAAATCTAATCAAAAATATAGACCAAGATCAACGAATCTGTCCACCACTTCCTATTCATCGAGTGAATTTTCATCGAAATCCGATTTTTCTAGCGGAGAAGACGGCGACATTGAATCGGATGTTAATCATCATACCGATGTACAGCAAAAATACAATGGTATTAATCGAACAAAACTACATCTTCCTTCAACATTGACAAACCAAAATGCATATTTGACTAACTTGTACGATCAAGTCAATCAAGATTATGATAACGTAATCGCAACTGACGATCTTCATAATGTTCAAAGTGAATGTCAAGCACATCTCGATTCTGGATACGGGCAAATCGCTGCCACTAATTTTAATGAGCTTAACTTTGTATCATCAACTGTCAACAAGTATTCGCCATATTTTCATCATTCAAACAGCATCAGACCGCAGCAACAAACCGCCAAAAAACATAATACCCCTTTGTAATATTTTCCTATATTTTTATTTTGTTGATTCTTTTCTTTATTATTCATTATTAATTATTTTATGCAAAAAAATTGCAATTTACGTACATTCACAAACAGAATAAAAAGGAGACTTTTCTCTTGAGAAATTATTAATAGATTATAAACATTATGGATCGATAATTTCACATGTATTATATGTAATAACTAACTATTAACTTGTGTTGATATTCTAATGGCACGCCAATAAATTTATGTACAAATCGATTGAAAAGTTTTCACTCTCATAGAAATCAATCATAAATTTGAAATGTCATTATTCAAGTCATTCATGATGAATACAGAATTTGAAATGGATTTCAAACGAAAATCTTATAACGTTGGTTTCATCAATGTAAGTTTAGTTTTAGTTCCATCTGAAGTCTGATGAAATTGTTTCACAGAATGCCCCATATGCGAATATCCATGCAAATGATGATTTATGGAATGGGTTTGAATTACGTATGATTCAAACATTGGCATCTTATTTCAATTTGACCATACATTATGAACAATTTAATGGTGAATATGGCAGCCGAAAATCGAATGGCACTTGGTCGGGAATAATCGGAAAAATTATTTTGAAGGTTTGTGATTAATATTCAAGTTGTCATGTTATTTTTTCAATGACGAATTTAGGATTTTGATTTTGTTTTTGGTGGTGTCGCATTAACTTATGATAGAATGTCTGTCATTAATTACCTTTATCCACATTGTATCGACCAATTTACTTTTGCCACGACTACTACTGGCAGTCAAATTGATATGGAGGTTTTCATCAAATCATTCGATTGGATCGAATGGCTATTACTTGTATTTTTTCTATTTTTCTTATTTGATCGATTAACAAATTTGGTTGAACACCGAAAATTCCATGATTCTTTCGTATGGATTTCAGTATGTATAATATTTAGACAACCATATCGATTGATAAATCGGTCAAATTCATCTAGAAAACTGTGTGCCATTATATGGCTATTTTCGGCATTGGTTTTGTTCAATGTATACTGCTGTCGATTATATTCAATATTGACGATTCGTACTAATCATGTGGTTGATACTGTGGATAAATTAGCCAAAGGTGCCGTCCAAAATAGTATCATACCAGTTGTCATGGATTCCAGTGTTTATCAAATGTTAAACAATTCTGGTATAACTTCATACGATTTGATATCAGATAAATCAATCCAAGTAGCCCATCTAAATGATGGCATCAATTTAATTATTCAAACTAGTAAGCAGTTGAAGAAATCTTTCTCCGAAAAGCATAAAGCCTATGCATTTATAGCCACACGTTTTAGTCTTGAATTCGCACAGTTGAATTATGGTGATAAACTAATGTACATACCGCCACCAACGATACAAGCTGAATTCTTTCCATTGTTCATTTCCATACTGTTTGGAGAAACATTCGATCATCGAGACGAATTTAATTACATGTATGACCAAACTTGAAATGATCGAATATTCAAGTTATTTAAATTACTCCATTATCATTACAGAATATCACACCTTCATTCGGCTGGAATATTCGATTATTGGAAATTTCAGGAGCTCTCTACAACCAAATACAAGGTTTCAAATCAGATATCAATTGATGATGCACAATTATATGATGAGAAAAATATGAAAATTGATATGCAACAACTTAGCGTCGAACATTACCAGAGTTTATTTATTTTATTTGCAATAATGACAATAGTTTCTACAGCTGTATTTTGTTTGGAATTTTTTTTTCAAATAATAACCAATAAAAATAACTGGTGTTCATGGGAGTGATATTTGAGAATATTTCGAATGACTATCAGAGTTTGAGTTAATATTGTGTTTAGTCAAGTTTGATACGCCGTCTAGTTAACACACATAACATTTCATTAAATTAAATATGCGAACTGAAATGACAAAACGATTAGATGCTATCATTTATCGACATTTAGCCCTTAACATTTATGGTTTTTATTTTGGCCGTTTAATTATATTATCATCGATAGGTTATAGTATAATCGAACAATATCTTGGTTCAATTCATTGCCAAGGTAATTCGAAAATACGAGATCAATTCATAAGAGATGTTTGTCTTCAAGGAAAAAATGATTTCGTTGAACATCGAATGTTTTTATCATCAAAACGATTGGTTGATTACTCTGATCGATCATATTCTTATTATCCATGGGTTATTCTTTTGCTGTTTGTACAGGTATGATATTATCTTTTTTTAATCAATCACTGAAATTCCAAACTTTTAATGTATACAGGGTATGTTGGCTAAATTATCAGGTGAGTGGCTACAACGAAGTCAACATCATAAATTGAAACAATTAAATCGTATAAAACAATATGTACGAAATGCTCAAATCGCACCGGAATTGTTTTGTTACTCGAGCCGTAATATAAAACGACAGAAACGAATACAACAAATTATCAGTTTTTTTTATAATTTTCTTGTCGATTCATCGGGAAATCAAAATTATCTTATTGATTATTTTACATCATTGATATTCTGCGTGGTAACGTTATTCATACAAATGATCATCCTTGATTCAAGTTTCGATGGTCAATATCTGAGCTTAGGCATACGATTCCTGTTATACTATCATTTTGAGCAAGACAAGTCTTTGAAGATATTACAATCGATCGACGATATAAACCCATTACCTCAACTATTTCCTTATGTAATTGGATGTCGATTTAGAAATCACGGCCTTTCCGGTTCATCATTTGTTGCAGATTATGTTTGTACATTAAACATGAACATTGTCAATGCCTATATCTATCTTGTCGGTTGGTTTATTTATATTTTTATCGGTATCTGTTTATTATGGTCTATCTTGAAATTACCGATTGAATTGCTATTGACAATAAGATCGTCACATATTAAAAAAAGATTGAATACCGAATGGAAGTTGTTGATCACTGATTCTAACATTTCTGATGACTATTATCAACAATTTTTGATAAAAACAAAAATTTCTGCATCGACAATAGTTTTGGTATGTTCTGCTTTTAAGCTTTTTATTATTGCTAATAATAATATATTGGTTTAAAACAGATTCGTTTAGCCAGAATTGATTTAAAAAATTTAACCGAAACTTTGGGGTTGCTAAAATCCAAATTGGCCATATTAAATGCAAAAAATAGCTACATTTAATTTTTATATCAGACTATGAATTTTTTCCAAACATTCAGCAATAAAAATTGTCATCGGCAATACCAAAAAAAAATGTATGTCACCATTAAACACCATCAATGCTTCTACCACAAAAAAAATCATGATGAATATGTGAATAGTTGTTTCTTTGTAGGCTTGTAGAGTAAGCTCAAATATACTCAAAATATTTTTCATTTCAGATATTGAACGAAATCACAACTAAGCCTCAATATCATAATAACCAAAACAAAACGGAACGACGCAGCAATTTTTTTTTTAGTTGAAAACTTTGAATTTTTTTCAAAACAATAGAGCAGCTAAGTGGCCATAATCGACAAGCGGCAAAAATGTCTAAAAATTTTTCCATTTCATGTTTGGCAGTTATCACTTTCTTCAGCCTGTTATTCGTGGCCAATGTCGATAGTCAAAATTTTCCTAACAATTTATTCAAATCATGTTGTTATTATGTAACTATTCGTAATTGTACGGGCAAAAACGAAGTATCGCATCTATGTCCTGATTGTACCAGACCTACACCGTTTTGCGGCTTAAAAAGCTGTAACATTTTTGGCTGTAATTGTGATTCATGTCGACCACAAAAAGAACATACGGAAATTCTCGGTATGGCGACATGGCTAACTGAACATTTTTAAAAATTGACATTAAAATTGGTCTCAATGAATATCGACTGAACATTGAATTACGTGTATTTAATTAAATTTTATCAATTTATCATTTCATGATAATAATAAAACTTGATATTGAATAAAACTTGACAAACTAGATCAAATCATCGAATGTAGTCGATTGGTAGCCAACATTTTCTTTTTTCAAATCCTCAAACACTAGATATTGACGGGATGTTGATATTCCAAGTTTAGATTCAATTGCTTTTTGAATGACAGCCGAAGATTTTTTATTCTCATCGCGAGAAATTTTACCAATGCTCGATAGAGTACAAACGGCTGCTGGTTCTTCGACCCCACCTGTTTTTTTATTGGAATAAATTTAGTTTAGCGGTAAATCTCACAATAAATTGATGAAATTTCACAAACCCCAATTCAGATTGGCATCACTATGTACCATGACAACCACATAGCTTTCTGGTTTGCCTAATGTTTGTGCAACGATTTTGACCATATCTTTTGTAAAATTAGCCGGAACTTTCGAACCAGCCACATTCGTTCGAATGATCAATGTTGGCATGTTGAATCGGTTATAGGTTAAGCAAAGATTATTCGATTTGAAATCAAAATTGTGCAGACAAATCAAAATAATACGTCAGTTAACCAAAACCTTTTGAATTAGTTAATGACTATTTTAACTAGAAAATTTGTAATGGTTAATATAGAAATTTAAAAAATTAGAATATATAATATAATTCCATTTCATACAACATCAGAATATTAAAAAAAAATTATATCAATGACAAATATGAATGAGTGAATAATGGGAAAAATGTATAATCAAGCCCATTTGGCTGATGTGAAAGAATAAACAACGTTTTGGCAAATGACCAGAATAAATATAACATGATTTATAAAAATGTGCTCTAACAATCAAAGGGAAGTTTCTTCCTGATGATCAACTGATGTAAGTGAATAACCATCAGCTTTACGACGAAGGAAAAAATAAAGGATATCTGCTTGAGCCATGACATCGATAGTCGATGCTGTGAACAGGTCTGTATTGATCATTAATGGCGTAATATTAGGCACCATTTGATTAGCATTGCTAGAACCGCCAAATCCGATCATTTGTTGATGACTTGCGGCCGTCGCTGATGAAGATAAAATAGAATTTTTACTGCCAGATGACGAATGACCCATTGCTGATGTAGAAGATGAAGTGGTTGTAGATGATGAATTTGTACGTAACATCGTTGGTCCAAATACAGTAGCCAGATTATTCAATGACATTTTATTATCCTCTTCAAAATGATTGATCAATACTAAATGTTCGATCAATTTGATTACTGTGGATTGATTTGGTTCAATTAATTTTGCTAATAATGATGTCATTTTCATCTCTTTTTCTTCAGAATTTTTCAGATCTAATTTTTAAATTCATGAAAGCGATTAAAATTGAAAAATGATCATTGATTGGTGCTGAAACATACCTCTGGCTTCGAAATATTTTTGATACATATCATTGGTAAACAATGATTCAGGCAATTCTCTAAGATATAATTTCAACAGACCAGTCACCGAATGTATATCGGTTTCTCTGATTAGATAGCACGCATCACGTGGATCTGTATGATCGGATTCCATTAATCAATCGATTTATATTATTGATAATTCAAATCTTACTTGTTTCGAATGCTTTTTTAAGCTTTTGAACTTCACTTGAAAGACCAGATACACGATAAATACCTACTTCACGTAGGCCACGACGCTCCACTTCCAATATACAGCTTAATATCAGATATGGTATGGTACTTTTTTCTTTTCTATTTTTTCAATTAAATATAAATTGATTTTATATATTGGCATTAATTTTCTACACAAAAACTTACTTGCAAACTTGACTAATACTAACACCAAATGCACCATAGATTTTATTTGGTGGAATTGTTTCCATAATCGAATTCCATGGAATGAAACGGGTTTCGAAACATAATGTATACTGTGATAAAATGAATGAAAATAAACGGTCATCTACAAACAAATAAACTTACATCACCGATCTGAATTTCCGACAGTTTCGGCTCCGTACTAGCACAAGAAGAAGTCAACTCGAAAATTGCTTTACCATTCAGTTGATGGATTCGATTTTCATCACCATTTTTATCACTATAATCACTTATTTGCTGTTGTTGACATTTTTCATACAACAAAAATCGGACAATTTGTGATCCTTCTAATTCAATTAGAAATTCCTGACACCGATTTTGTTTTTGTATGAAATCCCTCATCAGATAACGTGCAACTGCTCGTTTAAAATAATGACCAAATGAATCGGTTTCGATGACGATAAATAAATCTTGACATGGAAAAAGGAATCTGTTCAAAATAATGTCTACAACAAGGAATTAACATACCGGCATGATAATGAAAATTTCCCAGATCGACTAAACGCATTTGCAGATCGCCATATCGGAGCGTTTCATCTTTGTTCGAACGCAACAGGAATGAACCACAATTAACGTTGATGCTCTAATGAAATGAAAAAAGTTTTATGAATGTGTACTTTGATGATAGAAATAGAAACATTACTTTTCTACAGGATTCGATCCATTTTTGTAACACATGTATGTTTGCATGTTCCTCAGAAGATGCATGCTGTTGTAATGTTTTTATTGCATCAATCCAGCAATTGCGTTCATATTCTGAAGACAAAAAGAATGTATAGTATTTACTTGGATTATTCTTTACACGGAATGAGAATTTAAGCTGAGGTAAATAAAGGCTTAATTCCGATTCCAATTCAGATATTTTCTTTCGTAATCGATCCGATTGTTTTGTATGGCCTTTTCGCTTTTCTTCAATATACAAGTCAAGCCTTGCAGAAAATGCTCGTGATTTAAGGCTTGATATAAGATTAGCTGTCGTTTGAATATCTTTTGATTCTTTTTCCAATTCATGCTGATTTGATTGGTTACTGTTATTAGTATTGCCATTCAATGTGTGCTGCACGGATGATGAAGATGACTGTGGTTGAATTGTTGAACATGATTGTGATGATTCAGACGAATTGGTTAGAATTAGAAGATTCGAAACTGAATCCAAAACGATATCGTTGAGCATTTGAAACCATCGTAATTCAAATGTAAACTTTTGCCTTTAAACAAAATAGAAATAAAAAAAAATTATATATATAATATAATTTCGGACAAAAAATGCTTACTTGGACGAAGCTTTATATTTGGCTGATACGATCACATCGTTGAATAGGAATAAATGTCGTAATTTACGGCGATCACCACTTTCTATAATGAAACTTTCTTTCACTAAACGACGCTTGAATTTGTCATGTGTCTGATGGCAAAAAAAGAATGCATTGAGATACAGAAAATGGTAAAAAAAATTCCAACTCACCATGAATAATCGTCGTGCGGCATCTAGATTTAAATCATTGAGAAATTTTTGATTTAATCTCAAGGCGTTTTTAAGCAAACGTTGATCATCATCATTTTCTGTATATTTGAGCAAATCATGTAAAACCAATGCATTCTTTTGAAGACGAGCCACTGGTTCGTGTAACATATCTATAGATATTGCATTAATTCATCAGATGAATGCTAGACAGAAATTTTCATATTACTTACCAACAAGATTACTAAATTGAACATGAGCGGATGCCAATTTGATAGACTAACAAACAAAATTTAAAAAATAAATAAATTAGTAAAAAGAATGGTTTCTATTGTTTTTTGTTACCTTGATGATGTCGAAAAAACGTAAATTATTAGCACTGCAACGATTAGCAGTTTCAATTGCTTTTGAATAATTGCGCAAAAAATCTGCATACACAGGTAATTGTTCGGCTAACCGATTGAACAATTCACCAATCGATTGTTTGCCAATCAATTTTGCCGCTAATTTTGAATCAGCCATCATGGATGAATGTCGTAATTTAAAACCATGTTCAACTTTTTTCAATCCGGCTAGGAATGCATTATGTATATCATATAAATTGGCAATCCTATAGAATATGGTATCTAAATCTTCTATGGATATGAGGGCATTATCACCTTTGGATGCCGATTCGAATGCTTTACGATATTTGTTCAATGTGTTTAGACAATCCAGATAGATAGTTTCACTATCGATTATACTGCGTACAATACTCCATTGCATTTGCTGTGATTGATCGGATTCGGTCGTATACGTCGTCTTATTAACGTTCATACGTTTATTATCTTCATCTATCAAATTTTCAATATTAAAATTATTATTTGTTATGGTTGATTTCAATGATCCCTGATGTTCAAATTTTGTTGATATGGATTTTTCATCACGGTCCAATGAATCATCAGAAGTATTAATGGAATCAAGATTATCAGCTATGGTCCCTGTTGTTGTTGCGATAGTATCATGATGAATAATATCGGCGAATGCATAGAAATCCGTTTCCAATGCTATGGCTGATGGTGAAGAAGTGGATGGAATATTTTTCGGTTGTGGTGATGATGAAGATGTATCCATCAACTGATTGAAATCCGACCCCTCACTATAGGCAAAATTTTCGTCTTTTTCACTTAAAGATGTCTCCTGCGAAGTAGTAGTCAATGTTTGAGCTGTTGGTTTAAAAAAATTAAATTCTTTGTCATGAATCGAAGGCGGCGGTGTAAATGTCGACATCAAACTAATGGAAGGATAATTTGATTCTATATTGTTGGATTCTTTATTCAATAATTTTGCGTTTCGGAGTCGAAGACTCGATGCCGATGAAGTACTAGTTGTCGTACCAATCGAATTGTACGAACTTTTTGCCGTATCGTTGGCAGGAATTTGAAACTGTTTTAATAAATTATCACTTGAACCAAAATGATCATAATCCGATGAGGATTTCATACTCGATAAGGTTTCATTTTCATTTTCTGATTCTTCTACATTTAAACCAGAGGAAGAAATTTTTCTATTACCACTTGATGATAAACGAGATGCAACTGGTATGTTAGAATTGGAACGACCAACTGAATTTTTCCGCAAAAAATAATCAATATTAACATAATTGGAAAGTTCATCTGTTGATGATGATCGGCTTAACATTTCTTGACTAGAGGTTTCCATCTCTTCGTCATTACTTGTCAAATTATGTTCATTAGTTCGATTATCACAATCTTCATTTGCTTTATCATTATTTGGGTCATCATCATGATCAATGCCATCAGAATCATCAGGTGCTACTGTATCGTAGATATTATTATAATCTGAAAGCTGTGATGATGATTCGGTTTTATCTGTTTGTTGTAATCTTTTAATCATGTTGCGATTTGATTTGGTCGATGATAATGGAACATTTGGTTCCAAGCTAAATGTTCGCATATATGGTACTTTATTCTGATTATTTGTCGTTATTGATTTTTTATTAAACCTTTTGTTGTTCATCTTATTGGAATCACTTTCATGTTGTTGGTCGATTCGTTGTAATGGACCATTGAATTTTCTTTGGAATTGAGATCGATTACAATAAGATGATGATGATGATGGGTTGGATTTGTTTGTTGTTGTAAGACTTTCGCTTTTAGTCAATTGTGATTGTTGATGGGTTTGCGATGATAATTGCTTTGATATAGCTGATGTTTCAATATTGTTTATACTATTGTTGCTGTGACTATTCAGTGATTTGTTGGGCAATTTTGGTTTCCTTGGTGGTGTAGGTGGCCGTTTCTTTGCTGCTCAATTTGAATAGGAAAAAAAATAAAATGATAACTGTTGTATAGACAGAATTTCATACACACCTTTATCAAGTGTAGATTTTTGTGTTTCCAGAGTATTCGAATATATTGGTTCAGGTACTGTTTTGGTTGCCTGTTGCTGATGATCCAGTTTTGTTTCGTTGTGATGGGCATTTCCATTGCCATCATCATTATTGTTTTCAATACTATTTTCTGCCACTGCAGTCACCGATGATGAGGATGATGATGTGGGTGAAGTTTTATTTGGGGAAATTTTCTGTATTTCGCCATAAGCGCTATCATTTAATGTTATCACAGTGACATATTGCGATGATGATGGATTTGTGGTGACATCAACGGAAGTGTTCAACATCATAGAATCATCATTGACTAATATTTCATCATTTTTCCCAATGTTATTGGATCCATGATGACCATGTTGTTTGGATTCTTTATCATGACGATTAATGATCTCTTCCAAAAATTTAACCGTAAATTTACAACGATTTAATTCTTTAGTTAATGATTGGATATGATTTTTGTGATCACCAAGTAAATGTCTAGCTTGATTTAATGAATCAAGCTGTTCGAATGGTAAGGTTGATTCTGGGTAAAGTCCAATGAATTCATGTTTGAATCGTTCAAATGCAACATTGATAAAATGATTGTTTACATTGGATGACTCTTCCGACGAATCGGCCATTTGGTCATCAGTAAGAGATTGTTCTTGTTGTTGTTGTTGTTGTTCGAATTGAGACACACGTCTCAGTATGGAATTTGATGATGATGATGTATTGGTCAATTTTTTGGGCATCTTTTTTCTCTTTTTTATTTTACGTTATAAATTAAAAACATTTTTACAAGGCAACAGAGAAAAATGATGGTCCAAATTTTCTCGGATGATTATGTGATTATGGTCGATGATTCATTGTATAAAGGATGTAAAATGGTTGTTTGATTTCTCTGTATATTTTTATTTTATTTTTTTTTTTGAAGCAGATTGCTCACAATGATTCAATAATTTTATTTATAAGTTTGTTTGTTGCGGTTTTTGAGCAATCGATACACAGAAAAATTTTTGTTTCCAATCATATAAATGAACAAACATAATTTAAATGAAATGATGGTATGGTTGTCATATGAACCATTGTATATTTACCAATGTTTGATGGGCGGTGATAAGATTGATGAGATAAAAAAGTTATGTTTATTTTCGATTCTCAATGTAGATCATTCAACAAAGATTAACTTCATCGTAATGTAAAACGATTTTTGTTTTAGTTGCATAGGATTTTAGATATATAATAAAATATCTTTTTTCTGTTAAGCGGTGAATGAAGAATTTATTCGAATGAATCACCACCGAACATTCAATCAATATAGATAATTGCCAATGTTGCACTTGGAATTAATATTATGATGATTATTGCTTTCAAGTGATGATGATTATGTTTTTTCGATTTTCAATCAATCAATTAATGGAATTCCATTTGGATAAAAGAAAAGATTGACATTTCTTATGCTAATCAGTTGTTGATGTTTGTATGACCATATCAAAGATCAATGACGTGCAACACTTGACTTGACGAGTTATACAGATATATGGGGGCCGTAACAGTGTACAACAGTTAGCAGTTTGGACACTTCAACAGACCCACATATACACAAGAAAACTAGCAGCCGTATACCTTGATATCACGATCTTTGAATCCTCTATTCACAAATTATTTTTCGAAAATAATGTACTATATATATCATACGATCGTTATCTTTGAATGTGACAAAAATAAATGAAAATAATCAGTGTTTAACCGAAAAAACGGGATAAATTGATTTGTCCATCGATTGTCGCCGCTGCGGCAATTGTCTGTCATTCTGCCATTCTGTTACAGGCGCGTGTTAATCTGTTTGTGACCATCATGATCTCAGCCATCAATAATTGTTTTGAGGCGTCGTCATAGAGTTATCAATCACGCTATATTTCTTTCGTTTTGATTAGAAACCCGAATGATAATAGCTCAATCGTTTTATTTCAATTCAAATTTTTTCATAATAAACAAAATCTTCGAATATCATGAACTACGAAAAGAAATGTTTTGCTCTCCATCGCCGATTCAATGATGATGGTTATGCAACACGAACTACTATCGAACAGGTAGCAGATTGTTTTATTGATAATATTTTTGACATATTATTATTCTCATTGTTGTTATGCATAGATGCGCGTTGAAAAATCTATTGAACATCGTTATGATGTCTATTTTGAAAATGATAGTGATGATGATGAATCCGTTCTCAAAATGTAAGTTTTTCTATCCATGACAAATATTTTTTATGATAAAATTATGTACACACAGAATTTTATTTCGAGCTGAACATATTGAATATCTCAAAAATGGCCTATTCAAACCTTTGGATCATCATTTTTACGTATTGGATACTTCACGTTCGTGGATGGTCTATTGGATTAGTTTGTCATTGAATTTGTTAGGCGAATCTGATTATCTAAGTAAGTGTTGTTGTGATTCAATCGATCAGTTTTCTTGTCAACTCATATTATTCTATAGAAGAGAAAAGTCTTCAAATTATTAGCTTCCTACGGAATTGTGAATCACCACATGGTGGATATGGTGGTGGCCCAAACCAAGAGCCACATCTGGCCGCAACATATGCAGCTGTGAATGCCATAGTAACCATTGGTAATGATATTGCCTTTAATTCATTGAATCGTGTTGCAATCGAAAAATTTCTCCGTCGTATGCAACAACCAAATGGTTCATTTACCTTACATGAATCCGGTGAAGTTGATATCAGGTTCATAACGAAAAAAAATCATTTATATAAAAGTCGCTCATTTTAATCATGTTTTTCGATATTCAGGGGAGCTTATTGCGCTTTGTCCGTTGCCAAGCTGTTACACATTCCAACTTATCCAGAATCCGATCTTTTTCACGGTACAGCGGATTGGATCCTTTCATGTCAAACATATGAAGGTGGATTTGGTGCTGCTCCGGGTCATGAAGCTCATGGTGGTTATACGTTTTGTGGTGTAGCAGCGTTAGCTTTGCTCGATCAACTCGATCGTTGCGATTTTGATGCTTTGATGCATTGGACAGCCAATCGACAGCTTTCATTCGAAGGTGGATTCAGTGGACGTACAAATAAATTGGTTGATGGCTGTTATTCTTTCTGGAATGGTGCTGTTTTACCGATTTTGCAGAGTTGGAGGGTAGGCAAAAGTAAGTTATGGATTAATTCAAGAATTTATATACATGATTGATTTACTTATTTCAAATGTAGATCAAATGGTCTCGTTAGATCGTTGGCTATTTGATCAGGAAGCATTACAAGAATATGTGTTGATTTGTTGTCAAAATCATCCCGGCGGTGGTCTAGTTGATAAACCTGGAAAAAATCGTGATTTCTATCATACCTGCTATACTTTATCTGGTTTATCCATAGCTCAAAATTCTTTCAATAGTCGAATCGTTATCGGTGTATCCGATAATTTAGTGGTGAGTTATGTTATAATTTATCCCTGATCTATCAGCTGTTAACCTTTTTTTATGAAACAGGAACCGATACATCCGGTATTCAATATACCTTGCCAATCATTAGAAGCATTACGTGAATATCTCAAACGAAAGGACAATCAAGAAGAATTGAAATAAACATTTATTATCTGATTGATCAAATGTAAAAATGTACACTATATAGTTTTTATATAGAGAGAAAATCTCTCCATTTAAAGATCGCTTCGTACTTTAAATCCAGGGCCATATGGTTTCGCTGTTAATGAAGTTAAACCACCTGAAGGTTCACATGAAAAACGTCCACTCCGTTCAGTTGGACCTGGTTTTGGTTTACGGCCAGCTTTCAATTCACCGATGATGTGTTTAACATCTTCGCGTGTCAAATCTTCATAATAATCATCGTTGACCGATAATACTGGTGCATTGACACAAGCACCTGCACATTCAACTTCGTTAACGGTGAAATTAGGGTCACCTTTGCAGAATTCTTTACAAGCTTCGAGAATTTCTTCAGATCCTCTTAGCATACATGGTGTGGTCGTGCAAACTTGTACATGATATTTACCCACGGGTGTTCGATTAAACATTGTGTAGAATGTGGCCACTTCGTATACACGCATTCGTGGCATGCCAATATAATCGGCAACATAATTCATTGCTTTCAATGGGAGCCATCCTATATTTTAAAATAATGATTAATTTTATCAATTAAAAATACTAATCATAATTACCGTATTGACGTTGAGCAAGATCCAACAACGGAATGGCAGCCGCACATCGATATTCAATTGGGTAATTTTTCAAAATAGCTTCAGCTCGCTATTTAAAAGACTATATGATCAAAAACAATAATGACAATTTCATGCTTCTTACCTTTTTGTTTACATCTGTAAATTCAAATGATTCCGCATCGACATCCATATCACGATGTACGAATAATGCATCGCTCAATGAACGTCGTGCTTGCAACATTGGCAATGTGGATGTTTGGAAAATTTTTGGCCACAAATTCTGCAATCGGATCAACATATTGTTCAAGATTTTCTTTTTTATCAGTATGATTTGATTATCAACAATATTGGAGATTGTTGTTGTTGATGATGGCCAGCGCAGACGATTCACCTTTATTGCACAAAAAGAAAAACTATTCCACAATTTACGAAACATTTCTATTGACAAAAAATTCCGAAAACTTTTTTAAATTTGAAATTTTCTTTACAATTCTGCCAATGTTTTTTTTGTATATTATGATAGTCTTTGATGCGCTAGAAAAACTAGATATTCGTACACTTTAGGATAATAAATAAAAAGAACAATTTTTTGAAATTTTCGTGATTTTAATTTCGAAAATCGAATTTTTTTTATACAATCTATATATGCAATTGAAACAATTCTATGTTGTAGATGCTGATTTATGATGAAGACATTCGAGTCGTTTTTGTTTTCCAAGATTGATGGCTTTTTCGAATACATTGCAATAATATTTGATTGATTGTATTGAATCATCATTGCCTGGTACTGGATATGTTATTGAACAAGGATCAGTATTTGTATCGACCACACCGATCGTTGGGATCATCATCTTGGCCGCTTCTTTGACGGCTGGATGAGTCTCAAATATATTGTTCAATGTGCTAATGAAGATGACCAAATCAGGTAATCGAGTGACAGCTTCGAAAAACGTAGTCGAATCGGTGAACGTACCGATTTTCCATTCACGACAATGTGAATATTCACCACAATTTTTTGCTGTTTGTTCCACTAGATGTCCAGTCTAAAAGAAAAAAATTACAATCATGCATTAAAAAAAAGATGGTTACTCTACCGACCGAAGCAGATTTGTGTATGAATAAAATAATGCCATTACGAAAAGCAATATGAGCGGCAAAATTTAGAGCTTCCTGTAGTAAATTAACAGTTTGATCCAGATCAATAATCAGATGTCCGAGACGTGATCCAAATATGTATGGTTTCATGTACGGATTAAGGGTTCCTTCTTTATGGCCCATATATATACGTGAATCGAACATTTCTCTGACATTAATCAATTGATTTACATTAAAATAGTCTTTTTCAAGCAATGATTGCTGGCATTGTTTTTCGTGATAAGCATGATTTAGATCACCATCTTTTGTCGTATTTAATGAAGCAGATTGAGTACTTAAGAATTTGTTTGAATTTTCCCAGTTAATGAATCGAGGTTTACAAAGTGATGAAAAAAACCCTTTTGAATAAAAATTATATCGTTAAATTTTAAATCTTTTGGTTTTCTATACTGACCTTTTGTAAGCCTTTGGATCATTTTGTTATAATAATTTAATTTTAGCACTTAAATTAATCCCAAAAATTAAATCGAATCAAAAATAATTTCATCCATGTGACTTGTCAAACGGATAAATTCATTGACGACGTTATCACCTTGATTTTCAAAAAAAAATCATGAAATAAGATAACTTATATTTTATAAAAAAAAGTTAATTGACTTGAAATTTATTTTTATTTGCGATGGATAAATAACGATAATAAGAACAAAAAAAAACTATTGATGATCAATGGGAAACAATTTCGATAAATTTCAATGGCGGGTTAGATTAAATTTGAAAAGTATACAAAAATGAAATGAAACATAATGCAATTAATAATGTCCAACATTATAATGACCGGCCATCATTGGTTCTGGATAATAATGATTGGCCATGGCTGGCAAATATGAAGCATGTTGTACACTGTATGAACCAGCCATCGGAAGTGCCAAAGTTTTGGCATAAACTGGTTCAGCAGCATAAACAGGAGCAGCAGCCAATACTGGACCATGTTCCATTATTGGAGCCATCGGAACTGGACCTGGAGCTGTACGGTTACACCGTTCAATTGCAAATGAATTTAGGCAAATGTATTTTACTTACCATGACCACCAAAGGTGAGTGAGGTAGCGGCTGGATCCTGTTTTGGATCAGTTCCCGGTTCATTAGTCGAAATCGAAGCACGGAAACCATGAGCATCGGCAATGTATTCAACAATACGCATACGGCCATCAGCATCTCGAAGGCCATATGAACCAACCTGATAGCCTGGACCGCCTTTTTCTTTACGGAATGTACCACCATAGGCATGATCTTCATTATAACCGAATGCATAATTTCCATGGCCCTGTAATTAAATGGTCAAGATTGAATTATAAAAAATTAGAGTGATAATAGAAAACAAACATCATCATGTCGTTGAACGGCTGAAGCACCGGTATTGACTAAACCATGATATGGCATGGCACCAACGGCAGCCACAAAACCAAAAACAATGAGGAATTTCATTTTTTTCAGAGTTTGATAATTTAATAGCAAAATCACAAAAATATACACAAACACACACACAAAAACTTATATAATCGATTATTGGTCCAAGTTATGTTGATGGAATGATGTCTAATATTGGTCTGATTGACATGTATCGAAATGTATTGAGAATTTATATGGCCATTCGATACATAAAAAAATCCCTATGTGATGTGTAAGTTCCACCTGTTGTTATTGCTCTACATCAGATCCGTCGATCCAAGATACATGTATATTGCCACTAATTTTCTGTCGTTCAAAGTTTTTTACATCTCTCTTCTCGCTTTGAAATCACACACTTTTTAATTTGACGAAAACTGAACGTAGTCAAACGAAAAAAAAATCAATCAAAACCTGTCGACATTTTGGGGCTCACAAGAGACAACCACAGACAAAAGTTGGATAACAAAAGTCAAGGTTTTGAATAGTCCAATGATGAGGGCGAAGACGCCTATTATCATTCATGAAGACGAAATAAAAAATTCCAATGAATAAATGGTATTAGCCACTAAATAATTTCATTCATTAACTACAATTATAGATATTTTTCCATTGCTGATGCTGATGTATGTATCGAAATCCGACCAAAAAAGACAATTCAAATCAACATTTTATCAATCAGATGATAATTATTACACCACTTTAAATCACTATCTGTCAATTTTTTCTAATCCATACGAAATGGTGTTAATTTGGATCAATTTTGTTTCAGCTAAGAATAGTAATTCGTTATTTTAATTGAACTAGATTTAGAAATATAAAAAAAAACAAACGTTTGTATAATCTAAATCTAAATATTTAATAGTCTGGACAGATTTTGTAACCATCAATTCAATTCAAATTTATCGATTGATTTAGGGAGTTGTCGTTGTCGTCGTTGCCTTAAGATATATTTATTATTTAGAAGTTGATAACGAAACAAAAATCGATCGAATTCGAATGTATCATTATCAAGATAGCCATTGTTTTTAACCTTGATTTCGATAATCTCCAATTCAGTTCTATTTGATAAATCTGATAAAATTCTAGTCGTTCTGTAAAATTCATCACAATCAAAACACCTGAAATGGCACATGAATCGTGTTTTTGAGATCTGCTTTAATAAGACGATTAATTATGGCAAAGTTTTCCTTGTTCTCTATGAACACCAGATTCATAAAAAATCAAATTTTTTTTTTGAATGAAAATGAGAAAACTCCCGGAAGCTTTTGGTTAGCCACCATTCAATTGTTTTGACAATTTTTTTTTGTCAGGCCACTTGTGATAGACAGACATATATAGCTGATCAATCAATTAATCATGTCCGTCCAATCAGAATGGCTGTCATTTGTAGGAAATCTCGATGTGAAATGACTATCCATATTTCAATCATTCGATTCATAATCCAATAAATATTTTGTTCTATTTCCCAACCACGAAATAAGAAAAAAGTTTCACCAAATTTTTTCACATTCATAATCCTATCATCGGTGTTAAATGATTATTAAAAAAGAAATTATCTTAAATTGTTTTTTTATTTTATATAAAAATTTTTATGATTAAAATCCTTTGAATTCAAATTGTAAATAGAGCTTATAACTGTGAAAATAAGGTACAACCAAAGGATTGGAGCGCTCTCTAACGACTTTTTGTAATAAATTGGCTTTAAGTTTATGATGATGGACGAGTGTTTATATGTCTGGTGTTACTGCCCGAACTGAAGTGGACACTTGACAGTTGATATCGCCGTTGTTGATATCAATCAAAATTATCAACTAGAATCACATTATTGTTTGAAAACGATCAATCGATCACAGCATTAATTTTTCAATTGTTTTTATTAATTCAATTCGCCATATAAAGACAAAATAGTCATTTGAATTGAATTGTGGTTTCGTCCATATCTTCTGATCAACAATAAAAAAAAAGAAACTAACGTGAAGACGTGATTCGTGTGTTGGTTCAACACGATAGTCTAAATCACGCGTGGAACGCCTTTGTTGCCAAGTATACTCAATAACAACATTATTCGACACAAATAACCGCTGGACAAATTTGATCACGATGCCAGGAACTATTTTGGAAAATTTGTCCAATCGTAAATTGATTGTCGTTCTGTCAATTATTTTTCTCATACAAACGATTTCATTTTTGATTGGTGCATTCATCTGTAAGTGAAAATTTTAATATACAAATAACAAATACCTTGTAATTAAAACCAATTTATAGCACCAGCTCCATCAAGTCCTGAACAATACATAGCCATACAATGTATACCAGAAAATCCGAATGAATTTAGCATTCCACGTGACATTGGTGGTCGTCAAAAAAATTGCCGTCAACCAGAATCTCATGAACAAAAGTAAGTGTAAATGAATAAATATATTCAACATCAAAACAATCAGACAAGAAGCGATTTTTCGAGAGCTATAAAACTATCAAATTTACGTTTCTTTCTTTATGACAAACCAATCTGATCAATTGCTGGCCATTCCCTTATTTTCGCAATTTGCTCATAACGCCAATATTAGTGTGTGATTGTCCAAAAAATAAATCCATATATTCAAATCGATCACCTATTTTGAACGATTGGAATGTATGTATTTTTTTGGCAAGTCAAAGATTATACATCAACAATCAATGGTCTTTTGTCCAAATCAAAAAAAAAAAAATTTGGGTGTAACGTTTGACGCCCAATGACCGTGATGATGATGGCCATTACCGTTGATGTGTTTGTAAATCTCGAACAAATCGTAGTCATCAAATGAAAAAAAAACATTCATTACTTATTGCCATGTCTGCCACATTCGGATCTGTTTTTTGTTTTATTTTTTATTTTGTTTGTTTCCCGTCACATCTTTCCAGTTTTTCTTCGAATGAATTTGGCAGCCGTTTTCTTTTTGATCTTGAGATAATTTTCTTTTATGTAAATCCTATGTACGAATGAATGATCCTGTTTGTTTGTTTGTCTGCTAAGATTCGATTGTAGCTGGCCATAAAAAAAAATTCTAATTGGAAATGTTTTTTTTTCTGAGTTTGCATTGATTACCCCAGTATTTAGTTTTTTTTATTGACAATGGTTCAAAATATTTATTGTTTAGTTTAGTTTTTTAGCAGACAAAAATGATTTTTTTGTTGCTTTCTTGACATAATGATAATGATGGATTGAATTTAAGGTTTGCCTCAATCATTTTTATTCATTGTATTCATTTAAGCGAATCGAATTAAAAATTGACAAATTTTCCTTCACAATGTGTTGCCAGGTGTAATGGCCACGTTATTATTCGTTAATATCCGATTTTTTATTTCGTTTCTTTATAATATGATGGGTGCAAATGATGATAATAATGAGTAAATTTTGTGGTTGAAAAAAAAACAAGTGTCGATTGTCGATCAAGTGTCTTTCGAATTAAAAAAAAACCAAATTTGATTGTATTACTTATTACGTAACACAATCAAATTATGCTATAAATTGATTTTGTTTTGTAATGGCTATCTCTATATCTAGATAGATTATGCAATCTTATTGGTTTGATCATTTAAATTAGGCCGATTTATGATTGATGTGTAACACGTGTGGTGAGTTTTTTTTATTTGTACTACGTGCCTTCCATATTAGGATTGTCCAGCTAATTCAAATGATAGTTGGTCATTCAATGTTATGTGCATATGAGATAAAAACACGCATTGTTTGAATTGAATTAAAATTAGATCTATTGTTATAAACAAATAATAATCAAACGGACTTGTCTTTTTTTTAATGAGCAGCTTTTTATGAGAGATGGTCATCTTTCCAAGGTCATAGGGCTGAGAAAAAACGCTTTCAAAATAGTATAAATGTTTTAATTTGTTTACTAATTAACTTTAATTTTTGTCTTTTCGTTCTTTTGTTTTCAGCAATATAACATTTGCATTTCAAATGCCTTTACCACGTGGAGGCATACAGTTGGATTATTCACGATGGATGCAAAATTTATTGACATTAATCGTTCCTGATGTTCTATATGATACACGGCTCTCTGGTGGAGATGATCATTCAGATCAAGATCAGCATATCAATGCTACTGTCATAATGAATGTACGATTGGCTGTAAAAAATATTGGTGACAAAGAATGGAAACAATATTATCAACGATCTAATCTAAAACGTACGGTTACATGCCATATTGAAGCACATAAGGTAAATTCTATTCTATTTCTGTTAATTCTCTTAATAATTAAAACTTGATGGTTTTTTCAAAACAGAGAAAACAGGGCATCAATTATGATTGTGATTTAATACAATTGTTTGAATTACAATCATTGTATTATGATTTCTATCTAATCAACTTGCAGTTCATTGCTAACGGTAACTATTGCTTTTACCTTTTGTTTTCGTTGTCTAATTGCATTATATGTTTGTTTTTTTTGAATGTAGAAAAATCCGAACATTTTGGCTTTTTAAACAATCTTTCTTTGGTTGCCATTCATCAAAATGGTGGCTTTACAAAGATATGGCTATCATTAAAATCGGTATTTTTTATCATAACATTGATGACTTTCTTATGGTATCTAAACCGAATTCAACAATTGAAACGTGATACAAATCTATTGGAAAAATGTCTCATCTTATTGGGCTTTGGAATCACACAATTAAATGTTCCGGTCGAATTTTTGAATCTAGTTATGGATGTGGAATTCATGTCTTTCCTTTGCGATATACGTCAAGGCATATTTCATTGTTCATTGTTGATCTTTTGGATCATATTCATTGGCGAACATTTATTGGTATGTGAATGATGCGCGAAAGCTATTTTGATTTCATTTTTTTTTCTTCCCAAACTGACCATATGTTTGTGTAGGACGATGTAAGCCGTGTCGGTTTATCATCATATTACAAACAACTGGCTATCATTCTCATAGCCTACATTTCATTGTTCGTATTCGAATCGTCCGAACGTGGTATACAGGTGATAGATCCATTTTATTCGATATGGGAAGTGGATTCGAATTTCGCCATGATATTCATTACAATCACCGTGTTGGCAGCCATTAGTTATTTCTTTTTTCTCACCTATCACTTATGGTAAGTCACGATTACAAAATAAGGAAGACTTTTTTGTCTTACTCAATATTTTTCAATGTAATAATTTGATTTAGGCTTGCATTTCGTAATATATCAACCAAACAGCAAAGTCTTCCATCGATGCCTACCGCCCGTCGATTGATCTATCAAGGAGTAATCTTTCGTTTTAAGTTTCTTCTAATAGCTACGTTTGTTTGTGCCACATGTACGATCATCGCTTATATCATGGGACAAGTTCGTATTAAAAATTTTACATCAAACCATATAGCTAACAATACTGCTATCAATCCAATTTCTCAAAATAGGTATCAGAAGATCAATGGTATTGGGATGATCAACGATCATTTCTTAATTCATTACAATGGTCTAGTGCCATGTTTACAACTGTATTTGCTCTTTGGAATTGTTATGTCATGACATTGTTGATTCTATATGCTCCATCTCATAAGGGCGTAAGTTTAGCTATGACTATCGTCGATTCTCGAATTTTAATTTTATTTCATCAAATGAACAACATATAGATGGACAGCTCAGATACTGATGAAATGTCAGTAGAATTCACACGATTGACCGATAATGATCTTAATGATGGACAAGCACGAATCAATTATTCGGGTACAAGCGGACAGCGTCGGAATCCAAATCAAAAACCACAGTATGAAATGTCTTTACTACAAGAATTGGCCACTAAACGCAACATTAGCTAAATGCTGATTTAATTTATTTTGAAAAAGAGAGCAGTTTTTATCTAGAATTATTGATTTTTTCCTATGTGTGTAAATAATGCCTAGCATATTTTTGCCAGTATTATCTTTAGAGAGATGAGTTTGACATTTACAAACAAATCTGATCCAAGACAATGTGATTCCAAGTTCACAATTTCCGCTAATATTTACTATTTTTTGATAATCAACGCCAAAGAGTAATTAACTTAATAAAAATTTTATTTGTTTCGAAAGTATTATAAAATTTGAGCGATCATTCTATTTGTGAAGAATGTCATTCAATAATAAGTTCGAATATTTAATAGCGTGTTTCATCCATTCACTGTTTCATTATTGCTTGAGAATTCGAATTTGCTTATTCATACATCATTCGAAAAATGAGCAAATATACGCTTGAACAACGGCAAAAAATTGTTGAAATCTATCATGAACATAAATCATTTGCCAAAACACGACAAATATGTCGACAATTATTTGGCGATGAAATGGTTCCGAATTATTTAACTATTAAACGTTATCTGGAAAAACTGGATGAATATGGCCATCTTGAAAATCTTAAACAGTGGTGTTATGTACGTATCGGTCGAAAGCATATTGTTAAAGCTGAACGTAAGAAAAAATCTCCAAAGACATCATCATCTGGAAAAAAGGAAAAAATGAAGAATGTTTCAAGTAAAACAAAGTCAAAAATTTCGAAAAAAAATAAAAAATAACAGCCATAATCTGAACAAATAAAAAAAAATTCTATTCATTTTTTGAAATTTCACTGTGTCTCTCTTTGTCTAATTAATTTTTTCCAAATATGATATATAAGATGTAATAAAATCAACAAATTTCATTAAAAATCTACCATCATTTCAAATTGGTCTTAATCAAATTAATATCTTTACACGCTTGTGTCAATTATAGCAAAAGTGAATCCAATTTTCATAATTAAAAACTTTTTTTTCAATTACAAGTATGATGATTGTGACCACAATCTTTACATTTTGTTTTAATCTTTTGATTTCACAGCATTTCCAGAATATTCTTCAAGGCTGAATGACGAATATTGGACTAAATGGAATTTTTTTCTTTTTTTTTTTTTGCTTGCTGAAAACTTGAACTCAATCATCGCATCGAAAAGAGGAAAAGTTTAAAATTTATGAATGTTGATTTTACAATCATTCGTTTTCGTGAGTAGTAAATTATCATTTCTAAAAAAAAAGTTCCATTTTTTATGTTTCTGCCGTTGAATTTCATTTGCGCAATAGAGGCTTTTTTTGATGATCATCAAATTCGAATATTATATCGAAGAAGCTCGAAGCCATTTGTCCCTTAAGAAAAAAGCAAACATACTAAACGTAAATCGGAACGGAAAAAAATTTGTTCGAAAAAGAAAAATTTTCCGTTATCGAATCACATCATAGTGATTACTCATAAAATGCAACTGGCAAAGTAAAAATTCAAACAAACAAACAAACAAATGAACCAATCTATGCTAATCAAGAAGAAAAAAAACAAACTAGCCTTGATTATGCCATGGATTTTAGCAAAATACACATGATTCGTATCTATGGTTTACAATCTCTTGAGTGTTGCCTTAGAAAAACATTGGGCGTCATTGGCGAACAGACGAAGAAAATATAACCACATTCAATCCCAATTCCCAATAAATTGTCCCGAAGATGATCAAACAGGATGGGCATTAACCAAAAATGATTGAATATCTTGTAATTTTTTTTTTGAATTTTCTACCCCATTTCGATGTTGAGTTAATGATGATTCTTGGATTTTAATCTAATTTTTTTTGGGTTAATTTAAATGTTAATGAATGATGGGCCCATCATCATCATCATCATCATCACCACCAACAACCAAACTTTTGGGAAAACTGATTTTGATTTTCAAACAAATCAAACATAAGAGTTATGTAAATAAATTCACAGTGAAGAGAGAAAGACAAAAAAAAAAGAAAATATTCTCATCACGGATATTGGCTAACGATAATGTAGCTTGGAAACTTTATTCGATACTATAATTACCAAAATGACGGATAGCATCAAGAGATTAGAATTTCTTCAAAAGATTTGCTTAGTGAAATTCAAACTCAATCCATGGTAATAATATATTTAAAATCATTTCCATTATACTTTGTTTGTGTATAGATATCCGGCAGAAACAAAATATTGCTAGAGTGTGTTGACTATGTAAATTATGGTTATAATTTACAAACCACATGGCAAATGCAAAGTGTTTGATCAGAAATGATTTTTAATTAGCAAACAAACACCACCAATCACTTTGAATCATTATAATGGCCATCGTCAATAGCAACAAAAATATCAACAACAACAACAACAACAACCATAACATCTTTATGTGGTATGATTTTTTCATTTCATGCATATTTTTTTTTTTTTTTCTGATGACGCCAATCTGCGCCGATGAAACTCCAACCGATCCATTTAATTCGAATCTCGACTAGAACGTTCGTCTCCTGTACATGTATAAAAGGAGATTGAGATGATTCATATTCTATCATTTATCTAGTATTATGATTCGGTTTTGGTTTCATTGATCATTGATCTAAGTATAGTCATTCTTTAAGAATTTTGTTCATTTTTTTTTTCATTATCCTATATTATCAATTTCTTAAAACTTTTAATACGTGTGTACACGTGCTGAATTTTTTTTTCGTTAGTTTGATTGTCATTTTCGAGGTCTTTTATTTTCATTCTTTTATTTAAACAACAACAACTATAACTTTGACGATGATGATAATGAAGAGGGACACACCTTGATTTACTCTGTCAAATCACAGCAATAGTTTTGTTGTTATTATTGTCTTTTCTATCAGGGTCTATAGAAACTACAAATTTAAAAGTTATTTTATTTTAAAACTATTTTTCAATTAAAAGTTTATAAGAATAATTTTACATTCCAAAGATGTATAATCATTTTTTTCTGTTTCCGTTTTCTTTTCTTTTTGTTTCAGACAAACAATATTGATTTCATAATCGTATTCGTGACAACATTGAAACAAAAAAAAATGATTATGGAAAACAATAATCGGCAACAATCACAATCGATACCAATCAAGTTTTTTGCTATACAATTACTCATCCTATTGATAATTGCCGTACAGACGAATGGATCACAGAAATTTGTACCGAACGGTCGATATGGACGACGATCTGATTTACCACCATTGTCATCCATAAATAATAATCCATCATCATCATATGATATTAATCGATTTGTTTCTAGTTTGACGGATGCCGATGCGATGGCCATGAATCAAGGTAGACTAGAAAACAAATTTCTTCTCGATCAACTAAATCATTGTTCCTATTTTTAGATGCTGAAAACATGTTGTTGATGATGACAATGAATGGACCACAATCAGTGATGAATAACAATAATCTTAATTGGTCAGCATCATCGAATCTGGCCAAACAGCTTTGGTGGCTATGTGCAATGAACGAGGACAAAATAATCATGAATCGATGTTTACGAAGGTATTCTCACACCTATTTTAAATTGTATTGTATTCTTTTTAATATTTTTGACTTATGTCTTGTCTATTAGCATACCAATGATTAAGATGGTCTTGATGAAAGCTGCTGCTACTGATCATTCACTCATGTCCGAAATTGATACACAACCACAAATATTACAACAACCATTGAAACAGCAACGACAAGGACAAGATCAAGATCGTCAATGATTACAATTCAAACAGGGCTTGATGTTTAAAATCAAACGAAATAAAAATCCACATATTTCCAATTTCACACACCCACATATTTACCACTCCCTCCTGACACATACACACACACACACAAAACAAAAAATGATCGAATGAAAAAAGAAATGAATTCTAAATTTTTTTTTCAATTTTAAAAACATCAACGGGTCATCAACAAATCATCATTATCACAATTCTGTAGTGTGATATTCTTGCTTTTTTTTGTTTGTTTGTTTGTTTGGATTTAAGAATCAATTCTGTGTCAACAACAATTATTGTCATCATCGTAACCGTCATTCGAAAAATAAAATTATATTTCAATTTTAATTGAAAAGAAAATTGTTCAATTGTCCTTGCATATCCATTTTGTATATCAAAACAAAGAATGAACTTGAAACAGTTTGGCCAATAACAACACGTGAGTGGATGGAACGTGCATTCATTCATTGAATGTTTGTTTGTTTTTTTTTTTTGGCAAGCGATTCGAGAAAGAAGAAAAAAATTTGATTATTATTGGAAATAAATTATCAATTTATGGCCAATAATAAACTGTTATTAAGATTATGGTCTCTTTTGTTAAGCAAACAAACAAACAGACACACACACACACACACACACATAAATCCGATTTTCATTTCGTTCATTTCTTAATTATGAGGGCCATGAGAATAATGTATGTAGCATTTTTTGCCCCTTTTTTTTCACATCTGTCTATACATCAATTCAATGAATGTTGATTCAATTTTTGGAAAAAAAAATCAGGATTAATACAAGGTTGCATCAAATTTGTTGCATCATATCAGTTGTCGTTCTATTTCTCATAATTTGACCGAATTATATGATATATAATTGTTGGAATATTATTATTCGGAAAAAAAAGTTAACCATTCAATTCATTGTCGACAGATGGCATCAAAGCGGATGTATGTAGAAAAAGATTATTTTTTATACGATCAAATCATGTCGAATACACAGCAGCAGCAGAATAGAATGGACAGAAAATTGCTAATTTTTTGTTCTCATTGCTTTGACATTCGATATAGTTGGAATTATGATTAACAATAATGATAGTTACCGTAGAATAGTTGCTAATTTCCAAAAATAAAACCAACGAATAGCTATATGAATGACATCATCATTCTATTATTTGTCTAATACATCTATACGCTTATTAGTAACATTGAAAAAAGCAGACAGTTGGCATTTCTTTCTGTGGCAAAATAAATCATCATTATATTTACAGAAACATTTTTTTTACGAATGAATCAAAATTTTATTTGATCATAACCTAGAAATGAGTTAATCTTTCGATCAATTTGAATTCTTATATATCAATAATAATTATTAACAATAATCATATAATATCAAATATCAAATATAATTGTAATTTCAATTTCAATTCAGTTTCAGCATCACGATGTGTTCACAACTTAATATTGGTTACTATTACTATAATTGCTTAATCAACAAAGAATAAATTTTAGGAAATTAAGTTCTAGCCTTGGGTATCAAATGAACGCATATATTAAATATTCTCTCTACAATGTCGTGGATCGATCAATCGATAAGAAGAAAGAAAACCAACAATAGCTCAATAGACAATGATAATTTTTTACCATTTGAAACTATAACAACAATTTGACTATTATTATTACTATTATAAGAAATTTATGAATCTATGGCTAAAAATGACAAACAAAATACATCGGAAGAATTGCCGTGCCGTGGTAGCCCAACCCATCAAAAGAAAAATTGTAAATCATATGAATCATTACACACACACACGACATGGAAGATCGAGAACAAACTTCATGCGGAAGACGTTTCACCGCTCAAACAATGTTTCCACTGCCTTGGTTTCGGACACACAAAAAAGAATTGCCCAAAAAAAGAAGAAATGCCCCAATGTAAACATTGTCCAAACAAACATGTGAGCAAAAATTGTCCAGCGAAAAACAACACAGTGATATGTTGCAATTGCCAAAGCCGTACCAACACATCGAAGAATCAACCTATAGACGTTAACCATTCACCTATGTCACTGACGTGTCCAATTTACAAGTCCATGTTGAATAAAGCAATGAATAAGACCAATTATGGATAATGCCAACACAACAGCCAGAAATAATCGAAGTACCAGCAAATCATACAAATGCCTACAAATCAACTGCAGAAAAGCATATGCACCAACAAAAGAAACATTGAACTACATTTTGAATGAAAACATCGACATAGCATTCGTATCGGAGCCGTGGCTTATGAGCCAAAATCACCCTGCAAATATAAGTCCGTTAACGTGTCTGTACCACGACACACCAAACAATCGAACAACAGCAGCCATCTACGTAAACAACAACAATATCAATCCAATCTTGATCCAACAGCTCAGCAGCAGCAAATTGTGCGTCGTTGACGTGTCGTTAAATGGCCAGCTAACAAGATTAGTCAGCGTCTATAGATCACCAGCCGACCTTGACATCGAAAAATTGATCGACGAGCTAGAACAGACGTTCCCATCCACATCCAACCATGACATTATCATCGCAGGTGACTTCAACGCACACCATACCGAATGGTCCTGCCCGACAAACGACAGATTCGGAGAGTACATTTATGATTTCAGCATAGCAAACAATCTCAATATTCACAACGAAGGAACCAGCCCAACATTTGTCAACATATACAACAACACATCATCCATCATTGACTTAACCTTCTCCTCAACCGGCACGAATATCGAACAGTGGAAAGTAAAGCCAGATGCTATAATCGGAAGTGATCATAGCGCAATCGAATTCTCAATTAATCCGTCACCAGCTCAATCGACAGACAACAACAGAAGGAAGTCAACATATAAATACAGAACAGAAGACGTGAATTGGGAGACAATAGCACCAGCTTTTAGAACAGAAATGGACAGGAAAAATATCAGCAAACAAAGCATCGTAGCAGCAAAAACACCGGAAGAAATAGACAATCTAGTGACCAGCATAACAACAACAATAATAGAAGTGTGTGATCAAAGAATAAAGAGAAGAGGCCGCTTCATCATCAAAAAATGTCCTTGGTGGGACGATGAACTTGAACAAATGAAAAAATCAACAATAAGATCGAAACATCAATATCAAAATGCCAAATCGAACGGCCAGCCAAACAACATCTTGCAACAAAAGCTGGAAGTCTACATCGAGAACAAACGAAATTATGCCAAAAAAATCAGACAAAAAAGTACCGACAATTTCACCAAATACCTACAGTCATGCCAAGGTATGACAGATATAAAAAAGATCAACAAACTAATAGCAGACACGACAACAACCAAGTTTCCAACAACACTGATGGTTAACGGCAGACCAACCACTGATCATAATTCAAACGTCAATGCATTAATGGACCGTTTCTTCCCGGCACATCCGCCGCAAAATTTATCGAATCCAAATTACCTTTCCCTATTCGGCGACGACGAAGTACCATTCTCAAACGATGAAATTCTGCAAGCCAGTAAATCAATGAATCACAAAAAAGCGCCTGGAGCTGATGGCTTAACGGCCGACATCATATATCATTTTATCACGGCAAACATCGTTACCGTAAAAGAATTGTTCAACAAATGTTTATCGATGGGACACTTTCCCAGTCCATGGAAAGTAGCGACAATAAGATTTCTCCCGAAACCTGGAAAATCAAATTACAAACTTATAGACAACTACCGCCCTATTGGACTTCTTCCGGTGTTTGGAAAAATATTCGAAAAACTGATAGCTGATAGAATCACATTCGACCTGAGACGAAGAGGTCAATTATCTAACAATCAATACGGATTCACACCTCAAACATCGACAGTCAAGGCGATCGCTGACGTAATTGATTGGATCAAAACGATGAAAAAGAAAAGATATCATGTAAGCGCCGTATTTATGGACATCAAAAATGCTTTTCCATCAGCAGACTATCAAATACTGGCAGAAACGCTTATGAACAAACAAATCAGGACAAATCTCTATCACATAGTAGCCAATTTTCTTACCGGACGAACAGCACAGATGGAAAACTGCATAAGGCCGAACAACATTGGGTGTATCCAAGGGTCAGTTTCGGGTCCAATTTTATGGAACATATTGATGGACACCATCTTCGATATCGCTCTCCCAGACGGATGCAAGCTAGTAGCTTTTGCAGACGATTTGCTGCTCTTAACAAGTGGAAAAGAAATGAATCAGCTCGCCGAACGGACACAAACAGCAATCGATTTGATCATAGAATGGGGAAACGTAAAAAGACTCACCTTCTCAGCAGCAAAAACATATATCATGGGATTTTCACAGATAGCAAGAGCCATCGATGTCAAAATAAATGGTGAAAGTCTGACAATGAAAGATAACGTCAAATATCTGGGCATAGTAATTGACCAAAAATTAAAATTCGATATTCATGCAGAATATGTTATGAAAAAGCTGGCAAATTTTTATCATATGTTTTCAAGACTAATCCGTCCAAACTGGGGCCTGAATCCAGAAATAGCAAAAATGGTATATAAAACGGTGGCGGAACCGATGGCACTATATGGTGCGTCAATATGGCACAAAATCATGGAAACAAAGAAATACGCCCAACGATTGCTAAAAATCCAAAGGAGAATCTTGGTCAATGCTTGTCGTGGCAATCGTACGATCTCATATACTTCGGTATTTCTAGTCAACAACGTGATACCTGTCGACATTAAAATCATGGAAAGGGCGGCCATAGAAAAAGCGAAATCACTCACCGGTATTGAGCCACACCTATGCTTCGGGAACCTAGAGATGCCGGTGCCGACAATTAAATTACCGCACCCAGGAGAACGTGTCAGAACTGGATACACGCAAATGTTGAACCATAACCAGATAGATGAGAAAATATTGGGGGATGGTATCTACATATTCACCGACGGCAGCAAACTAGATAATCGCACAGGAGCTGCAAGCGTGTTCACAGCAAATGGTCAAGTAATAGAGCAACATCAATGGAGACTAGCTGATGGTTGCTCAGTATTTCAGGCTGAATTGATTGCAATAAAAGAATCAATCAGCAGAAGCATGCAAATGAATTACAGCTCGATCAGCATCTTCTCTGATTCAAAATCATCCCTTGAATCAATAGCCAATCGGATGAACTGCCACCCGATTGTTTTCGACATAAACAAACAAATTGACATACTAAGAGGCAAAAACATCACAACAACGCTGCACTGGATTAAGGCACATAACAATTACAAATGGAATGAAATGGCAGACGAATTAGCCAAAGGAGCGACAACACTAAACCAAACCAGTGCCATCTACAGCAGTCTCGAAGACTAATTGTCATGCAATAAATTTCCGAATGTCTGACCAATACACAAATACAATAGTGGCGCGTTTCCATTGCATTCAAAATCACACATGCAATAAATTTCCGAATGTCTGACCAATACACAAATACAATAGTGGTGCGTTTCCCTTCAAAATCACACACCTCACTTAGAAACGAAAATTAGTCGTCACAATTGATATTGTAGGTCCATTTTGATCGATCCGATCGATTATTTTTTCTATTGTTGTTGTTTCGCTAATTTTCTTTTTCCTGTTTCGTTTGTTGATTGGTTTCTCTTTTTGTTCATTTTGGTCTTGGTTTTTTATTCTTGAATACATTTTATTCTTAGATGACGAATAATGTGTGGTAAAATGGTGGTGCAATGATCTTTCATCATTATCATCAAAATGATGATTGTGCCAAATTGGATATATTTTCAAGTCTGTGTACACACACACACACACACACACACACACACACACACACACACACACACACACACACACACACACACACACACACACACACACACACACACACACACACACACACACACACACACACACACACACACACACACACACACACACACACACACACACACACACACACACACACACACACACACACACACACACATGTACATTGAATCCTTGAAATGATTGTTTTTCGGGCGGCAATCCAAGTGGTGCAATACCACCGCTACTCTTTTTTTTGTTTGATGATATATTCCGAGTATACCATACCAACACAGTGATGACAGTGAAACTAATTCAATTGATTGAGAAACAAAAATTTCTTTGGTTCTTGTGGCGCCAAATTCCCCTCTATTGCCATCCTCGTGGTTCTAGTTGCCATAACTGTGGTTGGTCTCTCTCTCTCTCTCTCTCTCTCTCTCTCTCTCTCTCCATGTGATCCATAAAGTATTATATATGTCATCTATAGAAGAAAAAACAACACGCGACAATCTAGCCACACACATTGCTTGTATGGTTATGAGAGAAAGTGGCTTCCGAACATAAATGAACTTTGCCCGTCGGCATTTTTTATGTTTGTGTGTGGGTTTTTTTTACTTTTGATTCAATAATAATATTCGTATTTCTTTATCTACCTCTGAATACCTGAATCTATCAAAGTGATTCATTTACCGTGGGTTCGGGTCATTGTCGTCTTCATTGTGCAACCATGTTTGAATCATCACCCACACAAACACATCCACATACCACATATGACATTTACTTGTTGTTGCCAGGTTGGTTTCTCTTTTTCCATTTGTTCATTATGTGTATCAGTATTGATGGTTGGTTGGTAAAAATGGTGAGAATTTCGAACATACAAGTTCAATGAATTTGACCGATAAAATATCCATTTTTATTTGCTACTGGTGCAAAAGGATGAATTGTGATTATTCGCACTTTTCCTACACTTTTCACTTGAATATGATCTTCATGATGACCTTAAATCTTTTGCAATCATCCATTCATTATTATCATTCATCATAATGATGATAAGAACAGTGTGTGTGTGTGTGTGTGTGTTGATAATGATGATAACGTTGGATGGGTTTTTGTCATATAACGGTATTGCCTTTAATCTTCAAGGATTTTATATGATCGATGATCGATCTCACCATACCTTATCATAATTTTTTTTTAACTTTCCAATACAAAATTCGGTTTTACATTATGATATCGATGTGCTATAGTATGATCGATCATAAATTGAAAAAAACATTCATATTACAACGATTTGGTTGCATTGTGTGTGTGTGTGGATTTTTCAGAGAGACAGATCGTATGCAATAAGAATTGTGATTGTGCAATCAACAATCGACAACCCGAGGACAATTGGCTGCCAAACAACAACAACAACAATCATGATGACGACTACATCAGGTTGTTGTAAAAGGGGATCCTTGCTTGCTTCTAAGGATCCAATCTGGTTTTATTTTTTTTCCGATCATATAACTTTTCGGTCTTTGGTGGTGGTGTCGAGCTTAGAATAGACAATACATTTTGTGTGTGCGTACATGATTGGCTACTACGACGAAAGAACTGAATGTCAATCCTCTTTCATCGTCATCTCAGATTTTTGTTGTTGTTGTCGTTGTCGTCGTAGTTATAACTCATTGTTTCCATTTTTAACATAACACATCTTGCGCATCATTTATTAATATATTGCAGACATTGTGCCCTTGTGAATATGTGTTTGTGTTGATTGGCGCGTATGGTTTTCAAAATCAAAATCAAAAAAAAACTTTATATTTGACAATTATCAATTTTTTTTTGAATTTGTTTCCTTTTTGGATTCTTTCATAGATGTTTTTCATAAAAGTGTTCATATACAGGTGTCTATTGTGCTTGTGTTTTTCAGATCATCATTCGAACAATTGTGATTGTGGGTCTGTGTGCATATGTGAAAAATTTATTAACTAATCATCTGTGTTTAATATATGAACAACAATATCAAAAAAACGAAACGAAACGATAGTCAACAAGATAAATGGTGGAAAATCTATGCAATCTCATTAAAATAGAAGGTAAGTGTTGATATGATACTGATTGTCACAAGGACATTGACATATAAGAGAAAATAATACTTTATTCCTATTTCATATTTCGTATTTTTTTTTTTTTTTTTTGATTTATAATTGGATAATATTTAATACTATGATTCCGAATATTTGATTGCATAATTCATCTGTATGATGATGTTGATGTATAAATAAATATGATGGTCCAGGATTTTATTTTTTTTTGTGACCATACGAATGAATCTACATTGATGATAATCATGATGCAACAAGTATATGGGCTTAAATCATTAAATATTATAGTAGTAGTAGCAGTAAAAAAAATATAGACCTGATGATGACTTTATGTATGAATATTTTGGAAATATTGATTTGATTGATTGATTTGAATTGAGTTGCAATTTTTTACAATTGAAGAACAAGGATTATTGTATTCGCCCTGTATCTATGTGTGTGTGTGTGTGTATTCGTTCGTGTGGTGTATATAATAGGCTCAATAATCGGCCCGTCAAACAGATATAAATAAAAAAAAAAAAAACAATAGCCAAGCCACATTATATCGATATATGATACTTTGCCCCCATAATTTTCAAATATAAATGATGGCTCATAAGTTTTTATTATTTTTTTTAATACGTAAAACCATATAATAAAAAATGCTTACCATCAATATATATAGTATTTAAAATGCAACAAGTACATGTACAAGTATATACAAATGTCAATCATCATTCATTCAGAGCTTCGAAAATCATCTCGTGTAATATTTATAATGTTCTTTCTCAAATCTTTTCTAATCAAATCATCAAATAGAATTCATTTTGATCTATAAAATTGGCCAACAAATCAATAACATTTCAAATACATTGTTTACTGGATGAACTAAACAGTGATCATTCTTTGAGGTCTTAAAAAATTTTTAATACAATTCATTAAATATATGAATAATGTGTGTGCGTGTGAAAAAAAAACAGAATACTGATGACCAATATTCAATCAATTGATCTATACATTGATTGATTGGTTGAATTCGATCCATTTATATTATTCAAGGTTTATTTTCATTTTTTTACTCATATTTTTGCCACAACAACGACAACAACAACAAAAAAAATATAATTTTAGCAATTTGATAATTTATAATATCATGATGAAAATATAATTATTATGAAATAGAAAAAAATTTGAATAGAGAAAATTGATTTTTTCCTTTTCGGGAAACTATACAAAAAAAACGAGAAAAAATGCGTATGTGTGTGTGTGTGTGTGTGTGTGTGTGTGTATTTATGTGTGTGGACTATATTGGTAAATTGCTCATGTATATTTACCGGTGTATTTGGCAATGGCAATATCCGGATTCGACATTAATTTGAATCCATTTGTCATTTGTTTGTGGGTGTGTTTGGGGTTTTTTTTGGTGATCAATTTTGAATACAATTTTTAAGTCTTTTTTTGATCGGAATTTGTTTCAGTTAAAAGTCATAGTTGAGCATTTTATGTTTCACTTAATAGTGACCACCCAAGCCGTAACCAGCTTTAGCATAACCATAACCAGCAAGTGGTGCAGCGTGCATTGGAGCAGCAATTGAAGCATGTTGAGTTGATACTGAATATGATGAGGCGATTGGCAAACCATGAGCGATTGGAGCGGCGTGGGCAATTGGAGCAGCCATCAATGGAGCGGCGTGGGCAATTGGAGCAGCTGCGATTGCTGGACCAGCGATAACACCAGCTGAATCAATTCAATATAGAATTTTCAATCAGATTATATAGGCATTATATACATTTACTTACCATGACCACCGGTCAATGAAGTTGCAGCTGGATCTTGTTTTGGATCGGTACCTGGTTCATTGGTTTGAACTGAAGCTCGGAAACCATGAGCATCGGCAACATAGTTGACAACACGCATACGGCCATCAGCATCACGGAGACCGTATGAACCAGTTTGATAACCTGGACCACCTTTTTCTTTACGGAAGGTACCACCAGTGGCGTGATCTTCATTGTAACCGAAAGCATAGTTGCCATAACCCTTTTTGTGGCGAAAAGTAAAAATCAATCAATTGATATTATTGCACATATCATAGATTGATGGATTTGATTAACATTTTTTATCCATGGTCTCACATAACACTACACAAAAATCATTCATATATAAATTGATGGACACAATAACTTACATCATCTGATCGGCTAACAGCTGAAGCACCAGTGTTGACGATACCACCATGGGTAGCGTATGGAACAGCGCTGGCAGCAGCGACCAAGGTAGCAAAAACAATGAAGAATTTCATTTTCGGTTTTTTTTAAATTTTTCAGCTAACTAAAACTGACTTGGAATCGAATAAAATCAATTGATATCGATGCGATAAAATTGTCGCCTCTATTTATACCTGGCTGCTTTTCCTTCCAAATGTTTGAAAATCCTCCATAAAAAAAAGGTTGGCCATTCACAACGTCAATTTGAAGAGAATTTTTTCAATCTGACCATTACTTGCCTCTTCTTTTTGTTGCTTCTGTTTATGTGTGCGTGTTTGTGTAAGTTTTGTTCTTGGAACCTCATTGGAACAAATACAACATCTACATAAATTTAGACAATTTCTGTAACATAGAGCTATGGGTGGCTGGTGTATGGATATATGCCTATAGGGCAGCAAATAAGCAAAAAATTGCTGATTTAAATTTGTATATGAGATCAATCATAATAATAATTTTGGAATCAATTGGCTTTCCGAATGAGTCAAGGTTAAAACTAAGAAAAAGCTTAAGAGAGTTAAAGAGAAAGAAGAAAAATACAAGGAAAGATGAGATTTGGAAGGCAAACCTATAATACAATTGTTATGGAATTTTTTTTTTTTTTTTTTGACAATAGAACGACTAGCCTTTTTCGGCTAATCTTTCTCCCTGTTTTTTCTTTTTTGTTGGATTCTAATTTACATTTATATCTAAACGAATTCATCGAATTCGATGCATATACAGTACTTTTATTTTTTCAATTTTTTTTTGCAGCAACAACAAAATACCCCGAATTAGACATGATGACGAATATGACATGCACACTGTAGTTTTTTCTTTAAAGAACATTGTAATAATAATTGAGTTGGACATTGGTCAGTCATTCATTGATGGTGACAAGCTATAATATTGATGATGGAAAAAGAGAGAGAGAGAGAAATTATAATCTTGTTTGTTTGTTGATGCTATTTTCATTTTCATTTGGACATTTTTTTTGCCAGTAATAAACAATTGATAATAATTGTTGCCATTTTCCAATGTCTTTTGATTTCTGAATTTTCGTTGTAATATAGGTGTGTATGTGTTTTGTTCAGTCTGTGTGTGTGTTTGTGTTTTTTTTTTTTTTGTATCTCGATTGGCCAACATTCATTTAACAACAACAACAACAACAAAAAAAATCAATTGGGAAACACACGAGACTGATAAAAGGATGATTTTATTATTCCAAAGTCGAACCAAAAAAATCTTTGATTCATTTTTATTGAAAATTTATAAGGAAAAAAGAACATTTTTTTTCTCAATTCTTCAAAATTATACACACATGATGATCCATAAATAGAATTCTTAATAGCTATTTGGATTGGAAATCCAATCTGTCGCAAGGCGTCAAACAATCCATTAGCTAAATAAATGGCTATCATTTTCAACGAAAAACGTTTATCAAAATTTTTTTTTTTTTTTTTTTTTTTCTTCATCATTTTCATTTATAATTGATGAATTAATCTAATTAGCTTTAGGGCTGAATTCCTGTTCGAAACAAAACGAAAAATAACGTGTGTGGACAAATGGACTACTGTTTTAGCCAAAAAAAAAAATCAATGAAGAATGAATTGATGAAGAAAAAAAAGACAATAATGAAATAAAAATTCAGAAGCTATTTACGGAGTTGAGTTAATTTCAATCGTGCAAACAAACGAAAAAAAAAGTTTCAAAGTAAAATTACTGATCAGTAGAGTTTTACAATCGTTGATTTTTATTTTCGTTTTTTTTGTTCTGTTTAAAAGTTATTGCTTAAGGTGATGAATCCAGTGAAATTGTGTGTTTATAATAATAATAATAATAGTTTATATTTCTGTTTGGACATGAGAATTTTAATTTCGATTCTCATTTTTTTTTCTTGGAATCATTCTTAGAATTTTTGTGGAACTCATATCATAACGGTATTTTTTTTGTTTGTTGCACACTATATTTATAGCGTTTATGATGAATTAATAAAAAAAAAATTCTTCAAGGTCATCATCAAAAATATGTTTGATCTCTTTTTTTGTTCATAATACTAATAATAATAATATAGATGAATTAATACAAAAAACAATTGTCCATTTTTGTGTGTGTGTGTGTGTTTTGGAAACTATTGATCAACATTCATTCTCATTATCATAATAATATATCGTATTGAATAGACAAGTTTAGTTTTTTTCTTGTGTGTTTGTTCTTGAAAAAATTGATTCAAACACGTTTTCACGATCCACTGATACTGCCAATGTCTGTTTGTTGTTATAAATCCATGTATAATGTGTTTCTTTGGATATATTTCTAAATTCAAAATTCATATAATAATGGGATCGTTCGAATATTTGGCACTATCGATTACAAAGATGTATATGCATGCTAAAATCACTCTGTGTGTGTGTGTGTGTGTGTGTGTGTGTGTGTGTGGTGTTTGTAGATCAAAATGTCCACCAATTTCCAAGTACAAATTAGCTATATGTGTATGTGTCTGTGTTTATTTGTTAATCTGAATAACGAGAAAAAAAATGAATCATTTTTTTCCATTCAGATTTATAAATAAATAAATCATTTGATTAATTAATCAATCAAATATCGATTATATACCTTTGTCTTTTTGGTGGCCATTTTTAATCAAAATTAATCAAACAAATTTTTCAATTAATTTTTGGATATTTTAAGGGTGAAAACAGAAAAAAAAATTTAGACTGTTGAATTTTTTTTCCAAAATTTTAATTTCATTCAATTAATTTGGTTCATTTTCTCTCTCTCTCTCTTTTTCTCTTGATTGAATATGAATAAGAAATGATTCAATATTCATCAATATTTTAATTAGAAATAAATATGAAAAAAAAGAAAAAACCTCGCAGCGAAATTGAAAGATCCCGATTGTATTTTGACATGTGACAATTGTGTGTCATTCAAGCCAGCATTTATGCATAAATGCTACTCATTGGCTACTGTGATGATGACCAAATCAATATTTGAATCCTTGATAATCATCGTCAATGATATGATTATTACTAATAACTATGTGTATGTGTCCATTCATTTTTGGCCAATCGTTTTTTGATTTTATGCAATCGAATAAATTCGATCAATTTTATTTCTGTTTATTGAATCCTGAAATTGGATTTCTGACGTTCCTGACTCATTGTTATTGAAATAAATAATTCAAAGCAAAATATTAAGGTTGCCCACATAATCTAATCGATCAATCAATCAATCAATACAAATCGAATTCAAAGTTGCTTTCGCCATTCAAAACATTCGATGAAAGAGAATTATTTTTGAATTTTATTTCCATTTTACTTTTGTTCTTGATCAATAGATGGCAGTCAAGTAGTAGGGATTTTTAAATAATTTATTTTTCAATGGGCGCGGAAATAAATTCAAATTTTTTTTCCCATTCTTTTTCGATATGCTTCGCTTCATTCCTGACTGTATTGTGTACGTCGTTTCTATTCACGAATGTAACCTTGACGATAAATATCTCATTTTGTAGTTGTGTTTCTACTGGACATTTGAAACTATGATTTTGATTATTATAAACATTGACGCCATCTCAAAGAATTAATGTGGATGAATTCTCTCATGTACACTTTTTGTGACCAGAATCCAACCATACAAAATCACATGACCTCAATTAACCCTCACGTATGTATATACTATATGGGTGTATACTATGCTTTCTCTATATATAGAAGCTTATAACTATTTGGAACAGATTTGAATTCCAAGGACAACGACCATAAATGTGTGTGTATGTGTGTGCATGAATATGTCTGTAGAAGTAGTGGAGTTAGGTCACAGTGCAAGTTGGCTACTTGGCAACAACTTTTTATATGACCATGGTTGCATCCAAATATAACCTCATATAAGTAATTCATTCATGAAAAATATATGTCTCGGATGCTGGAACAGCTGACATGAAGATGATGCCAATATATAAATGGACGAGCTGAAGTATTTATTGTGTTCATATTACAAGGTTGAGCTTGTATGTCTAAATATGTCAGTGTCTTTAATTCAAATTCCTAAAAGTATTAGAAAAGATGTGTATTTTCAGGAATATTCCGTTTGATATATATAGATTATTTAATCATGATGATCATCACCATTGCTGTTGTTTTTTATGAAGGGTGTCAATTCTATTCATAGATTTCTACATTAACAGAGACAAATGTTCTCGTGAAACGTGAATGCACGGTATAATACCACTTATATATATTGATGATGATGATGGTTGTGAATGGAAGGTGTCTGTACATACAGTGTTTCCATTGTATGTGTGTCGTCATTAATTTTGTTCTTTTTATGCTTAAACATTCATTCAGTAGGATATGTACGATTTATAACTCGATCTGTCTGTTGTTGTCTGTATATTCACATCACTCAACACCACATACAGACGAACACAATCATTTTTTTTTTTTTTTTTTTTGATGCTATGTTGCTTGATATCTGAATTTTTTTTTTTTGATGCTCAACCACAAAAGAACGTAAAAAAAATCTCCATTGCTTTTGTTATGTTGTTGTTCCATCACATACGCACACATTGCCTGTATATATACACACATATATACGTACATATATTGACTGTACATGTATAACTCTCATATACAATAACTCACTCAATTTATCCACATACATTATTATCATCGACACAAAAAAAAACAAGCAGCAGTAGCACCAAATATACACGATTGTCCCAAAGATTTTTTTTTTTTATTATATTTTTCTGGCTTTTGTGGTCCTATTCTAATAAGACTATTACATACATACACTGATGACTATTACTGTATGTGTGATGAATAAATATATTATAACAAACAACAAACGGATAAATTGAATCCATCCATCCATCCATTCGTTTTTATTCGTGTTACTATCGGAAAAAAGGAATCTCATCAATTCAATTCAATTCAGCATATTTTTTTCCGAATGAAATCAATTATTACAGCGATGATCAAGATTATTGGATAAAATCGGATTCTTGCATTAAACTTCAAATTATTATTAATTTCTGTGTGAGTTTTAGTATTATGATTTTTATTACATTGTTTTCATTTCATCACAAACGATTTTGGGTTAATCTTGCTCAATTTTTTTTTTGTCTAATATATTAATCGTGATGCAAAATAATCATCAAAGTATATCCTTTTTGTTACTATAAATTTGCATGATCCTGTTTCGATTATGGCCCATTTGTGCTATTACGATTGCTTGCTAATCAAATCAGATAGCAAATCAGATTTTGATAACAAAAGTTTGTGTGTGTGTAATAAATAAACACAAAAAAATTAATGCTGAAATTCTTTTTTTTTCTAAAATTCAAAAAAATCAATTTTTATAATCAATGGTAATGGTAATTTTATTGTATCATAATAGAATTTTTTCATTTAGAATTGGAATCAAAGTATCTTTCTCTTTGGATTTTTTTTGTTTACAAATTATTAGAAAAAAATCACTCATTATGATCCAGATAAGCATCTATTTGCACGTTGTTTGTGAATGAGACGGATTTTTTAAATGTTTTGATTGTCGTTGTACGTTTTTCATTTCGTTTCGTCGTGCAATTGCGATATTTGGCGATAGACAAGCTAGCTACGTTTTTGTCTTTCTCTTTTGCTTGTGTTTGTCTATGGCACATACTCTCTTCACTACTTCTCTCCTTTCTCACTTTTTTTTGTTTGTATGTGTGTGTTGTGTGTGTGTGTGTTGGTCGTCTCAATAATTTGCTGCTCCATGACGAGTTCATACTCAGATTCGTTCGTTTGTTTATTATTGATTTTTTCGATTTTCAATTCCATTTTCCATTCAATCATTTCTAATTCGTGAATTTTAAAACCAAAATTTGAATCCAAAAAATCTTTGGTCTTGTTCGTCTAATGATCATTTGTTTAAAATCAGCTGTTTTCCTTCACAACTGTCCATATTTTGGTATTTTAATGATAAACTTGACCTTTATTCAGATTTCTAATATCTCTCTCTCATTTCCTTCTTATTAATTGATTTTTTGACTTTTAACACTTTCACCATCTACAGATTTGAAGCTGAACTTTTTGCTACACCATTAAAAGCGGATTTCCTTATAAATCTCCTGTTTTTGGTAATTTATTTTTTAAAATTTTCTCTTTAGTGTACAGATGTTACAAATAATCTCAATTTATAAATAGGTGTTTCAATTAACATTTATTACCTTTGGATCTTGGAATCTCTGTCCCAACTATACTCCCCACGTTTTGAATCAACCCCCCCAATCTTGGCTGTTTGAATTTTCTGTTTTCTTCGTCGTCGTCTTAATCATCGATCGATCGATAGTCAGATTAATTGTCGACGAAAATCAGTTATCGAATAACTCAGCAAATCTGTTTCGAACACTGGCCTCCTCGACGGAATCGGAATCGGGTTCAGGTGGAGTTACATCTCCTCCTCCGAGGAAGAGACTCCGTCTGTTCCCTCAACAACACCAACAATATCATCAACAAGCACAGAACGTCGCGCAATCATTCGTCGAAGCTAAAGCTGAAGAAGAAAGACAAGTAACCGGAAGAGCAATCACCTCCGCCTCCCTCATCACCTCCTCAGCAGCTATTAATAATAATAGTAACAGCAGCAGTGTACAACCACAATCTCAACAGCAACAATCATCGTCATCGTTAAGGTTAAATCCACTACAAGCATCGACAAGCAGCAACAATATGCATTCATTTGGTGTAACCAATGGCTCTGGTCATGAGGAGCAATCATCATCATCGTCTTCCAATACAACACCGTTGGAATCGAATGGTCTATTCATCGCTAATGGTGGCGATGTACAAACCAATGGAGCTGGTAGCGGGGGTGGGGGTGGAAACAATGTCGCTGGTGGTACAGGAGGAATGACCAGTAATGGTAATAGCAATATTAGCAATGGTAATACGGCGGAATCATCGAATTGTGTACCGAACAATTACACTAATGGATCGACTAACAATAACGATGATGATGATGATGATCTAGATGGATACGAAGATGGCCCTTATATGAATGGTGATGCTCATCGTAAACAACCGCCTAATCGAAAAAATAAAGCATTTGTTCCTCGATCACCCAGTGAATTTGATATTATTCGATTGATTGGCCAACAATTATGCATCATGGGTTTGGAGTAAGTTTCATTTTTTATAAATTCAGATTACCACAACTAACTAACTATTTTCGTATGTTCCAGTCAAACTGTCGAACAATTGATTAAAGAATCAGGATGTCGACTCGATCATCCTACTGCAGCTAAATTTCGTTCATGCGTCATGAATGGTCAATGGGAGAAGGTAATAAGCCACATTTATAATGTTAAACTGTTAATAATGTACAATACATTTTCCAGGCGGATACAACGCTTAAAGAATTGCATAATTATCTTGTGAATCCCAAACATTTAGTGGTAAGTTTGAAACATCATTTGATTTATCGGTCTATAATGATGAAATAAAATGATAATAATTGTAGAAGATGAAATTTTTGCTTTTGGAACAAAAATATCTTGAGTGTATTGAAGATGGTCGTGAAATAGATGCTGTTCATTGTCTGCAAAATGAAATAACACAGCTTAAATATAATATGGAAAAATTGCCAATCATATGCAGGTATTCGTTGACATATTTGATTACATTCAAACAGATTTTATGATCATTTTTCTCTATTATAAAGTTATCTCTTCATGAATTCAATTGAAGAACTAAGACGTGTCGCCAATTGGGATGGTAAAGGACATGCATCGCGATCGAAATTGATGGAAAAACTACAAAGTAAGCTTTTATTTAATTATTAATATTCTAATATCTAATATTTATTTTATTTTATTAATTTAATCGTAGATTTTCTTCCAGCAACCATAATGTTACCACCCAGACGATTACAATGTCTATTGAATCAAGCAATTGAATTTCAAAAAGAACGTTGTCCATACCATAATATCAAAGTCGAGAATGGTCTCGATGATTTTTCACTGCTTGTGGATCATCTATGCTGCAAGTATGTCTACTTTGTTTGTTTTTCAATTCAGATTTTATATAACCGATTTTTTTTACAGGGATGATTTACCCAGTGAAACTTTACAAACATTGACTGAACATAAAGATGAAGTATGGTTCTGTCGATTTTCTAACGATGGAACTCGTTTGGCCACTGGTTCCAAAGATGGAAATATTACCATTTGGACCATTGATCCTGTATGTTATATTGAATTCACCAATTATATGAATCATTTATGACAATCATTTTGTCGTTTTTTTGTAGGAAACTTTCCAATTGACATTAAAACATACACTTGTTGGACATACATTTGGTGTGGCCTATTTTGCCTGGAGTCCAGATGATCATTATCTTCTGGCTCTCGGTCCCGAAGAAAGTTCGGAATTTTGGCTTTGGGACACTCATGTAAGTTTTATTTCACTATTTAATTCATCTTGATTTATTTGGTTCAATTTCAATAGACCGGAACATTGAAAACTAAAAGTTGCCATTCAAATGACGATAGTTTGATTGCATGCGCCTGGCATAAAGATGGTAAAAAATTCATTGCTGGTGGTACGCGTGGTCAATTTTATCAAATTGTATGTTGAAATCATAAAACTCTTGAATTTAAATCTTTATCATGATTTAAATAATTAATGATGATGATTTAAATAATTAATAACTAAACAATGATATGATTTTGATAGGATTTAAATGGAACTGTAATCGATTCTTGGGAAGGTGTTCGTGTCATGTGTTTGGCATATAAGAATGATGGTAAAACTGTTCTAGCAGCCGATACTCATCATCGGATACGTGGCTATAATTTTGAAGATCTAACCGACTTTAATGTGTAAGTTTTCGATTCTATTGATAACATTTTTATCGCTAATATGTGTTTGTCTGATGTTAGATTGAAAGAAGATCATTCCATAATGTCATTCGTATGTGATGAAAGTGGCCGCCTAGCATTGATTAATATTGAGAATCAAGGCGTACATTTATGGGATATAGAAGATCGAATTCTTCTTCGGAAATTTCAAGGCATTACACAAGGTCTATATACGATTCATTCATGTTTCGGTGGTGTAGATCAATTATTTGTTGCCAGTGGTAGTGAAGGTATTGTTCTATTTTTATTGATGAGTTGTGATAATTGTTTTGGTTTTTTAGATAATAAAGTCTACATTTGGCATATGAAACGTGAACATCCGATCTCAGTGCTGAAAGGCCATACACGTACGGTAAATTGTGTCCATTGGAATCCACGATATCCCCACTTGTTGGCCAGTGCTTCGGATGATACAACTGTGCGAATTTGGTGCGCCAAACATCGCCATCAACATCATCATCAAGCCAACAATATCAATAATGTCAATAATAGCAATCATCATAGCAGCAGTAGTAGTAATCATAATCGTGATTCAATTAGCTTAAACAACCTGGCTGCCAATAACCGATGCACCTCGTCGGCCTCATCGTCGACCATACAACCACCACCACCACCACCATCTTCAGGTCATCAAGTCACAACAACAATGATGATTAATAATGAAACGACAACCATCTCGATACTTCCTACAGCAGCAAGCATATTAACGACAACATCCTCATCACAGCCATCACTGTCATTATCGTCAATTCGACATGCAACATACGGTTCATCATCATCCACATCAACCTCATCGAATAGCGCGACCATCAATCCTTCAACCACACCATCATTATCATCGTCTTCGATAAGCAATCCTCATCATCATACACATCATCAAAGCATTTGTTCATCACCATCAACATCTCCTTTGTCAAACATTTCATTGATCCAGCCATCGACAATTCAGCATCATTCAAGTGGTCGTATGGTCATTACAACAGGATCAACAATGGCGGCCGATGCTAGTAATAATAACAGTTGTAATAACCAAATTCAACAACCATCAACCTCAACCACGTCGTCGTCCTCTCAAGGTGGTGGCACCCAAAGGCGTACTAATACATCATTGACATTCTTTGTGTCATCATCTGATCAATCTCAATTCACACAAAATCCTGCTTCTGTTTCGGTTGTCGGGACAGTGGATACGGCACCATCATCGCCAACGCCTCTTCCACCACCACCACCACCACCACCTTCTTCGGCATTGACATCACGCAGCGAACAACAACAAGCTTCTGCTTCAAGTGATGAATCATCTTCATCGACAACATCACCATCATCATCCTCATCATCAACAACGGCTAGTTCATCAAATCTTGGTAGAATATAAAATCAGCTAATATCGTTAACGAAACGAGGGTAGAAAGAAATTGTAATTCAAACTATTCGGTATAACATTCATTGGTTAATCAACCAATTAAAATACAGGTGAAGACAAAGACAATTGCAATGATCCAGAGAAAAAACGATTTGTTCTTATGATTCAGTGCCTAAAAATTTTTTTTGTTTAAAATTTTTCGCAAACTAAAACAAATGGAAAAGATATTTTCATTCAACACATTTATACATCATCCTCATCATCTTTGGCGTTGTTCGTATTTCTCCTTCTCGATTTTTTGTGTGTACGTGTACAATTGCACATCCACCCACTCTATCCACCCACCTACAAGATATGTCTTGAATGTGGATGCGTATATAAAGTGTTGTAAGCAATCAACAATTCATAAGTTATTCGAATTTCAACTGTGAAAATACCACTTATATACACAAGCGATTGTTTGATAATCTCAAATCAAATCTATTCATTATGACGCTTGTCCGATATTAATTACGATATATATTATATGATTGTTGATGTATGAATAAATGCAAAATATAACCAACAAAACAAAAATCCCAAAAATCGGACAAGGGAGAATTTTTTTTTTTTATAAATTCATAAAATGTAAATATATTCGAAATGATAACATACATATGCACACACACACACATACATTTACTAAATGAATGGTCCATTGGATAGAATTGTTGCAGAATAGATGAATTAATTAATTCGGTCTTGTTTTGTAAATATTTTTTCACACACACACACACATCACATATATTGATATATATTTAGTTGAATTAATTGATGTGAAGACAATGTGTGAGTTATGCAGCAATAGTTTTTCTCCTGTCTTCTTTAAGTGTCAAACAATGATGATATGTTATTTGTATTGAATTTAAAAAAAAATTCAAATTCTTTCAACTGAATGCGTGACAGAGCAAAGCAAAGATAAAAATAATAGGCAAACGAAACCATCACTTGTTATTTTCAATCCATATATATTGATATTATATTTTGGCCAAGAAAGATTTTAATTAAAAATAATAATTTCAGAAATATTTTAAAATTTTTCAAAACCCTTTTTTTATATCCACCCTATGTTTTGGGTTGTTGACTGCTGCTGAGTTTATTTGAAAATTTTGCCTTGATTGAATTTTTTACCATCGAATTCTCCTTCCCAGCTGAAATATTCTTTAACCAACAATTTAGTTTTTTCATCATCGGCATTCAATTTTTTCCATTCATACGATTCATAATCGATAGTCCAATCATCACTCAGCTGTTGTTCAGAATAAGATGTTAGTTTAAGATTAAATTTAACAAAATGTATTTAACTTACAGGAAATGCCAGCTCGTGTCCACGCCAAACCCATATACCCGAAATTGTACTTTTATGATCCTCACCAAACAGAATCATACTGGCAAAGGCATTCTTACGCATACGATCCAAACGTTGAAACATACCGGAAATAAGGTTACAGCTCATGAAAACTTGTGTCAACTCTTCTGGATATTTGTATTCACAGTACCAGATTGAGTAGTTTTCTTTGTCCAATTTTTCCCAAAAATATGGAATCGACTTATCTTCAGGATTATTTGAATAAAAACGTTTGAAATCATCCATATCGAATTTACCCTTTGGAAATTTTTCGAATGGATCTTTTGGTTTTGGCATTGCTGGCATCAGGTCATCACCAGCATCATCTTCAGCAGGTACTTCTTTCTTTGTTTCTTTTTTCTCTTTTTTCTTCGTTTTGGTTTCAGCATGTTGTGCAGCCTGTTTGACAGTAGTACACAATTCAACTTTTCCAATGACATCTGAAAATTGTTTTTGATGGGTCAATGTCATGAAATATCGGTTGACATTTCCATATTGATCACGAATTGATGGCTCCAATACATGTTGATACAATGGTAACAATGTTACAGCCATACAAATATCAGCCAAAGTAATACGTTCGCCAACCAAATAGGTACGAGTCAACAAGTAATCATTCAACAATGTTAATGAACTTTTCACTTGATTTTTTGCTGGTTCCATTGTCTTTTTGAAAAAAAAAAAATTAAAAATTCAGTAACGATGCCCAATTTTAACTTACGTGTTTAACACTGGAACAGCCAGTTGCGGGTAATACCCAAGCAAAAACAGCTGGCCATAAATCGGCCGAAGCATAGCTAACCCATTGCAGCACTTGAGATTGTAATGATTCATCGTTGCCACCACGTAGTTGAGCATTCGAAAGATAATAAGCAATGCCATTACTTTCGAAAAGATTCACATTGGATGATTCCAATGCTGGAATCTAAATCAAAGTTAAATTATGATAAGTTTAAAAAAAAAATATGAAAAAATCTTACCTGACCAAAAAATTTCTTTGGACATGATTTACCAAGTTCGGTTGGCACAACCGAAACAGATTTACCACTATATTTACTGGCAATCAATGCCTTGTATGTGCGGTAATTGTCTTCGTTGCTGTATAATTTCTATATTTATCAGTTTAATTCAAAAACAGTAAATGTAAATGGTTTTTTTGCGATCAAGAAATAAAGTCGAGAACTTACAGTCATAATAATAATCGAAAATGTCTTTTTCACAAAAAGAAAAGAAGGTAAGAATAAATCGTTAGGAAGACAATGGTTGAAAATGTTTGAAGCAAGTATTTTTGGTTTTCTATAAAAATCCACGACGGAAACCGGCTTACAAATTCAAACGATCAATGATGATAATACGAACAACGTGATTGTCTAGCTGAATGAGAAGAGAGATACAGACACTCACGTACATTAAATACAGCGTTTTTCAGACACGTTGACACACACACACACCATTCAAAGTTAATTGTATTTGGAGACCGTTCATTAACAAAGTTACTGATTTCTCTTTAAATCACAAAATATATTTATATTTCATCCATTTAGATTGTGAATGGTTTGAAAAAAATTTGTTTTGTAATGTCACTTATCAAATGAAATAGGCTTTCGATAATGATTCGATTGATAAGATATAGGATATATATGAATATGAATACGATTGTAAGAAGTGATTGTTAATAAAAAAAAAGTGTTTAACAAAAAAAAAAAGAAAATTTTTTCTCTCCTTTTCAAACGCATGCGCTCTACGACCAAAATATTTTTTTTATATTCGGGTTCAATTTACACTCGAACTCGGGTGTAGGCTATTATTCCAAAAGAATCCATTCGAAACTTAATTCAAATCCATAATTCATAATTTCTTAAATCCGTTCAAAAAAAAATGCCGATCGGGGTAAGTGATACAAAATTTAATGAATTTCAACCATGTTGAATTTATTTTAAAAAAAATATAGGGCGAAATTGGATTTGCAACATTGCCTGAACATGTACACCGAAAATCAGCTAAAAAAGGATTTGATTTTAGCATAATGGTTGTGGGCGAATCTGGCCTTGGCAAATCTACTTTGGTAAATTGTCTTTTTCTTGGCGATCTTTACAAAGATCGTAAAATACCTTTGGTGGACAAACTTCTCGAACGTACTGTCAACATTGAAAAGAAACAATTGGACATAATTGAAAAAGGTATTAAACTACGTGTGACCATTGTGGATACTCCTGGATTCGGTGATTCATTAAACACAAGTGGTAGTTTTCAAGTAGTAGAAAATTATATTGATGAACAATTCAATCAATACTTTAAAGATGAATCTGGATTGAATCGTAAGAATATTGTCGACAATCGTATTCATTGCTGTTTGTATTTTATTTCACCATTTGGTCGTGGGTATGATTGTTTTTGATGTTTTTTATGCATTAGAAATTACTTTATTGTATATATCGATATTATTGTTTTTTAGACTTTCACAACTGGATATTCAATTCATGAAACGATTAAATTCGAAAATTAACATTGTTCCTGTCATTGCTAAAGCTGATTCATTGACAACCATTGAAGTTGCTCAACTTAAGAAAAAAATTCTTCGTGAATTAGAAGAAAATGGAATAAATATTTTCAAAATTCCGGAATGCGATAGCGATGAAGATGAATTGTATCGCATCAAAGACAAAGAAATTCGTGAAAGTATTCCATTCGCCATAATTGGCAGCACGACAAGTATAGATCTGAATGGTAGACGCATTCGTGGACGTGAATATCCATGGGGTATTATCGACATACAGGATGAACGTTATAGCGATTTTATCAAATTACGAACATTCCTTAGGTATTATCATTTCCTTGTTAAATGGTCGAACCATAATTTTCAAATTTTCCTCTCTAGTTTACATATGCAGGATCTGAAAGATTCAACCAGCGATGTTCTCTATGAAAATTATCGAACTAATTATCTGGCTCAATTGAATGGTGGCCGTATTACTGAGTATGTTTTCATTTTTGTCTAAACCATTTATCCACTATAATAATCTGATTGAATTAGGTTGGATTCTAGTGGTTTATCAGCCGATCGATTGCTACAAATCAAACAGGAAGAGATTCGGCGAATGCAAGAACAATTGATGATCATGCAGGAACAATTGCGGCAAACATCACGACCGGTTAGCAATGCTCAAAGTTTGAATGATCTTTTGGACGATAATGATCCTAATGGTGAATGAAACAGCAATCAATATTGATGAAAAATGTCAATTACCTTGTTCACCGATCAAAGCACACACATTCCCTTCTACTATAATCTATAAGCTATTTATAATTTTACCACTCTCATACCCACCTCGATACTAGTCTTATGTCATATGAAATTACATTTTTGGTGAATCCTAAGCACTCCGAACATTTTATATCATTCACATGCATGCATTAACATTTATTTAAATTTATATATGCAATCATCATTTTAACTAAATTATTTCGCTTTTTTTTGACTTTTTATATTTGACCAATAAATCTGATTAAATATTATTATTAGTCTACAAGATTTTATTTTCATTGTTTTGTCATATTAAAATTTTTTCATTAAAATGAGTTAGAATTCGATTTCTGAAAATTTCGATTAGGAATAAAATAAATGCAATGGGGGGTGAGTAGGATCAAATATTAAAATTTTAGATAAAAGCAACTATTTATAATTTTAAATTATTGATTTTTCTAAATAACAAGACAAATAACTTATTAACTTATAAATATTTTACGATAGTTGGATAAAAATTTGACTTTGTTTGTTTTTCAACAATCGTTTTTGTTCACTAATGGATTCAAATGAGACCATGAAAAAATATTTTTTATTCGATGCCCATTTTAAAGCAATTTCCACAATTAAAGCAATCAATGCTATGTCCATCCAAATAAAATAAACAAAGAATATTGTATGAAGATTCTGCAAGTTGAATTCGCTACTCTGTTGGATGTCTTTCTTTGTAATCAAATCTGATTTTGGATAAAATTCGTCCGGATCGGATGTAGTTCTTAGTGCATTTTGTCGTCTTCTGTTCAATGTAATTTGAACAATTTTTTGATTTCTCCATTGTATTAGCAAACCTGCCTCTTGAATATATAGTAATCTATGGGGAATTTATCATTAAAATATGAAAAAAATCACCAATGGAAAGTAATTTACGTTTGAGAAAATTCTCGCTGATATTTGAATGTTGGTTGAATCGGAATTGATATATGCAATGGAAAAAATGAAGCATCTGGGGTATTCGGTGAAACGTATAACAAATCTTCACCTGCTCTAAGTTGAGCAAATCGGAGGCGTTCTCGTGGATATAAGAAAGCATATTGTTGTTTTTCACTACTTGAACGATTCAAAATCATTTGAATCGCATCTTCACGGTTCTTTGTAGATTGAATAGTTTGAGATATTTCTCGTAATGAATATATATCCGTCCCCTAGAATCATTCATTAGCAATGAATAAAAATTAGATTCGAATAAATATACCTCCATCTTTTTAAAATAATTGACATCTAAGCTCAGCGGTATTATACGATTGGAGCGGCAAGCATCGGCCAATTTGTTGACATTATCTATGGATACACTGGCTGGTATGGTTAACAGAGAACAAAGGCCACCGCCATAATAGTTTGAAAGTATGAAAATTGAGAAAGCGAAAATGATTGTACAGATTTTCGTTGATAATTTCAATCGTGACAACCATGGGTAAGGTTGTCGACATAATAAGCAGAAATCAATCCAATAAAGATTTGCAGAACTATAGATTTGGCGATCAGTCGAAAATGGTGATTCAGGTGGAAAAAAACGAATCATCACATAATCGAAAATGAAAAACAAAAGAAACGTTGCCAATAAGTAAAACCAAACATCGTTATCGAATGGTCGAAGAAGAATATCAAAATGGACATGTGTTTGTTGTGGCCGAACGGCAAACGCTAATCGATCCATCCAATAGGTATCTAAAAATGATATGAATAATGTTCGTTCATAATACATTACAACACCTCCGACACCGAAATCAATTTCCTATTTTAAATTAATTATTTCAAATTAATAAATTAATAAAATTTTAGTGTCAAACCTTTTCGATAATTTTACCAACAATACCAGACCAATTACCGGCTGTTTTTTGTACACCAAAATTTTGACATTCAACATATTCAATACTGAAATTGAAATGTTGTGATAATGTCGTGAATAATTTCCCATCAATTCCATCGGATTCTTTAGGATGTTGCGGATTGAATGCAAAAAACGGTAAATCCTAAACAATTGGAAAAATATAGTTTTCAATATGGTTATTACATTTGTATCATTCAAACTACATTAATAAAACCGATGTTAAAAAGTTTTTGCTCAAGATCCAAAACCATTTTATTTTTGATTAGTATGTAACAAAATCAAAAAATCTAAATTCTAAAAGTTATGCTTGTATCTATCAAGTAGATGAAATCAATCGATATATTTTGTCAAGCTATTGTCATTTTTTGCTTTCATTATGTGGCGTGAATTCCAACATTAAAACTCGTATGATTAGAAATAGTACATTTCTTGTGAACGATTGATTTCCTAATCAAGTATTGGTTTGAATAGTGGAAGGTATTCGAAAAAAAGTTTATTTGGTTGTCCTATGTTTTAATTATAATGTTCAAAAAAATTCGAGGTCAACTAAAGTCACCATGATTTTCATGGCAATTTCTTGGTATTTTCAAATTTTGATCAGATACATTGACTTACATTCTTGGATTTAATTCGAGACTAGTGTATGACGTTTATTAAAAATTTGATTAAGAAAGTCAATAATGAACCATTGGCTATGAATCCAGATTTCAATGATAAATAAAAATGTGGCCAACAATAGACATATTAGATATAATATGAATAAACTTTTAAACTGAAATAAGGTCAAACGATTGACGATTTCATCGGTATTTTCCATAATATCATTGTAATTGTAATTATGATTTCCATTATGTTGTGTTCTGGTCATAAATATTTCAAGATTTTCCCATTGTTCAATTAATCCACAATCAAATATTTGAGATATGCTAACAAGAATTTTGCATTTGTTTACCAGTTTATATATTCGATTTAAGATAGTATTGGTACTCACATTCTATCAAACGGTTTTCGATAAGGAAAATCCGTACGAACCGGCATGGCCATTATCATTGAAAAGAACGTAGATTTGGTTCGGGGTGGAACGTAAAGCAAATTATGACCATAAAATGATCTAGCCAGTCGTAATCGTTCCCTAGAGTAGATGAATGCATATTGCTGCTGAGAACCATGAAATTCTAGTGATTTCGATTGTAATATCATCTGTATAGCTTCCTCTTTGCTAGAAACAATTTGTAAATATTCAGAAATGATCAGATTATCATAGAATGGTGTATTCAACCCTAATGGTATGATAAAACCTGAACGGCAAGCTTGTGCCAATTTTTCTATAGTTTCAAACGGATGAGGGGATGGTGTTGCCAAAATTGAACAAAGATTTCCACCATATAAATTGGACAGTACCATCATTGCAAACATCCAAATTGTAAAACAAATTTTGTATGTTAAAGATAACTTGGACCAACCAATATAAGATTGATGAAATAAGGCGCATATTTTTAGCCAGAATATACTACTGGAAGATAATTTTAGCGATAGGAAATGCGATTGCAATTGGCTAAGCAAATAGACGATGAAAAGGCTGAATAATAGGTAAATCCAAACTGATCGATCATATGGTTTTAAAAGTATGCCGGGATCGATAGGATTAGTTATATTTTTTGTTACAAATCCAAATTGATCAATAAAATGATAATGAAAAAATTGTACATCACGTAATTCTTCGTAACTAATTGCAATACCACCGAAGCCTAAATCAGCTTCCTAAATAAAATGATTCGAGTAATATCATATAATAGAATTCATACTAAAACTTACCTTGTTGAATATTTTTCCGATTAAACCTGTCCAATTTCCATCCGATTTTAAGGCGCCAAAATTGCCCATACAATCAACAAAAGTTGTGGAAAAATTAAAATACTCAGCCAAAGTGGATAATAATTGTCCTTCGATTCCATCGGCCCTCTGGTTAGATTGATTGACCAATGTAAATGGTAAACCCTAATAACAGTAAGATTAATATGTGATAATAAATTTCTACTAAAGAATAATAAATACATCGATAAAAGCTACAAGCAAATTTTGTTGTTGCAGATTTAATCTCATGTCGTAGAGTAAAACTCAATCACGAGTGATTGAAAAAAAACAGACACAGACTAAATCGATTGAACAGTTTTTCTACGTATTAACAAATTGTCCTTATAATTACAGGTGAGCGTAAAATTATGTCCAATTCATCTGCTAATTATCGAGAAGATTGTTCTTTTTTTTGTCATTACAATGCCCGCGATATTTTTGTTTTCAAGACGTTTCTGTATAATCTGTTGCCCATGCCGATCATATTGATTGCATGATTGAATAATTTATTCATGTTTGAAGTCAACTTTGATAGTAACCGAAAATGGATGAATATTTCGGATATCAATGTTATGCTGGCCATTGTCAATGTAATTAGATATAAATGGAATATAATTTCCACATGTAACATAGAGAATTGTTGATTTTTTGTTCGTTTATTTGCATAGGAAGAGGACTGAAGTTGTTGCACCCATTCCAGGCCAACTTTTGAGCGATTTCGAATTATTTTAAAAATCTCGGATGATCTCCAATATATTGGAAGTCCAGCTTCAATTAGGCATTTGATTCTTCGCAAAAGGAAAAAATAATTAAACAGCACTTTTTAATTGAAAATTTAACTAACATTTGATTAAATTCTTGTATGTAAATGAATGTTTTTGATACCGGAATACCATAGAAAAGTGGAAAAAAAGATTCTGTGTATGGTGGCAAGTAAAGTCGAGGCCATCCAATCATTATTTTGGTGAATAAAATTTGTTCATAAGAAAATGGAAACGCATATTTGCGAGTATGAATTTTTGACGAAAGTATCATTTGAATCGCTTCATCTTTATCGGAAACGAATTCCATATGCTGACCAATGTCGCGCAATGTTGGATTTAGGCTGTCCTACAATTGATGTTTGAATTTGAGTTGAAAATAAGCTAATTATAACATTACCTTCAATGATGTGTAGTAATCAGTATCAATCCCAAGTGTGATGATATGTTTTTGCTGACATTCCATAGCTAATTTTTCTACCGTGTCAATAGCATGCTCGGTTGGTATGGCCAATATCGAACAAAGACCACCGGCGTATGAATTGGTAAGAATCAATGCCACAATTGCCCATATAATGACGAATATCTTTGATGAAAAATTAATTTCAGCAAGTTTTAAATATGGTTGACGAAACAATAGACACAGATTGATCCAGAAAATGTTATGTTCTAATGATGATAATGATTGATGACGACTAACAATGTTAGTGATTGATAACATTTGATTTTCAAATTGTTGAAACAATAAAGAAATAATGAATATTGAAAACATTAAAAACCAAACTTCACGATGGAATGGTCGTATCAAAACATCAAAACCAACATGTTGAACTGCTGGATTTGTTGTGAATGAGAATAAATCTACATAATGTGGTTCGATAAAATTTACGGCTAACAGTCGATTGAAATTGATACTTATAGCACCGATAGCCATATCAAATTGACCATCTTGAATATGTCCAATTAGTCCAGTCCAGGTACCATTAATCCTTTCCAAATGGCCTTCATCATGAATTTCAATAAATTTTATAGTAAAATTAAAATAATCAGCCATAACTTGGATTAAAATTCCTTCGATGCCGGCCGAAATGTTTAATCCTGGATTAATATTGGAAAATGGTATTATCTAATGATATGAGAATGATTAAAATGTGTTTTGAAAAGTCTTTTGAATCATTAAATCAAAATTTCAACTTACATTACGATATCCGATTCGTAATAATTTATGTTGAAAATCTAATCTCATTGTCAACAATGGATGTGTAAGTTGTTTTCGTTACCATTACAATCTGTCGAGAGGTATATATCTTGTATACTAGCAAAAATTACTTACACTTACTCTGCAAACTAATATACAGACATGTCAACATATATGGCAAAAAAAAATTGACGTTCGATTGTCAATTAAATCACTTCATTCATTTGCATTTAATTTATAATTATTTTTTTCTGTAGGTTAGTATAATTATATTATTCTCGTCATGAATTGGGAATCACCTTGTGATGGCCGGAAATTCTATTATTCTATTAGGTTTGCTAAAAATACCCGTCGTTTATACACAAAAAACGACGGGTCTTTTTAGCAAACCTAATATATTATTTTTTAGTTTTATATCGCAAATTTATTTGCGAAAATATCGCCATCGTTTGTTTGAATTTTGAACTAAAAATTTTTTTTTTTATCGCGAGAACGCTTGATTTATCCATTGGATCACCTGCCAGATTTGATCATAATCATATATGCTATATAACTAAACAGTAAGACAATAGTTATGACTACCTTAGATTAATCTTCAGATTAACTGTGAAAAAAAGAGTTTTTCAATGTTCTAATTCAAAGCAAAAGGTGTTGTAGATTTGGAAACGGGAATATCGGGTAATTGTTCTCTTGCGTGATAGCGATTTTTCTTTGGTTGGCCAAACTAGAGCAAAGATTACACACACAGACACATATACACCCTAACTAGATGTTGGTGGCTAGCCAGGTGATTGTACATTTCATTTTGTTTTATACTGCCTGATGGTATTGTTTTGTTCAAAGATTTTGAGGTCAATGTCAAGTTTTTTTTCAAAATTTGAAATTGGTATAAAAGAGCCAAACCTTAAATGAATAAATGAATGGATTGGTGAAAAGGACAATTATTCGATTTATTCATTTAATTCATTCACATTGATAAATCAATGATAGTCATCATCAAATAAGATCATTTCTATTTGTTACAAAAATGAATGGATAAAAATAGTCTTTGATTTTTAAATGGACTGAAAGGCACCCAAAGATTATTATGATATGAATAAATGCATAACAATACAAAAAAAACTGGAAAATGAAACCAAGATAAAAATATCGTCATACCATAATGATCATTCAATGATCAACCGGTGTTTCAAAATCTTTCAAGATCTGGTAATGAGAAAATGAATTTTGTTTTTCAATGAAATTCAAGCATTGTGTACTGATAGTGTAAATTTAATTTGATTTTCAAAATCACACGTAGAGTCGTTTGACAATCTATCAATTCAACATTAGTTGACTTGTTATACCGGATTCGATCCTGATTTAATGAAAGGAAACGCAATTTGTTTCACTTAAGTTGGTTAGATATTCGCTGAACAATTTGCCTTGATCATACAATATACCAATTACCAATATAAGTATGTTGGACATTTGACATTGAACAACAAAAATTCAAATTCCAATCCAACACTGCCTTTTTAAAGGATAATTTTTTTTTTAACAAGCTCAATCTTTTATCTTGACAAATTTTTCATTCAAGTGGAAATTTTTGTATAAAAATACATATCCGTCATTCATGTTGAAATTGATTGGTGAATGAATTGAATAGAAAAAAAAGACGATGAGAGGATGTATGACAATTATCATTTAAAGATGAAATCCTATTTCCTCCTTGATTCATCCAGCCATCGATGGATGAATAAGTTGTTCATCATAATAATCAGTAATCATGACAAATTATGACGGAAATTAAATCTTTATATTTGATGATAGTCAACTTTAAATGAGAATCCCATGACTAAAGACTGTCAAGATGAACAAATCTTATTTTTACCAATGTTCCGGATGTGAGGTCCTCGACAAAAATTCTAGATTTTATAAAAGCTAGTGGCGGCTAAACTTAAAGGCCAAACCTCTATAGTTGGTGGTAGAAGCATATATTATGTTCTATGTTCTATCCTTGTCCAAAAAGTTCAATACACTCTGTTATTTACTCATAGCATTGCCATTGGTTTACCATTGGCAACAACAGTATGAATTAATTCTTCGACTGGATTTTTTTCGTAAAAAAAATATTTAAACCACTACCACTATTCGCTCTCTTTCGTTATATTCGTAATGTGAGTGGCTGAGCAGAAGTCTCTTTCATTTCGTTTCTCATTCTGTGCTTTGTTTGTATGTTATAATCGTTTTGGTTTGTTTTCCATGGATCCATCGGGTTGACATTATTGTGTATACCGATGGAAAGGACAATAACAAACAAATTGAAATATAGCCATAAAACCATACAGTCGATTTGTGTCCTCGTTTCTCACATTTGACCATCTTCGTCATCAACCATTATAATCATCATCGGTGCGAAGAATCACTAGCTCACTAATCGCTTCGTCATCCATTTGTGACGGTGGCCATTTATCTCATCTCGACAACAACAACAACAACAACAACAAAATTCATTTGTGTGAACAAATATCTTCAAATGTGTAGGCGTTAAGACTGAATTATTTGTGTTGCTGGTCAAAATTCTCAAAAACTTCATTTCTTCAATCACCAGCATTTACTTGTTCCAATTTTGATGTGGAAAAAACCCTTCTTATCATAAAATTTTGTTTATGTCATCAAAACATGTGTAGTTAATCATTTTATTCTTCATTTTTTACATAAATATTCGGATCAAGTGATACACAATAAGCTATGATATTGAAGAAATGATTATCATCATTCTCATTTGTCTTCATATGTGTATCGTTTGCTGACATTAATAGACTTGATTTTTAGCTGACTAGAAGACTTGATGAACACAAACAAATAACATCAATATTTATCAACTTGTCGGTGATAGAAAAAACGAAAACAACACACATACACAAAGGAGAAAAAATGCGTTGCACAATTTGTCTGTAATCATTAACTAAAAAAAACAATAATTTCATCGTTTGTTCATTTTAATTTCATTCGATCATCCTAATCGTAATCGAATATTAAATCGATCTATGTCAATCCATTTGTGGATGGTTCGTATTTTATAAAATTCAAGTTTTTCTCTGTGATTATAACTGGCCTGTTTTTTTGACTTAAAGAGTAAGTCTTGATTGATATAATTTTCTGGCAAATGACAGATTCCACGAATTTTGCTATATTGCGTTTGTGATGATAGGATAAAATTGTATAGATATGAAACCAAAAGATATTGGAAAGAAATCTTGTTAATGTCATCAAGCATGATAATGATGATGATAGAAGTAATAATAATAATATATTTTTTTATTTTATTTACTAAAAGCGCGCTGCTCCATTTGAGCATTATGATGATAAAAGTCGTCGTAGTTTTATTGGAATTAGTAATCATAATTTTTTTCTTTTCGATAAATAAATTGTGTGTACATAACATTCATATGCTCACTCAAAACACGTCATCAAGTTGAATATCCTCATCAAATCAAAATTCTCAATATTCCATCACAATTTATTACGACCTAGATTTAAAAATTTGATTATTAAAAATTTGTCATCTTTGCTTTTTATTAGATTGTTTTTTTTAGTTATCACCATTAGCAATACAATCCATTTTCAGTTAACTAGCAACATTATTCAATTGTTAAATATTAATTTTAGGATTATTATTCTGATTTCAAATATTCTAATATTCATAGCGGTAATATTTACTTATGATTGATTGATACAAATCTAGGTCAGCAAATTGGGCTTGGTTGAACGTCGAAAGAAATTCGTTGATCAACAATAAATATTGTAATAGAATCGGCTTGTTCAAGCATTTACTTTTAAAATTTCATTATGGATCATTTAAAATTAGCGTCAATTTTATTACTGCTTCTGATAGTTGCCCAATCTATCCTACATGTATATTGCCTTGATAATGATGGTAAGTCGATTTTGTGTTGTCACTGAATTTCGATTTAATTATTAATTTTTTTTAGAATCTGAAACATCTAAATTGAAAAATACTGGTAAAAAAGCAACATTGGTTGAGAAAAAATTGGATGCAAAACTCATAAAACAATCACAACAACAGCCATCTTTATTAGAGCCAACAAAAGCATTGTCATCGTCGTCATCATACAATGGTCGTGATCTGATTAATCAAACAACCGATGAAACGACAATTATGACAACGGATGATGATTTCGATGAAAACAAAGCGTTTCATGAATATGAAGAAGAATTTCACCGAAATAATTCTGAAGCCGTATTGAAGATGAATTTCTCCTATTTTGAAATGGAATTCATTCAGGATCCAGCCAAAGCAATGTCTAAATGGATTGATGTAAAATCATTCAATGACAGCAATTATAAACATGAAGTATTGTCGAATTCACATCGTCGTGCTGCGGCCATATCTTTACCATTCAATTTTTCATTCTATGGTCATGATTTGACTAAAATAACCGTTGCAACCGGTGGTTTTCTTTACATGGGTGAACATGTACATGCATGGCTAGCTGCTACACAATATATTGCTCCATTGATGGCTAATTTTGATACAAGAAATTCAAGTCGTGCTCAAATCCTTTATGGCTTTAATTCAACCGTGTTTGTTGTACAATGGGATAATGTCCGATTACAAGGTGATCCCGACAAAGAATTTACCTTCCAATGTTCAATATATTCGAATGGTGATATTGCATTTGTCTATAAAAAAATACCAGTTCCCATTGATCATATAAATGAAAATGAACATCCAGTCAAAGTGGGTGTATCGGATGCTTATTTTATTCATCGACAACAGATATGTAAGTCTTTTAAATATTGTATATTCATTTAATCAAGTTTACATGCATTCGATTTAGTTGTACGACGTAAAACCATTTATGAATACCATAAAATCGATTTGAGGAAAAATGAAGCGAATATAAACATCAAGGATAATACGGCCATATTCTTGAAGGCATTGCCAAGTATGTCACAATTCAATCAAAGATTTTGATATATAAAACAAATATTGATTTTCTCTTTAGCCTGTAGTCAATTTAAAGATTGTCAATCCTGTTTAACGGGCAATTCATCATTTTCTTGTGTATGGTGTGATGCTGTCAAACGCTGTTCAGATGGTTATGATCGTCTAAGACAGGAATGGGTTTTACATCAATGTGATCATAAGGCCACCAATGAAGTGGGTAAATGTGCTGCTCCAATAGTACCATCATCGCCTCAGTTTCCAACAAGTTCCATATTCAATCAATCAACGACTAATGGTAATACTAACATGATCACTCCCTCACCGACAGTCTTTCACAATTCCAATTCAACTGCCGTCATCAATGGTAAGTGAATAACTAAATTTTCTGTTTCATTAGCCACAATCTTTTTTCCTTCAAACAGAACACCGTGGTAATATTCCATCATCGGATAATATTGACATTCATTCAGATAAGAAAAATCTCACCAACTTAGAGTACAATACGCAAGAGCAACGTATCGGTGGAAATATGTCTGCATCGAATAAGAATCGAACACCGACTGCCCATTCGTCGTTGGCAATAAGTCTATTTTTCATCATTAGTCTCACTCTTGGATTAAGTTTATGGATTATATATGCATATCGTAATCCGACATCATCATCGGGACTATTTTTGATTCGTTGGCGTCCATCAGCATGGCGATGGAATACCGATACACGTTATACTGCCGCATCGATCCATATGTAAAGTGAACACTAAATGGACAAACAGCGGTTTTTGTTTCAAGCCTAAAAATCATCGTTACTAGTTCATTCATTAATATCAATCATTCCCGCACATATCTCATATTGCATGAAAATTCAACATTGCATTCGCCCGCGCCTTTGAAATTTCAAAATTTCATCAATATTTATGGGAAGCATGGCAATATAGCATAAAAACATCAATAGTTTCAATTCATAATAAAACCGCTTGGTATGTGTTAATATTTTATTCGCAAACGAATTTATTAATTTTTCTATTTTAATCCACTATTCCAGTTTCATTATTATGTTCCGTGCCTTCATTATAACTATCGAAGCTTCAACCCATATTACTGTGAATCCATTTTATTGTGGCATCCTCAATCGAATAGATGAGAAACATTTTTGAAAACGCAAATATAAATCGACAAACAGTTGTGATACTTATATTAATCGACGATTAAACATTTTTTGATCATCATCATAAATGAATCTCATTACCGTCATCATCATGGACAAATTATATGCACATAGCTTACAAAATATCTTTCGAAATTCGATTATTTTTCGTATATTGATTCTATCTCTCTTAGCATTTGGTCATATTAATCTTTTTCTACTTGACATTTATTTCATCTTACCCCTTTTCATTAATTTTTTGTTTGTGTATAATTCGATTTCTTCAACCTTTTAAAAAAATTTTCGACATGAAAAATTCATTTGTATCCATTTGATTTAATCAATATATTATATTGAATAAAATGAGTCATAATTTAAGAACATTATCAATTATCCAAATATTATAACTGTCAGAATGACTGAAATCGGTATGATTGCTCCTTCAAATGAGGATAACATATTAGGCCAATTAGTTTTCTTCTCTTCATTCGATTCTCCTGTTTCATTCTTCATGGTCAAGTGTGCAGAATTAACTTTATCAATTTTCAATTTTTGAATACTTCTGCATTTTAATGAAAATGAACCTTGATCATTAAGATGTTTGTTTGCCAATCGAAAACACAATTCAACCGAATAACCACCACGTTTTTTTTCTTTAGTCATTTTGACTGGTATATTCTGTAATAAAGTGATAGAGGTCTTAAAACTGTATGAAAAAAATGAATGACATTTTAATTAAATCTACCGTATATTTTTCATTGATTATCCATTCGATTCTGACATTTTTGGCCAATTTATTTGCTGGTAGCCAACATCTAACACGGACTAGATCTCCAATCTGATATTCATCGTTCAGACCTTCGATTACTGGCTTGGATATACCTGTAAATTTCGAAAAATTTAACTTTTGATAAATCAAATCTATTTCTATAGTTTTAGAAATGTTTTCAGCTAATGGACATGAATTTGTCTTGTGTCATTGTATGTTGAAAAGCGAAATGATTTTGATCGATTTATCATCAATTAGGCCATCATGAATAGATGGTAGCTGCACCTACCATTAATTTGACTGTGTTTAGATTTCATTGATTCACTTTCGATTGATGAAACTGCTGCAGCACAACCAATGATAAAATGATTCGATCCTTTCCAACGGCGATGTTCATCACCGACAATAAATTCCAATAGACTTATCATTTCATGATTTAATGTATTTTTATTTTCATCCATTTCATTTGATATCATCATTGATGATGATAGATCCGATTTCGATCTATTCAAGTGATTAATTTTCTGATAAGAATAAACATTCACTGTCCAATTTTTCATTGAATTCATTAAAGGCGATATGGCTACATTGTTAATGTACCATTGAATCCGGTAAGATAAGGATTTCATTATGCTTATTGGTGTTGTATTCATTACACATTGTAATTGAACAAGTTCACCTAAGCGGTATCGTTTTTGCGGATAAATTATTCGCGGTGCTTCCATTGGTGGCACTTTTATAGATGATAGATATGATCATCAAAAGGTCAAATAATACACAAAATAAACATACCCAAGATGGTCACATTGATATCCTTACGATCGACTTGAAACATTTCATCACTAATCACCTCACATCGATAGATACCTTCGCTATCAACATTTACCTGATCAAGTCGAATTATTTGGCCATCAATTTGCCATCCGTCCATTAAATGTAATCGAATGCCTGGAAATGTCTTATGATGAATTATCAGCTCATGATCGGCATTTGAGTTTGAAACTATGGATTTATTTAAACAAACATGTAATTAGATGACGTTAGATCAGCCTAGATAATTAATCGATTCTTTCAACTGCTCTCTCATTCATTTGCTATTAATTCGTCTAACTAGTGGAATTTTCTATAGAAAAACCTGTGGTTTTTTTCTTTATTAATTGAACAAGTTAATTAAATCCGATGAAAATGAAAACTTTGATTGATTGATTGAATGATTCGTAGCTTGAAGGTTTTTGATTCTTGTATCTTTTATAATTACTTAACATTTATATTCTGTACCAACTTTTTCAAGTTCTACCAGATGTCACATATTGATGCAAGCAATGGGATGTCACCAAAGAGTAAATTATCAATACCTGCCTACCTTGCCCATCTCTTGATAAATTGATTTCTTACGTGAAAAAAATATTCTCAAATATAAGTAAGGTAATATGGGCTACTGGTAGCTGCTACATAATAAAAACCAGCAGCCCAAATTCGAATGATTAGTTACGGAGTGAATGAAAAAAAATTGACTATCATTATTGTCGATGGCCGTAACCAACAATGTCATCATCATCATCATCATCATCATTGAATGTAACAGGCTAGCAGATAAATTTAGTTTAATTGAAAACTTAATTTCATTTCAATCAAATTTTATTTCCATTTACATTATTCAGCATGTCGATCAATATTGGCCAGATGTCCAAATTATTAAGCAAAAGAATGGAACAAATCATTCAAAGTTTGATAGTTGAACCAAGAAGAAATGGTAGTCATCAATTTACAATTCCATTGATAGACATCAACGAGAAAGGAAAGAATTCCTTCCTTTTTACATTTTTATTTCTATTGTGTTTGAACAGTCTGTTTTGTTTGGATGAAGACATACAGTCATTGGTTGTGTTATAATAACATAAATCATATCGACATTATTGGATGAATAGCCGATCGGACCCTGTGTTGTTAACAAACTAACGAAAAAGCCATTGGATGTGTACGGATGAATGATGAGAAAGACATTATGTGAGAGAAAGAGCTCATCAATACAAATAAGCAATGACAGTTGCCCATAGTTTAATCTCTTTTTTAGGATACATCAGTTTTTTTTGAATAAAGACACACACACACACACAGAGAAAATGAATGATGTCTTTATTATAAAAATCATAATAAATTGAATTTCTTTCAATTCAATTCATTTCAATTCTTTTGTCAAAGTACAACGACATTCCAATTGAAGCTATTCTATTATAGCAATTTAAAGGTCGACTTTATTTTTGGATGCATAGGGTTATGTTAGTAATGATTCTATCGATATTGATTAAATTCAACAAAGATTATCATTTATAAATGATGTTTAAATACTTACTATAGCTATAGAATTCATAATAACTGCCATTATATTGTCGATACCATTTTAATGAATAAAGACGATCATTTGATTCGAGTTGTACATGACAATCTAGTGTTAAATTACTACCAATCATTGTTTGGATATGCTCTATGCTATGATCATTTCCAACGCTAGTTATATGCTGATCAAAATATCGTAAAATTCTTATCGATTCGACCATCAATAATCGTGTCCGATTATCGACAATGATGAATGTTGTTATGACCAATAGTAAATAAATCCAATTGTAGAACAATGGTGGCCACCACCAACGATAACGACAATGATGATGATGATGATGAAACATGATCAACAACATCATTATAAATGATGATGATAAAGTTTGTGGTTGTTATTGTCGCCAGTTCTGTGTGTGGGAGAAGAAAAAAGTAGTCTGGTTTGATAAGTTGTTCAAAAAAAAAAAAAGAAAAATAATCTATAGAATCATCATAGACAAAAAAAGAAAATAGAAGAGAATAGCTGCCAAGTTTTTGGAAAATAAATTATCCTAAACGAATCGATTTTGTTTTGTTATGTATTGTTATCGTATGTTATAACAATAAGATTGGTTTGAGAAGCTCATCCATTTATTAGATCATTTAGGATGGATGCAAACAAAAACCGCTTAACGAATGAAACCATAATTCATGTTAATTGATTTTAATCATCTTTTTTTTCTACAAAGCAAAACACATACAAACTTGTTCATTGCGATCAAATAGCTGAATTGATAAATTTTCACAGAGAATGTGTAAAAAAACATAATAACCGTTGTGTCTTGATTATAATTTCATCTGGAAATGTTCATTTAGACAAATATTTGCGACATTAGTAATATAATATTGTTGTAGCATCAATATTGATGATGATGGTCACTAATAATAATGAATTTCATTTCAGCTAATTACTTTTTTCCCTTTCTTTTTGGCCATTCATTGCCAAAAAATTAACGAATAATTATGGCAAATAATAATTAAAATATATTAGCCTTGTAAATTTTCATCTCCAAACAACGATGTAATGTGATGTGGCCGTGATTATGATTATTCGTTGTTTTTTTTTATTTTGATGATGATTTTAGCTTGAAAATATAATGTATCTTTTTTTGGGTTGTAAAAATGAGTTTTTAAATTACCATCATCAACATTACAAATGTGTAAAACGAAAGTTTTCCAAAATAAGGCCATTGTCCGTATATTTATGATGATGATAAATTCATTTATCATTATGGATGATGATGACGATGATCATCATAATGATTTGATACATGGTAATATTTTTTCCATTTGTTTTTTTTTGTTTGTCGTATACGAATGAATTATTGTTTGATCATTTCCTTCCTTTCTTTTTCTTTTTCTTTTTAATTCAAAAAGTTTAAATCAAGTATAATGTTGATTCTAATCAATGACATAGCAGAAGCATCATACAACATGTGAATTTAATTTGGAGCGCCATGATAATGTCGATTAGAATGAGAAGGGGATAGAGAGAAAAAAAAGATAGAAAGGGTGTTTTTTCAACCACCAGAATGCAGAAGTGTTTGGTTTTGTTGTTGTTACGAAAACTTTTTTTTTGTTGGTTGTTTTAAACTAAAACACATAAGAGCTTTAAAATAAAAGAATCGTTGTCGAGCTAATGATTATGGCCATGATGATGATGATGATGATGATGATGATGCAATTGCCGCCATCATCAAAGCTATCAAGAAGATTCCTATCCTGTTCTTTTTTTTGACTACATTATGAATTATAATATGGATTGTAAAAAATTTTTCTTTAAAAATTTCCATTATACTCGTTATCATTTTTATGGAAATTTTCGTTATTTTCTTCTCTATCTTATCTATCCGGGTATAATGGTAAGCTAAAACCATAGATTTTTTTCATATCCTTTACATTTTCTTGGTCTTATTTCGGTTGTATTTTTGAATGCAATTACAATTACAATCACTGTTATGTGTGTATATGTGTGTTTTGAGCTTGTAATTGTTACTGACTTCATTCATGTTCAAATTCTATTCGTTAGTTTATTGTTCTTTGTATTTCGATTTGGTTTCGTGTTTTTCCATCAAAAACCAAAACAAAGCATTCCAGAAAAATAAAAAAAAAGACTTTTGGCCAATTCTTTGAACATTTGTTCTGTTATATGTTGTGTTGGTCATTAACATTCGAAACATGTAGTTTTTTGTTGTTTTTCTTTTGTACGATTCTGTGTTCCATCGTTTCGTTAAATTGTTTGGTTTGGATTATAATCATTGTTATTATTACCATTGTGTATGAAACGAAAATTTTTGTTCATCATTTGATATCATTTTATTTGGCTCATGTTTGGGTCAATAATAAAAATAATAACAATAATTTTACAGTTGCTCGTAATTTTTTTTTCTTTTGTTTTTTGAATTTCATCAATACTGGATGTTGAATCAATTATTGATTGAAGATTTGCTTAGTTACATTTATACAGTTTTTTTGGTTTTAAATGAACACCAGCTTATTGTATCAATATTTGTTTTTCATTGCCATAATACTAATCATTTTTTTTATTTTCATACTAGGAATCGTGCAGATATTTGCGATTCCCTAGTTACGAATTCATGAAATAAGATGGTCACATAGATTTTTTTTTCATGATTCAAATGAATCTTTTTTGTTTGAATTACTAAAAGGTCATATGTCTAACAATAAGTCATAACCCGAATCATTATGAACTGACATTGTATAGATAACCATATTGATGCTAAATTGTTTTGGCCACTATATATCAATAAACAATGGTGCATTTATATTGCATTAATTTTATTTGAAACTATCGATATGAAATTGATTGATTGACAGCCATCAACGATGTTTAGTTCCGTTTCGATATTACTTTCATTCACACTTTTTTTTGTTCACAAGCACACTTTCTTTTTCGTAGAAAATTGAATAGCAAACCGGAGTTGTCGTATAAGATGATATTTTTGACACTTTGATTTTATTTTTGTCACTTTTTCATCAATATGATGATAATAATGGCTGGCCATCATGTTGAAATGTAATATATTTCGATTTAATTTTCTATTTTCTTTTCTTATCATTTTTATTTTTATTTTCATTTTTGTTTCTATTTCAATATAGTTCAATATCCGATTCAATTACATTCGATTTGATCGATTAAATATAGTTTTTTCAATAATTTTATTTGTTCAAAAATAAAAAAAAGTGTCTTTTCATCATGAAAAAATAACATCGATTTTTATTGGGAAGGGAAAAAAGTTTGGGCCATCAGGGTATTTACACAGTGGTTTAAATGGCAAAAAGCAATCGATGAAACGAAAAAAAAATCATCGTTTTACAATAGGCACAAGGTAAGGGTGGAAGTAGATGATTGTGAACTTACATTTGAAAAGGAAATAGAATTAGACATATAATAACAAAGGAAATATATGAAATGGAAGCAAAAGTGATATAGTAGATTTTCCTTTTATACACAACACATTAATAATTATTATAAGTACAATGATTATCAAAATAATACGATGTAGAAATGAAATGAACAAAAAAAAATCGCAACTATTTAACGGAAATTGATGATCTATGTGATGAGAAAAATCAATCAATAACTGTTTAAAGAACTGTTTGAATGATGATGTATGAATAAATGATGAAATAGATTGACAAAATATATTCTGTAGTAAAAAAGAGACTAGAGTTTCGACTCGACGAACAAACAAAATGAATGAATGGATGGATGAATTGATAGTGGTGGTAGAGATGATTGAAAAAAATATAAAATTCTATATATATTCTGAAATCATCCATTATTCGGGCCATAATTTTTGATGAAAATTTTATATCCGTTATAGTTCCATGGTTGATGTTGTGTATGGAAACTTTTTTTTAATTAAATAAAGGTGTGCATTTGTTTACCAGTCAGCGAAATGTATAGTGGTTGGATTCATTTCATTATTCAATGGTTGAATTAGTTTTTATTTTATTGCCAACAGGCTAAATTAACTTTGGCTGTTGTGGTTATGTGGTTATGCCTGAATTCTGTGTATTTATTATTTCCCCATACTGATTTTCTATCCATTCAATTTTCTTTTTTTTTCGTTTGTTTGTTTGTATCCAGACCATATACAAGTTGATTACCATCGAAACACAAGGGTCACTATATTTCACAAAGAAAGGTAAAAAGAAAAAGAATAAGAGTGAGAATTTATTTAGTTTTTTGTTTCACTAGCCAAAATTTATTGATTTCACCAAGAAAACTTTGAAATTGATTAGCATAGTACAGAGTTGCAATGAATGTCCATAAATTTCCATTGTAGCATAACGATTTGAGGAATTTCATTTCACTTTTTTTCACTAGAATTTTGATTTTGAAACTTTGAGTTATTTCATCATCATCACATGTCATTGATGAGAAAAGATGGATTACCGTGGGTTATCTATGACAAAATTTATGATTTTATGGACAACTTTTTTCATTTGTTGCTAAAACAAACGAATAGTCGTTTTTTTCGCTTTCGCTTTGAACATTCCGTTTAGACCACCAATAAATATTGTTTAGGCTATCAATTATCAATGATGCTGGTCACGGTGAAGAACAACAAACATTTCGTTCACCAAACATAACCACCAACACCACCACCCATGTAAAAAAAATAATAAGAAACAGTAATGAATGTAAATCACTTTAGCCAAATTTTTCCCTTGGGTTTCAGTATTGAATAACTAACCAAATGAATGAAAATGATATTCACGATGCAATTACACATAACAATCATGTTCCTATTGATTCATTCTAATTATTATTCGAATAATTTATTTGGTTCGATAAATGTTGGCCAAATCGTATATATACGATTCATAATTTTTTGTTGTTGTTGTTGCTATGATTGAATTTGATCGAAAATAATTATGGCCAGTGGATATGGTGAGTTCATAATAATATCATTGACATTTTGCATTTCCCGATACACACATAGACATTATAGAAAGACACATATACAATCAATCTGTCAGTATGATGATGATAGTCTAATGATTGATATCAATGAATGAGACTGACCAATGTGGCTAATAATCTTACACAATAAAAGAACATATACATGTATGATGATGATAGTGATGTGGTAATGATGACCAACAATCATTGCACCTTGTTGATAGAATAACATAGTATTTATCAACTATTCTTTCTGTATGGGATTTATATATTAGCATCTCATATGATCAACAATAATAAATGACAGGCAACAGTTTAAACTATAGAGAAAAAAGAACAGAAACACAAACAATCAACCTGTTAATCATACCAACAACAGCATTTGACCTGTATGTAAGTGTGTGTGTGTGAATATAATAATGTTATGATACTAAGCAGTATAGTTTTGACATATGACCAACGACAATTGTATGCTGGGGTACCTGTCATATCATTGTAGATTGCTCCCAAAATAAATATGTTCTGAACAACAATTTGAGAACAACAACACCAACAAAAAAGATGCTGGTCTTTTTATCGTAATATTATAAAGGTCAACGACGTCATTTTTTTTTGAAATAAAAAAATTCTGGGGTAAAACATTTATGACACATGAACATGCAGATGATGATGATACTATTATTATTACCCTATGAAAAACTCTTGGTGTTGGTGTGTTTCGAGTTTAGTTTTTTGTTATGTCTATTTTTTTGTTCTATTAACAATATGCAATCAATCGATGGAATGAATCAATCATTTGAATAAGGGATTATGTCATCATCATCATTATCATTATTTACATCGATATCGTATTTCAAATGACCGATGATGGATCGATTTTCGAATGAATCGATTGTATTTTCGAGTCGAGTTGATTGTTTTTAATTAACAATTGAAGGAAGTGTTTTTGTTTCTTTCAACCAAACAATCTAATATTGTTAAAGATGTAAATAAATAGAATGTAATTGAGTCATTGTGTTTAAATATTTATCAAATTGATGAATTAATTTGAAAGTTTTCATTTCTCTTGGTGTCATCAATTTGCAAAATGCCAACCGATAATGTAAAATGAGAAAATTCTCTAATCAAATTTTTTAACTGATTCCCTGTGAATGTCAAATTCTTTGTCATAGCTAGTATATGAATTTTATATTTGACAAAAAATGTTTCAATATCATAGTTAACGAAGAATAATGATACTATGTGATTTTGTTTCTGTTATTTCATTTTTGTCGATGTACAGGTCGTATCATTTTGTGCAAGAATTTCGCAAGTAGCAATCTGTGTGTGTGTTGTGTTGTTTGATGATAATAATTCACCATGTCATACATATAGATAAAATTGGTTGATTAACTACCCTAAACATTGAGTTTGGCAATTCAGTCACACACACACATACACAGTTGAATATTCGACCACAAACCTTTTTTTTTATTTCACGCATAAACATGGCAATAAATAAAAGTCCTACTTCACTCATTTCGAGTACAAGTATTTGAAGATTCATGAAAAATAAAAATTTGTTGAAAATCTGATAACAAAACAAAATAAAAAAGTAGTAGATAGTAGCTATGAAAAATGTTTTTTTATTTGTTGCCTTTTATATTATAGTGAGAAAAAAAAATTCCATAACTGTCAACAACAACAAATATGGTTGACAGATGATGACTGAGATTCGATTCTCTTGGTGTTTTTGTTTTGTTTTGTTGTTGTTGTTTGAACAAAACGAATATATATAACTTTTGAGATTTGGGACATACACACAATTCTTGGCTTTATATTCCGATTTTTGTGTGTCTGTGTGTGTGTGTGTGTGTGTCGGAACGAGAAAGAACACAATGTTGACAAAAAGTTTGTCAACAAAAAAAATATATTTGAATTTTTTAAAAGTCTAATCACGATCAGAATGATGATGACGATGATGATGATGATGAAATCAAAGAAAGTATATCTATACGAGGGTATTAGATTTTCTATTTTATTTCGCGCTTTTTTAAAAAGTATATCTCACACTCTATTTATCTGAATTGCTGAATTATTTGTAATTCACAGAATTCAAGCGACAAAAAAAATAAAATAAAAAATATAAGAATCATATCATCATTTCGATCAAATATGGATCGTTATTGTCGTAACAGTAATAATAATAGTAGTGAATATGGTTAATAATGTAAATAAATTTGATTTGACTGATTGACTGTTTAGAATAAAAAAAAAGAAAAGATTTTATCGTATTTTTCTCTCTTCGTTATCGTTTGAAGTGTTTGTAATGAAATTGATGGAATAAAAAATGAGCTAAAATGTCTGTATATAAAATAGATTATATTCAGATTTAAATTAGCTATGGAATGGATTTTATTTTGCTGTCAAAACAATATATATGAATTATTATTTGTTTTGTCCAAATGGTGGTGGTTACAGTATCCATCTATAGGAGTGGGTTATTAATGTCAAGCAGGTTTAAAATCAATGAAGCACACCGTTTGTTTCATTGATGTGATAAGAATATAATTCTCAATCGTGATATCCATTTTCATTCAATTCAAGTGAAGCGAAACTTCTGAAAATTCTGGTGAACACCCAAAGTTTTCAATTTTAGTTTTCTGCCTATAATTATAATATGACAATCATAGAGCCTCTTCATTAGGTTGATTATTGTTTTTTTGTTTTGTTTTTGTTTGTTTGTTTGTTTCACTATTAAAGGAATAAAAACAAAAAAAAATCTGTTGCTGTCCATACGAATTAAGCTGCCAACATCATTTCATGGTTAAGAAATGAAATAAATAAAATTCATTTACATCGAATCAATGTGGTGAGAGAATAATAACTATGATATAAGGCTCATCCGCCAGAAACAATAAGAAATTGTCATCTTTGAAAATTAACTACTAAAAGCTAACTGATGTTATGATGATGGCGACCTCGCCCAATGAAATGTATGGCAATAACATTCATCTGTATGTTTATCATCATCATCATCATCATCATTCTGAATGGTTGGATGTGACATTTGACATTCATTGAATGATATGTCACACTTGAAAACATTTGAACGATTTATAGTAGCCTACGCTTATTATATTCAAGATCTTGAATATTTTTTTCTGATATTTATAGCATCTAAATCTCAAAGATTTTCTTTGGCCATTCGCTTTTATGTTGTGTAATAAGCGTTAGAAAAAAATGAAGGTATATGTATTTGATACCTATGCCTGAAGTCTGTGTGAAATACATCCACCTTGTGTACATTTGTGTTTCACGTGCTGTACATATCGCTTTCGCTTGAAAAATTCCATTAATAAGTATTTTACACATAAGCAGATTCAATGAAAGAAATATGGTTTCGCATGAATTGCATTCTTCATGACATACCTGAAAATAATATGAAAATGATGGTTGGTATTATCGACCAAGATGAGAAAGATGATAATGTTGATGCAGCATTCGAACGCCATTTGGTTCGCCAACCTTTGTATTTTGAGATAGGAAAAGAAAATTAGTTTTTTATGATGATGATTCTTGATTTAATTCTATGAATGCTAATGATAATCATTGCAAGGAATGAAAAAAAAATGAAGCCGTTAACTGGTAACAAGTAAAAAAAAATTTTTGCATACTAATAAACAGTAGCAGTCCTCGATCATGGGAATGCATCAATTCATTTCAAAAGAATCGCAAAATATAAATTCATCATCAACAATGGTGTTCATACATTCATTTCTTTTTCCATCTCTCTCTCTCTCTTTCTTTCTCAATTAATGGTTGGCCATTCTTCAATTTTTCATATTTGAAAATTCTATGAAAAAAATGTGATTGAATGGCCAGTGATGTGTAAATTTTGCAAAAAAAAAGAAGAAAGAAAGATTGGCTTTTCCCTTCATCTTCCTTCGTGGCTGTGAATCATTTTATTCTGGTGGTAATGGTATTTCATTTTATAAAATAAATAAATAGAAATAGAAAGCAAAAATGAAAGAGAAAAAATTTGTCGACGATGAAATAAAATTCATTTATTTGTAGTTGGAAATTTTTTATGGATTCTACTACCATGGTAGAAACTTAGTGAACCGAACGAAAAAAAAAAATTCGAAATATTGAAGAGGTTGTAGCTTTTTGATATATATTAAAGTGACCTTTGTGTGTATCTGTGTTAGTTTTCAATTCGAAAAAATATTCCGTTTCCATCGTTAACGATTGTGATTTCGTTGTTGTTGTTTGGATTTTTTCTCACTCTCGCAATCTACAAGAAAAAAATACATCATGTTCTATGTTGGGTTTTGATCATCATCATCATCATTGGGATAGACCCCATATGTTGCATATGTTTTGATCAACCGTGTTATTTGATTTAGATTGCCCTTTCGGGTTTTTTTGTGTTGTTATTGTTTGTATTGTTATTGTCCAAGATTAACATTTGATACAATAAGAGATCCATTACCTTCAAAATGAAACTTGGGAAATCCTCTAAATGGTTGAACACCTTTTTTCCTTATTGTTATTGTTGTTTGAATGGCAAGATAAATGGATTCTAATGCTTATTGCATACACTAGGGCCTGGTGACTAGGCCATTCACTATTATTATTTCGATCCATTCTAGACAACATGCAGATTTTAGGGCCAAATAACCGATCAAACAATAGGTTATAATAACAATGACAACTTATATATACGACAGATATTTTCAATGTTGAACATATTGATTGTTATTGCTACTTGACTTACTGTTTACCGTAAACAAAAAAAAACTCATGGGTCAGGTCATCGGGTTTCATGCCTATAGCTAATAAGAAATTAATAAGTCTAGCAGGCGTATGAAGACTATGGAAAAAATAAACCTCATGGCACAGCTTTTGAATTTGAAAACTTGGAATTTTTTTAGGTTGTTTAAATGCACCCATTGACGAAGCGGCCTTATTCAATGGATAGATGAGACATTTGTCTATGTCATGAAACAACAGTGGTGGTATAGGCTACAAGAAAAACAAGATTTCTATTACTTGAATATAATATTTGCATATGACAAATATTGTACAACAAGCCACAAACAACAATGAAAACATGAATGACGAGATTGGTGTTGTTTGCCTTATTCTATTGATACGATAGGTAAAGGTCCGACCTGATCAAATAAATTATTAGAAATTGGTCTCCCAATGGTCCAAACATTTTGGTTAAAAATTTTTTGAATTTCGGAAATTAATTTTCTATTCAATTCAATTTTTTTCTCCCGTCTTCGTTCATGTTTGCTTATTTTGATCCAAGATTAACGAACTGAACGAATCACCATGCACAGTGAGAGGGAAAAAGAGAGAGAGAGAGAAGAAAGAAGCGATGGCGGTTTCCAAGAATGATGAGAAAAATATTTAAATTAAATGAAAAATGATTTATGGTGCAAGAAAACCTAAATGCGAATCATCGATTGAAATGAGAATTACAACAAACATTTATACAGAAGCTAATTTTAGGTTTCTAATTTATTTTTTCAATCATTATATGCTATTATTGCACACATGGTTTTGTGAGTTTAGTTTAAACAAAATTGAAATTTTTTTTTTGTCATGAACCGAAAGATCTTATAGTTATTCTTGTGAAAAAAAACGAATCATCGAACTGAATATAACGGTTGTAATAATAATAATAATAGATAGGTGTGACCTGTTTAACACATTTTTAATAAGTAAGAAGAAAGACATTGTAAATGTTGTCGTGAATGGTGGCAATTGGCAATCGAAATGGAATTAAAGAAAAAAAAAGGCAATTTTCGATTTTCGAAAAAAAAGAATTAAGTGTGACTACAGATGCATATAACAACCGATTGTTTTTTTTATTGCCATCACAATCAACTCATCTCATTTTTGTTTGATGTTTGTCGTTGAGATTTGTCCAAACAAGAATCAGATTCTTTCGTTTCTTTTTTTTTCTTATTCCTAATCTTTGCCGTTTTTTCTTTCTCTGTCCAACAACAAACATCAAACATTGGACTAACACATGATGAGAGAAAAAAAAGAATAAACAAACACAAACACATTACTATAACAATCATTTTCGGGTAGATTTTTTCTCTCCTATTTCTTATTTGAACTTTATTCGTTCGTCGGGGAATATTCTTTATTCTTTTTTTTCATTGTTATGTATTGAAATGTGTTTGTGAGTGAGTATATACTGTATTTGAAATGTAAATGTGACTTTTTTTGGCTTTGGTATCCCCGAAAAAAATCATTCTTTCCGGTTTGATAGTCCATGTCACATCATCATCATCATCATCACAAAACACTATGTAAACTCGATGTCGTTAAGACCTAGAATAAAGCTAATCTTCTCCTCACGAAAGAGAGAAAAAAAAGAGAATAAGAATGAGTTGGTATAAAAATCGAGTTAGAATCCCGATGGTGAGGGCAATAATTTTATGTTGTCATAATTTTTTTTGCTTGCCTCTTTTTCTCTTTCTTCACAGAACTGTATTTCACCCAAAATTCAACTGCAGTCTTTTTTTGGAGAACAGGCCATGAATTTGCCTATCATCATAAATTAATACCGATACCGAACAGAGAAAAAAAATTCATGGTTTTCATAGTAATTTAAGCAATTCTTTTCATTTTTATTATTATTATTATCGTGTCTTTGAATTGATTAAAATTTAAAGCTTTTTTTAGTGGAACAACAACATTCTTAACGAATAAAAAAATACTTGTATGAAGAAAAATAACATGGTTCATGAAGGATTGACGATATTAATATTTATGGGCAAGAAAAAATTTATGAATATTGTTAATTTGCATACGATTGACATTTTTAAATAAGGAAAAAAATTTTAAATTTAGCTTCTGGTTTCTGGAGCAATTAATATTCGATAATCAAATATAACGTCATGACAAATATATGCATGCATGGTGCTTTTTAAAATGGAATTTTTTTCAGAATTCGAATGAATGGATTTTTTCATTGATTTACCAGACTTTTAAACGATCGATGATGACGATCAATATATCCACACTCACACACACATTATCAATAATCGACAATCGACAAGATCTGTACGTTAATCTCGTCTCAAAAGAAAAAATATTCGATTACTAGAAATCGATATTGCAATCTTTGTCGACGTCGTGGTTTTTCATCGTTTATTGTTCACGATTCCGACCCACTATAGTCTACCACATTAAATTAATGCTAAACGATCATATTGATTCGGAAGTTAATTAACTTCGATCATCAACATTTATATAGATAGATAGTAATGAAGAGATAGTGCGTGTATGATTAAAATATTCTGCCATCATCATCATGATAATTAGTATTAATATCAAGTGATCAAAGTCATATTGAATGAATGGAACGTTTGTGTATGAAACGATGAAATTATTTTGAATTGAAAGAGATTTTTTTTTCGTAAAAAGAAAAATAATTTCGTATTTTTTTTATACACCATAATAGGATTTTGTGTTTTATTTCATCGTCATTTTTTTGAGCTATAAATATTTGTTTCTATCGACAATTAATTTCATCATTTGCCACAATGATGATATATCGTTTTTTTTGGTGTGTGTGTGTTTTGGTTGGTTGGTTGATGTCGATAAATTTTTTTTTATTCTACTCGAACAAATTCACATACAGAAAGGAATTTTTTTTTCTTGGCCAGAAGGCAGAAAAAAATCCTATGATGATTAATTCAATTTTTCATTATCATCAACCATCATAAAATCAAATGAAAAAAAATAATGATGATGCATATGACGGATTTTATTTTATTTTTTTTTTTTTTTTTTTTTTGAATTTCAGAATCAATGAGATTTTTTTTTATTTAGTTTTCAATCAATGAATTTTTTTTCATTTCATTTTCTATATCAAGATAGGAATTTTAATAAATGAAATGAATAAAATCAATTAACACCCAATGTATGAATGTTTGACGAATGATAATGATATCATCATATCATATACAAATATTATCGCTGATTAATGTTTTTTTTTCACATCTCAGAATTCATTTTTTCCATTCAATCATAAATGGATAAAGCACACAAGATAAAGTACACACGCCAATCCTGTTGTCGGTCTTTTGAAAAAATTTTTATTTTAATTGAACTTTTTTTTTATACAACGAATATCAATTTTAATAATAAGTGTGTCGATAAATGTAACTTTGGTTATATATTAGATTCTATTCATAAAAATAATAAAAAAAAAATTCATTCGAATATTTGTTTGCGCGTGTGGGCCCCTCTGGTCTAATTCGGGAATCTTGCTGAGAGATGGTTCACCCATGGTTTGTTTTTTCTTTCTCCTCTAAAGCCATCATTCATTCGTTATAGCCACACACACACACACACCCACAAAGAGATATTGGTGAAACCGAGCAGAATGAAAAGAATGACATTAAAAATGGCAAAGAAATATGGAATCGCTTTTTTTTCTTCTTTCATCGAAAATCATCATTTCTGTTTGGCTAAAAAAATTTCAATTTTTGTTTGACTGTTTTTTTTCGGATAATGTTATTCCATTAGTCATGTATGTGTGTTTTTTGGGTGACTTTTAACATTATAAACACGGTAACATATACAAGAATTGATGATGATGATGATTACGATGATGAACATACACACACACACACACGAGTGAGCGACCTAAAGCTATGCTATGTCGTCCCATTCAAAGTAAAAAGCAATTGATGTGAATTTTTTCGTTTTTGTTTTGCAAACCATTTACCATCAGAAATGATCCAAGTGATGCTAGTGTGTATTAGCAATGGGTCCCAACAAAAAAAAATATAACGCAATGAACGCGTTCAAATTTGATTCAATTTGTCTTTGGCAAATAAAATATAAAATCTCATTTTATCTGAAGATATGTGGAAAAAAATCATAAATTCATTCATAGATTCACTATATATTTGTGTGTGTGTGTGTGTGTAAATGTGTATGAAATGCCCTCGAGTGTAGATCTGAAAAAAACACCATGGTTATTGTATTTTGAAAAATTTAATATTTAATATATGGCCAACCTCAAATAATCATCGAATGAAGAGAGATTTATCCGTAAATGATTTCCTGTTGTTTGCTATCATTCTCTTTTCATTATTGATTTGTTTTTTTAAATCATCGCATCTCTTTGATAATATTTTTGTTGTTGTTCATTTTCAACTTCATCATCGAATAAATTTTCACTAAAACAGGATAAGATCAAACAAATATCTTGGTAGAGTGAGAGCAGTGAGAGGAGGAAGAAAAAAAATTGGAATGCCCATTTGTTTTCAAAGACCTGAAGTGATATACCTGCTTGCAATATATGTAAACACACACCACACACACACCTTGAAAAGTAAATTGAAAAGTTTCTTCAAAATTTCGTTGATCATGACATATACAACGAAATTCAATTTAACTTTTGTATCTTTCTCTCCTTCTCTTTCCTTGTTATCAGATCAATAATTTACAGTTTGTATCATTTAAAATTCTTAAAAATTTTTTTTTTTTTTGATCGACATCGGTTGTTGTAGGAGAAAGAAAAATCAGTGGCTAGAATTCAGTTTGCAGTGAAATTTAAATTGATTGTTTTTGTCATCACTGTTATCTGTCGTTCATCACATTTTTTTCTGTATGTGCAATGATGAAGGCAATAAAGGCATGTGTTTGTGTATGCATATGACTTACCATCTTGTATGGCCAATCGTTTCACTTCAACATAATCAGTATTCGGTATTGATAATCTACATTCATAATGTTCAGCTATTTGATTCATTGTTGTTGCTGATGATGATGATGGTTGTGATTTCAATGATAGCCTTGCACGAGATGGATTCAGTTCATTATTACTTTGAGCCATACTAGTTGTCGTTGATGATTGATTCTGTTCGATATGCGATACAAGTGTTATCGAATAAAATCCATTCGTCATTGATCGAAATGATATTATTGTAGTTGTATTAGATTCAATTTCATATGATTCTAATGTTTCGTTGATTGATTTGATTTTCAATAATTTTATCTCCGGCTCAGGATAAATACCAAAAGCAGTACAGGTTATGTTAAATCCATCATCATCATCATTATCGTTACCATCATGATGATCATTTTCTTCATCTTCAATTGCGGCCATCTCAAATGATCGTGCTGGTTCTATGTTTATATAATAAAAATAAATAGTGATTAAAAAAAATGAAAAACAAGATCAATCCATCAATCAATATCGATCGATTAAGATATGAAAATGGCTATCTCATCTTACCATAGATAACTAAATAGGTCGAATTGATTTCTTCATTTTGTAATGAGCTAACACTGCACGTATATTTTCCACTTAAAATTGCCGGTGGATTTAATAATCGTATAGCTCGATGACGAGTTTTAGGATCTTGAACAAAAAAATTCTCATCCACATATGGTTTAATCTTATCTGAATATATCCGATAATCACGTGATTGTATCCATTGATATATATGTTGTGAATCATCATTGAGAAACCATTTGACTACAAGCATTTCATCGTTGTCATCGATACTGAAATCACAATCCAATATAACTTCGATGGCAGTACCCGAACGAAATGATTGTGGACGACTTATTGAATTGATACGTACAGCTTGTGTGGTTGATGCCACCATGATGATGAAGAGGATAATAATGATGAATTTCATAATGAATGAGATTAATGTTGATGTAAAACCTGAGAAAAAAAAACCAAATATAAATCACTCATTAAAGCTAATGAATTAAAGTTAAAACAATCTCATCGCAAAAAAATGGCCATGTCCATGTTCATGTTAACACAATAGGATAGGTCATTATGTTCATTTTTTTTAATTGTTATTGCACACGAATTACTTCCATCTATAATGGCTCGATGCATCATCAATGTTTTGCCTTAATTTTCGCTGCTCATCAACAGTCTCATCTTCATTATCAGTCATAATCATCTTTCTGGCATTTGGTGAGAGAATTTTTTTTTTTGTTTATCTGTTCCATGTTTAGTTGTAAACAATTTTTCTCCTTCTAAACATGGATAAATAGATCGGTTGTTTGTATGTTTGATTGTGTGTGAGAAAATCGTGTTCAAAGAATATTGCACAACATTGTAACGATTAAAAGATTGACCATGTTCATCATCATCATCATCATCATCATCATCAACAGGGTAATATAAACGAATTTAGGAAAAAAAAAAAACAAAACAAGGCTCTTAATGAACATTAAAACAACAACAAACTATGTAACCATATTAACAATAACTATTTCAGTTTTTCCGTTGTTAGGTTTTTGATTGATGAATTCTCATTCACATTATGTATGGCCTTGGTTCTAATATATTAAATATATGAACAAAAAAACAACACGGGGAACGCTTTCAAATATCATGATATGGCTGAGAAAATGAAAAACTAAAAAAAAAATATTAGTAGATAAGACGGACATTTAGTTTTTAATGTATTGTAGATGCACCAAACATTCAATCAATCTACATTGTGTATAGTTATCAGATAGTGTGTCTGTGTGTATATATATATATTAAGCTACAGGTGGTCATCAATAATATCCAAAATATGTGTATTGCTTTGGGCAATTGATTTGGTGACATTTGCGGCAAAAATTGAAAATAACCGCTGTCACTCTATTTCCAAAATCAATCATTTTATGTCATTTCATATAATGACTTTCACTTTAATGAATCATTAATAATTTTGATGAACAACAAAAAGAAAATGATCGATAGATGCAATCAGAAGTCTTAATGAATGAAAATTACGATTCTGATATTGTTTTGATAGTATCATAATTAATTCGCTGAACATTTTATTTTGATTCGAATTACTCATATAAATACATCCATTGTATTATTGCATTCATTCAAATCTTTCATAAATAAAGAATTAACAAAAAAAAATTTACGAAATTAATTAGAACAACTTTATTGTTATCATGGACGATCGTGATCATTATTATTATTATGATGATGACTTAGTTTGCTCACTTTTTCTGATTTTTTGTTTTTTTTCTGTTACCCGATTCTTGAACAATAGAATTTCATTCATAGACTCGTCTGATATGCTTGATTATACATTATCTATCCATGATCATTATATAATATGAATGGCGACAAAGTTGCCAGATTTTTGTTTTCACATTTGGCACTAATCTTTTCATCATAATATGGTTATGTACAAATTCCAAACATATACAGATACAAGATAATCATCATATGAACATCAAAAACAAAAAGTAACATTAGATTGACTGATTGAATGGATGAATAATTAAACAAAATGTTTGTTTGTTTTGAAAGAAAAATGTGAACATTAATCTGGTCGAAAACATGATCCGAACTTAATTAACGATTCTCTCTCTCTCTCTCTGTCTCTGAATATCTCTGTGTACTCAATCGAGAATAAAGTTTTCAAAACTTCCGGATTTTTTTCTGTTTTTTGCTATGAACAAACATTTTTAATGTAATGGGATCATTCTAATTATTGTCATCAATAAAATGGATAAAGTTTTTTTACATCTATCTTCTTCGTTTTCTAATGAATCATCTCACCCGTCTAGAGATAAATGTAACCTAATTTATATTATTATTAATAACGATAATATGCAATATAAACACAACACGAAAATGAAAAAAAAGCAATCGTTTCCTTTTCAATATTTATGTATGATCAATCAGGATATACAGGTTTTGTTTTTTTTTAATAAATGAAGCTATGAATAATCAATGTGATTATTTGTGGCAATCATTAGCATTATCATCATCATCATCATCATGGCGAAAGAGCTCAACAGGTTGATATTGTTTGATAGTTTCGTCACAATCGATCGGCACAATCAATTGTGATTTGTATAAGTCTCCATATAAATATTTTGTTGTTGGTGGTCAAATATGGATATGTGCTTAGCATTTTTAGAATCGGATCATATTGTATTTGTGGGAAACTATTTTTTTTTTTTAGAGAAGAGTTTTGATTTAATTTGCATTGATTTTTGCTTGCCTGTTTATGCTATGTTATGTGTGTGTGTGAGAGAGTAAATCGAACCGCAAATCGTGAATATAAGATTTTTTCATTTTGAAGAATTTCTTTCATTTTAAGCTTCAAAACGAATTTGACTTGTCATTCACGTCTGTATGATTGTTTGATTTTTTCATACGTGCATACTGTTTTATTTTGTTTTTGATTTAATTTCCAGTTGTGCTTAATTCGATTAAGATTGAAGAAGAAAGATTGGAGAAAAAAATCGACAAAAAGGAGAAATGTTTCGAAATTGATGCGGCATGAATTATTATCAGGCCAGATTGCGATTGATCAAGTGTAATACAAATGCCATGTTGTCTTGCATCAAAAGTTGAGCTTTTTGTCTCCCGGGTGAAATATTGGCATGAAAAGTCGGAAATGTCCAAATAAATTCTGGTTATTATTAAATGATTGTTTGAGGCTAAAAATCAAATGGGCTATTTTTAGGTAATACCAATCATTTTATACGATTGAGAATGACACCTTCAATTCAAACATTTTTTTTCAAACAGATGCCACCTGCCATGAAATGAAATACAATATTAGCAAATGAAAAAAAATCTGCATCTATCATCATCATCATCATCATCATCATCATCATTATGAGGATGTTCTCAAAAGTGTATTGACCGAACCAATCCAATCGATACATTCACTCATTGACTGAATGACTGGATTTGATCAATAAAATCGAGACAACTTTCAATACGAATTGATTGGCCATTGTTTACTAATCAACAACAAATCGACTAAGTGAAAATAATGAATTTTTAGTAAATAGAAAATATAAAATATTCAACAAAGAAAGTATATTTTGTTTGTGGACAATCAATAATCAATTTGAACAATGAGAAAATGTTACCTGTCATTAGAACAAAAAAAAATAGTCAATTTATCAGTCACTTTTTCTATGGGTCAGCTTCAATAGCTTATTCAGTAATGTTGATAGAAATGCAAAATTACCATTCCATTTAATAGAATGAAAAAGAAAAAACTGTTTGACATACCCATTGATTTGTTTCTTTTTTTCGTCAATAAAATGATGATAGATAGACATCATTTTGCATGAATTCAAATTCTTCATCATCATCATCATTATAACATACTTACAAAAAAAGACACTTAGGATTATGGAACCTTATTATTTTGTGTTTGTGTGTATTTTTTTATTATTCGCATACGCATAACAAAAAACCGAATAGGATCCTATTTAAATTGTCTTGTTGAAAATTAGTTTTTTCTTTGGGAATATATCGTGACTTAATGTGATTATCACCATCAATTTATCTTCCATATAATCTCTTGTTCATTTATCAAAACAAACATCCTTATAGGCGAAACAAAACAATGTCGTCGATTGATGGAATACATCTGAATTCAAATATCTTTATCGATCTTATTTATCGATTCATTTCAAAAATGAAGATGGCTACTTTCACTGGACCCAAACACACACACACAACATATTGAATTATTGGATAAATTCTAATGTAGCCGACACACATAAGTTTAATTTGTTAGTTGAAGCGATTGCATGTTAATGTTGTTATCATCTTTATCATCACCATTATTATTATCATAATCAATGTTTGTTACCATTGTAATCAAACAAATAACGAAAAAGATTCGAAATTGCAGAATTGTTCGTTCGTGTGTGTGTGTGTTTGACATTGAATTATTGACCAGATAATATTGATGATGGTCTTTGGCCTTTAGATAATAGACAAAATAAATAGGCGACAAACGGATCGATAGGCCTCTCTATCCAAATATGTCTGACACGCAAATATAATTTCTGGGTGCTCACCGAGAGAGAAAAATGTCTATTATCAAATATATCTGTCCCTGGTATTTTTTTTATATATTAAAATATGGCAGGACGGGCACGCGATCCATTCAATTTGAACATTTCCAATTATTATTGAACAATCGTACATCCCGGAGATTGTACAATGTTTGGATGATTCACAAACACCGGCGACAACTTTTTTTCCGATCAAGATATTTCGTTGTTGGGAATGGGGAGGTCATTTTTTTGCATTTTCGTTTTTTTTGTTCGCGATTACAAAGATGTTTGTTTATTTATTTTTATTTCGTTAAGCCTAGTTGTTGGCTACTCGAATTGGTCAAAAATAGATATTAGAAACGAAAATCTCCAATAAGTATATGCTGCTCTAGGGAATTTACAACACAGATAGAATCGCTTTACATTGCGCTTTTCATCATCTTCATCATCATCAAACAATGATTATTCATTTGCCTTCGTAGAATAAACCGATAAATTTTTTTTTCGGAAGAAAAAAGTGTAGAAATGAAAAATGAATCGAAAAAAAGGAAGATGAACAACAACAACAACAACAACATTATCAAGAATCGAGAAGATTACCATATGGTATTTTTTTTTCTAAAGGTCCATTCTAATCTCAATAAAAAAATAGATTTTTCGAAATGTAAAATCAAAATAACCAACATCGTTGTATAGAATAGTGTGTATATATGAAAAAAATGATTTATTATGAGAACAATTTTTTTTTCTCGTTTCATCAGACTACTATTATGGTATTTTCTGGAAAGATTCCTCTGAAAACCAAAATAAGATCAGATTTTTTTTCAATTTTGTTCACCATTACCATTATCAATGGCAATTTTCGATGAATATCATCAATGGGTGAATGGAATTTTTTTCATTTATTTCTTTTTTCTTTGATAACACCACACAATCTTTGATTTGGCGTCGGAAGCATCAATTTATGTTGTTTTTTTTCCGATTGAAGCCAGTTGAAGTTAGTTTTCAGGTTTTTTTTAATATTTATTAGTCATGATAAATATTATTATTATGACCATAAAAGATGAACAATCATGATATCCGAAAGAAAAAACATTTTTGAATTTTATGATCAATAATTGTATTGATGGTGAAAATTATTGGACATTTTAGATGTGTGTAATAATAATAATAATAATAGAATGGCAGTAGAGAATACCTTGACCTTAAAATTGGCATGATTATTATAATACAGCAAAAAACACTATAGTGTGAAATAAAAATTGAATATATGATTCCATTTCGTAATCGATAATGACAGATTCAATATATTGTTTTGAAGCTTCCAAATTTTTTTTTTTTTTTTTTTTTTTTTTTTTTTGGTTTTTCTGAATGATAAAATATGGATAGGATAGGATGAATGTCGATCATGATTTAAATGATGATCAATTCTGTATATATAACAACAACAACAACAATGTATATTGATGACGATGATCATAGTATAATCGATGACAAAAGCATATAAGGGCAAAAAAAGGCCATATAATCATAGGGAATATATATGATATACGTTTTTATATATATGTACAAACAGGATCATGCATGATTGATCATTTGATTGGTCGAATATGATGTGTATTTTGTTGTTGTTGTTGTTGTTGTTGCCTTAAATAATGATTAGCTATATATTCTTACCAAAATAGGTATAAAGCAGCAAAAAGATTTCATTCATGGTTGGTCCATCATTCATCAATTGATGATAGTCTCATCATCATCATCATCATCATTCATCATTAATTAATTATTGTGAAAAAAGTCGATTCAATGATGAATCCATTGTGTGACATTGTTTATACAAATATATAAACTCTCACTTGGTGGTGGTTTCAGCAAAAAAAAAAAAAAAACATTTACTTGTCATATTCGATTAATGTTTTCGAGATGGCCATATTGAATGATGACTTTCAAGATGAAAAATTCATAGACACTATAGTTGGCTAGCCTAATTATTATAAATAGACTAAATGGAATGTCAATCGAAATGGAAACAATCATTCATAATAACCATATTTTATTTATCGATTATACATTGTATATTGATACTATGAAAAAAAGCCGTATCATTAACTAAATGAAGTAAACACGATAATAATCGAAAGTGATTTTCAAGTCAAAATTAGACCAAAGAATCTTGAATGTTAAAAAGATTAATTATGTTTTGATTTTCATTAAATTCAATTCTGATTCATGATGATTAACGAAAATCAAACAGAAAAAAAACAGATTTTGACATTGATCCAATAATGTGGATGATGATGATGATGATGATCATGAACAGCGGTATTTCATTTAAGAATTGAATGAAAAAAAAATAAAGTCAAAGAACTTTATTTTGATTGAACTTATCGATAACAACTTTCAATTTGGAATTGAAAACTAGGAAACAACTATGAACAAATTGAATTAAGGTTATTTTTCAGTAACAGTTTTTTTTATTTCATTCTCATTTCAATCATAATCATTGAATCCAAGTGAATAGAATTTTTTTTTCTTGGTATAGTGATCTTTAGCCAACTTCAATTGAAGGTTTCTTTCGTGTTGGTGACAACTGAAGCGTTTCACGTGTGTGTGTGTGTATGTGTATTTTTCTTTAATATGTTTGATTTGATTCTATGAATGACCGGTCAACTATATCAAAAAAAAAAAATGTTATCAAATACACATGGGAACTATATAAACAAAATGTAATGATTATTTTTTTATGATTGAAAAGACCAGATCGAATTGAAAATGAGAGTAGGAAATAAATTTTTGATTTATTGAATATCAACAATGTCCAAAAAACTTCTATGATGATAATGATGACCATTATGACGGAGCGAAAAAAAATCAAAATCAGCAAATTCAAACCATACCATACCGATGATTGTATTCAACTTGAACCATATTTCGTAATATAGTCACAGGTTATTACAATGACCGATCAAGTGTTTCTGTGTCTGTGTGTGTGTGTGCTCAAACACGTATCATTCAATGCATTATAAGTGTATCACAGGTATCATTATGAATTTTCTATCTGGTCAACATACACACACACACAGAGAGAGATAAAACGAAGATGATCCAGGCTGATTTAGACAATTTGACCAACCACTGATTTAAATGGAAATTTATGATGTGCTATCATTATAATCATCATCATTGATGACGTTAAGTGATGTTGTTGTACATTGTATGCCTGTTTTGTTTGCTGAAATTTTTTCCCCTCTCTCTCTCTCTCTTTCTTCATCTCTTTCGTGGCCAATCGAGCATCCATTAAGACATGTCATGAGAGCCATAAAGAAAGATTCGCATAAGAAAAAAAATCGGATGTATCTTGTGATACACCGACCGAGAGATTTGGACAAAACAAAACAAAGCAAAATGGAAAAAAACCCGACCCGACAGACCAATTGATTGATGAAACATTGATTTTTTGTATATGAATAAAATGAAATGAACCTTGACTTTTTTCATATATAGTGAAAGTCCATTTATTCTTTCCTTTTTTTCTGATCAAGTTTGTTATGTCTATAAATGTGAATAACAACAACAACAACAACATGCATCAAAAAAACTTTAATGGATCTTAATCATTCCCAGATGAATGAATGACTGACTAACAAGATGAAATGGATTCAATGATTGAGTCAAAGTGTGTAAGTGTGTGTGAGGGGCAAAAAGTGGCACGAGTAAAATGTACTGGACATACTAAAATCTGGGTTGTTTAAATCAATTTACAGCCAAAACAAAACAAAAGAAAATTTCTGGTCGGTCGATATATTTACCGAAATTTTTGAAAAAAAGGGAAGAAAAATTCACTTAAATACTATACTACTTGATGATGATGCTTGTCATTACAAATGACATGATGAACAAGGTATACACAACGGCGCTAATGGATCGTTACATTTTTCTTTGAACTTTGAACTTGAAAGCTTTTTGATTCAATTGTTTTTTTGAAAAATGGGTATAGTTTAACCGAATCTATTAGAGTACAAAATGTTTTTATCGATCAATCAAATAGCAATATATGTGTGTGTGTATTTTGTGTACAGAGTGTACACATTAAATTGATCCACTCGATTTGAAAAGCAAAGACAAGTGAATGAATGAGTGAGTGTTAATTTATGGATTGCCATTACCGGGAATCACCAGATAAAAGTCGTTGTTGATCTCAATATAAATCACTTGTATGAGATAGATTTCTCTTTTTTTTCTTCTTTCCCTCTCTATCATTTTACCTGATATAACCATTACCGGATCCAAATATTTTAGTGCAACGAAAACAAAAAGTTAATTTATATCATTCACAAGTGATTTGATTATTTTTATTTGAATAATAATAAACAATTTTAATCCTATAAATTATAGCATCGAATGAATGGATGGATGGATGGATGGATGGATGTTCAAATTTGAATTGAAAACACTTTTTTCTTCTTGTTTATTAATATTAAACATCAACACTTTATTGATGTTCATTGATGATGATGATGATGATGACAAAGCTTCTGGTGAAAAAATTGTTTTTTGTTTGGAAAATTCCCAAAAGAAAAAACAAGTCAGCAAAAAAAAAATAAGATTCAATCATGAAAACGATGTCTGCCATAGATGCCAAAGGCTCACTAATCAATTATAGCTTAAAACCTTTTTTTTATTTTTTATTTGCAGCCGATTCATTAGAAGTAAAAGTTTGACCACCATCATAAATATCAACATTGAAAATGGTTTTAATGGTGCTCTAGCGATGATGATTATGATGGGCATTACAAGATTTGTCGGTAATGTGAATGTTTTTTTTTTAGGTAAATGAATGAAAGAAACAACACAAAGACAAGACATTACATTATAGATATTCATATCGTCGGTGTTGGTGGCCTATACAAGAGAAATATATTAAATTCATAGTCAAAACATTTTTATCAGAATATTGTGCAAGGTTCATTTGTTTGTTTTTGTTATGGTTATACTATTACAATTTCAATGATCAAGTTGATCATTAAACAAGAGAAAGAATTTCTTTCTGTTTTTCTTTTTGGTCTAAAAAAAACATTCACAGATCAGACATTTTTTTTGGACAAGTTGCAAGTTGACCATTTTCAATTGATTTTGTTCTATGATTCAAAAAATGCCAAGTATTGTGTATTATACAACATTTTTTAGACATAATGTAATGAAAACACTTGAACACACACACACATTTGAAGAGAATCTTCAATTATGGTATAATCGTCAAGTGTACATAGTTTGAATCGATATACATGATGATAATGATGAACACAGATTTCAGTGTGTTTATGTTCATAAAACACCACATGTTGAATTCAGTTTTCCCCGTCGGATATTTGACGAGTCAGTAGAAGAATTCCTGATTTAATGGTGTTTGTCGATGCAAGTCAACATGCAATTGGTATCGCAAGTTATCTAACAAATGGTCAGCAGCTAACGTTAATCTATGCCAAATCCAAATTGATCAAAACCACGAAAGATTGTATGCGCTGAGCTCTTGGCGTTGTCGGCTGGTGCCAATACAGCCAAAACATTGGGAGATCTCGTGAATGCTCGACACATAATATTGTTCTCTGATTCCATGGATAACGTAAAACGTTTAGAAGAAGACATGAACAAATATCCGTATCCTGTGGCCGTCCATTTGTTCAACATAAAATCAAAAATCAGTGAGATTCGACACATACGAGGAGAAATCAATCCTGCTGATGCATTCACTAGAGGAGTGACGGTTGACGAATTGAAGAAGTTACATCGATTAAATTATCACGATATTATTGAACTACAAGATGTGGTGGTTGGTGTTGGTTTGACAGTGAACGGTTCCTCGGAAAAATATGATATTTCTAAATTGGATCTTGATAGCAAACGACCTTATAACCAATGGATCGAGCTTGTGCAACAACAATCTGACGATTGGAAAAAATCCATCGATGAAACTATGAATGAATTGACCATATTAATCAAAATTAATCAACGAAGGTTCCTGGACGACCATTTCGACAAACACATTCCAACATTTCGTGATGATCAAGGCCTGGTACGATGTTTGACACGACTGGAGAATTCAGATTTGAGTTACGACGAAAAATACCCGATTGCGTTGCCGACATGTGAATTCACGTTAGCATTGATGGAATGTACACATGAAAACGATGAACATGGTTCTGTGAATTATACATTGGCCAATTTTCGCATGAAGTACTTCACACCACGTGCACGACAACAATTCATAAAAATCAAAAACCGATGTTCTAAATGTCGCCAATTACGTACCAAACCATTGCAAGTATCGCTTGGTAATCCTCCTAGTACAACAGTGGTATTTCATTTAAGAATTGAATGAAAAAAAAAAAGTCAAAGAACTTTATTTTGATTGAACTTATCGATAACAACTTTCAATTTGGAATTGAAAACTAGGAAACAACTATGAACAAATTGAATTAAGGTTATTTTTCAGTAACAGTTTTTTTATTTCATTCTCATTTCAATCATAATCATTGAAACCAAGTGAATAGAATTTTTTTTTCTTGGTATAGTGATCTTTAGCCAACTTCAATTGAAGGTTTCTTTCGTGTTGGTGACAACTGAAGCGTTTCACGTGTGTGTGTGTGTGTGTGTGTATTTTTCTTTAATATGTTTGATTTGATTCTATGAATGACCGGTCAACTATATCAAAAAAAAAATGTTATCAAATACACATGGGAACTATATAAACAAAATGTAATGATTATTTTTTTATGATTGAAAAGACCAGATCGAATTGAAAATGAGAGTAGGAAATAAATTTTTGATTTATTGAATATCAACAATGTCCAAAAAACTTCTATGATGATAATGATGACCATTATGACGGAGCGAAAAAAAATCAAAATCAGCAAATTTCAAACCATACCATACCGATGATTGTATTCAACTTGAACCATATTTCGTAATATAGTCACAGGTTATTACAATGACCGATCAAGTGTTTCTGTGTCTGTGTGTGTGTGTGTGTGCTCAAACACGTATCATTCAATGCATTATAAGTGTATCACAGGTATCATTATGAATTTTCTATCTGGCCAACATACAGAGAGATAAAACGAAGATGATCCAGGCTGATTTAGACAATTTGACCAACCACTGATTTAAATGGAAATTTATGATGTGCTATCATTATAATCATCATCATTGATGACGTTAAGTGATGTTGTTGTACATTGTATGCCTGTTTTGTTTGCTGAAATTTTTTCCCCTCTCTCTCTCTCTCTCTCTCTCTCTCTCTCTCTCTTTCTTCATCTATTTCGTGGCCAATCGAGCATCCATTAAGACATGTCATGAGAGCCATAAAGAAAGATTCGCATAAGAAAAAAAATCGGATGTATCTTGTGATACACCGACCGAGAGATTTGGACAAAACAAAACAAAGCAAAATGGAAAAAAACCCGACCCGACAGACCAATTGATTAATGAAACATTGATTTTTCGTATATGAATAAAATGAAATGAACCTTGACTTTTTTCATATATAGTGAAAGTCCATTTATTCTTTCCTTTTTTTCTGATCAAGTTTGTTATGTCTATAAATGTGAATAACAACAACAACAACAACAACATGCATCAAAAAAACTTTAATGGATCTTAATCATTCCCAGATGAATGAATGACTGACTAACAAGATGAAATGGATTAAATGTTTGAGTCAAAGTGTGTAAGTGTGTGTGAGGGGCAAAAAGTGGCACGAGTAAAATGTACTGGACATACTAAAATCTGGGTTGTTTAAATCAATTTACAGCCAAAACAAAACAAAAGAAAATTTCTGGTCGGTCGATATATTTACCGAAATTTTTTGAAAAAAAGGGGAAGAAAAAATTCACTTAAATGCTATACTACTTGATGATGATGCTTGTCATTACAAATGACATGAACAAGGTATACACAACGGCGCTAATGGATCGTTACATTTTTTTCTTTGAACTTTGAACTTGAAAGCTTTTTTGATTCAATTGTTTTTTTTGGAAAATGAGTATAGTTTAACCGAATCTATTAGAGTACAAAATGTTTTTTATCGATCAATCAAATAGCAATATATGTGTGTGTGTGTGTATTTTGTGTACAGAGTGTACACATTAAATTGATCCACTCGATTTGAAAAGCAAAGACAAGTGAATGAATGAGTGAGTGTTAATTTATGGATTGCCATTACCGGGAATCACCAGATAAAAGTCGTTGTTGATCTCAATATAAATCACTTGTATGAGATAGATTTCTCTTTTTTTTCTTCTTTCCCTCTCTATCATTTTACCTGATATAACCATTACCGGATCCAAGTATTTTAGTGCAACGAAAACAAAAAGTTAATTTATATCATTCACAAGTGATTTGATTATTTTTATTTGAATAATAATAAACAATTTTAATACCATAAATTATAGCATCGAATGAATGGATGGATGGATGGATGTTCAAATTTGAATTGAAAACACTTTTTTATTCTTGTTTATTAATATTAAACATCAACACTTTATTGATGTTCAATGATGATGATGATGACAAAGCTTCTGGTGAAAAAAGTGTTTTTTGTTTGGAAAATTCCCGAAAGAAAAAACATGTCCGCAAAAATATAAGATTCAATCATGAAAACGATGTCTGCCATAGATGCCAAAGGCTCACTAATCAATTATAGCTTAAAACCTTTTTTTTATTTTTTATTTGCAGCCGATTCATTAGAAGTAAAAGTTTGACCACCATCATAAATATCAACATTGAAAATGGTTTTAATGGTTCTAGCGATGATGATTATGATGGGCATTACAAGATTTGTCGGTAATGTGAATGTTTTTTTTTAGGTAAATGAATGAAAGAAACAACACAAAGACAAGACATTACATTATAGATATTCATATCATCGGTGTTGGTGGCCTATACAAGAGAAATATGTGAAATTCATAGTCAAAACATTTTTATCAGAATATTGTGCAAGGTTCATTTGTTTGTTTTTGTTATGGTTATACTATTACAATTTCAATGATCAAGTTGATCATTAAACAAGAAAAAGAATTTCTTTCTGTTTTTCTTTTTGGTCTAAAAAAAACATTCACAGATCAGACATTTTTTTTGGACAAGTTGCAAGTTGACCATTTTCAATTGATTTTGTTCTATGATTCAAAAAATGCCAAGTATTGTGTATTATACAACATTTTTTAGACATAATGTAATGAAAACACTTGAACACACACACACATTTGAAGAGAATCTTCAATTGTGGTATAATCGTCAAGTGTACATAGTTTGAATCGATATACATGATGATAATGATGAACACAGATTTCAGTGTGTTTATGTTCATAAAACACCACATGTTGAATTTGGTTCTATATGTTTTATTTATTTATTTATTCACATGGTTTGGCCATTTTATATTCATTATATTTTGCCATATGTGTTTCAAAATCGGTGTGTCTTACGAGTGTATATCAGATATATAGTTATTGGTAATTTTTGGTGATATAGGTCTTAATTTGAGGAAGAAAAAAGATAAAAATGTTGATGAATACAGCACATGTGTAAAAATCAAACCAAATGTTTTTCAATGTTCCAGAAATTTTTTTTTCAATTTTTTTTCTGGAAAAAAAACCAACACCACTGGATTGAGTAATGTGAATAATGGAGCATAAACAAACAATTGTGTAAATGATGATTGGTTGATGATTCGTTTTAAATTACATCTTTTACTTATACACCATAAAGCTCATTCATGATGGTAAATGATCCGGTAAATAAGAAAGTGAATGAGCGATAATCAACAGCAACAATATCAACAATCATCATCATCATCGCTATCATCAAAAAAAAGGTTTTTTTATTGTACATATGAATGTCATTACTTTTATATTTTAATTCGAGATATATATTGCCATCATTAACATCGAATACTGTGGATCATCATTATCATCATCAAGATGATCATTCTGCTTGTTGATCACTTTAATCGTGCCAAAAACAAGTAGTTGATAATGGTTATTTTCGACGACGATTTTGATGAAAACAGGAAAAAGATTGTCAGAAGGTGTCACATATACTTGATATGGCTTCCTTAATTATGGTATCCTGATCAATTATTGAAAATTGACCAGTTTTCTTCAACTTTTAAAAATTTAAAATTTCGACCATTCAAATGACATGAGGTGTTGAATGTGTGAATAAATTGTGGCTATAAAACAGCCATATAGCCAAAAAAGATAAAAAAAAGAAAATAAAAAACAGGAAGATTGTAAGCCACATGTGTTCCTAAAGCCTACTGATTGACTATTTTCATTAACCAAAATATATTTTGATCGTCAAAAAAAAACAATTTTGAAACGACCAAAAAGCTAAATGAATTTTTTTTTTGGGTATCATTTTACATCAGTTTTTTTCGTTAAAAAAATTCGTTAAATTACCAATTTTGTGATTGAAAATAAATAGTCCGCATATGTATGAGAAGGAATGATCCAGTTAAAATTGTTAATATGAAACTAAAAGATCATATATTCATTGTGGGTGTATATACAAAACAAAATTCAGCAACACCATATGTACCAAAAACAAAACAAACAAAGCCATGGTCCAAATTCAGATGGCAATAAAAAAAAATGGAAAAAAAAAACTAAAAAAGTCTGTATCGACAGTGGTAATAAATTTTTTTAACACTGTTTTGTTTCATCAGCGGGACATAATAAGAAAAAAAAAGAAAAACAAAGAATTATATGCTTTTAGAAATCAAAATGAAAAATTCTTAACATTAATTTAAGAGTTGTGTGCTTTTATATGCTAACAAATACAGTGATTCTGTGAGTGGCAATAAGAGTAAATGTAAATGAAATTGTCTAGAAAAAAATGTATGACATAAACGATCATCGTCATCATCACGGTGATGATGATGATGATGATGATGTTACTAAATACAGAGAGACAGACAGTATGAAGACATTTCAAAAGAATTGTTGTTGACTGTTTTCAACAACAACAAACAAACAAACAACTATTTATTTCGAAATGAAATCAATTCATATTCAGGATTCTAAAATCATTTTTGTCATTTCTAAATACAACGTATATAAACTATTTAATACAGTTGTATTTTTACTAGGAAAGAAAAAATTACCATTATTCATCGGTAATACATTTTCATTTAACCATGATGATGGTTTTGTCAAAAAAAAAAAAAAAAAAATATCGGCAAACTAAATGTAAAATATTCAATCAATCATTGGATAAGAAAAAAAATCTTCAATAACAAATATTCTGGCATTCTTTCAAAGAATATTTCAATGAAACATCATAAGGAAAAGGAAGTTCCATTTCTAGATGATGATCATAAAATAAATGAATGAATGTCTTTTTTATATATTTTGTCGAACAACATGGCAATGAAAGAAAAAAAATGAAAAGTGAATTAGACTTTTGTATTGAAAATTCATTTTTCATACGAAATTCAATGAATGAATGGGAATGATAAAATTGAAAATTGAAAAAAATGAAAAAATCGTGCACTACAAAACTAGATCATCACTATTTAGTAAAATATTCACAAAATGAATCAAATGTGAATTCATTTAACAATGGTGTATGGACATCCATTTATGTTTTCACTTGTTGTTTTCGTTTTTTTTTTTTTTTTTGATTTTTGCTCCGAAAAAAATAAATGTGTTTTTTTCTGTGATTCCACACATGTCAATACATATACAATGAATATGAATTGAACAAAAATTTTTTTATTCAGCCATACATTTTTGAAACATACATGCAATCCAGTGTGTATATGTTTGTTGTGTTCTGTTCTATTTTTTGCTACGAAAAAAAATTTTTTTTTCTCAGAATAAAAATATTCAAGAATCTTATTGCCAAATACAATCATTAACATCATTCATTCATTACCATGAAAAAAAAATTCACTCTACTTGTCGGCTGTCTATCTTACTGTGTGTTTTTCGAGAAAAAAAAAATAATGATTTACCATTCGGAAACAAGTTTCCATAGAAAAAAAAGAGCAAAAATCCGAAATAACATTTTGTTCGAACTAATTGATGATCAATAAACACATCATAAAAATCAAAGTGGAAAAAAAGTTTTTTTTACCAAACTTGATGTTTTATGGCTTCCATCGACATTCCAGCACACATAAACACACACACACACATGAACATCTTGACTTGAAGTTTTTTTTTATTATCATGAATGCTGTATTCTGGATTTTTTAGTGATGATGATGATGAAAAAAGGTGAAAAAATTTTCTTTTTTTTCTAGAAAGGAAAATTCAATGAGTTTATCACACCTGTTGAATAACAACAATATATATTGGCTTAATCCGATAAAGCTTACAGACTAGATAATAAACGTCAGAAGCATATTATATATAAAACGACGATTCGCAAATGAGGCAAATCAAATTAACAAGAATAATGTGTCATCTTCTCTCTCTTTCTCTTTCTCCTTTTTTCTATCTATGCCACTTCAATTGGTAATAAACAAATTCTAAAGAATCTAAAGTAGTGGATGAGAACCGCTATACAGAGTAATGAAAAAGAGCAACAGAATGAAAACCACAACCATAAGGGATTTACTCACACACACATACACACACACAAACACATTAAGATACACATAACTTGGGATTTCGATCCTTCCATCATATCAAGACTATGACGATGATCATCATCATCATCATGAGAAAATGCAGCTCACCCTTGACGGCGACATTTTTTTTTCTTCTTCTTTCCATTTGATTATTATTTCATTCCATTTCATTTGTTTCTTTGTCAAAACGAAAAAAAAACTCACTCTTGTCATCACAAACATTGAACATCATTATCATCATCATTATATATAAAGTCGACATTAAAGTCGATGAATTTCTTTTCTTATATGAATCAAAATCTCCCGAAAGCAGAATCAGAGTATTTAGAGAAAAAAAAAAGGGGAAAAATTGTGTGTGTGTGTGTGTGTGTGTATGTGTACGACATAGTCTGATAATTTTTTTTCTTTCCATCTTAATTGCTATTTTTTTAAAAAAATGAAAAAAAATTTTGAAATAATCATGCTACATATAAGTATATGTGTATGGCAATTATGTGTTCGAAAAAAAAATGAATTGAATTGAAAATAAAAACAAAAAAAAATGAAATGAAATGAAATGTGTGTGTGTGTGTGTGTGAATCACCAATTATTAAGCTTAGCCCTCAATAGTTATTAATTTTCAATTTTTCCTTTTTCTTTCTTTTTGTTCTTAAATGATAATAATAATAATAATAATAATCTGATAATGATGATGCCAATCATTATTAAGATGATCGAGATTCATTCAATCATTAAATCCTTCAATTGATTGGTTCACAAAATCACATATATCACAGTCACATACATGCAAACACAAATTATATATTAACCTGGCTGTAAACTTTTTTTCTCCAACCATTGTATGTTTGTGTGACACCTGTTGCGACCGATTTTATAATAATAATAAGAAAAGAAAAAAAACAATCCATCGAATCGATTGAAAGTAATTAAAATGTCTGATGATTGGTAACATTAGTTAGTGTTGTTCGAGGATGTTGTTGTTATATTCAATGATGGTGACAAATGAAATGAATAAATGAGAAAAAAGGGCCATATATGAAATTGACATAATAGAAAACAACAGATAGACAAAAAAAAATTGAATAAGAAATGGTGAATGAATGGAATAATAATAAAATGGAAAAAAAGAACGCGCCCAATTGTCGCGACAATTGACAAACGGACGTGTATATTTGATTGTCACCAAATGAAATAAAGAAAAAAAAATTAATTTGAATGTCAAATTGTTGGTTGTTGTCGTTGTCGCCGTTTTTTTTTTTTCGTTGTTGTTGTTATCAATCTGATTAGCCTCTTTACATTTGAAAATGATTTACCTAATGCTATCTATATTGTTGTTTTCTTTTTTTCTATTCATTTAAATGAAATAGATGAAAAAAAATTCTTAAGGATAGGATTGTGACACGTAACTGGAACACTGGAGTAGTAGTAGTAGTAGTGATATATTTGGCCCGAATTTCAATCATTGTCCGTGTTTCTTGTTTTTTTTCCTTGTTATTGTCATTGTAATTATTACCATTTTTATATTCATTGACAATGTTGTTTAATAGTTTTTTTTCTATAACAACAACAACAACAACAAGGAATGAAAAATATTATTCATTTCACATAACAACATTTGTTGTGACATTATCTATTATATGAATATATGTGTTGGAATTCTAGACACGATCATCATAGAAATTTATCAAAAAAAAAAAATGGACAATCAATTCATTTGAATACAGTAACTTACCCGAACAACAATTGATGATTGTTGTTGATGGTGGTGGTGGTGGTGACATTTTTCTTCTATTTGAATTGTTGAATATAATGTTGTTGGTGGTGGTGGTGGCCATCATCATCATCATGTTGTCGTATGATTTAGCCGGAATGATGTCCTGTTGTTGTTGTTGATGATGATGATGATGAGACATGGTTCTTTTTTGTTTATCGCGTTTGATACTTTTTTTGATGTGGATGAATGTGGAAAGTTGATAATTATATTGAATTTGTTTTTGGATAATTTTAATGAAAAATAAAATAAAATATTTTTTTTCGGTCTTTTGCTTTGGTTTTTTTTTCAATCACTACGAACAAGATGTAATTTTTTTTTCGTTCGATAATATTCTTATCTATATATATACATCGACAAACTATGATATGTTCATTTGTTGTCAACAACCACGTGATGATAATGTTGATAACAATAAACATAAACAAGAAGATAATGGTGGCTACTGTTGTATATAACAAATGACAAAAAACAGATTGCAAAATGAAACAAGTGTTGTATGAAATTAGTTTCAATATTTTTTCGTTGCTAAAATGGTCTGGATTATTATCTTTTTTTGAAAGATAAAAATATGTAAAATTTGACAATGTCAAAGTTCGACACACATACACACAGAAAGAAACGAAAGATAATGATGATTATGATGTTGTTTGATCATGACCATATGTAAAATGTGAAAGATTCCGTTTATTTTTCTCGTTGTCCAAAGATTAAATAATTGTCCTTTGTTAAAGATGATGAACAGAGATGTGAGTTGTATTTAGAAAGATATCACAAAAACAAGGATTGATGTGCAATCTGCATCCAAAGAAAATAAAAAGATTTTTATTTGATGGAAAATTGAAAGAAAACAAAATCGCCTGGGAATTATGGCCGGATAATCACCAACCATCGTCAGCATCAACAGCACCAGGCTTATTATTCTATCGTTATTATTTTGTTTCCACTTTTGACCAATTCTCTCTCATGCTTATGATCATTGAAGATAATTTTTACAATATAGCTAAAATGATGATAATAAACAAAATAAAAAACCATAGAAACAAATTAGATGATTGAATACTTGCTTCAAATTAAATGAATGAATGACGATTCTATGCATAGATATGAATGAAAAAAAATAGTTTTAAAAAGAAATGTTCATTTTGTTTGGTTGTTTGTTTGTTTTTAAAAATTCTGATGATTCAGGATTCTTGCTTTGCAATGAATTCGTAATAATAACAACAGAAAAAATAAACAAAAATCCAAATTGAACTGATTCATGGCTTAGGTATGAAAGAATTTTTAACGAAATTTTCACAGAATGTGAAAATATAAACTCTTGATGAATGAATGAAATGATGATCATCAATGATGATCGAAAAGGAGTTGATTTGCTAAATCAACAGCCATAAATGTTTAGCCTATAAGTACCAAACATTAATTATGATGGCAATATGGGCGGCCAATAAATTTGTATGTGTGTGTTTGGTGTGGGTATTGCCAATTGAAATGTGTTTTGTGGTATCGTCATTATCATCGAGTCGATGCATTTATTAATATTATTGACAACCATTTCAAGTTGATGATGATGGTGGATATGGTAGGTTGTTTCAAAATTTGAATTGAAAATTTTTTTTCTTCCCCATGAATTCAAAGGAAGAGGGGGAAAAAATCGAATCATAATAATAACTTTATTTAACTCACAATTAAACACGCACACAAATATATTCATAAACGACGATTATCATCATTTTATATTAAAAAAAAAAAAAAAAATATTTAGAGTAGGATGTATGGTCATTTATTTATTTGATCATTCATTCAAATATGAATGGCCATTCTAAGTGTCAGTGTGTGTGTGTGTGTGTACAATTCATCATCTTTTATATATGAAATGTATGAATAATTTTTCTGTTGATCATGTCAGATGTTACATTATCATCATCATCATCATCATCTTTTGAAGTAAAAGAAACGAGTATAAATGGACAAAATTACCATTTAAGAGTTTGTCCAGAGTTTTTTTTGTTGTTGATTATCATTTCATCTTCAAAAATGGTGGAAATAAATGAATTGGATGAAGAAGTGTAATGTAGCACAAACACACACACACACACACACACACACACACATCAACAAGAACAAATGGTTATGAATATGAAATGTATCCATTTCCATGATGGATCGGATGATGATTGAATCTATCATACATCTGTACTGGAAAAAAAATTCCATTTACAAATTAATGGATGCGGCAAGTATATATAATCTATATGGGCGGTGGCTGATAATCAAAAAAAAAAAAAAAAAAAAATTTCTATTTGTTTGTTTGTTTGTTTCAATGAAAATTCTGGTTATTGCATACAACGTGCAAAATTCACATTCATAATCATTCATTTGTGACCCCGGTTTTTTTATGATCACCATCACCATTGATGATTGTTGAATGCTAGACCAGAGAGACCAGACACAATGTGTGCATCATCATTTTTGTTGGCTGGTTATATTTTTCTGGTTGGCTGACTACTATCTTGGATGTTACAGCATACATCGGTTTAAAATAAAAATTGAAACCAGAAGTAATAACCAGTGAATGAAGAATGAGAATGTAGCATCACTTTATACACTACATATTATGATACAAGATATTGTTGATTCGATTGTTGTCCATTGATAGTCACGCATGAGAATTAAATTATAAATTTTTATTCAAATTATGGAACCAGAGAAAAGATCCAAAAATAGCCACCATCACTAATCATTACAGAGAATTGTGATGGTGGCATCGGGATTTATTTTACTACTAGTGAATAAAACCTCATTTTGACAAACATACTCTCACAATTAAGATTTTTTTTGCTTACTGTTTAAAATAAAATTTGACATTACAAGATGAAGATTATCCATCCACAATCAACGACCACAATACACATACATACATTAATAATAAAGTATAATTCAAATTGAATACACAAAAAAAAATCACATACATCTTAAGGTCATCAGATCATGGTTTCGGTTGACATTCAATCCTTTTTTTTGTTTCTAATATAAACTGTAGAGATTTAGCCACCTTAAATGAATGTGATATTCGCTGTTAGGTCAAATGACATATATTTCAAAAAAAATGAATCAATTCTTACCCAAAAACATATGTTTACCAGATGTGTGTGCGTGTCCAAATGGCCGTAAAAAATGGATTCATCAAACAGATAGGGTCATCTCATTAAAAACAACAAAAAAAATATGTTTACCACATGTGGGTGTGTTTGTTGGTTTCAATTTGATAATAAATGTTGGGTCACATAAATAAACAGATTTAACCGAAAAATTTTGACAGTAACAAACAGCAACAGGCTAGTGTTCACGCAACGAAAGCTACATTCAAACTGAATCCATTAGTTTGAAATCAAATGTTTTGCCTTTTTTCTCTCTTATTTCATTTTTATTTATCAATGTCTGTATATGTGTTCGCTAGTGTGTGAAGCAGAAGCAACAGTTGAAGAATAAAGCTAAAAAATAGTAGAATAACTTAACGTTTAACGTTTATATAATTCTATTTTGAATTGCTAGTTACATAACACAAACCCTTTTCGTTTATGATTCTAGAATGAATGATTAATTAATGAATCGAAATGGATATTTTTAATTTAAAAATCAATTTTATCGATCCAAAAAAAATTTTGTTCCTTCTGATTAAGATTTCAAAAAGATTCCAACAGATTTCTATGCTACTACTTCTTTTACTCCTCCCCTTTTTGGTCCACTGAAAATAGTATAAAGCTACGATTTTGGCCCTCCTCATTCTTATGTTGTTGTATGCTACTACGAATATTTTATTCAATAAATATCCGGTATAAAGAAGAGAAACTTTCTTAAAATCAGTATTATCTGTGCGCACGTTTGATTGTCATCTTATAACTTGAAGAGTTCAGTCTAACATTGGCATTCATCATGGTCTGACGTTATATCGGTAGTGTGTTCTGGTTTCTTTTTCCATATCAGATTCCTATGAGATATCGTCGATATTCCCTATGAAGTGTAAAGTGCTACATCTAGGTGGCGCTCGCTAACATTTGATTTAATTTTCATCTGTTTTCACTTGTTGCCATCCATTCGTTGAGAATCAACTAATTCGCTAATTTTTCATTCAGTGAAAATTTACTTTTCTTCAATTGAATCCATCTAAGTGTATAAGTGGTTACCCGCATTTTGTGTATAATTTTGATAATAATAATTATAAACCCATAAAAATATGTAAGTTTATTGTCGATTTCGAATTCAACGAGACTGTTGAACAACAAAATTGAATGTGTGTGTCTGGTGCCGAAAAAACTTATCAAATTCAAATAATAATTATCAATGTTGGTGGTTTCTCTTTTTTTTTATTTGGTTCCAAAAATATGTTCCTTTGGAAAAAAAACCTAATCACTCAATCAATGTAATAATTGTTATGAACAACAAGACCACCAGCAAGTAAGTCGGTAGCTATGACAATCACCAAATACCAAGTATATACTTTCTGTCTCTATGTTTGTCTACTGGTTTCCACCTGCGTTAGGTCGATAATTTTCTATAGTAACAATTTTGATCATAATGACCTACCTACGACCCTTAATGATAATAATTATTACCCATTGGTGACCAACAAAACTCATTTAGCGACTAATAATTCGATGATTGATTAGTTGCTCGAGTAATTTTTTTCCTTTTTGATTTGAAATCAATGTACATTTGCTAAACTTATCGATGATGAATGAATGAATGAATGAATGACGAATGGTTCTGATTATTATATTCAATTACACACACACACAATTGCAATTACACATTTGGCCTATCTCGAAGTTATGCCAACCAGTCGACCAGTCATTCAACTAGCCAACCAAGCTGTCATGCTTGCCATAGCTTCATCATCATCATCATCATGGTCATGATGGTCATGATTGGCGCCATTTGCCATCGGTCATTTTTATTTTACCTGTCATTCCATACCATACTTTCTATAAAAATTCTGATTGACTCTGATAAACCATCTATCTGTGTGTGTGTGTATTTTTGTATATGTGTCAGAGTACGAGTGATGATAGTAATTGTGTGATTTCTCCATGTATAGATGGCTATCAACTTTGTTGTTATCCACAATTCTATGATCATTATGAACTTTGTCGATTCAAACTGATTGATCGATAGATTTTTGGTATGATCTATTCATGTATATGAATTAATGTCATTGGTTTTTTTTCGAATATAAATTTTCCAATATGAATTAGTTAAAAACTTTGATAATAAACTATATCTATGGTCATAATGATGAGATTTAAAGATGATGTTCATTATCAATTTGTCACGTTATATGTGGTTTTGATAAAACTAAAAGGAATTTGGCCCATGTTGATTTGTTTTGTTTTTTTTTTTTTTTTTTTTTTTTGAAAAAGGGCTTGCCTCTAATGTCATCTTGGTATAATTATCATTATAGATTGTCATAGCCATATGATGATTGTAATGCTTATGTCATAGGTGTGTGTATCATTATGAATTCAATTTTTTCTTTCTTTTTCCGGCCATGATTTTTGTCAATTTTATTTTCAGTCGAGAATTTTCTTTTAAACTGTCCAAAAAAAAACAGAACAAGTTGTTTGAGTATTTAAGTTAGATTATAAACAAAATCCCCAATATAAATCCATTTTTTGTTTTGTTCCCATTATTTTCGATTCTTCTCATAATTAAATCAATTGACATCATCATAATCATGATGATGATTATGATTATGACTACTTGATTTAGTATTTATTTATGTTTGTGAGCATTTGTTCATTTGTTCATTGGTTTATACACTTGTTTGTTGTTGTTGTTAATTGCTCTAATTAAAGTTGCATGTTTTCATATATTAAATACGATCAACAAATAAATGTATTTCTTCAACAAGGGACAAATAATTGTAATTAATGACAAATCATATTCTAGCCGAGAATATGGTCATTGTTCGGATGATGATGATGATGAGGCTTAAGCACGCATTAAATGATGAGATGATGATGGTCATGTTACTAAACAACAACAACAACAACAAGAAGAGGGTATTTATGAGCGGTAATTACATAGATACATAGAGAAAGAAAAAAAACCACAAGAACATCATTATACGAATTAATATATCATTTCAACGGTTTTTTTTTTTTTGCATTTATATAGATGGATACAAGTTTAAAAAAAAAATTCGTGACTAAAATCCAATTGATTGATATAAAAGAATATCCAGTAGCCATATTCAATGATAAACTGACCATTTGTTGTCAAAAAAAAAAAATATTATATATCGAAATTGTTTTTTTTGAATCTGAATATGAATTTTTCGATCATTATATTGATGGTTGAGTGCTGAATTGCTTTTGTCTTGCATGTTTGAGTGTGATTGCCCCGATTAGTACAATGACCTCTAATTTGTTCTAATGATAATCGGTGGATCATCTTTGGTTTTTGGCCATAATGGATGGTAAATAATAAATTAAAATCCACAATTAAAATAAAATCAAATGTCATATATTCAACAATGAAACGAATATTTGTTGAACAATAATACTTTGTGAACAAAAAAAAATTCCATATGAATCCAATTGATATTCAATTCGTTGTGTGGCGATGGTGGTAGTAGCATCTTTATTCATTCATCAAAATATTTTATTCTCATATACAATATGACAATGGTGACAACAACGACAACAACAACAACAACAACAACAAAAATTGACAAAAGAGCTTGTGATTTCGCCAAAGGCATTGTCCCATCACCTGTGTCTCATATTTCGTTATTATTGTTGTTGTTGTTGTTTTTTTTTCATCATCATGATACCTATCTGGATGTTTTTTTTTACTGAATAATATATGTTTTTTGTGTGTGTGCGTGTCTAATGTATCATTGATGCAGTAGCATCATAGTAATCACACACACACACACACACAATGGAGGACAAATGATCATTTCACATCATCGTATGAATTATACAATCTTATGATTCTTTTTTTTTTTTGTCCAACGTTACTGTCTAATTTATTTTATACTGTGACTATACAGGTTATTGTGTGTGTGTGTGTGTCTGTGTGTATGAAGGTGGTAGTTATGATCATCATCATCATCATCATCATAAGGGCATGTTCAATCATTATTCAAAAGAATCAAAAAAACTAATCTAATCTAATCTACACTTTTGTGTCATATTTCAATGATATGGTGGTTGTGTTTGATTAAAAGAACAAAAATTGAATATTATGATGTAAAATAAAAAAAGGTTTACATGGTATCTATTGATATCATGGAATCAGAATCTTTGGTTCACATTTTTTTTGGCCTTCCAATTCCAATTGAACAACATATTGAATGCAGATAGATCATCAGCTAGTTACAAAGAAAAATTTTTAAATCACTTCATTGCTGCTATACGTATGTCACTTATTGGTGAACACAACGACTACAACGACCATGTGTGAATCTTTGAATTGCAACTTGAAAATTCTAGAAAAGACGATGATGATCGAATCGACAAGATTGACTTGAATATTTTTTTTTTTTTTTTTTTGACTCTCCCGTTTTTTTTCCTTTGTTCTTTCTTTTATTGAGATGTGTTATTGTTGTTGTTGGTTGTTTGGTCTATTTGTTTAACACTTGTCCATATGTCCATAGTGCAATTACCGTTTTTGGCCATTGCCGATTTAAGTTCATCATAGCTCGATCATCATCTTCGTTCATAATGATTGCCATCATGATGATGATGATGATTCGAACATACAGAATTATCATTGTATATGTGTGTGTGTGTGTGTTTGTCCATTACTTAGTTTAAAATTTTCCACCACTATTTTCCTTTAAAACATACTTAAATTTTTTTTTTTTTTTTTGCCCAATAGTCTTCGTCCATCATCTTTTTCTTTCTGACCTAATTGCATCATTTGCCAACAAAGGAACAACAAAAACGAACCCAAAAAAAAATATAGAAAATCAATGCTTCAATTGATCTTGATTGGTGTTCGATGTTTTGGTGGAGGGGGCTATATATATATTAGATGCAAATCACAACTACTACTACTTGTCGATAGTATTATTGTTAATAGTTGTATATATTTGACCCCTTGTCCATTTTCAATGATGATGATGAATGCTCAAAAAAAAGTTAATGAACCATAAACAGGACATGTATTTACTATGGATGTACAATATGGATTCTCGATATTCAGATTCTTGTTTTCCTTTGTTCTGATGATGTTTCGATTTTTGATTCTCAAGTTCTGTAGATCATTTCCTTTCACTCTCATCTTTGTGAATGATTATGATGATGATCAGATATCCGATATTGTTATTATTATTATTGATAA